CTATCCTCCCAATCCGCATCCATTCTATCAGCAAACTTTTTAGTGAGAGCAGACACATTTAGCTCCGTGCCAGCAATACGTTCCACACGCGCATTCAAGTCCAACTCACCCCCCAAGGCCGTCAAATCCGTCCCTAACATTTTCAGAAAAAATCGTCCCAAAAAATTGGCCAAAAAAGTCCCTAAAAATTACAGGCGTTCGTACAAGTACCTCGCGGCTGGCAAAAACATGCTTTGCACTGTGTTGTTTGTTGCAGGCAGGATTTCCCTTTTGAAAGGTCTGGCTTTCTTTAGTCTGTACTGTTTTTCGCGGCCTCGTTTGGTGCATGTGTCAGCATTTGGGCGATGCCAGTGACGTTTGAGGCAGTAGAGGAGGAGGAAGGCTACGATACTCAACCCTTACGTCAAAGAGCCGGCTATCGGCAATCAAGTTCACGGCTAAAGTTGAGCCTTAGACCTGATGAGCCTGGCGGCGTCGGCCGCCGGAGCCGCCGAAACCGAGAACGCCTGTAAGATGATACAGCAGTACTTTGATACTGTGAACTTTATGGCTTCTTTCTCATCTGGGGAATGGTTGACAAGGTTGACATGGTTGAGGAATTACTGACAACAAAGCCGGAGCCATGGAGCGGCGTTGTGACAATGGAGCTGTAAAGACACTTCTTTCCAAGACACCGCCATGGCCTTCATTACCCTAGTTACCGCGCACAGTCTTTAAGTGCGCTGAACAGTCTATTGCGTCGGCGAACTTCCATATCCTTGCGCAAACATCAAGACGGGCTGCCAGCCACACCGCGCTTGGACGCTGTATGAGCCTTTGGTGCTGATAGCACACAGGCCGACTTCACCCGAAAAAAGGAGTACGACCAAAAATAATTTTGCCATAATTATTGAATTCTTAGGTACAACTCACATGAAAGCCAGTAAAGGGAGTAGATATCGCCCAGTACGAGTGAACCGTTCACAACACATCTACTCGATAGCTGTTTGACTACATAGCCAACGGACTGGACTCCAACTTATGGGGCAAGCACAGTCCGCTCCGACTCGCGGCCAACACACGCCTAACACAATTGTGCCACATGAGAGCAGCAAGTATCAGTACAGAGCGCAAGGAAGGATGTGCGGTATGTCAACCTTATTCCACTAGTATTGTTACAAAGCGTCGACGCGAAGGTACTGTGCGGCGGGTGCGGGAGTAGGAGGTCTAGGTGTGGCTGACCGTGAAGGAGGTGACGAAGCCGTCCTGGCTGGTAGCCTCGCCGTGCACCGCGGTGATGGAGGGCAGGACGCAGTGGGCGGCAGCGCGTGCAGCCTCAGCGAAGGTGGTGGCGGTGCGGTTGGAGGCGCCGTCGTGGGGGGCGGCGGTGTTGGGTACAGTGTAACCATGCGCGGGCATGAACATGTGCGTAGCGGCGTCCGAGGTGACGATGACCTGGGGGGGTGCGGGTTATGGCAGAACGAATGCGAAGTTAAACTGGTAGTTGTAGAAACGTTAAGGAAGGTTGGATGGAGGAGAGCAGGGCGGTAGGGCAAGGGCAGCAGGGATGTAAGGTAGAGCAGATGTGCACCGGCTAGAGAGTTCCTGAATGCGTCGTTTAGGGCGGTGGTGAAAAGCGTGCCGAGGACGATGACCGCCGCGTGGTCGTCGGCGCTTGCGTTGCAGGTGGGGCAGTGCGTGGCATCCAGGGGCATGGAGGAGCCGCAGGCGGTGCACCTGTGGAGGGAATGGAGAGGGAGACGGGGTTAAAGGAATGACAAGGGAAGGGGTGCAATAGAAGGCGTGAAGGGGGCTGTAGAAGGGGAAGGGTGACGGGCTGACGGCAGCTTACCCAGCATGCAGCGGGTTGTGGGCTTGCGGCAGGAAGGCGCCAGTGACAGTTCCACTGAAGGGCGTACCACGCGGGTCGCCGAAGTGGGTGACGAGGGGGATGACATTAGGGTGGGTGAGGACCGACAGGAGGAGGGTGTTGCCGGACTTAATGGGCATGATAGCGCACTCGTGTTCCGTGACGAGGGAGCAAGGGAACTGCCAGCCTTCGCGTTGATCAGCATGCAGCCGCTATACAGCGTCCGTCAGTAGTTGGAATCATCGCGTTCCAACAACGTAAGACGTTCTTCAACATTCATACAAGCCCGGTCCATACTTCTAGCCTGGATGTACCCCCAACTCCAAACAACGCATGCTGAACGAACATGTTGGCGGCTCCAGGCTTGTGCGTGCGTAAGTGCGCTAGCGTGCACCAGCAGTAGCAGCGGACGCGTTGGCAGGGCTTCCTGAGGGGTGGGGGGGAATGAAAGGCAGCGAGTGTGTAGATAGCGGCAGCATGAGCAACGATGGTGCGAGAGGAGCCTAAAAGGGCGCTTACCAGGGCGTGCTTGAGTCGAAGTTAAAGATGGTGCAGCTGCAGCCTTGCATGCACGCAGGATTTTAGAGTAGCGCTCCTGGGTATTTTGTGCGAGGTCTTGAAGGCGAAGCCATTCCGCGCGTAAGTCGGGATCAGGAGCAGCAAGCGCAGTGAGCTTGGCCAGTACACGCTGCTTTGCTGCCTCGTCGCCAGGTTGTCAAAGCGGCGTCAACAAGCGGAGTTGGGAGAATTTGGCGAACCGGGTTAGGATAACATAAAGGGAGGCACGGGGGGCAGATTGAACGGCGCACGGGACGCGGGTGTGGCTCAGGAGCACTGGGATGCAGTTTGCGGGAATAGCAGGATGGGTGCAGACTGCTCCAACGCTGGGACCATCAGGTGTGACAACGATAGCTTGTGGAGGGTAGTGTAGTATGTGGATACCGGAGTCGGGGTTGGTAAACTGCTGGCGGGGTTCGTTGAAGTGCAGGATGAGCTGGACATCGGTGCAGCCGTTGTTGTGGACGTGGTACAGGTGCTTGTAAGCGTTGTCGGAGAAAATGTAGCGGATGCCGGGGAAGATGCCAACGGCCGGGGAAGATGCCAACGGCTGGAATGCTAGCGTTGAAGGTGGGTTCGAGGTGACCGAGGGTGGTGGAAGATAAAGGGGAGCCATCAGCTGCAACGTCCTGGCTCCGCCAGACATAAGCGGGCTGGTTATGCTGTTGCGCGTGAATGAGGGCGAGGCTTAGGTTGAGGGGGAGCTGTATCGAGTGCCAAAGGACAATGACCCGTGGGTCAGGGAGGTGGTGTAGGCTGTCAGGTGCGGGAACCGTAGCATTGAGGTCGTGGCACATTTCGAGGAGCTGTTGTTGGAGGGCAGCGCCGCCAACGGCGCCGGTGCCATCAAAGAGAGCCGCATATCTTCGGAGCTTGTCACCATCTGCATCGGTTGTTTGTCGGTGCTGGTGACGCAGGATGAAGGCGAGCTGCATGGCGTGCCACGCAGCACGCCCAGCAACCAGGAGTGCATGGTTAGGGTCACTGAGGTTGCAAGCACTTGCGGATAGAAGCACAGCTTGGAGAGCGCGCAACCCTGCTGCAGGGTCGCCAGTCGCAGCAATGCGTTGCAGGGCTGTTGCGTCTTGGAGAAGGCGTGTGGCGTCAGCAGCGCCCCAGTGCATGGGCGGTTGCTTGGGCATTGGTAGCTGACGAGGATCGCCGGCTGTGACAAAGTGGAGATTAGCGACAAAGCGGACGCCTCTGAGGTGTTCTTGGACGCGCTCTTGAGCAGCGTAGCTGAAGCCGCCTCGGCTGCCCCCCAGAGCGAAGAATGTAGTGGTGCTGACCCCAACGTTGGCGTCAGTTGTGATCTGTAGGAGGCCGCGGATGAGATGGAAGGCATGTCAGCGAGCGTACAGGGATTGGGGGCCAGGGGAAGCAGTGCGAGCTTGCAGGGATTGAGGAAGCGCACCTGGAGGGCAGCACGCCGAGTGTAGCTGATGACAGCAAAGAGGTCGCTGGCATCGTGCTGGAAAGCAAACCAGAGAAGTGCAAGGATGCACTGGCTCTTGCCACTGCCTGCCTCGCCAGTGACAAGCAAGCTCCGGGGGGGTTGTAGACTATGCCGGAGCTCAGCAAGCAGGGTGTATGCAAGGATGAGGAAGGGCTGTTCCTGGTCCGGAGGTAGGGTGAAAAGCCGAGCAGTGTCTTCAGGGGAGGGTAGCATGTTTTGGGGTAGGCGGAGGTAAGGGGGTGGGACACCGGGTTTGATGGGGGTGTCAGTAAGGAGGTCGTTGCGGATGGGGTCGACGAGGACGATGCGTGCGTAAACACGGGGAGTGCCGGCCTCGTGAAGCTGTAGTTGATGGGGTTGGGGGGGGGGGGGGGGGACCGCGGGGTTGCTGCACCAGGCATGTAGGAAGCCATAGCCTCGTGCATATTGCGGAGGTCGCGTCCTGACAGATCTGTTCCAAAGCAGACAGCGCTGTGGGGACTAGGGTGGGAAGCCTTCGCAGCGCAAGGTGCACACTTCTCAGCTAATGGCATTGCCGAGCTTGACCTCTAACGTCGGCGACCAGCTCTCCGTGCGACTATTCGTTTTCGTTTAATGCTCGTCCGCTCTTGTTGACATAAGATTGAAAAAATATTTGCAACGTGTCAGTGTTATGAGCATGCGCTTGGATGACGAGTGCACCAGCACGCATCCGTTAATGTTGTTACATAACACCTTTGTGCTATTCAGGTGTAAAATACTACAATACTCTCTTGTGTTTCACGTTCCTCTGTGCCGCTTCTCAGGCAGCAACAAGCCTTCTCTGCCCATTCACGTTTCCGGCGTACTGCCCTTCCTCCGCGCCGCCTTAAACCACATGGCCTACACTCGGCCTTGCATTGTGTGTCGTGAGCTTCCCTGCTGTCGTGTCCAAAGCTCGGCAGGCACCTTCCGACGTCGTTCTCCACATACTATTCGTATGTGGCGTTGCTCTTTTCATACGTTCATACCCCTTGCCATATATCGACGTTTCCAATTGGTTTCGCTTTGTTTCGTGCTATCCTTCCTGGACGGTTCCGGAGCTAAAATTTATCATCGTACAGTAGCAGTCCCTGGGCGAAATATTAAACGCGTGACTTCAAAATCTACAGATTTTGCATCTACAGATTTTGCATCTGCAGATTTCGCATTGGTAATCAAACCATAGTAGCCATGCTTTCTGTCGGCGCTCCCAACTCCGCTCTCAACCGGCAAGCATTGCGTGGGTTTCGCCTTGTGAGCGTCCCCAGCCCTAGACGTCGAGCTCTGGTAGTCAACGCTTATGCAGCAGAGAAGTCTGTGTTCATAACAGGAGGAAATACGGGCATCGGCTTTGAGACGGCCAAGGCGCTTGCGTCAAAAGGGTTCAATGTGACCATCGCTTGCCGCGACACGGCCAAGGCGGAAGCAGCGCTTGGTCGCATTCGGTAAGGACACTACATTTTTGCGTAATTATAAAAATGGGTTGCCAAGGGTGATGTTTTGCAGCGGTTGCGGTGCCGATCGTCGCGGATTGGCGTTGAGTGCGTGGTCAGGGTTCGGCGTCGTGATTCTGACAGGACAATCAGCATTAGATGCCAGTAGTTGTAGCCCTTCTACAACCCTTAGTGTATAGGACTTGCTGACCCAGCCGAGGCCCTTCCGCCTGGTGTTTTGACGGCAGTCATAGCCCAAGCTCTTCAGCTGATCCTGGCTCTTATCCTTGCCATTGTACCTCCGTTACGACTACTTTATTTCCACAGCGCCTCCATCGGCCGGCTCCGCCTCGACCTCCCACACCATCCGGCGTCTCCTTATCACCATACCCACAGCCTCCCTCCACTGCTTCCTTCTTTCCGCATTGCCTTATCGTACTATCCTATCTTCCCCACCTCCGTTGCTCCTACACTGCTTCCGTCTCCGCCACACGCAGGGAGGCCGTTCCCTCTGCCCGCCTTGACTCCCTGCCCCTGGACTTATCCGACCTCAATTCCGTGCGCGACTGCACGCAACGAGTGCTGGACTCTGGGGTGCAGTACGACGTTTGGATCAACAATGCAGGTAGGGTGTACGACAGTGCACCGCTAGCGCTTGTTTACACATCACATAGCACGTACGACATGTTGGTGTACGACAGTCATTGTCCATGTACGTCATGCGATAGGACTGCCAGTCGTCGTGCACCGTTCCAAGCCCCACACATCCAACCATACCTACCAGCTTTGCTTATCAACCCTGCCGTACAGCCGTCATCTCCCTTCGCATCCCCCTTGCGTGTCCCGCCGTCGTACAAACATGCCGTACACACCGCCCCCCCCAGGCGTCATGTACTGCCCCAAGATGCGTACGGCACAGGGTTTCGAGTACCAGCTGGGAGTCAACCACTTGGGGCACTTTGCGCTGACGTGCGGGGTGCTGCTGGCGCTGCTGGCGGCGAACAAGTGAGGGGGGAAAGAAGGAGATACCCGTTGTGTTGATTGAGAATACCCAATGTGTTCGGTTGAGAAAGGGGCCAACAAGGGAGATTAACAAGTGGGGGAAGGCAAAAGCGGTAGCATAACCGATTAATAATCGCGAGGATACACTGCCGGCGACCCTGGGAAGACCGGAAAAAGATGGCGTTTTTCACTGGAAGTCCGCAGGGGCGAGGAGGGGTTTGTCTGGTTGTAGCATGCGGGGGAGGGGGGAGCGTCACTGCTGCAGCGCAGCGGTGCAGCCGGTAACTGAACTGTTGCAAGCAAACGAAACCAATCCCGCCGCACTGCAGGCCGGTTCGCATCATCAACGTCGCCTCCGCCGCACATACATTTGGCAAGATTGACTTCCAAGATCTCATGCGGGACAAGTCGTACGATCCTTGGGAGGCGTACGGCCAATCCAAACTCGCCAACATAATGTTCACGTACGAACTGGCGAGGCGGTTGGGCGCTGATGAGGGCGCTAACAACAACAGCAACCGGGTAACGGTCAACTGCTTACACCCGGGTATCGTGAAGACAGAGCTGGGCAGGTGAGGCGGGCGAAGGGCGAGCCTCGTTCAACTCTGGGTTGTTGTGAACCTCCCTACTTCTACAACACCCGGCTTAGAGCAACCCTATTCTGACCACATGGAGCACATGCACATCCCCCCCCCCAAGGTACATGCTGGACGAGGGCTCCCGGCGCTGGTACACCCCCCTCATCATGTCCGTCATGCAGCTCTTCATGCTGGAGCCGCATCAGGGCGCCGCCACCTCCATCCACCTGGCCAGCAGCCCCGAGGTGCGTGCGCGGCGCCGCGAGCGTGAACTCCATGTGTTTGAAGAGGTCGCGTAATTCCGATCCAAAGGGAAATACCGGCACCCGCTGTGTCTAGAACTGCAACAGGAGGAAGCTGTTCCGCTGTGCCGATTACGTGCTGAACAAGGTGCATGGAGGTATTCCCTGCTAACGCCCTGAGTACCTTTCTCGCGGCCAGTTCCTATCGAGCCACGTATGCCCGGTAACGCCCTCCCGCTTCACCCGTCAAGTCAACACCCGTGTTCCGCCTGCACCCGTCTGCAGGTGGAGGGGGTGAGCGGCAAGTACTGGGTGGACTGCCGCCGCGCCGCCAGCAGCAACGCCTCGTACGACAGGGAGGTGGCGGGGCGGCTGTGGCGGGTGAGTGAGGAGCTGACCGGGGTGCAGGGGCCGCCGGGGCCGGAAGGGGCGAGGGGGGCGGGTGGGGGTAGGGTTGCAGCAGCGGCAGCAGCAACGGGTTCTGCGTCATCGTCGTGAGAGAGAGGGAGAGGCGTATGAATGTCGGAGAGAAACCAAGCTGTTACGAGTATGGAAGCCACATGTTGGGGCAAGCAAGGCAACCGCGAGAGAGAGAGAGCGGGATTGTGAGGGCGTGTGCTGCGATGCTGGCGGTTGGGCAGCTGCGGGACGGTGGAGGAGGAGGAGCTGGGAGGCGGCTTTCAGGGGGCAGCAGCAGCACCAGCATCAGCGGGCGGAGGTGGGTGGTGGGTGCCGCAACAACAGCAACTAACGACGGCAGCAGCAGCAGCAGCAGCAGCAGCAGCGGGTTGTCCTGGGGTCATCGCCAGGTTGGCAGCGTTGGGAAGCGCTAATGCGGCGGGATGAGTTATTGCGGCGGGATGGCCCCGGCATCGCTAGGTGGCTGCGTGGTGGTGGTGTGACGTGCCGTCTGGGGAGTTATGGGAGGCGGTGGCGCTTATGGCAGGTTGTTGCTGGTAGTAACAGCGAGGACACAGCCTAACCTGGACGGATACTGCTTGTCAGCTAAACCCGTTACGCCAATATGCTATTACCGGTACCCTTTGTATTGTGTATGTATTGCCCAGAGAGCCTATGTATAGGCGTACTTGCCCTTTTTTGTCCGTGGGGTATGCTGCCTCTAAACGATGACACACACGTGGATTTCATGGATTTCCCTTGATTTGAGGTTATCACTCCTTGGTGCAGTAATGCAGTCAGTCACATAAGCGCTGACACAGAACCAATATGTTTGAAAAAAGGGCCGCTTTTCTTCACCTCAGGTGGTGGGGGGCTTATAGAGGCATAATGAGAGGCGGTGAGACGGAGGTGTCCCGCTTGGTGGGGACGTGGGGCATACATGCACACTTCGCGGTATTCCATGGCTGCTTCAGATTATGCGTCGTGGGTCACATATGGATACGGTCAGGTGCAGGCACTGCACACATTTTCCGAGCAAGCTGCTTTTCCTATTACAATATGTCGTGAAAACTGTTATGAGGACGCAGTTGCCTCCGAATCGGTTTGATCATTGATTGGCAAAGAATGGTCCAAGGCGCTTTGAGTCAGTTTGTGTGAGCAGCAAACAATGTAGGTATAGTGGGACTTTTGCCGTACGGTATTGCATGACGTGTACTGATGTACGGCGTAAGGGGCACGGCGTCTGGCGGAGTGGACATAATTTCTGTGCCGTGTTCGTCCGCCTTCGTACGGTAATCAGAGATACGGGATGTTGCAATGTCTGGAGAAATGTTCGCTGCTTGCCAATAGACCCGTTCGACTCCCCAAACGTATCACACGGTTTTCGATATCCATATTCCCGTCCGTTCCTGGATATGACGTCACTATCCAGATCGAGTAGCCAGTGTCACAGTTCCTTCATAGTTGGTCTGCCTGAAGCGTTGGTGCACGCAACAAAGACATTTGTTAATCAACTGTCGACAACGTGTGTGTATGTGGCTTTAGGTTTTTTTGGACTGCAGCAACGTCGGCAGCACAAGGTGCGCTGTTATTCCTTCGACCAACGGGGTATATTTCCGTTGAAGCGAGGCATCAGTTAGCAAACGTGTGTGCCGCATTGTAGCTGGCGTACCTAGTATGTAAGCAGCATGCAGTACGTTCTGGATAGCCGATAGCACGCAATTCCTAGCGGCTGAGGGCACACCACATGATACGTCCTCAATGAGGCCATCTGCTGTGCCTCTCCCGCGCTGTTTGCTAATCCAGTGAAGCTGTCTACCCGAGGCCTGTACGACACAATCGCACTTGCGCGGGTGGACGAGCCGAACAGACCCGGCTTTGCGCAAGAGAAAGCTTTTAGGCGCTAGAAACTATTGAAGATCACACTACCTAATGCTTGCTATTCCATGTTACAGAAGTGGTGCGCGAAGTTTCCAATCCGAAAGCAAGGGGTGGACAAGCAGCTGCTTATGCCACCATTAACGTAACACTAAGTGAGGCTTATCAAAGGAGTATTCTTTTATAACAATTGCAAGAATTTTAACATGGAGAAGAAAACGATGGACTGCTGCTTGTTCTTCTTCCGGTTCATTAACATCCTGACTTCCTTAAGCGCCATCCTCTGTCTGGTAGCGTTTTCAATGGCGATCGTTGTTGGACCGCCCTTCACGGACAAGGAAAGTTGCAAGGTGCAATTGCTACGGTGAGGAAACCCAGAGCAGGATTGTCCGAACTGCACCCATGGCTTAAGCATGAAAAACAAATTGCATATAGACACAAATGCTGCACAAGTCTGGCGCCAACTAACAGCAACAGCCAGGACAAGAGAAATGTTGCACACCATCCGCCGTGCCTTGTGTCATTCGCAGGTTATACGGCGTCTTCTTCGCTGCCGGGCTGGCGCTTATAGAAGCGGAGTGGGAATGGCTGATGCAGTTCTGCCGCATTATGGAATTCTGGCTTGCTCGGGGTGCTTGCCAGGTAGGTAGCGGATTGCAATGGATGGGTGCTGCCTGGTTCCCAAACATCAAGCACTACTTTCCATCCTCCTAGTACTCTTACCTCTGCATTAGTTCCCGCGCATCGGGGTTCCCCTGCGCCACAGTTCCTTGTGCGGCAATTTGACGTATCTTCTCTCCCGCTGCCTCCCTCTGATGCCCCTGCCCCCACCCCGCGTTAGGCCTTCCTAGCCATCATGACCCTAGAGCTGGTGCACAGCAACGGTAACAGCGACTTTGATAGATCGGTACGACTGTACCGCACCGTTAGCGGTTTATGGTGAGTCAAAGCTGGTCAAAGCGGTAAATAAGGCCCAGTCCGCAGGATGTCGGGGGGTTAGGAAGGGCAGTAGCAGCGGGGGAAGATATTGGGCTGGCTCTGGGCTAACCGACAGCATGCGCATTTGCTCCCATATGGATCCAGCGCCGCCGCCCAAATTTCCTCCACTTCCCCCGTCTATCCTAACTCCGCCCACCTCTTTACCCCCCTCGTGCCCCAGCCTGCTGGGCTGCTCGGGCTTCTACATCCTGGGCGGCATCACGTGCTTGGGCACCCTGCGGAACGGTGCGGACGGGGCGGGCAGGGGAGGGGCGAGCCGCCGCCTGGGGCGTGGGAGGCGGGTTTCAGGGGATGAGGTCCTCTCACCCACCCCTACCCCACTCGGAGCTGGGTCAGGCTGGTGGCATCGTCAATGCCTCGGTGCCATGCGTCGCCGCGTGCCCTGTCGCCTGCCTCACCCGCATCTCCGTCACTCCTTCCCAGTCTGCCCTCCTGCCCATAAAACACCCCCTTGGTTTCTCTTTTACCAGTCTTCCAACCTTGGTATCTGGTACCGTAATGCCCGCCCCCTCAACCGCACCCTCACCACCACCTCCGCTGCAGCCCGCTACAAGCGGTTTGTGGAACGGTTACGAGTGGAGCGAGACCTGGAGAGCTTGGACAAGCAGCGGGAGGAGCTCAACCGGCTGCTGGCGGTGTACAGCAAGGAGTGAGGGAAAGAGGGTGACCCATGGGTCAGGAGGGAGCGAATGGCAGGCGGGAAGGGGCAAGAAGGAGGGCAGGGGCGGAAGGGGGGGAAGGGAGTAGCTGAATTTGCTGTTGGCGGTGTAAGGAGTGAGAGCAACCCATGGGTCAGGAGACCGCGTGGGGCGCAGTCGTTGCTTGCAGGTTGGTTGTCTCGCCAGTCATTACTCGCGTTGTGCGTGCGTCTCGTAGAACATAGGCATTTAACGAATGGAAACAAACGCAAAGCGTACCTCTCTTATGAATGCATCCTTGGGGTTATGTAGGGGGATGTTGGTGAGTAGCGCTGGTGTGGGTGAATGGTAGGGGATGCTGGGTATGGGCATGCCTGGGTGGTTGGCTGCAGGGCCGCCCAGATCAGCGTTAGAGCCATCGTAGGTTGTGTTAGAGCATTGTCAGTGGAGGGAGCGAGGGGCTGTTGCATATGTGCCACTTAAGGTACCGGTAGCGTTGTAAGAGCTTATTGGCTGTTGTACTGTTTTGGGTTGAACTGATTGCGTTGCTTTTCATGTTGACTGCGGCCTTTTGGCAATCGTTGTAGCCTGATGTGTTTGTGCCTAGAAAGGATGTTGTCCAAGACAGATGGGGCTGGTTTTATTCTTGCTTTTCAACGCATCAAACTCCTCTTTTCCCTAGGCATGTCGTCTTGTTGTCCAATTGCAATGAAGTGAGCGCAAAGGTAACCAGCTTTCAGGGCCGTGTTACTAGCAGGAGCGTGAGAGTGCCCGCGGGTTTGGCGCTGGGCAGCCGAGGCTGTGTCCTCTCCCGTTCCTACGGTACGGGCGCTTGTAGCTGTCATAAGACTATGGCTTCAGAAGGAGAAAGCAGGAGCAGACATGTTATATGCGATCGCGAAACAGGGGTGCCAGCATGTTGCATTGAGAGCAGGGAATCAGGGATAGGTCCTGGTGTGCTGCCGCCTCAGTTGGAATACCTAACGAAGCCAAACTACATGGCTCCTCTGGATAGCACCGAGCAAGCTAAAAAAAGGACAGTGTATGCGTTGAATGAGAACGAGGCGCATCTGCCTAGGTAGCGGAACAGGTGCACCTGTCGTACAGAGCCTGCCATGTACAGCTCCTTGCTGCACTGAATCTTTCGTCCGAGGTTTTACTATAGGCTGCCCCTCGGATTATGAGCTGCGTAGGCTCGCAAGAGGCTGTACTGAACGTTCTTGGGGATTTCATTGCCTAACTTCCACCGAACGTTAGCTTGAGTGGGCCTGGCGGGACGCACACAGTTGCTGTTATTAGGGCTGAAACCCTTTATGTATCCAGCTAGTCAATTCTACCTTGCTTAAGATGAGCGTATCCGCATAACAGCAAGATCAAGCCGAAATGCCGCGCTGCGACGACGACGCAGTAAGCGTCGTCAGCTCTACTGCTGGTTCTATCGCGCCAGAGGTATGTGTAGGGGATTGCTTGCAACGTTCTTGGGGTCAAGGCAAGAGGGACATCATTTTCTCTTACTTGCAGAGAAAAGTACCAGCTGTTATCGCTAATAAAACAAAAGAGGAGCTCCAAATATTTGTGCTTGACCTCCTCAAAAAGCTCAAGCTGCGCGACAAACAACTTCAGGGTGAGTGCAATTGTTTGAGTGAATTGGATGTAAACGTGCATATGCACAGTATCCCCTTCTTACAATTTATCTAGGTATGTATATTTATGTTTCTGTCCTAATACGAGCTTGGACCCCACAGAATTGGGCGCTGGCAAGAAGGCTGATGGTGGAGCAACCACTGAGGTGAGTGCACGTTTTCTACAGTGATGCATGCTAGTAGATGCTTACTATTCCAAGTACTTGGTTGTGTAAAGAGGTGCGCATTCTCTGGCAAGGTGACCTTCCGCTGGCAGTTGCAATGCTGCAACTGCGCTACCCATCCTTGCGAGCCCATAGGAGATACGTTGCGTCCGTGCCGGCCTTGCCAATCCCAAGTACACTCATCCTCAAAGCCGATAGAAAGCCCTTTTCCCTTGTACCTACCTAAACGCGCTCGATTGCTTGCACAGTCCGAACATGGCAGCGTGGCATCCCTGGTGCGGCGGGCCGAGCGCGCGGAGGCTTGCGCCCGTGAGGCGGAGGAGGCCAGCAGCGCCCTTCGGGCCGAGCTGGCACTGACAAAGGACTCGTTGTCAGAGGCGCACACGCGGGCAGAGGTACATGGGGCCGCCGGTGGTGCGAGGTTGCCATGGCAACATAGTTGGAACATGTATCGGTGTGAAAGCCCCCATGCGTCGGGTGCTCGGGTTTCCCTAGGGCGGGTTTCAGCACCGGCCGCAAGAAACCCCATTGGGCCCTCTCTACGTCCAGCTCACGCACGCTATGCACAGACTCTTGTGCCCCCGCGCACCCATGCACCGACCCAAATGCATGCCTACTTGTCCGTCCGCGCACCCACCCACCCCACCCAACCACCCACGCAGGAGGCGCTGTCCCAGCTGGCTGCTGCCCGGGAGCAGGCGGACGCGCTGGTGGCCTCCTCCCGCAGCAGCGCAGTGGCAGCGGAGGAGCGCATGCAGGAGCAGCTGCAGGTGCGAGAGGAAGGGAGTGATGCATGGGTGCGGAGGAAGGCGGATGGCGGAAGAGAACGGAGGGGGCCCATGGGTGGCTGCGGTGGGAGGTGCATGAGGGCTGCAACTTGATGGCGGTCGGGGCCATGCATGGTTTGGCCCTGGGCTCTCGCTGCTTCCCTAAGCCCCTCTCCCAAGTCCTCTTCCGCTTCTTCTGTTCACCCGGAACTACAACATAACATGAAGACAGCGCGACTGGGCCCTGCTGCCCGCACCCTCTCCACACCCTTCCCGCACCTGCTCTTCACCTTCTCCACGCCCTCATCGCACCCCTCCAGGAGATCGAGTCGCTGCGCGCCGCGCTGTCCTCCACCAAGCAGTCCCTGGGCGACTGGGGCGAGCGCGAGGCGGCCTACCAGCAGCAGCTGGCCTCGCTCAAGGGAGCGCTGCGGGACATGTCGGACGAGCGGGAGGGAGCCTTCTCGCGGCTGGGTGGGTGGGACCGAGGAGATGCGGGTGTGGGCATGCAAGCCCGCTTGCTTGCCTGGAAAGGAACTGGGGGCTGGTGTGGAGCTGATCGGAGTGTTTTCCATCAGCGGGACCGTTATTGGCCTTGCATTGAGTCCCGGTAGTGACGGCTGTTGGGAGTATGTCCTGCTGTGACCCCAACCGCCCTGCTGCCCACGTTGCTCTTTCTCTCTCGCTCTCTCCCTCCCACACTCTCTATCCCCCTCTCTCCCTCTCACACTCTCTATCTCTCTCTCCCTCTCACGCAGGTGAGACCCGGGAGCGCATTGCGGAGCTGGAGGAGCAGCTGGCGGAGGCGGAGGCCAGGGCGGCGGAGGCTGCCAGCGCCGCCGCCTCGGAGCTCATAGCCGCACAGGCGCATGCAGCGAGTCTGGAAGCAGAGCTAGCGGCAGCCAGGGCGGCGGCGGAGAGCGCTGGCGGCGCCGCCGCTGACAGCCTCGCGGCGGCGCAGTCCCGCATCGCGAGCCTCGAGGCCGACCTGGCGGCGTTGGATGCACAGGCAGCGGAGGCGGCGGCCGCAGCGGCGGCGGAGCTCGCAGCCGCACAAGCGCGGGTGTCTGAGCTCGAGGCCAAAGCAGAGTCGGCAGCAGGTGAGGGCGCGTCCGCAACCTCTGCCGCCGCCGCTGCGGCTGCTGCTGCAGCGGAGGAACTCCTCGCTGCCCAGGCCCGTATTGCGAGCCTGGAGTCGGAGGTAGCGGTGGCGGAGGGCAAGGCAGCGCAGGCAGCAGCACAAGTCGCGGATGCTCAGGCGCTGGCAGCCAGCCTACAAAACGACTTGGCAGCAGCCACGGCCGCCGCCACCGCCGCCGCGGCTCGTGTCACCGAGCTGGAACGGGAGCTAGCAAAGACCAACGCTGCTGCCGCTGCCGCTGCTGCTTCACCAGCCTTGCCACAGCCAGCACCCACCGCACCGTTAGGTACTCGCTCCGCCCGAGCGAGCAGTGCTGGGAGCGCCGCAGTCGCCGCCACGGCTACTACCGCTAACCCCGAAGCTGCGCTACGCGAGGCGCTGGCGCGTGTTGCGGATTTGGAGGGCGAGCTCATTGCCACGGCTAGGAAGCTGGCGGAGCATGATGACGCCGCAGTGGCTGCCATGAACAAGGAGAAGCAGCGGTACGCGGCACTGGAGGGGAAGCTGCAGGGCGTGCAGCAGCAGCTGGCGGCGTTGAAGCAGCAGCAGGGGCAGCAGCACCGGCAGCCCGAGCAGCATGCGGAGGGGGTAGCAGCAGGAGGGACCGAGGAGAAGGGGGGCAGTGGGGAGGGGGCGGCAGCAGCAGCGGTGGAGGAGAAGGAAGCGGGGGAGCAGGCGGAGCGGTTGCGGCAGTTGGAGGAGCAGCTGGCGGCGAGCGAAGAGCGGGCGCGGGAACTGGAGCAACAGGCACAGGTGGGTGCTTTCGTGCATATGTGTTTGAGCTGGGCGGGCAGCCTGTCTTGTCTTGTCTTGTTGCTGGTGTCTCCTGTCCCTGTATTGTTCCCGCCTCGTAGGACCTCTACGCCAGCCGCTACCCTCATGCCCTGCCCCTCCCTTCCTATCCCGCGTAACCCGGTACCCACGCTCCCTGAGCACGTGCAATTCCCTGACTCCTTTCCCTGCGCCCTTTCCACCTGCCTGCTGCTCTTCCGGGTTTGGGGTTTACTTTCCCCTTCCGCGCCCTATCCCCTTTCCCCCTCCGCCCCTTGTCCCTCGGCTCTCCACCCGTCTTGGAGTCATGGACAGCGTTTCCTCGCGGTTCTGCTCCATTACCCTCTCCTCCCCCATTCTCCCTCCCCTCCCTACCTTCATATGTATCCCTATTGATCCCCTCCCTCCCCCTCCCTCTCAGCGTCTGGCGGCCGAGCGCGAGGACCTGCTGCTGCTGCAGGACCAGGCGGCCGGGGAGATCACGTCGCGGCTGGCGGTGCTATCGGAGCGGGAGCGGGAGATCAGCGCCATGCAGGTGAGAGGGCGGAGGGGAGGGTGGGGAGTGCGAAGGGAGGGTAAGAGTGAGAGTAAGACCGGAGTGCAGGGTAAGAGAGGAGGTGGTGGGTACTGAAGGGCTGGTGAATCGAAATGCGGCCAGGGTCTCCGAGCTGAGCTGAACCCCTCCTGGTGCGTTGCTGGTCCCGCGGTTGCCGCTACACGGGGGCAGGTGGCGCTGCGGGACGCGGATGCGCGCATGGAGGAGATGCAGGCGCGGCTGGACGAGCAGGAGGAGCAGGGGGACCAGGTGGGGACGAATGGGGGGGAGGGGAGGGGCGGGTTGGAACTGGTTCGGATCCTGTTGTAGTAGTAGTAGTAGTCGTGGAACCCGGCCAGGTAGGAGATGGATGAAATGGGTTAGGGGGCTCTCTTTGTTGCTGGTTCGGGCATACACTGTTGCGCGCTACGCTGTTGGTCTCACGTCTCCTCATCAGTTTGTGCTTCGTTTCAGCAACTCCGCATTGGTCCTCTTCCCGCTGCTGCCACTTCGCAGGCGGATCAGGTTTCGGAGCTGCTGCACGCTCGCGGGCTGCTGGCGGCGCATGCGGAGGCGCTGCAGTCGGCGGTGGCGGAGATGGAGGCGGCGCAGCAGCTGGCAGCTGGGCGGGCGCAGGTGGGGGGGAGGGAGCGGGGAAGCGGTGCGGGTGAGGGATGATGACGCCTTGGCCATGGCAGCAGACGTGTTTCCAAGCTGCCCACTCCATCGGATGTACCGGTACGCCTCCACACGTACGCTCGCTTGTCATCTTCCGTTGCTACCGTTCGCCCGCTACGTCACAAGTACAGAAGCAAAATGGGGCCCACCTGGCCCCACCTGGCAAATTGCTGCTGCTGTAAGCACTGACTGCTGTCCCGCCCCCATGTCTTACCCCGCTGCACTCCAGGAATGCGGGGACGTCCTGGACTCCGTCTCGCGTCTAGCAGCGCTAGGGCGGCCGCAGCCAGCACAGCAACAGGCGGCGGAGGCTCAACCCCTTCAGTCAGCTCATCAGGCGGGGTCGGGGGTGGAGGAGCAGCAGCAGGCGTTGCGAGCGGAGCTAGGGGAGGCTCGGGAGGCGCTGCGGAGGCAGGCGGAGCAGGTGGTGGCGCTCACACGGCAGGTGGGCGCGCGTAACCCCACGGGTTGTTAGTGAAAAGGGGCCCGCGAAGAATCGTGGTGGACCTAGCTACGTGCCTCATGCAGTCATACTCCTGGCTTTGCTTAACGCTCCCTCCGCCCATGGCTTTAGCATCGTAAGGTCGTTCACCCGCTCTTTCCCATACAGTTGGAGGAATCCTCCGGACAGCTGGAGGCTCTCCGGGCTGAGCTCCTTGCCGTACGAGCGGAGCAGGAATCTGCCGTACAGCACCGACAAGATACGGAGCAGCAGGCGCAGGGGCTGCGGGAGGAGCTGCAGCGCCTGCAGCAGCAGCTTCAAGAGCAGCAGCAACAGCAGTTGCAGCAGCAGCAGCAGGCAGCTCAAGAGGCTGCTGAAGCTGCTAGCCAGGCGGCAGCAGTGGCCGCAGAGGCCGCCGCCTCAGCTGCTCAAAAGGAGGCTGAGGTCCGGGTTTCGGAGCTGGAGGCCCAATTGGCTGCCGCACAAGGGGAACGCGACACCGCACTGCTCCAACTTGAACAGCTGCAGCAGCTGCAGTTACGAGGGCAAGAAGGGCAGGAGGCGCAGCAACAGGCAATGACAGCCGCAGCCGCTGCAGCCGAGGCTCGTGCGGAGGCGCTCGCACTGGAGGTCAGTGAGCTCCGAGGCGCTCAGGAGGCCGCCCTGGCGGTTTCGGAGCAGCTCAAGGAGAGGTGCGCGCAGCTGGAGGCGGCGCATGAGCAGCTGGAGGAGCAGGGCCGGCAGGCGGCGGCGCAGGCGGCAGAGCTCAGCTCGCAGCTGGAAGCGGCTTCGGCGGCGCTGGCGGCGTCACATGCCCGGGTTTCGGAGCTGGAGGCAGCAGCTGCGGCCGCGGCTGCGGCGGCGACAGCAGCAGCAGCCGCGGAAGAGGTACGGCAGAAGGAGGAGGATGAGGGGGCAGCTGCTGCCACTGCTGCTGCGAGTGCGGAGTTGTCACAGCGGGTGGTGGAGCAGTCGGAGGCGATGGAGAAGATGTCCAGGGAGCTGCAGGTGAGGAGGAGGAGGGGCGAGGCTTTCGGGGCGAGTCTCTCAGGGCCTGTCTTGGGGCTGTGCTTTTTTGGCGCCTAGTCAGTACGGGACTAAAACCATGAGCTGATCCTTGTGAGAAACCCGACGTTCTCGACCCTAGCATGCAGTTTGTCGCTTCGTATTCCCTCACCACAACCCCGCCACCGCCCCCCACTCCCCATCCCGCACCACACCTCTGCTGCTGCAGGAAGCCAAACGCAAGCTGGTCGCTATCGCCAAGAAGCGCCAGGCGGAGGTGGCGGCGGCGGGCAAGGACGCGGAGGCCAAGCTGACGGCGGCGCAGGCGGCGGCGGCGGAGGCGGAGGCTGCGCTGCGAGCGGATGTTGCGGCGGCACAGGCAGCGGCGGAGGCGGCAGTGGCGGAGCGGGATGCGCTGTCGGGGCGGGTGGCGGAGTTGAGTCGGCAGGTGGCGGCGGCGAATGAGGAGGCGGCGCGGAGGGAGGCGCTGCTGCAGGTAATGTGATGGGAGTACGGGTGGGCGGATGGATGGCTAGTTGGGTAGCTGCAGCATGCAGCGTAACGTACACCACCCTCCTGTGCTATTCCATGGCAGCTGCTCAGCGCCGCTGTCGACCCGCCTCCCTGCCCACTGTCCAACGTCCAAGCACTGCTCCTCCAAGCCCCCACCTTCCCTTCCCACCTGCAGGAGTATAAGAGCCTGGCTGCCCAGAAGGAGGGTGCGGCGGGGGTGGCGGCGGCCCGCATGGAGCAGGAGGTGAAGCGCCTCACGGTAGGTGTGGGGAAGGGGGCGGAGAGAGGCGGGGTAAAAATAAGGAAAAAGGGGGGGTCTCTATCTAGTTAACGTTGTAACAACTCAACGATGTAAACCACCCGAATGCTGGTGCATGAGTACGCGTTACAGTGCTAAAGCTTTGCCCGCAAGTCTTAAGCTCATAACCCGTCAACGGAAAGCCTACACGGGAAAGCCACATCGCCCTGCCTGCTAACACGTTTCTTGCATGGTGCTGTTTGTGCGACAGACCGAGTACGAGACCGCGCTGTCCAGGACCCAGGCCAAGCTGCGGGATCGCGAGGTGGAGATCGAGTCGCTGACCGCATCCCTGGGTCGTGCGGAGAAGGAGGCGGCAGCGGCGGTGGCGGAGGCGGCGGAGGCTCGGCGGGCGGTGGCGGCGGCGGCGAGCGGCAGCAGCGCGGAGGCGGCTGCTGCGCGGGCGGAGGCTGAGGTGCTGCGGGGGGATGTGGCGGCACTGCGGAAGGAGCTGGAGGCGGAGAGGAGCAGGTGGGGGGGGGCAGGGGGTAGCGGCGGGCCCACCCACCCGAGCCCTGTTTGTCGCTTCGGCTCCCCGGGTTGCCTCTTCCTCCTCAGCACCGAAACTCTCCCTGACCACCCCAACCCCGCTCCCTTCCCCTCCTTCCTCCTTTTGTAACCTCCGTCCCTTCCCTCTCCCCCTTCGCCCTTCTGCTGGCCTTCCGCCTGCTGCCCCCTGCCCCCTGCCCCCTGCCCCCTGCTGCCGGCCTTCTGCCAGGTCCGCCAAGGCGGCTGAGGACGCCCGCAAGCGGCTGGCCAAGGCGCAGAAGGCGCAACATGCCGCCGAGGTGGCGGGGGCGGAGGCGCGGGGGAAGGCACAGGTAGGGCTGGGCTTGGGCTGGCAGGGAGGACGGAGGGAGGTACGTGAGAGGCCCTCACCAGCTCCTCCTGCCACCCACCCTTTTGCTCCCATCCTGGCCTACACGTCCATACACCCTTCCCTTGAATCCTTGGAAACATGCTGCACACCAGTCTCCTGCTGTCCCTCTCTTTTTTGTCCTCACACGTCCCACCAACTCCTATGTGTCAAAAAAACAAATTTGAAAGACCGGTCAGTCTCTGCGCATGGTGTTGTTCCCCACGCCCTATCTGTGCCCTCCTGTTTCCCCATCCTCCCCGCCCTCCTTGCCCCCCCCCCAAAGGCTGAGGTGGCGGGTTTGCGAGTGGAGCTGGGTCTGCTGCAGCAGCAGCTGGAGGCGGCGCGGCGGGAGCGGGAGGGCGCGGAGGGGGAGCTGCGGGACTACCGCAACAGGGCGCAGGTGGGCTGACGGGTGGGAGGTCAATGACGGGTGGGGGGGGGTTAAGGGAAACGGAAAAGACCAGGTGGAAGTTTAAATTGTCTTTGAGGCATGTAAGATTATATACTCGCATCGAGGTACGGCTGGGGCGTAACTCTGTAACAGAGCATGTATTATGGCATAAGGATAGGGGAACAGCATATACATAGAGCTGTCCAAGGCAATGCGAGCGGTCAGCACGCACCACAGCAGCCGTGTCTCACACTTCACACAGTGCCCCAACCACGGCACCCCCCTGACCAGCCCCACTCTCTCCCCGGCCTCCTGCACATTTACCCACCAATTCCCTCCCCAACAACTCAACCCAACCCGACCCCGCAGGCGCTCCTCAAGTCCAAGGATGCGGAGATTGCTCGCGCGCGTGACACCGCCGCCTCCGCCGCCGCCGCCGCGGAGAGTGAGGAGCTGGCGGCGGTACGGCAGCAGCTGGCGGCGGCGCTGGCGGCGGCAGCGGCGGCGGAGCGGGAGGGCGCGGAGGCGCTTGAGAGGGCGGCGGCGGAGGCGGCGGAGGAGGTGGAGCGGTTGAAGATGCAGGTGGGGGGATGGGGAGGGAGGGTGAGGATGAGGGGGGAGGGAGGGAAGTAAAGAAGTGAAGCAACCAGAGTCCCGATCCGATGTCCCGACTCATGCAATGGGCGCATTTGGAAACAGGGAGGGAAGGAGGGAATGAGAGAGGAATCCCGTTCCCATTCCCGACTAGCATGGCTCTGTTGGCCTTCTCTGTTCGCCTCCTCTGGCTTCTCCCTTGTTTTCGCAACTTCTCCCCCTTCCTCCTTCAACCTCCCCTCCCCCACCTCCTTACCCTCCCCTCTCCCACCTCCTCCCCCACCTCCTTACCCTCCCCTCTCCCATCTCCTCCCCCACCTCCTTACCCTCCCCTCTCCCACCTCCTCCCCCACCTCCTTACCCTCCCCTCTCCCACTCCCCCTCTCCCCATCCTCGCCCCCCCTGCAGCTTGACGCCGCCCAGTCCTCCTCCACCTACTACCAGGAGCTGCTGCAGCGGGCGCAGGCCGCCGCGGAGGAGGCGGGCCGGCGGTCGGAGGCGCTGGAGGCGCGGCTGGCGCACCATCAGGCGCAGCTGGGGCTTGAGGGCGGGGCGACGGCGGAGGGTGGGCAGCAGCGGAGGGGCGCGGCGGAGGAGGAGCTGGAGGAGGCGAGGGCGAGGAACGCGGCACTTGAGGTGTGTGTGTAGTTGAGTAGGACAAGAGCAAGCAATTGGGAGAGGTTCGCATGTGAACCGCAAGTACAGGCAAAACAGAGGTAAAACCCCCACCGCGTTTGATGCTGCTGTGTGGCTCAACACCTCCCCCCTCTCCCTCCCTTCACCTTCCCCCACCCTTTTGCCTTACACATGCCCCTCATCAGACCGGGCCATGCATGCCGACTCACCTCGCTATGCCCGCACCTATGTCACCGAGGACACTCTCGCCAGGTCGCAAAAGGTTTACCAGGCGCAGGTAGCACAGCTGGCGATGGAACTGGCCCAAGGTAATTGAGCCGTGAAGACCATCACCAGGTACACCACCAGCACCGCCAAGGGCATTCTTGGCGGTGCTGGTGGCGTTCTTGGCGAAGCCCTTTACGGCTCAATTACCTTGGGCCAGTTCCATCGCCAGCTGTGCTATCTGCGCCTGGTAAACCTTTTGCGACCTGGCGAGAGTGTCCTCGGTGACATAGGTGCGGGCATAGCGAGGTGAGTCGGCATGCATGGCCCGGTCTGATGAGGGGCATGTGTAAGGCAAAAGGGTGGGGGAAGGTGAAGGGAGGGAGAGGGGGGAGGTGTTGAGCCACACAGCAGCATCAAACGCGGTGGTGTGTGTGGGAGGGGGAGGAGGGTGTGTGAGAGGTGTGGCGGTGGAGCTGGGAGTCGGGAGGAGGTTGCTGTTGTGGCGGAAGAGGAAGTGGGTTGCTTTATGTTGTGTAGCTGCTATGTTCTCCTGGTCCTATTTGTTCGCCCCCTCTCCAATCCTCCCCCTCTCCTCCCCACCCCTCACCCCCCCCCCCAGTCCGACCTGGCCGCCACTGTGGGCGAGCTGCGCTCCCACCAGGCTGCCAGCGAGGCGCTGATGGAGGCCAAGGACGCGGAGGTGCTGGGGCTGGTGCGCAGGAACGCACTGCTGCAGGTGAGGGGGCAAGGGGGAGAGAGGGGAGGGAAGGAGGAGGGGAGGGGCTGGGGCTGCAGGTGATAGGGAGGTGGCAGGAGAAGGGAGATGTGGTGGTTAGGAAACGCGAAAGATCCGTAAAACGCAGAACCGGTAAGCAGTTTGCAAACCCAAACCCGCGTCCTGCGTTCGGGTCCTTTTGTCGCCCGCCCCCGCTCCTGCAGGAGGAGATGGTGGCGGTGCGTCATGCGCTGGCGGCGGCTGAGGCAGCGGCTGCGGAGGCGCGCGCGGCTGCGGAGGCGGCTCAGGCGCAGGCGGACGCTGCGGCTTCGCAGCTGGAGGCGCGGGCTCGGCGGGCCGCGTTGCTGGACGATGAAGACCGGTTGCATGTGGGTGGGGGACAGGGGGGATGAAGGGGAGCAGGGGGGTAAAGGGCCGTGGGGGTAGGGGGTAAATGGGTGGGATTTTAGGGTTAAGGGTGCATGGGGGTAGGGGGTGGAAGGGAGTAGAGGATGCATGATGGCCTTGGGGTTGTCTGCCGGTTTTGTGGTTGTGGGGCGGGGCTGTGTGTGCCAATTGTGTGTGCGGAGAAGGACCATACATACGCACCCCTCCCGTGCGTGTGCAACATACCGTACACACCTAATCCTCCTCTCCACTCAACGTTGCTCAACCTCTCATCCACCGTCCCCCACACCACACCCCAGGAGGCCGCTCTCGCCGCCTTCAACCCGCCGCCCGTTGTCGCGCCGACCTCGGCCCACCACACCCCGCCCCTCTCCTCCGACCATGCCGCTTCTCGGGCCGGCGTTGACGGCGGCAGCCGAGCACACAGCAACAGCGACGGCACCGCCGCCATGACCGCATCCACCGCTGCTGCTGCCGGTGCCCTTCCTCCCAGCGCCGGTGGGAGCGGACATCCTGGGGTGGACATCCTGGGCACCCTCATCCGGCCCGAGTCCCTCTCCTTGTCCGCCGTGGGCGCGGGTGCAGACGGCCCCGCAACGGCAGGGGCAACGGAGCCGCGATCCCGCTCCTCCCGTTCAGGTACAGCAGATGGGTACGATGAAGGTACGGCGACGTTGCCGCTCTCCACTTCCGCCTCCGCCTCAGCTGCTGCGCTGCCGGCGCTGCTGACGTCATCAACGACGGCCGACATGGACACCGCCCCGAGGTCCTCCTCCTTCCTGGTCGCTGCTGCCGGGTACCGACGTAGCGGTGGCGGCGGTGGGGTTGAAGCAGCAGCCGTCGACCTGTCGTCATCCCTTCACGCCCACCATCACCATCACCCTTCCCATGCGCATGCTGCTGCCGCTGCTCGCGAGGAGGAGGTGTCCCGGCTCCGGAGCCAGGTTGCGGTGCTGGAGTCGGAGGTGGTGGAGCTGGAGAAGGAGGTGGCGCTGCGGGAGGAGATGGAGCGGGCGCTCAAGGAGAGCGTGAGGGACATGGAGCGGGCCATGCAGCGGCAGGCGAAGGGTGAGAGCGGGCCTTGGGTGTGTGTGTTGGGGGGGGGGGGCGCCAACGGGCCGTACCATCTACACCCGCCGCCCTCGATGCAACCTCTTGACACCTCCCCCTCAACCCCCCGCCCTGCCCCCGCGCCGCCCCTGCACCCCCCCCCGCCCCCTCCCCCGCCCCCTGCACACAGGCTCCAGCGCTATCGACGCGGAGTACCTGAAGAACACCGTCATCAAGCTCTTCCTGACGGGCGAGGCGGAGCAGCTGCTGCCCGTCTTCGCAACCATCCTGTCGTTCAGCCCGGAGGAGCAGCGGCGCTGCAGGGAGGGGCTGGCGGCCATTAACAGGGTGAGAGGAGAGGGAGAGCAAGGAGGGGAGGAGACGGGCGTTTGCTGCCGGCTGCCCCACCCGCTCCCACCACTGGTGTTGATTGCTTCCCCTTTCTCCCCCCTGGCGCTCTCCGTCTCTCCCACAACTCCTTGCTCCACGTTTTCAGACCGCTTTATTAGGCACCCTCCGCCCACACTTGCAGCCATTTGTGAATATAGCCACTAGGTGTTACCTCCGTCCACGCTTACAGCCCGTTACCGGTATGAATATCCCCATAAATGCTACCCCCTCCCCCCGCCTATCCCCACACCCCAGGGTGAGGTGCCGCTGCCCGCTGCCGCCGCCGCGGTGGACGCGAGCATCAGCGCCCTCACCAGCCTGAGTGCATGGACATCATGGCTGGGGGGAGGAGGAGGGGGTGGAGGGGGAGTGGGAGGAGGGAAGAGGTAGCAATAGCATGGGGGAGTGGGGAGAGGCGCGGGGTTGTAGCTGAGGCAGGAGTGCGGGTGGTGTTGGTGGTGGCTGCAGGGTGGGGCCGGGTGGGTGAGAGGGCGCAGGTGGGGAGGTCATGTTGCCAAGGTGCGTTGTGGTGTTCGCGGAGTGGTGGTGATCATGTCTGGTGAGGGGGCTGTGCTTGTGGTGTGCGTGTAGAGTGGGTTGGTTGGATGCATGGGTTGGCGTTCGCTGGAGAGATCAGCCTTTGAGTGGAAACTAGTTGCAAGGGTAGGTGGATGGATGGATGGATGGGTGCCGCAAATGCGTGTATCGTATGTCGGATGCGACACACCGGTGGCATGTCGGGTGTAGGGATGCGCGACGATGCTGTCGTCGTTGCCAAGGGGGGCTTTTTGGTGTGAGCTGAGGTTTTTCATGCGTAGGAGGCATGCATGCATACACGCATGATGATTGTGGTGAGCGCATGTGTTTGTGTCTGAGTTCCGATGTGTGATCTACCGTATATCCCGGTGGCAGCTGCCTGAACGTCGGCATCAAGAGAGGGGCACGTTTTTAGGTAGTACACATGAGAGGGTGGGAGGGAGGGGGGTTTTGCGTGGGCTTTGGATCCGAGGGTATCGTGGTGTCACTGCTGCTGTTTGCATGGGTAGAAAAGGACAAAAGCGAATTAACGCGTACGGGACTTTAGGACGAACGCTAGATGATTAGATGTATGTAGATGGGTTTATATCGGTATCGAAAACCTTGAAACCCTGGACCCCATTCAGGCGCGAATGCAATCCTCTGGGTATTAAAACCTACAAATGAACTTAGTTACAGGAGGTGGCGCCAGACGTATTTACCGCCGGACGTACCAGCCTGCACGACGGGTCCATTGAAGGACATGGGTCATGGATGCTGATGCGGCGCTTTCTCCTTTCGCGAAGCTGGGTGCGCCAATGGAGCAAGTCCCAGATAGCCCTCAGCGGCAACATCCGGCCTTGTGCAAACCCACCATGTCCTTAACTGAAACCACGAAAGGGGTTCCGATCTCGCTCACGGCGTTCCTGTTGCCTCGCTTTGGACCCCGGATTGCCAACTCATCCCCATCACCGCATGCACGTCCTCCCAAATCAGCCATGTTCCCTTCCAAGGTCGCAGATTAACCCATTACCGATTGCAGTTCCTGCACGTAACTTCACCCTCCCCCCAGTCAGTTAGTTGTTTCCTCTTTACCCCACAACGCCATCAACTCCCCTTCCCCTCGTAGTTGAGCCCTCACTTACCCTCCCTTCTGCTCCCCGACTATCCCCACCAGGCTAGCGCATGCGCCTAACGCAGCCAGCCCACCTCTACCTCCCTTCGTCACCTCCCCACCCTGCTCCTCCCTCCCATCTTACTTCCCTCCCTTTCCTCCCCCGCCCCCCAGTTCCCCCTCATGCCACCAGGGCAGCTCCCGCAAGCAACGCCCCGCCCCCGCCCCCAGCTGCGGCAGGTAGCTGCCGCGCACCTGCCCCCGCCGCTGCCGCCAATCCAGGTTGCGGTTGTGTGTGAGGTAGTGCTGGAACTTGGAGCGGGGGAGCAGCCTGGTGACTAGGGTCTGAAGGGAGAGGGGGGAAAGGGGAGGGGGAGCAAGGGGGAGGGGGCAGGGAGAGGAAAGAGGAGGGTTAAAGGGTGGGAGCAGGGATGTACAGTTGGAACGGAAAGCAAGATGGAGAGAAAGAATCGAGACAGGATATCGAGCAGACCCATGGGTCGAGGGTTTCCGTCCAGCAGCCCAAGGTAGCCCAAAGGGGGGAGTTGCCTCTCCTCTTCCCTCACCTCCATCAAAGCAACCGCTCCTGTTCGTAAAGGCGACGAATCGACTTCCCTTCCGCCTCCTCCCTCCGCTTCTCCTCCTCCTTTTCCTCGCACACGCTTCCTGTCTCCTCCTTTCCCCTGCACACCTGTTCCCTGCCCCTGCCCCGCCTCCAGCCCCTCCCCCCGATGTAGCGCCCTACCAGCCGCGGGGGGGTGCAGCAAGTGCACAACCCAGGCATCTGGCAGCACACGAAACACGCGACCCAAATGAGCCGCGTACTTTTCATGACTAATCTTATCGCCGTACCATCCACGGTACCGCTCATCGTACGGCAGCGCTGTCGCACGTGCCGTGATGACCCATGGTTCATAGCCATGGCGGTAGGGCACGGCGTAGGGGGTACTGCTGGAAAGGAAACGGTTGAAGTCGGTTGGGCCGTGGCCGCGGGGGAAGCCGTGGGAGTCGAAGGGTTGGATGAACTGTTCGGCTGCTGCTGGGGCGATAGCAGTAGTGCTTGGACTGGATTTGCGTTCGTTGCTGTTGTGATGGCTGCTAAGGCTGTTGCGGCTACTGCTGCCGTCACTGCGGCTGTCTCCACGCCACAGGCGTGCGAGGGTGGCCCTATCGCCTGCACATACACGAAGTGACCCATGGGTCTGTTGACCATTGGAGCAGCAAGAGACCGCATGCATGCATGCATGCAAATGCCTGCCGACTTCTCCCTCTCTGCTGGCTAAATGATCACCCACCTACCTTCTAGCGCCGCTCGGACCATCTCTGCGCTCCGCTGCTGGACCGCGTCCCGCCGCACCTCCCACGCCGGCAGCACCCACACCACCCGCTCATGCAGGGAGCCCGAGAGCAGCTCCGAAACCCTAGGAAGAGGATGAATACACACACGAACACACACGTCATTTCCCCAAGCCCTGTCTTTCTCTCTGCAAACGCATCGCGAGCATTCCTGGTTTCCTGCATGCGGCCCCATGCGGCCCCATGCGGCCCCATGCGGCCCCATACGGCCCCATGCGGGCCATGCCCCCCACCTGCTCTCATTACCCGCCAGCCTGCCCGCCAGCCCCCCACTGGCCACCAGGTCCACATCCAGCATCGCCACCAGCGGGCTGCTCAGCGGCAGCAGCGCGGCGTTTCGCAGCGCATTAACGGGCAGCAGCGCGGAGAGCAGGGCGGGGTCGGTGAGGGTTTCGGAGAAGAGCATGAAGACGGGCTGGCAGGGAGCCGGAGAGGAGGAGGAGGTGGAGGAGGAAGGGGCATTGGAGGTAGAGGAGGAGGTGGAAGTGGAGGAGGAGGTGGGAGTAGGGTGGATGCGGTCGAAGAGGGACTGCGGTGGGTGGGTCGGAGGGGCAAGGAGGTGGCAGGGGAAGGAGTTACAGGCCTCGCTCGGGGAAAACGAAGAAGGGGATTGGGGGCGTGCTGGAAACGGGTGCCATCTGCCATGTGCTGCAGCAGCAGCCCCTGTGAGGCAGGGATTTGCAGTGACTCCCACAGAACGTTGACAGTGGCTGTCCCTTGCTGCATCACATGACGACATGAGTCAACACACCGTACGAGTCAGTCAACATCCACGGCACACACCTGGATTTGCTGGATGGCGGCCCCCAGGAGCGCCTCTCGCCGGCGCCGCCTCTGCGGCCGGCCGCCCCACCCGCTTTCTTGCTCCTTCTGTTCCTGCTCCTGCTGTTCCCTCCGCTGCATGGCATCCTCCTGGTCCTGCAGCTCGCCTGCCGCCTCCTCATCAGGAGGCAAGGGCAGGTAGATTGCCGCGGAGAGGGGCCCCGGGTAGCTGTGGGAGCGAGAGGAGGTGTGGTAAGGCAGAAGGGCCCAAGGGCAGGAAGGCTAAAAGGCAGTTGCATGAGGGTTTTGCAAGATGTCGGGTCGCCAGGCGATGCCAGATGATCCCTTCCAGCTCTGTAGCCGGTACTCCCTCTCAAGTTCCCTAACTCTCCAACACCCCCTTCCCCAGCGCCCCAACACACCGGTACCCCAACACATTCCAACACCCCCACCTCCTGCACTGGGCCTCCAGCTGCGGCAAGCGGTCCAGGGAAGCCGCCGTGAACAAGCCCAGGGGCAGTGGCTTCTTAGGGGGCTGAGGCGGCGGGGGCTGGGAAGGCTCGTCCTTGCGTTGTGTCCGGTGTTCTTGGTGCAGTGGTGATGGTGGGTGCATCGGAAAGAGCCTGGGCGACCACCACACGCGCTCTAATCGCAGCCTAATGAAGGGACGCACGAGGGAACAGCAGGGCGGGGGTCCGTGTGGGTTTGCGGCTTGCGGCATGGGCAGCTTGGGCATGATAGGTGGGTGTGTGTGCGTTCGTGTGTATCCTCATGCAGCAGAGCACACACTCACGGTCAACGCACGGTATGCCCTCCTTGGCGGCTCAGGGTGTGGTCTACCGGCCAGTAACCCGCAACACGCAAAATGCGGCAACCATTTCGGAGTGGTTGAATGACTACTGCTACAGTGATAAGAGTGCGAAGTGCCGTATTCACCCCGGCCGCACCCCGGTCGCACCCCGGCCTGCAGCAGTGGGGCGCATCACGGCACTCAACTGGACGGGGCTGCCAGCCAGGAACGACCTGAACTCCGCATGGTCGTTTGGACGGGGCCGTCGCCACGGCTGCCATTGCCGCTCGCGTTGCCGCTGCTGCTGCCCTGGATGTGAGGGTTTGGGGTTGTCGCTGCGGCCTTTCACGCCATTGTAGATGCTGCTGTGTTCATGCGGCTCATCATCCTGGTTGTTGTCATCAAGGTTAAAGCAGTTCAGGAGCAGCTGAGAGGCGGCTTCTGGGCTGCTTGGGAAGCCGAGATTGCGCGACCCGATGGCTTCAGCAGCAGCAACGGACCCTACTGAGAAAGCTGGCAGTGCAACTGCTAATAAGTAAGAAGCAGCAAATAACAAGAGCAATGGCAGCGAGAACTGGAATGCGCTAGGGTCGCTGCCGCGATGCGATGTGATCGCTGTCTGTGACATGAGGCAGCCGTTTGGAGGTTGCGTGAACAAAGGAGCAAGAAAGTTGCATAGCCTTAACTTAATTTATTTCGTTTTCTCCTTTGAAACATTATCCTTACATGGCAGGTACCTGACACCAAGCCGGGTTGGAAGGCCTATGTCAGGGTACGTTACAATCGGAATGGGCAGGTGAACTAACGCAACGCGCGTAGCCATTGTTGTGGATTAGGGTGTTGGCAGCAGTAAATGCCTGTTTGCCAGTGCCCTTGCCGAATCTGGCAGCTTTTTGACGTGCGTTTTTGAATGTTGGATAACAGCTCCAACCGCAAGAAAAGTTACGTTACCTCCACCGACCCATGGGTCAATTGCGATTTGCTTGTTACTAGCATGCGGTATACAGAGGGAACGGTTTATATACCGTGGTAAAACATCCCCGCACGATGAGGACTCCGTGTCCCCTGGTCCCCTTAGGGGCATGCGCCTTCCCATGGCTGTGATGCTCAGCCTTTGGAGTGTCGTGCCCCATTGATGGCTCAAAGGACTGTGTGACACGGCGGCAGGCATCCTGCCATTGCCCTGCAGCAGCCCTATCTATGCCAAGTCGTCAAGCAACCCACATCCTGGAAGCATCAAGGCAGGGGGCATCACCAGCGAGCAGCTAGCCCTTTGCTTGTCCCTCCCCTCCGGGTGGCTACACGCTAGCCATCACATGCCAGGTAGCGGCAGGCAGCCGCACGGCAGGCGGCCCTGGAGTCCCTGCTGGGCCCCCGCGGCCCTGCTCCTCCAGCAAGCAAACCGTTGCCTGATTGTCGGATGTGTGCGCTGCTGCTGCCTGCCTCGCTGATGTCGCGTTTGGTAAGGCAACGATGTGCACCCCTTCACCCTCGTTGCCCCTTGGGGACGCCTTTGTGGTGCCTCACTCGGTGTTATGTCCTTACTTGAAGACCACCTAGGAGTACTACCGGATTGTCAGAGCCAGCCCCCACCCAGTCCTCTTGGGCAGCCCCGCCCCTGGGGCGGTCAGGAGAGGAACGGACGGGCGGTTATTGTGGCTCGGACGGACGGCCAGGGAAGGACGGACGGCTATGGTGTGCGAGCGTGATGCCTTCTCGTGCTGTGGCGTGACCTGCAGTGGTCTCTTTCCGCGCTTTGCCTGTGTTGGCGTGGTTGGGGGTCCTTGCGGACAACCAACCCAATGCTGGCTTGGTTGTGGGGGGGAGTACGGACCCCGGTGGCACTAGATGGCCAAACCAGCTGTCGTGCCCCATCGTTGGCTCGTGCACTTTGTGGTCACGGGTGGTAACGCTCGCGGGCATGTCCCATGGTTCAGTGAGATTACAGTGCGAAATGTTAGTGCTGAAGTGACTAAGTGGTTCCGGTTCTATTGACTCGTACTATCGCAGTTCCCATGCTGCGGGTGCTGTGGGCTGTGGAGAGATCGCTTTGGTGTATCCAGAGTATCTGTCGTACAAGTGCTTGTGCTGTTAGGCGGCGCAATGCCCGGGCTAGGGCATTGCGTCGTGCTCGCATACTCATGTACTGCCTGTAAGAACCATGAGGGGCTTTCCCTAAACAGTGTGTATGTGGCGGCGCTATCTCAGCAGCTGCAGCAATTTCCAGCCCTGTAGCTCCCATGGCGGGGTTTATTGGGGCACCAAACCCAACGACACATAAGTCCAACCCTCATGCAAATTACCAACATGCCACGGCAAGTGGCTGCCACCAGTCGACGCAATAAGTGAAAATAGCAATCTCATGCTCCGCATAAGATTCACAGCAAAGGTCGCTCAAGCGAACCAACAGCTTTGTGCAGCTTCCAATCTCGTAGCAGGGTCAACGGAAAACGGAATGCAAGGTGGCATCACTTAGCATGCCCAGTGTGCAGAAATGAAAGGCCATATGAAGTCCCAAGATGCTACTAAGGACTGCTAACCCTGGCTAACCCGACGAAATTCTGCAACTGGAATTGCAGCAAAGGGAGAGGTGCAACAACCTGCTAACCCTGGCTAACCCGACGAAATTCTGCAACTGGAATTGCAGCAAAGGGAGAGGCGCAACAACATGTTGAAAGCAATTAGTTCTTCGCAAGTATTTCTTTAAAATTTATGGATCGGAGGCGTCTGCAGTGTAGCACCTTGTGCGCATCCATGGAAGGGGGCTGGGACAGGTGGAACCCCTTCCCTTATCAAGCCGTATACGGTGCCAAAGGAACAAGGGCTCGACATATGGCTGTGATACCCCACGCTAGTTAAGACTTACCTGTACCGTGGATTGCGAGGGCTCTGGCGTTGCCGTACCGACTCGGCAGCATGACTGAGGCCATGCCTGACAGGCTGAGCATAGTACAGCACCAGACCGCGCGCTACAGTTTCGATACGCGCCAAACCTATAGAGTCTCACGGCTTTAGGTCTCATTCATTCGCACTGGGTGATAGGCGGGATGTCCGAACCGAGGATTGACGTGCTTTGTGAAGTTTGCGGTTACAGTGGATCTCTTGGCTGGCTTGTGAAGTGTCAAAATAGTAACAGGTGCGACAACTCAGGAGTGCAAGGTCCGCCTTGGAAACAGTTTAGCGGGAATTGTTCTCGTAGGCACTTACTTGGACTATGCGTCTAGGGTCAGGGGCATCACCTTGTTAGCCGCTCTTTATTGCAGGCTCTCTCGCCTATGGTCTAGCGCCATAGGGAGTTGGATGACACAACCTTTGCAGCTTTTACCTATGAACCCCTAGGCAAGCATTCCGCACCTATTCCAGCTGCTTAGGTTGACGTGCTGTTGACGTTGCAGATGTGGCTCAGGCCGACATCTTTACTGCTTAAATGGACTAGAACAGCAAAACGCCCCCGTCGACTTGAGCGCGTTGGGGCAACTTGAGTGTTCTCTTTGCGTCCAAAGCGCAACCCAGACAGCAGGTCGGTGGCGGTGTCTACTTGCTATCGAACTTGTATACACGCGTTTAGTAGGGCTGGTCTCTCACGCGTGGTCTGAAAAGAAGGCGACCGGACATTTGGGGTAACATGTCAGATGTCCATCAGTATCGCAATATAACTCGCGCGTTTTTCCATTCTGGGAATGAGGTCTCCTTTCCTTTCCATGACAAGAAAAAACACTCGCATCCGCAGCTAAAGCCACAAGACCACTCCTAACACCTATACCACTATCGTCGTCCCCTATGAATTCTCCGACCAATAGGAAAAGGCACCAAGAGAAACATCATATCATGTGGCAGCAGCCGTCGTCGCAAGCTGGGCCCAGGGCGACAGCAGCCCCAGGAGCAGGAGCAACCGCCCCAGCAGCCACAACAACAGCCCCAGGAGGAGCAGCAGCCCGCTGACACCACCACCACCACCACCAGCGGCGCAACAGGCGAGGAGGCTCTCGCCGCTGACTTCAGCTTCGTAGATGCAGCTGTGACTGCAGCCGGAGCAGCAGAGGCTGGTGGTAGATCCGCTGCTGGTGACAATGCTGCTGCCAGCGCTAGTAACCCTGCAGCATCTGAAGCTGCCACGGATGCTACCAGTACCCAGCAGGATGGTCGACCTCCCAAGCGCGCACGGAAGGAGGCACTGGCACAGGTGGTCCCTCCCACCTCCACGCAGCAGGCTTCTGGCCCGTCCACAATGGACACCACCGTCGCTGCTGATGATGATCGGCAGACTGCGCAGCCCGCTGACAGCTTGGCCCACCAGTTTCCTACAGGGCAACCGCAGCAACAGCGGCAAGACCTGCCTCTCTTTAAGAGGCGTGTGCTCGCCAGCAGCCAGTCTCAAGCACCCGGTGACCCAAAGAAGCCCACAGCTGCCACCGCCACTACCAAGGAGCCTGCCGACCAACCCTCCAAGCCCTCCAGGAACAACAGCGCCCTGCACATTGCTAAGGGGCCGGAAGCGGCACTGGCGGCCTCCGCTGCGGCTGCCGCCTCTGGGCTGCGAGCCTTGGATGAATGTGATGCATTTGATGACCTCGCGTCCACACCGCCTCAGCAACGCAAACTACACAAAGGAGCGGCCCCAGCAGCGGTGCCGGCTGCTGCTGCTGCAGAGGCCGGCGGGCATCAGGCGTTGAAGGGGGATGGAGCACAAGGCTCTGCAATGTCAGGTCGGGCCGGGCTTCTGCCGCTGGCAATGAGGGGTTCTAATGGCACGGCCCGCACGCCAGCTGCCGGGAATGACAGACCGGCCGCTGGGCTGGCTGCTGCCCCTGCCACTGGCCGCCTGGCGCAGCATGCCGTAACGAGGGGCCATGCGGTCACGGGCTTAATCCCAAGCAGCACTAATAACAACAACAACAACATGATTGCTGGAACGACAGCGGGTGCAGCTGGTTTAGCTAGTGGCTCCCAGCAGCCTCAGCAGCAGCAGGGTCGTATGGGCGCTGTTGCTGCTGGCGGGAGGGGGCTGCTGCTTGGTCTAGGTCCTCGCGGCGCTGCTGCTTCCGGGCTGCCTGGTCGTTCTGCGCCCTGGTTGAGTGTCACTGACAAGGTGCGCTAGGCGTGGGGTGTGGTCAGGTGTCAAGATAAAAGGATAGAACATGCGACCCATTTCGAGTACTCAAGTACGCCAGTAGGGGAAAGTCATTTATGGCGGTGGCTGCAGTGTAGGGATGTACTCGATCATTTTGTTGTTGCCAGCGCCGCCAGCAAGCCAGTGCATATTGTTTGGCGGGGTCGGCTGCTAAGGAGGCTACGGTTGTTTGCCCGGCACGCATGATGCAGGCTCTGTCAGGGGGCTTGCCGGCAGCCTCTGCAGCCCTACTTGGGTCGTCGTCCTCCCTTCAGGCCGCTGCTGGGGAGGCAGCACGCAAGGGAGGTCCTAGCAGCGGCACAATGCAACAGGCGGAGCTCTGGAGTGCTAGATTCCCCGTTCGCAACATCCTTTCAACATCCAAACTGCAGGTGAGGAGTGACTGCATCGGCTTGTCCTGCTTTCACTCGTTGTGTCTAATGGATAGGAGGTGGTGGCATACATGGGGCTCACATACTTGACGAGGGGCGCTGTACCTGGGCCCAGAGGGCCAGGTAAGGCCCTTCTGGGACATCTATTTTCCCCTCGTCTTCTTCACTGTGGCGTTACCGGTATGCTCTACAGTTAATAATACTACGTGACAGGCACCGTTGCAGGGTACCGGTAATTCAAGGGCTGCGAAGTGCGAACCTGTTCTATGTTGTCCTGCATGATGCTGCCCCGTTCACAGAACCTGGTGCTCGCGGTGCTGTCTGCCAACCCGCATGACAGCATGAGGAGCCTGCTGGCTCAGCTGCCCTCCTTAAAGGAGGCCGCACATGACTCGCTGGCATGGGAGCTGGTGCCCGGGAACGAGGTGCCTGGGGCCATACGGGAGGCTAAGGAGTGAGTTTGTCCCCCAATGCAGGGTGCACTGAGTACGCAGGTTGGAGGCGTGTTTGGTCACAGATACCCGATGACCTGGCAGTGCACTTAATACTGTTGGAGGGCATCTGGGGGCGTTGTCTAGGATGTCACATGCGAACGTGGGAGGAGCCCCTTGGCTCTGTGGCATGATGTGATTTCTCTTCCATTAAGCTGGCTTTCCTGCTTGGCCTTGAGCCTCCCTTCGGGTTTCATCCTTCTCCGCTCCTGCTTGCCAGATTTTACACGCAGTATCAGGCGTGTGAGACGTGCCTGGTGGTGAAGCCCAAGTTCACAATTGGAGAGTCCGCCCCGATGTTCAGGAGGCTGCTGGGGTGGGTCCTGTACACTCGTGAAGAGGGCTTTGCAGTGGCAGTGAAGTCCGGCTTGTCATCCGCCTTTGACACCTTCCTTGAGTCTATGCAACACTTGTGGGTGGTGGGGGGTGAATTGCTGATGGTTGCGGTATCATGTGGGGCTGCACATGCGCGCCAAAGCATTATGTACGTACCCCAGCCGCAACACTGGTACAACAGAACAGCTTCTGCTGCTGACTGCCTGCAGGGAAATCCGAGAACGCTCGAGCATCCTGTCCGTCACGCTGCCCCCGCAACTTTTCCATGACCGACTGCGCCACCTGCCAGCCATGGAGCGCCTGCTGTCATCGTCACTGGTGGCGCCGTCCTTGCCGGGCACTGCCTCTGACAAAGGTGCCAACGCCACTGCTGGCAATAGCAGCAACTGCAACGACAACAGCAGTAGCAGGCAAGGAGGGCCCTACCGGCTGTATTTTACACCGCATCAAGACCCCTCGACTGGTGACGATGCAGCCAGCGGTGCAGAGGATTGTCTGCTGTGCCTGACGGGCAGCAGGAAGCATGTAAGCTGCTGCTGCTGCTGCTGGGTGGCAACTTGTTGCTATCCCGTTGTACGTAACTGTGCTGCTTTCAGTACGGAGCCGCTGTTCAAGATTGCAGGAAGTGTGGTTCAAGGGGTGCGGAAGGCCTTTCCCATGGAGCAACGGAGGGCAGATCATACAGACCACGGGTACCATTTATTTTGAGCAGCATGCATCAGTGACCAGTGGGTCGTCAATAGGACACAGCCTGGTCAAGGAGGGAGAACACAACCATGAAGCAGGTCTTGCGTGCTTACTTCAGTTTCACGACTGCCGACACCTGGTACTAGGAGACGCCATGTTTGTGTGTGTGTTTGTGATGCAAGCATGGCGTCTCCTAGTACCAGGTGTCGGCAGTTGTGAAACTGAAGTAAGCACGCAAGACCTGCTTCATGGTTGTGTTCTCCCTCCTTGACCAGGCTGTGTCCTATTGACGACCCACTGGTCACTGATGCATGCTGCTCAAAATAAATGGTACCCGTGGTCTGTATGATCTGCCCTCCGTTGCTCCATGGGAAAGGCCTTCCGCCCGGCTTGCATTGGTGCTGGCCTATGTGGCATCTACCAGTATGCTAGGTAGTTGAATGTATTCCACTTGTTGACCTCTCCCTCCTGGGCATCCTTGGTAGGTGAGAGACCTTGCACTACGGTACTGCCCTCGCCAACGTCTTCTCGTGGCTCAGGTACTCAACAACTCCTGCACCCAAACCACAGATCTCACTGGTTGCCGCCTGGGACAGGGCATCCGCACAAGACAAGGGTGTCAAGGGCATCCTGCGGAGGGAGGTCAGTGCTGCAAGGGCTGAAGGCGACCCACTGCAACACACGTTTTTTGCATCGCATGACAACACAAGGTGTCCAATAGCATTATGCAGTCCTCGCCTTTCTGGACGCAGCTGCTTCCGTACCCCTTAACTGTGTGTCCTTGCTGTTGCCGTACGGTACCATCTGCCCTCCTCCCTTCCGCTCGTTCAAACTCCCTGCAAACTCCCTGCATCGTCCTGCAGGCGCGCCAAGTCAAGTTGCGGGTTCACTTCGACACCACGGTTACCCAGGAGCCAGTCGTGCCCAGCCACCCACACGGCAGCATGCAGAAGAAGGGCAAGGAGCCGCACCGGAAGGAGGTCCAGGAAACCAATGCGCGGCTGCTGCTGGGGTGCAAGGTGGAGGTGGACGAGGAAGACGAAACGGCTGCTGCTGCTGTAGCGGTGGCGCCAGAAGCCTCGGCTGTGCCTGAGAGAGGCATGATGGATGGGGCTGCTAGCTCCAGTGGTGGCACTGCGGCTGCTGGTGGGCAGCCCGGCGGTGGTGGCGGTGGTGGTGGTGAATGTGATGGTGGTGGAGATTGTGGCAAGCAGCAGCTGGAGGCTGCAGGAGCGGGCAAGGCCACGTCTCAGGGGGATGCACTGGTGGCGTCGGCTGCAGATGATGAGCATAAGGGTGCTGCCTTGGTGGCGGCGGGAGCAGGAGATACAAACCAAGGAGCGACCGCTGCTGCTGCTGTTGCTGCCGGAGGTCTTCCGGGGGCCGATGTGGCGCCAGCATCGGATGCAGCAGGTACGGGGACTCGTGTTGAGGAGGCCCTGTCCGCTGCTGCGGCGGCAGCGGCGATCACGGCAGAGGCACCAGCCGCCCACACTCACATGCTGCTGGACGACAACCCGGTGCTGCTGGGTTGCGTGGACGAAGCCATGCAGGAAGCAGTGTCCGCTGCTACACCCGTAATCGTAACGACGTTGCCAGGGCAGCAGGGCATTGGCTTTAGCTGCCATGCAGGGCTTGCGGGACACTCAAGAGGAGGTGGGGCAGGCGGTTCTGCTGCCTGCAGGTCCATGTTGACCGTGGTGGAGGCTGAGGGTGGGGCCGAGGGGGCCACCACAGCTGGGAGGATGCGTATGACCTGGGCAATTGAATATGCTGCTGCGGCAGCAGCGATGCCACCGAGAGGGGCGGCAGGGGCGAGGGTGCCAGCAGCTGTCGCTGCTGATGCTGCCTCAGCAGGTGGTGCTGCTGCTCTCAACGCCTCGGCTGCTGCTGGTGGGGCTGCTGTTAATGCAGCCGGAGCCACGGCAGCAGGTCCTGAAGGAGGACGAGGAGGGGACCAGGAGCGGGAGGAGGAAGAGCAGGAGAAAGAGGACGCTCTGTTGCTCTTCAGGAGGCGTATCTCAGCCTCTTCCGACATGTCCCTGGTCGAAACGGAGTACCCAAGTGACAGCAGCAGCGACGACAGCAGCAGCAGCGATGACACCGGGGTAGGCGCTGGCCGCAACGGGGACAGCAGCATCGCTGCCTTTGACAGCTACCGCAGTAGCCTGGCCGGAAACCTGGGTATGGCGGCAGCGGGGGCAGAGTGGGGGCAACATGGGTTCCTTCCGCCTCGGCCTTCAGTTGCAGCCGGTGCGGGTACACTGACAGGGAACCTGCTGAACTGGTGCAATAGCGCCGTCCAACAGGAGCTTACAGCTGGGTGGTGCCGCCCGCAGGGGCTGGCGAAGTGGCTTACGCCTAAAGAGAATGACGTCCCTCGCCCTCCTGCTGCTGCAGCTGCGGCTGCTCCTGCTGTGGCACCTGCACCTCAGGGCAGCAACCTGCAGCCGGCAGCGGCGGTGGCTGCTGTTTGCACTACGGCCGCACCTGCAGCAGAGGCATCGTCACGACAACCCAACACCTGTGCACCAGCAGTGACGGCCGTGGCGGATGGCAGGCAGTTGTGGTCTTGGCGGGATCTGTTGCCGATCTACGACATTCCACGCCAGCAGCCCTTACCACCGGCAGGGCGGAATGGGGGCCAGACTGCGACCGCAGCACCGGCTGTGCAGCACAGCGCTGTGGCAGCAGCCAACAAGACTGCAGCAGCGGCTGCTGCTGTTGGTGCTCCCGATGCTGCTGTCGGTAGTGGTAGCAGTGCGGCCCGTGAGGTGGCCGCCGCTGCTGCAGCAGCAGCCCACGTGGGTAACGCCCACACCGGCAGCAGCGGCAGCGGTGGCAGCAACAGGAGCGGCAGTGTGGCGAGAGTCCCGCAGGCTGGCTGGAGCTGGGGCAAGGTGGCGCTGCCGGTGCTGCAGGCGGCGGTCAGCCAGGACCTCCCGAGCTCCTGCGCGCCGCTGTGCCAGGAGCTGAGGGTCGGCCTGCCGCAGCTGTGGAGGGACCTAAAGGTGCGATGGCGACCATATGAATGGATGCCACTCTTGCTCTCTGGCGATTTGCGCTGCCGGCTCCCTAGCTGACACCGTGGGTCAGTGCTCCGCTCTCCCTTCTGACTCCCCCGGCCTCATTCCTGCTCTTACCCTTTTTAACTCTCACACAGGTGCTGCCCCGCCTGCCCCTGCGCGGCTGCCGGCTGCTGCTGCTGGCCTCGGACCCCGAGTCAGCCGAGCTACAGGGGCCGCTGCAGGAGGCCGCGGAGGTGCTGGGACTGGCATGGAGCCGGGGACACCCCGACCAGCCGCCGGAGCAGCTGAGGAGCATGCAGGTGAGGAGTAAGGAAGTCCTGGTGGGGTAACACAGACCCCCGTGTTAGATGCGTTATGTGCCTTGTGTTATATGTGTGCATCGGCAGCCGCTCCGCTTGCGGCTTACCGTACCACGTAGCTTTGTCTACCAATTCCGTTCCGACGACCCAACCGTGACAGCTCATAGCGATGTGTAGTTTGGAAACGTGCGGTGGGACTAGCCGCCGCAGGATCCCCACCCCGTTTGCCCTTCCCGTTGCCCCGCCATCAAGTCCACCGGTGTGCTCATCCCTTCCTCAGCTGCTGGCCCTCGGCAAGTCGGTGGAGGAGGGCGTTGCGGAGATGCGGGGGGTCATCCTCAAGTCCATTGCCGTACACCCCATTGAGATCTTCAGGTACGGTGTACGGCAGGTGTACGCGGTGCCTGCTGTGCAAGTACGGCAGCTGACGGCAGATGTACGAATGCATGCGTCGAGGCTAGAGGAATAGGCGCAATGGCACACAGCTTTTGGAGTAAGGGTTCACTCCTGCCTTGATCCCATCCCCCCTACTGTCCTACATAACCCCTCACCCATTGCCCCCATTGTTCTGCTACACGCAGCGCTCCTGTGCTGGTGCATGGGCTGCAACTGCTGGCTTGGGAGGTCCGCAACCGCTCGGCAGCTGCAACGGCCGGAGCAGGAGCTCTATCACATGGGGGCATGGGCTCTGAAGCTGCTGCTGGTGCTGCTGGTGCTGCTACTGGTGCTGCCGCTGTGGAGCTAACGCTGGGGCGCGCCATGTGTCTGGCTGCTGCGGCAGCGGCTACTGCTGTTCCCCGCGACTGTCTACCGCTGTACCCTCACCGAGTAGTGGTCGTGGTGGCTGCTCAGGTGGGTGGGTGTAGAGGGCACCACTGTCATTGCCTGCATGCTTTGAGGCTACCGGTATCAAACGTGGGACGAGCTTTCTTAGTATGGCGCGAAACAGCGCGGAGATAAGACAACCTAATGCATAGGTGTACGCCAAACAAAGCAAATGACTTTCCCAGGTACTTTCTTCTCCCTCCAATTACATTTCCATTTTCCACGCACACGCAGGGGTTCATGAAGACCGATCCCGCGGTCCTGGACCGCCTCTTTGGATGCATGACTGCGGGCGCAATTACGTGGGGCGAGCCCTGGCCCCTGCACATGCGCGCCGCGGACATCGCGGCCGTTCTGACCCGCGGGTCACCCCAGCACCGAGCCGCGATCTTACGTGCCACCACGCCTGGCATGTGCGTCCCCGCCACGGGCGCAGCTTCTTCTAGGGCAGTTCATTCTGTGGCGGGTAAAGGGGCAGTCATGGGGGCCCCGCTGCTTAGCGCGCTTAGCATCAACGCTGAGAGCACTAGCCAGACGGAATTGCAGGTGCTGTCCGATGCTAACAAGTTCATGTGCTTGATGCGGCCGGGGCGGTTGGTGGTTGCAGCGTACGGCGAGGGGCAGGCGGAGCGGTTGGGGAAGCCTGGGAGGATGTGCAAGAACATCCTGTGTGGGACGGTGCGCGAGGTGGTGGCGTTTTTGGAGTTGCTGCTACAAGATGTGTCTCGCTGTTGAGGAGCATGGAGGGAGTGAAGGGGGAAAATAAGGGGAAGTAGGAGAATTTAGCACCTGGGAGGAGGGAATAGGAAGGAAACAACATACGAGAGGAGTGGTGCATGTCAGCATGTGAAGTTGAAGTGCTTAAGAGGGCTGGAATGCCAAAGCGTAAGGGGCCTTACTGGAATGTTATGATGTGTGGTGTGATGGGCGGATGTGGATGGGGACCAAGCAGTAGCGTGATACCTCTGCTCGTGTAATGTCTTGGCACGGCGGCGGTGGCGGTAAACGATTTGGATGGTGTGGGTTGTTGTACGTTCGCACGCACTACGCAAGTTGGTAATGCTGAAGACATGGGCGTTTTTGTATGAAGTGTTTCAATGACAGGTTTCGACTGTGGATCCTCCTTCCAAGTTACTGGTGCACTGTTTACTGATGGCGGCGCTCCCTCTTTATAATTGTCCACTGATGTCGACTCCTATACAGAAGCCGTTACGGCCAGTCGGAGGACCCATCCTGCTGTGTGTTTCCATCTCACATTGTAGCTTTTACGCTGTCTTTTCCTTCATCACTGCGAAGTTTGTTTGCTTCTACCGTACCAGACCAGTTGGCTGAAGCTGCTGAATGTATCCCATGTGACGTGCTGTGAGTGCTCAATGTGATGTTTGGGGGCTGTGGGCTTGAGAATGAGCAGCACCCCGCTGCTGAGAACTCGAGCGGGGTATGTTGTTGAAGCTTGCGTAGATTTGATTGCGAGGATTGACTCAAGAGGTATAGCGTATCAGAGCCTGCGGAGGCTGCCTTCCTATTGTTGGTTGACCCTAGAAGTACTTCGTTTAGTGTACGTCCTCCGTATTGGAGCTGATTGGGAGGAGATGAATGGTCCATGCAAGGGGTTGACCTTCTGTCCTGCTCGGTTCATTTGCTAGATAGGCAGCCGCACGTAGTCATGCATGAGCGATTCATGCCATGGCTAACACACGTACCACCAACATTCCAGTTGCATTTCTGGAGGAGTGGGGATAGGCAAGGCTTAGCTTGATACGTTCCCTCTGGTACAAATTGTCGTATGCAGCGTTTCGTGCGTATGACCTATAGTCGATTGTTAATTTGAGCCTAGCAGTCGGTGTGTCAGGCGGTTGGATGCACTGTCAGCTGTTGACCCAGCATTGGATGTCCAGCGGCAAGGCCGAATACCGTGCCATGTGTTGATGTCGATATGTTTCACAGGTATGACTGCTGGGGGTGCACTTGGGGAGTTCCGTGATGGCATTATACGATGGCTAGGTTAGTGCAGGGTAGAGCTGACCGTGCACTCTAACGCTAAAGAGTGCCTCGCTAGTCGCTTGACTCGCGGCTTGACTAGGACAAGCCTCGTCGCAGTATCGGGCACGTCCTGAGTAGGCATGTTGCACCTTTAATTGCAGTTTTAAAAAAAAAGCTTATAGCGTGAGCATTCTGAACGTTTGAAGGAGGTGCACTTTAGATTGTTCAGATTTTCATGACATGTCTTAGGGGTGCGCCGCTTTATGTGGCGAATCATGACAGCGGCATGCCATGCGGCGCCATGACTGCATGGGCCACGCAGTCGTGTCACATTACTAAAGTACTAAGATAGAGCAAGCGTATCAATGTAGATAATGACATGACAAGTCTAAAGTGCCGTACGTACGATCTCGGGACGTTTGGATTGGATAACGTACCTTCTAATTCTAAGTTTACATTCTAATGCGTTTAAATAATATTTGGAATATAAAATCTAAAGTGTTGGCCAACCCCAGGCATAGGTTGATGGCTAAGTTAGACCGTCGAGGCAATCCAGCAGCTGCATCCGACATTGTTTTGACCTTAACACAGCTTAACACACGGGGTTTAATTTGCAAACTACAGTAGGGTAGCGTTAGTAGCATAGAATGCAAACGGATGCCAAAGCTCGACCTAACGGTTGCAAGCTCCGCAAACTGCTATTCCTCAAGTCCAACATTCCAGCCGAATTTCTGTGCGTCTTGAGCGGGCGTCTTTTAAAAAGACCTGTGTTGGACCCCGACGATCGGATAAGCCGCGTTGTGGAGAGGGCGGCTTTCGAAGAGCACCAGGCGCGAGAAGGCGTGAGGCCGCTAACTGGTAAGGTATCCGCAATTTCGCACTTACATACCAAAACTATATTTACTCAGCTGCGCACTTGCATTTTCTTATGAGCCTCGCTCCTGCCGCGCGCAGGCAAACCGCCCATCTCAAGAGAGTCCATCGTGATCATCGAGAGACTCAGTGAACGCGTAGGGGAGTTTATACAAAAAAATGTGGACTTCCAGTATGCAAGGGCACGCATTATTATGTTGGAGAGCCCGTTGCAGCCGCCGGCAGTGCTGCCGCGGGCGGACAGACCCGGCGCTGTGCCGATCCATGGGTCAGCTTGCGGCCGTGAGGAGCGTCCGGAGCCGCCGACTGCACTCGAGTTCCAAGTAGAGTTCGTCCAAAAGCAATTTATTTGCCCGCTAACGTGGAGCCTGATTAGGCATCCCGTGATGGCGAAGAGCAACCCAAACATCGTATTCGAACGGGAGGCAATTGAGGCGTACATCGCGGAGGAGGGCTGCAACCCAGTTGATGGTGCGTGCTGTATAGGGTCGCCTGCTTCCACGTGACATTGGAACCTGGAACTTGGAGGACATGAAGTGGCGTTGTGTAGGAATGATGTTCCCGTGCTTCACGTAATGCAGAATGGCAGCGTGCTTGAACGTGCCTCACTGCCTCCCGGTTAGGGTTTGTGACCCCTTGTCGAGAAGTGCCCACATATACACCCTTGTTTAAGGAATCAGCAAAGTTTGCATACAACCTTATGTTTACTCACCCATTACCTTATGGGACTGAAAGCAGTGCCTGTGGCATTCCCCAAGTATCCCACTATTCCCTCCTTTCTGAATGCTCCTTATGGCCCTGCCCATTGGATTTTGCACGCCTGAAGGGTCGGTGTTATGCGTGGAGGATCTACGGGAGGCGCGGTTCGACATCCAAGCGCTCAACAGCTGCGCACGGCGATACACGATCTATCCTGCTGGCAACGCCGACCCGGGGCCTGCTCCAGGCTGCGCTGTCCTTGCCAGCCCGTCACAAGCCAAGATGGTCGTGGACTTGGTATCATCTTCAGATGAGGAGGGAGAGGCGGAGGAGGGGAGGGCCTGGGGCCAGCCGCCGCTCACTGCATCATTATCAGCTGCTGCTGTGAGGAGCGGCCAGCAGCAGCAGCAGCAGCAGCAACCAAAGTGTGAAGGGTGGCAGCAGCAGCCTCTGCAACAGCAGACCGAGCCGGGCCTGCAGCGCCAGCAGCAGCAACAACCGCCACCATCACAGCAGCAGCAACAGCAGCAACAGCAGCAACAGCAGCAACAGCAGCAACAGCAGCAACAGCAGCAACAGCAGCAACAGCAGCAACAGCAGCAACAGCAGCAACTGCATGCTGCTGCTGCAGCTACTGTAAAAGATGACGCAGACACGCTTGAGGTTCGACACCAGCCCGGCCCCACCCACAGTACCCAGCCTCACCCCTCAAGCCACCAGGCTGTAGCAGGCCAGGAGGCAGCAGCAGGCCCCTTGTGGTCGCTACCACCACAACCGCAGGAGCAGCAGCAGCAGCAGCAGCCAGCTGTACTACTGCCACAAACACAGCAGGGGCCCGCCTCTCCGCAACAATTGCAAGCATTTGTGGCTCTACCACAGCCGCAGTCAACCCAGGAAGCAGTGAGAACGTCGCCTCCAGGGCCGTCCGGGCAGCAACAAGGACAGCAACAACAGCAGCAGCAGATGACGCCCGCCGCAGCACGTTTGGAGCCACCCATGTCAGAGCAGCAGCAGGCGGCACCGCCACCACCACCGCCGTCCTCGGCACAGCAGGCTCCCGTGCAAGTAGCACACACTCCCTCCTCATCAGCAGAAGCGCCTGATGAACTGCGGCAGCGGTTGCCGAATGGAAGTGACAGCGGTGCGACTGTAGTAGCTGCTGGCGTAGCTGCCTTGTCGCCTCTGCTGCCACTGGTGACCCATGGGTCATCTGGGTCGCCGCCCGCGCCTGTCACTGATGGAGGTGCTGGTGCGGCTGGTGGTGTGGGCGCAGCTGCTGCCACAGGATCGTACAATGGCGTCCCGCCGGGTCCCAGACGGATCCGCCAGAGGGTGGTAAGGAGTGGGGCAGGGGTGTTATGCCATGTTGGGCATTGGGATGTATTAGTCAGCTCTCAGGTGCCATGAGGTGAGAACGTCCCTAGGTGCGTGTCATGCTTTCAAAGCAGCCATGCTTGCTTGGTTTGGCACGGAACCCGGTACGTACTGCATACTCCACATGAGGCTGTTGTGGCTGTTGACTCACCTCCCATGCTGTCACCCTGCAGTGGGGCAGCTGTGCTTCCATCACCGTTAGCAACCAATTTTCAATAAGCAAAAGAGATGCTGCAGCGCTCCTGGGCTGCCCCGAACAGCAGGCGGCTGACAGGCAAGCCCAGAAAGTCTTGGTAAGTGCCCTGAGGGAGCTGCTACGTACTGGTATTGGCCAATCTGCAACGGCCAAGGCTCTGGGCATGGCATTACCAACCAATTTGCACCGTAATAAAACGCATGCATGGGAGGGTTCCCAAACCATCTGATGACTGCGTCCGATAAAACTATGAAACCTACCTACCGATAGATTGTTAATCCGCCGCCCACACGAACTCCTCAGTTTGTCCTGGACGGCGTGTTGCTAGGCCGGGAACACGAGGCGTCCTTCAAGCAGTACAGGCACGCTGCTTCCGGTACAAAAGATCTGATTATCTTGAGCGCCAGCCTGGGTGCTGTTGCCAGGGGCAACCACTTCATCGGCTGGAACCAAGCTGAGAACGGCCAGCTGGTCGCCTACTTCCACACTCCTGCGGCCCACGCGGCTGCTGAGGCCGCATTGCAGCAGAGGCCGCAGGTACGCCTTTCCAACATGTTGTGTTTTGGACCCTGCTATTATGTGACATTGGTACATTGGGGCCACATGAGCGCGTGGGAAAGGTGGGTGTAGAACGGCCCGACTTTGCATGGCCGTGTCCAACTGGAAGGTTGCCTTTGTAAAGCCGAATCGCTCTTGTTAAGCCAAACCTTTGGCCACCTATCACCACTGAAACCTCATCGACTGCCATCCTGTCATCCTACAGGGGCCGCAGACCTGGGCTGCCCCGGGCGCCGCTCCAGGGGAAGTCCCCAGCAACTCTTCAGCAGCGACGCCAGCACTTGGTAAGGCTCCTGCTGGTTCGGGGGCCGGCGTGCTGGCCGGCACGGCTGCTGCGGGCCAGCAGCAGCCCGCCAGCGATCCCGCCACCCAACCCCGTCAGCAGCAGCAGCCGTCGCCACCCCAGGCTCAACAGCCCGCTGCTGCTGGCACGTCGTCTCCACCGCTTCTCAAACATCAGCAGCAGCAGCCTCAGCAGCAGCCTCAGCAGCAGCCACAACGACAGCAGCACATGGGCATTCTGCGACGCAATGTGAAGCCCCAGCACCGAGGTCCTGCCGCTGCTGCTGCTACTGCTGCCGTTCGGAGCCCCAAAAGGGTCAGGTTTGGCACTCGCGCAGTTTTAAATGGGGGGACTGCCGCCGCCACCGCCACCACCGCCACCGCCACCACCGCAGCTGCTGGTGCTGGTGCTGCTGCTCGTTGGGATGGTGCTGGCGCTGCTGCTGCAGCACAGGGAGCGGCAGGTGCTCCATGTGCCACCGCAGCAGCAGGAGGTACTACAGCCACGGGGGCGGCAGCAGCAGCGGCTGACGTAATGACCAGGACCGACAGCGGCATGGATGCTGCTGCCGGCATTAACACCGTCAACGTCGCCCATGTTGGTCACGCCCCGCTAAGCAATGACGGCGGCGCCACTCTGGAGCCAGCACCAGCGGCAACACGATGCGAGGTTTGTGGTCACACATGCATGTTATGGGATGTCCTGGTATTGCTGCCCGGCTTACTTGCGTGGTGGTCATATCCTGGGCGCGACTCATGCCCACCATGCATGTGACAGCTTACTTCCTGCATGCGGATGGCGAACCTAGTAGACGGCGCTTCTTGAGGTATTTGAAGACACGCGCGGGCCAGGGCACTCATACACAGCAGCGGTACACGAACGTCATCGCCCGCCCCCACATCTCTCTTCGAACTGGGAACGGGGCGTTGGGATCGGGGCACCTGGTGTAGTAGAGGAATCGGGTGAGTGTGACCCAACGTTCCGCGCTGATGTCCCCATCCACAGGCGCTGGCTGCGCGGGAAGAGCCACCGGACGAGCCGGACGCCGGGCAGCTGGATCAGGAGGCGGCGGCTGGGGGCGTACTGGCGGCGACCGGCGGGGACCCGCAGCAGCAGGAGGGGCAGGAGGAGGAGGTAGGGGCAGAGCGGCGCCAGGAGGTGCAGAGGCGGCCCCAGCGGAGGGGTCGGCGGCCCAAGCGCTACCGTGGGGAGGCCTTCACGTCCGGCATGTCATCGAGCGAAGGTAGGCTCGGCTTACAGCGCCAGCTGCAGCATGGAAACGGGCCTTTGCTTTCCTTTGCTCACAGAAGTATGGCTATGAAGGCTACAGTAAGTCCTGAGCCCCGTTACCCATCCATGCTTGAGTGGTCCTACTCATGGCCTACCCCCCCCCACACACACACACGCCCCCACTCTATCCTTGTCGTGCTTCCCCGCCCCGCCCATCTGCTGCTAATTGCATTGTAGACACGCCAGACGACGAGGACGATGCCAACTGGAGCCCCGACGGCGTGAGGTGATCACAGCCAGGTGTGCGAGTGGGGCTGGGCAGTGCGCCTGTTCCTGCGGCTTCGATGGCGGGCAGCAAAATCGTGTACAGCTTGAAGGCAGCGGCGGGAGGCTTGCGCCGTCAATTGACGCCAGACCCACAGACGTCATCTGCAATGGGTTTAGTTGGCAGCCTTCCCTTCCATTCTCCAATTAAAAGCAGCACAGCTGCATCCTCTTGATGCTGTCCTCCCTTTCGCGGGCTTTGTACCACTTCCCTACTTCTGCTCCTCCCCCTCTGCAGCTGTTGATTGGGTGCGGTGACGCAGCTGCTCCTTCCTTTAGGCCGGACGTGTATGGCTGGACAACCGCTGAATGAAGTGGGAATAGCAGGACATAGTGGACGGCCAATTGCAGCCACCATTGTAGCCAGCAGCAGTGACGCTGGTAGGTGCTGTTAGGCCGGCAGTATGGTGGCTGTGGCGGTGGTTTTTGCCGTGCAGCGTGTAGATAGCCGCCTCCAGACGACAGGAGCACATGATGACGACGTGGCTTTACTTGCAGCGTAACGGATCGAGCCGCCATGCATGCAGCATGCCTTGGCCTTCGCTGTCGGTTCATTAGCTATTGGTTGCATTACAGTGGCGGTTACCCGTTAGTTGTTGCTTGATATAGTGTTACTTTTGCATACAAATCTTCGAATGCTGGGTGGGTAGTTAGGGTTGTTGAGCTGCGTGCCTGCCTAAGGCCCACGATGATTAGTGCAGCTCGCGTTGTGCTGCAAGCGGTAAGGCTGGTACTCATCAGTGCCTTTTGCATGTCCCTTGTGTACACTGTTGTTGTCCTCCACAGCCGGCCTGCTACTTGCATGTGTGTCCTCGTCATGACGGCTAAACAACTGTAACTGTGGCCATGCTGCCGTACGCATGGCATGTATGCACAGCACTTCATCACCGCTACCAGCCGCTACCATACATGTAGGGTTGATTGGGGTTGCGTGTACGCAGGGTTAGTTGGGGTGGCGTGTATGCAGGGTTGGTTGGGGTGGCTTCAGTGTTTCTATCTTCCCTCCAGGGCGATCGTGGAACCCCACGATAAGTGACGTTTTAGGCCCAATTGTTTCGACAGCCCTCACGTTCGACCCCTGAAATTTTTCGTGTACGATCCGGGGCCTCCCAAGGGCCTATTTTTTCGAAAACCGTTTTCGAAAAGGGGCTGCTAGATTTTCGTGCCTTGACCAGCCGTAGTACAGCAGCCTAATGGAAGGGCCCAATTCACGACGTGCCCGTACCCTAAAGTGTAGCGCAGCGCTTCTGCTAGATAGCCTTAACCCTTTTGGGAAGGGTCTCCCCCCCGACCTACTCACGCGCCCACGGTGGTTACTTGTGCGGTGGTAGTGTGCCTCCAGCCACTAGAAGTGGAAAGACCTTCCCCCTCATCACCCCACTTACCTTGGCCGTGACGGATCCCGGCTGCTGCTAGCTAACCCCAACGGTAATTGCAACCCGCACCACCACGGTTATCATGCTAAGGTCCGCCACCGCTTTTCCTTACAAGGCAGCCTGGCAGCAGGGGCGACAGCCGATTGTTGTAAGCATTGCATGCTTTTACACTTGGCGCGGCGTCGATTAAGACACGCGTTCTGGGCGTCGTTGTAACGCTCACAGCATTCAGCGCTTGCCCACCTGAAAGACGCATACATCCACATTTCAGCCCAGCCTTTATACGCACGGAGCTTCTTAAACATTGCTTGTTTGCTTCGGAATTCCAAGTCGCAAGCAAATCGCTTAACATAAATGTTCCCGCCAAACCACAAGTAAGGCGAGTCTGTGCTCGCAGTTGCAAAATAATGTTGTAATGAACAAGCTTATTACATAAGGTTGAACACAAAAGCTAATAGGCATTGCCGTCGTGTAAGTCATGGTCGCAGTTCTTGCATGTACGACGCCCTTGGTAACTATGCCAGCCAAGACTAGTAGAGGTATTCCCCCAAGAACCAGGTTGGTCTTGGCCTCTGCGGTGCTCGACAACGAAGCAAGGGAAGCCATATCAATGCAGCCCTTTGCACCACTGCACTGTCTGCGCCTTAGAAGACCCCTGGGACCATTCTGCTCCCAGGGGTCCTCCAGCATGCAGGACTGCCATGTACGCGTGTTGACACGTGTCCCCCTACCTCTTCATCACTTCACAGCTTTGGTTTGGAAGGAACAATAAGCAAAGGTGTAGGCAGCAGTATACGTGCATTGGCCATGTGTGGCGTGGAACTTCCATGTAGCCAACCAGCTTGCATAATCAGCTTGCATGGGAGGTCAGGGGTCCAGCAAGTTAGTATCGAGTTGCCTTGCTTGTTTTCCCGTAGTTGGGTGTTATGCAATGTTCCCGATACTTGTACGGTGTATGTGCCCAAACCCTGCCATGCACAAGCTACTCCACCTAACATTTAGCATGGTTGGCTCAGCTAGGTTCCTGTTTTCCTGTTATGCCGCTCTATGTCGTTCCAGCCATAACCCGACAACAAAAGACTGAGGTCGAGCCCACAAAACCAGGTAACTGTGCCATTGGAGCCTGGGGAAAAAGTGAATTGGGCAGGCTCGGTGCGTGCCTACGGCTCCGGGTTTGGGACCACGAGGCAAAAATGTGAGCGTCGATCCCACGATCTTAAGCACGTTTGACAATGTTTCATCGTGGGGCTCCACGATCACCAACCCTAGAAAGTCTCAAAGATCGTTGACGATTTTGGTCATTTTCCGCCTTAAGAAATGTGCCATTTTCAGAAATTTTTCGAAAAAACGAAGTAAGATAGAAACGCTGGGTGGCTTGATGCCCCGGAGGTCGAGGCCGCCTTTACCTCACCACGTTGGCTGTGTTCGACGGGTATAAAGTTGAATTTGCAAGGATTGTTGCCTAGGAAGTAGGTTTGGTGCCGGGTAGATATTTCATATAACATTTCGTTGGATGGTGGCTTCACAGTGCGCATGTGCAGCAGGTGCATGGCGTGTGGGAGAGCGCTTGCCATTGCTGGTTGTTTCAGGGTAAGGATTGTCCATTTCTTCCATTTGTGTCAGGGTGATGCCAGGCACCAAGGATGCAGTTCTGTTTCTGTCCGCGCGCAGCGGCCAGAACGTTCAATTGTTGTGTATAAAAGACTGGCGCTGTTGGGCTAAGCACGGGGCGCTCCCCTGGCTGGCTGAGCCTAAACGAACCACAGCAGCGTTTCCTGCTGGCGCGTGGCGTTCGAGTGGAGCGACCCGTGGGCCAGGTGATTAAAGGTGACCAAAGGATCCACTAGGGAGCCTACAGCAACACCCCCAGTTGTTGAGGCCAGGAGTCTACTCAAGCCCAGCTGGTTCAGCTGAGACGCACCCTCTTCACATGCAGCACAAACCCCCCCAACCACCAACAAAGACACATGCATGCCGCAACCCCCTTGCAGCATCCGAATCCCAGCCACTACCTCTTCACGCGTCGTTAATGGGGTGAGCCAAAACAGGCAACCAAAGCATCACGCGTCGTTAATAGGGTGAGCCAAAACAGGCAACCAAAGTCTGCCAGCGGACCCACCAGTCAGGCCCGTTAAGAGGCAAGTTACCGAGCTCGCCAGGCAAGGCTAGTAGAGGGCATGTAAGGGCTTGCTTCGTTTCGCAAGTTTATACTCGCTCACGTACTTGACAATCATGCCAGCGTCCTTAACATACTGCCCCTCTCGCCATCGTGTCTTGGTGTGGTTGCTGCGGACCGCAAACATGATCCGGGGGAAGCGCCGTACATGCTTCAAAATGCCGGCCCGTTCAAAGTGGAACTTGATGTACTGCTCGAGGTTCCATTCCCTGTAGCTGCTCATAGCCTTGTATAAGCCAACTGGGTCGTGTATGATGGGGTCCATGAGCGATAAGCTGGCGTACAGGTGCTTTCGGGAAACCACAAGCATGCGATCCGTGAGGCCGCCGTAATCCTCGCCCTCGGGAATCCAGATATGGTCGGGATTGATGCTCCTTGGAATGCGTGGGAATGGAGACACGTAGTAGTAGTCGGACCGGGTGATAACGTAGTAATCGTAGAAGTGGATGACGCCTGCATCCGCAAGCCTGCGGAGAAGGAGCCAGCGGTAGTAGATCAGGATTGCGGCCGACCCATTATGCTGCTCATGGGGGTCAAGTATCCCGCCAAATAGCTGGTCCTTGATCTTTAGCACAGGTCGCCAGCAGCCCCTGCAGTTGGCCGCGTTGTCGAACGCATCTGCCCAATCCTTCGGCTCTGCGTGCAGCCATTTGTATTTGGCCGCGTGTGTGAAGGGATCGTCCTTGTCTGTTTCATTGCTGATGCACACTGCAAGGTCGGCATTCAGAACTGACAGGACGTTGTCGTGAAAGCTCCGCCAAGTGAGCTCGTGCGCTCGTGTTTCTGTGGAAGCCACCAGTAATTACGACTTACGTGTCAAGCTAACGTGCAAGTAAGCTGGTGTGATGGCTCTTACCGGCAAGGATGACTACCAACGTCTTCAGCTGCGGTTGGTCTGCTAGCAATCTGTCAGCGCTTCCAGGCGTCCTTACGCTTGTAAGGTAAAATACTTTTGAGATTATTAAGGCAAGAGTAGTTATGATAGTAGTCAGGTAAAGAATGGCGGGTTTCACTGCCATGCAAGCACGCATTATCTTGGGTACGCTAGCTTAGTCGACGTGTCATCGATATAAGCATCGTCTACATAGCAGGCAACGAGAAGAAACCAGAACAAAGTCACGACATATGTCTTGCTCGTCCACCTCCGACCGCAGGGCAGGGCATAGGGTTTGAGCATTGCGGTCTCCTGCTTTGACATCAGTCCAGCTAAACTGCATCCAAGTATCCGCATGGGGTTGCAACTTTACTCCTCTCTCGCCCGCTAACAGCTCAATGCAGCCGAACTGTCACATGCAACCATCAAACCGTGTTTACGTCCCATTTATTGATATGCCATAAGCAGTGAAGCTAAAATAATGGAATGCGTCTATATGGCATTCCTCAAAAAAAGCTCCATAGATGAGGGGTAGTGAACACAATGTGCGCCATGGCAAAGGACTCCTCACCCGTTGAAAGCCGAGCTGGCCCCTCGTACATAGAGCCTCAAGTACACGTTGAAGTTAGCAAGCGTTCTGCAGCGCATCCTTGAGACCTCTGCGCCAGCCCATGATGTGTGTCTACGTGCCCGCAATAGCCACCAATAAACCCCCCACCGTAAGCACCAAGAACCAGCGACATGTCATGCGACCCATGGGTCATAACTTTGTCCACTGTTCCCTGAAAGGCTAGAACTGCGTTGAACGGAAGCTCATTAGGGGACCCTAACCAGCCTACGAACATGAGGAGTCACATACCCTCCTGCTTATCTACACTACAAAGAAGGCGATAAACCACTAACGACATCGTACGGCATTAATGGACGATCGCTGGTTTGAGGCATGCACGCAGCCAACCCCATGCGGGGCAGCACATCAAGCATATGCCTGTAAGCGGTGTTAAGGGTACCTTCCACGCATGACCCAGTCACTACCTCCCTGCAATGTCCATTGTCGCAAACCCCTCATGCATCAGCACCGCACGGCAACATTTATGCAAGCCCGAACGATAACGTCATCCCCGTGCTCCGAGAACAACTGCATCAGGAAAGCCGACACATTTTGGGCAATCAGTACTGGCCCCAAACTGCTGCTGTCTGTTGAATTGAATGGCCGGTGCATCCGTTCGAAACATAATTACACCCTCAGCACGATAGGAAAGACCACACGAACAGCTTAACCAGTAACCGACAAGAACACTGGCCACGCATACCTCTGCTGGAACTACATCCAACAACTACGCTTGCAGCCCATCCCTCAACCATCTTCGAGGTCAACCTGCCCCTCAAGCCCATGTCTCGCAGCTCAAAGATCCTGCGGCTCGACCTCCTTCTGCCGCCTTCCGGCGCCCTCCGCCGACCCCTGGGCTCCAGAACCAGCACCAGCCGATCCCGGACCAAAGCCGGTCGTTGCCGACACCCCAGGAGAACCCGACGCGCCATCACCACCCCGACCCGCTGCCATCCCTCCTCCTCGCCCTCCTCCCAGCATTAACGAGCTCCTCCGCTTGGAACCCTGCGTAAGCCATGTCCTAGCCGACAAGGAAGCGCACCCCTCGCTCTCGCCGCCTCCTGCACCACCCGAATTCGTTCCTACTGCCCGCTGTGAGCCCGGCTGCCCCTCCTGCGACCTGCCGCTCGCTGGTAACCCGCCTGCGGGTCGCAGCGGCAGCACCAACAGCGGCTCAACCGCGCCGCTGCAGCTCCGCATGAGGCTGCTTCCCGAAGAGGGCAGCCCCCGTGGGCTAGGCTGGGGGCTGCCGGCCTGCTGGTCCAATGGCGCAGCCACCGATGTCGACAGGTTGCTGCCACGCCGTAACCCTCGCAACGGTCGTAGGAAGCTACGCAGTCGCGTAAGGGCACCAGAGCTGCCGCCTCTGCCGGATTGCGCAGGCGGGCTTGCCACATTGGCACACGCGCTCGCATGCGGTGGGCCGGGCAGCTGCGTGGAAACGGTGGCCGTAGGTGCGGAGGTTGTCGGCGCGGCGTAGGAGTGACGCAAGAAGGGCGAAGGAGACGGAAGCACTGCTGACGTAGACGTGTTGTCCCTGACCAGGGATGGATGCCCTCGCGGAGGCAGCAACGAAGGAGACGACATTGCCGCGTCATTGGGGCCTGCGGCAACAAGGACCCTGCGGCTACCATCGTCCCCAAGGCTAACACTGCCACTGCTTCCGGCTGCACCGGCCAGTGCTGTTGCTGCTCCTGGTAGACGGCTAAACATGGGCCGTGAAGTGCTATCCAGGGCTGGCCTCTCCCTGAACGGTGAGCAATCCATATCGAAGCTTCCGTCGATGACCAGCTTTTGCTTCTTTGGCTCCGGCGCTTTAGGCGGTGTCCCCCGGATGGCAAGGACCGGAGACTGCGGAACCGTGAGAGGAGCGTCACCGCTGTCATCATCGGCCGCAGCAGCCCCGAGCCGGGTAGCATCTCCACTGCCAGCAGCGGCTGCTGAAGCTCCTCCTACGAACTTTGCATGCAGGGACTTTGCACCGTGTTGCCCCAAGCCTCCTTCCCCACCACCCGCGACGGCGCTGGGAGCTGCCTGTTGCGGCGCCGGCAAGGACGGCTCCAGAGCTGTGGCCTCGGCGCTGTTGTTGGGCTCGGCTGCTTGTACAGCGGCAGGTTGGGTCGCCAAGCCGCCAACCGGCTGCAGGGCAGCGACAAGAGGGGCATCTCGCAGTGCTGGAGCATTCTCCAGTGCTGCTTTTTTCCTTAATCCCACACCACTCATGCCATCGAATGACATCATTGCAATACTTGAAGAAGCAGTTCGAGCCATTGTGCCATCGATAGTTGCTTTAGCGGTAGCATCATCGGTGTTGGATGGCCGTCCGCGTTGACTGGCAAGCTCCTCCCGTACTGCGTTCCACAGCGCGTGGGTCGATGCTGCATCCGTTACCAAGCTAGGCACCCGTGCGGATGAAGTACAGTTCGTGGTGTGACTGCATGCACGACTCATCGCTCTGGTTGTCATCGTTGCTGACGTAGCAGCAGCTGCTGCTGCCCCCGTCAGTGTACTCGTCCGGGAGGTATGCATGGTGGACAACGTCAGTGACGTTAGGCCTGCGGACGCGCCTGTGGCCACAGTGCATGCGGTGAAGGTATGAGATGACCTCGGCGGCTCAACACTGAAGCCGCCACTACCGATCGGGGCTCCCGCCTCTCCTGCTGCTGCCTGCGCACATGCGTCCTCCGCTGATGCCGGTACCTCCGCACGCACCACATGGCTACTGCCCGCAGCTCCACTCCGAGGGAAACCCGCAGCAGCTGCAACCTCGCCTTCCGCATGCGTAGCTGGATGTGGGCAGCTATCCTCGGGCGCCCCAACTTCCACAGGAGCAATGGTGGCGGTAGCGGCAGCGACGGCGGGCTGTGATGCCGCGTGATGAGTAGTTAAAGCCAAAGCCGAGGCCTCTGCCTCCAGTATGCCGGTATCCGCCCGGGGCTTCAAGGAGGGCAAGCCTGATGGGCAGAGGCTTAGCGGCATACGGGCAGCAGCCAACGCTAGCGACAACCCGTCCGCTGCCGCAGACTCCTGAGCTTGTTCTTGCTGCCGCTGTTGCGGTCCGGGAACTGGGACACCGCAGGTATCCGCTGCGCTAGCCCCGTACGGGCTGCTACTGAAGCCCAAGCTAACCGCACTCACAGTCCTGGTCGCCGCCTCCTCCTCAGCCGATGTGGGAGCAGAGGCGCTCTGCCGCGAAACGCCATCTCTGCGTCCTGCTGCAAATGCGGCAGCGGCGGCGCCGGATCGGCGCCTATCTTCGCCACCTGCGGTCAAAAGCCTGGCTGCTGATCTCGCTTGCACCGAAGCCATGTCGCGAGACGAGTGGCTTGCGGCCGGGACAACTGGCGCGGCGCCCACAACGGCTGCGCCGTGCGGGATAGGAAGCCACGAGGTCTGTTGAGGTCTAGGGCTGCTGGGCAGAGGGAAGCGCAGCCGGCTTCCAGAGCGAGGCCGCGGCAGGGAGGATGTGGACGCCGTGGAGAGGCACAGTGACTTCATGGTTGGGAGGGCGGCGGCCGTGGCAGTCGCGGCAGGGGAGGTACCGGTAGTAACAGGCGCGCGGCGGTACATGGGTACCAACGGCCCGACATCGAGGAATCTTATGCAGAGGGCAGGCGGGCAGCAGGGGAACGGGCGAACGGTAAGGGGTAATAGAACAAGATAGCGGTTGGTATGGCGCTTGGTTGGTGTCCTCAGGCAATAGTTACTCCTTCCAATGACGACCGTGAGAGCTCAAGAACCATACAAGGTCAAAGTGATTCGAAGAGCGTCCCTCCGTGCCAACGAGGACTCACCCGCATACATGTGTGCCGGCAGGCAGCTTGCTCTGCTTCCTGACCACAACTCCGGCGGGAATGAAGGTAAGCTGCTGCAAGCCGATCTCACCGCGATCGGTATCCTCCCCACTCGTCACGGTCTCACACCCCCAAGAGCCGCCGCCGCCGCTAAGAGTGCCGTCAGTATCGGTCGTCGCTGCCACCGCAGCCGCCGCCGCTGTTTCGGCAGCCAAGGCGGCCCGCTGCGTGGCTTCGTCGCACAGGACCTGGCTGCTAGCGGCCATGCTTGCAAGCTTGGTGGCCGCCTGGATGGGCCGACCGATGTACGACAAGGAGTGGCTCTGCGGGCTGACCAGCCAGTGCACGTGGCCCGTGCTGATACCCGCGCGAACCCTACACGAAGCAGCAAACGGCCAGGCGGGCAAAGTAGGGTGAAGACATTCGCTATACTGCGAGGATACGGTGCTAGGAAAATGCATTGCCATGCCTCATGCCGCCATGAGTAGGGAGGGCCGGCTAACATGAAGAGGGCTGCATGTAGGTGCCATATACGTGCGCTCAGGTACGAATGAGGGAATGGAGGGAAAGGCACATGCAAGGCATGCAGTGCATAACGCCAGCTGACCGTTACCGGGCGTGCGACCTGCCCACATCCACGGACTGCGCAAGTCTCACCGTAAGCCCCGAAGCAGCAGCTGCCTAGGTTGTGCACTACCTCCCCCGTCGCCGCCCGTGCTACGGTTGGCGGATGAATACATCCTCTCCACGTCGTCACTGGCCCCCCTGGCAAGATCACGGCACAGGTGGCTGAGTTTGCCCCGTTGGGACAAAGCTGCGTCTTCCAACGGTGCTCCTTGGCTCTGCAGCATTGGGGTAGCAGCAGGACGTACTCATGCGCGGAACGGTATGGAAATGTACGAACGAAGGGCCCATGGGGTCAGCACCATACGAGCAGCGCAGTGCCTGTGCACAAACGCCACATTCAGCGGTCGCTAACTCATTCAGTACTCTCTTACCCGGAACATATATGTTGCAAATGCTCCTGAAGCCGGTTCTTCATGCTGCTGTGGCATAATGGTGTTATGTCGTGCAAAGGCGGGCTCCGACAGCATTTCTGCGGCGTTGTCCTCGGGCCCATAGCCAAGCAAATGCTCCAAGGTAGCGTCCGGAGCTGTTGACAGAGCAGCAGCACCCAGGCCGCCATCCGCACTTAAAGGCTGCTGCGACTGGCTTTCGCCATGGCTGCTGGCAACAGGGCCAAAGCCGTAGTCAACGACAAGCTGAGGAACAGAGCCTGCGCCGCCAGTGCTGCCGGCACTTTCGTACCATGCGGGCGAAACGCTCGACGGTACCAGCTGTGCGTGCTGAGCGCTCAAGGTGACATGCTGCAGCCGGCTGTGGGAGACGCCATGCCTGGAAGCGCTTCCACCCGCCATCAGCACCTGCCGCAGCCTCCCTTCTCCGCCATTACCGCCGGCGGCCGCAGGAGAGGCTTTCACCTGCCGTCCTTGCAAACCGCTTGTTCCCGGGACCGTTCCATTCAGCCCATGTCCCGGCCCAATGCCTGACGTTGCTGCTGTCAGCGGTGCCCCCCGGTCGCTCTTCGGCTGCCGTGCTGTAGCCCCAGCACTGCGCCCACCATGAAGCATAGTACGGCCTGCTGGCGCCAAGGCCGCTGCTGCCAAGGGGCTGTGCTCCTGGTCCGTAGGTACGACAGGTCGAGGCTGGATCTCAACCGCCTCACGCGGAGACTGAGCCCCGCCAACGACACCGCCATCACTGCCGCCGCCGCCGCCGCAACCGTCGCCTGCTCGCCTAGACGACCCCAAGTCCCTGTCCTTCCGTCGTCCCAGGCTTAAATGCATTGCCAGGCCGCTTGCGGACATGCTAACCGCTCGAGAGACGACGGCACGTGTGGACTGAACGGCCCAGCGGCTAAGTGGCTGTCGACGAGATCGCTGCGACGGGGAGGGAGGTTCGCGTGAGGACGAGCCGGGAAGCTGCTGACAGGCCGAGGGCCCGTCGGAGACCTCCACTGGCTCCCCAGCTTCGTGGCGAAGCAACGCCTAGAGGGTTGGGGTTCACAGGGATTTCGGAACGGACACGCGACACTCGACCACCCAACAACAGGCCCGATATGACCTGTTGCCATTCCTGCTGCATGCGCGCCGGGTTTGACACCAAGGCCCTGCACATCTGCAGCCACACGCCCTACGCACCTGCGACCAGGGCGCTTTCAGCAGCTCGCGTCTGAGGCCCACCGCCCAGCGCACCGCTGCATGTGCCCGAGTGAAGGCCGCATGTAACTCGTCCTCCCGTGCTGCCACCTGCGCAAGGCACACATGCAGCATTCGGGAGCGAGTCGACATGGCTGAGGCTGGAATTGAAGGAATGTGTCGGCTGCGCACTCCATGCTTTCGATGGTAACATGACCAAAATAATCACCCCAGCCCAGCCTAAGTTGCACTCACCATGAAGCCCCTCAGGCCAGCGCGACGCAGGAGCTGTTTCGCGGTTTGCCTCAGCAGCTCCAGAGCCTCGTCCGCAACTTGCGCGTCCCAAGCACGTAGAACCGCGAGGCCAGGGACTTGTACGACAACGTACGACACGGACCCCACGGGTGCGTCGTACACAGTCTGGCAGGTCACCGTGTCGGCCGGGACTCGCAGCGACAGCGGCCATAGCGCTAGCCGCTGAGCGAGTGACGGTGTGGTGGCCCACACGACAGATCTCAGTTGCAGTGGCGGTGGCAGTGCTGCTTGCTTGGGAGCCGTCGGCGCTGATAGCACAAGCGTAGGCTTGATGACAGCTGCCTCCGCATCCGGGCTGTTACACGCCTCCTGGCGCCGCTCGAAGGGGCTTTGCATGGCGCTTTCAACCGGTAGGGTGGCGTTGGCCTCAGGGGTCCGGTGGCCCGCCTGACCCGCTGGGGGTGCCTCCTCGTAGGACAGCATGTTGAGGAGCTGCACATGAGGGAGGAAGCAAATAGGCAGATGGAATTGGGGCTCGTAGCGCTAGAAGCTAGACAGCGACGGCGGCAGCAAGTGAAGACAAGGGAAGAGCGGAAGCGTCTAGTAGCGCTCCTGCTACCGTGCAACACTAGGTAACCTAGCAGGGCGGAAGGCCCTCCTACCGGTCCAACGGCTGCGCTAAGGCCAACACAAGTCCCCTCAACAATCAAGTCTATGCACTCACCAGCACTCCATTGGGCTTCCCGTTTGTGTCTGCCAGCTCCGCTCTCAGCTCCCCTTGCGCCTCGCCCGACAGAAGCACCTGGCCGCCATGTGCCATGTCCGCAACCGCTTTGCATGCTGTCACGCAGGGCCCCCCCAGCACCATGCGCGCCGCAGCGGAGTTGTACTGCAACTCCGCAGGTGACGGTCGCGCACAGGTGATACCCACACGGACACGAAGGCCCCTGCACGCATACGACAAATGAAAGGCCAGGATTGCACGGGTCATGCATGCAGGCACAGGCTGGGAGCCCGAGCGCTGGAAGAAACCACGCCCGCGCGAACACGAACACGAACACCGCCGGGGAGCTTCATAGCACATTCTGTACATGTACGGCATCGGTAGCCAAATCCCTTGCGAAACAGGCCCTGGAACTCACTGAAACATTAGCTGCGGCCGCCCACCACCGACGCCTCGCTTGGAGCTCAATGCTCCTCGGAGGTAGCCCGCAAGAGTACAACTGCGCTGCACCGCGCATGCTGCTGCCTGCCCCGACGCCCTTGCTTCGCGCGCGGACGGCAGCCCCTCTATCGGGGAAGATGGAACCACTAGCGATGGAGGCAATCTGCGTGGCGTGGGGTGCTTTGGCGAGTGGAAACTGCTGCTGGTGGCAGCGGTATTCGTGAGCTCGGAGGTCCCAGAGACGAGATTGCGGGCCATGCGCGTCAGCTTGGTGCTGGAGGAGGGCGCCTGGAGGTGGTGTTTGCCGCTAGCAAACGAGCCCAGTATCCCTGCAGCTGCTGTAGGTGTTACGGTGAGACGACTCAAAGGAGGAGAAAGAGAAGGAGAAGGCGCGGAAACCGTTTCGACATGAAGACCAATTCCAGCCACAGCTGCATTTGTTGTCGCCTCTCCAACAGGGTAAGCGGGATCCACTAACTGTACGGCATCCGCTTGTACGGCCTCCATGGGGGCTGCAGGCTGTGCCGCGGCGAGTAACTCCATGCTGTCGAGAAGGCTGGCGGCAGGTGGGGGCGGTGCCAGCAGAGCTCCTAGCTCTTTCGCTAGCAGCCCAGTGCGGTTGTTCCCGCTGACAGGAGGCGTGGTATGCGGGATACGTAGCAGCTGTAGCGGCAGTGACGATGAGCCTGCCCCATGCGGAGAGGAGCCGCATGGGGATAATCCGCCGGGCATTGTCGAAACACCGGCTTGCCTGCCCGCGTATTTCATATCCTGGCTTTGGAAGAGGGCTTCTGGGGAGGTTGAGGGGTGGCTGCACAAGCCGACAACTGGGAGCTGCAGCTCCCCCGAAGATCGAACCTTGTAGCGGTGGCTAGCGGAGCGCACCGGTACGGCAACGGCGACGTCCAAGACGTGCGGATGCGGCTGCGACGGTGGCGCTGGGGGCGACGGAGGCACGGAGGAGGCTGTGGCTGGCTGGGGAGCAGATGGGGAGCTGAAGTTGGGTGGGGTGCAGGGCCGCGGCGGGGGGTGGTCGACGGGCCGGACAAAGGGGAAGAACTCTGGCAGTGAGGTGTAGACGGGCTGGCAGGCCTGTGGTTTGAGGGTAAGGTTTGAGCATCATGATACCAAGGGAAATTAAGCATTGCGGCATCAAGGCTCCAGGACCATGCGGCAATCTGAAGCCAAACGGGTATGTATGGTGGTTGCTGTCTCGGGCATTTTCTCTCGGGCATCTCAGGTGCTTCCGTTGGGCCTAATACGTGGGTTACCCATCCTCCTTGGCCTAGTCCTTACACGACTTCGACCTTGCGTGTCCCTTGCTGCATGGCTTGTTAGGCCCCTCTTTCTCACCTCATGTTTCAAGAGCTCGTGCGGCCACGGAATGGTCAACAGGTCCGTCTGCAAGGACAAGACAAGATAAAGAAAGATGCAAAGAAGCTCAGTCGCGGAACGATGCATATTAGGAAGCCGAGAACAAGCACTACCCACATTACCAAGACACAAGCGGCAACGGCAAGTCGTCAACGTGTACCTAAACTGTTTCCACCGCAATCTTACCTCCCCCTTTAAGCATCGGTCGCACTCCTCACCTCCATGCTCCGACCAGTGCCGGTACCCCAACCATGCACCCTCCCATTACCTACATCTGCTCCCCAAGCCCCTCACCTGCAGGTCCACGGCAAACGCCACTGCCTGCTTGACGGTGCGGAAGGCCAGGATGAAAGAGTCGCCTTCCGTAGACGACTCGTACCCATGGTGCCGTACAAGCATTCTCCGTACGGAGGCGTGGTGCATTTGTACGGCACTCGCCACCACCTCCCCAGGCAACTCCTCCCAGAGGCGGGTGCTTCCCTGCGCAAAAGAAAGGTGGATATGGAGACACAAAACACGAAACGCAAGAATGTCCTAACACAGGAACAAGAGGCGCCCTCTTCAACAAAAACGCCCATGCTACTTGCCATGAGGTGGCTAGGGTTGCAAGGATAATATCGGCCTACCTCAATATCCGTGACGCAGATGGCCGTCATCTGATGCACTTTGGGGGATTGTGCACGTTTAGAATGGTACGAATCGATCAGCAGGCCCCTCTTTCCATGCCAGAACCGCCAACACAAGAGCGCTAGCACCGCCGCCAGTAAGGCCACGCACCCAACCGTGGCCGGAACGGCATACAACACCATCTTGGTAGTGCTGCTGTTGCTGCTGCCGCCTGCAGGGCACGAAGACGATGTCCCCATTCGTTGCGGCGCCGTGGGACACCATGGGAAAGGCTATTGCTCGCAAGGGTTGCAGTGCACGTAACATGCCAAGCTCCCTCTTACCCGAGGTAGTTGAGCCAGCGGCTGCCGTACCGCTGTCCGACACAGTCGCAAGCGATGCCAGGTATTTGGGCAAGTAGATCTGGGCGCGGAGGGAACACAGCAGAGCTAATCAGCTACGCGTCACATGGCAATCCTCCCGTACAAGAGCCTTACTCGCAGGAGCTATCACATGGCAACTGTCAGCAGCACCGGAGGGCGAACATCTTTCGAGCGCGTCGCCCAAAACACCGTAAGAAAACACATGTCTCGCCTCGAACAGCTAGAGCATTTACAGGGCATGGCTTCCTGACCATGAAGCAGGAGGCAGCCCCACATGTGAATTGCACCACACGCGCTGCTCCTTTCCTTGGCCCATCCGCCCCATGCCCCGTGCCCATCCACCAGCTCAACCTGACCCACGGGTCACTCACTAGGCACCGTTTACTGCCACCCCCACACGTACCTCTGGAGCGTAGTGCGCGGTTAGGGCTGCTTTGGCATTTGACAGTGCCGTGGCCAGATCGATGGGGCCGCCGCCGTTCCCTGAAACAGGCGGCGGCGTTCCGGGCCCCATGAGGGCCCCGGCGCTGGTTGAGATGGTGCCCGCCTTGATAGCCATGACCAGGTCGCCAAGAACATCGCTGTACGTAAAGGGTAGCCGTTCAGTTGGCAGCTGGAACTAGGGCAGCGTGCGGTGCATCAGTTTGTTGTTGTCTTGTGCATGACCTTCACCGTGCGCATGCAACGTCCAAGGTTATGCAAGCATGTAATGTTCGGTAACGTTGTTCACCGCGGTAACGTTATTCACCGCAGTACCAGGCAAAGCCAAATGCACGCGCGTATACCCTAACCCCCTACCCCAATCCCCAATCCCCAAACCCTACACCCGCTCACTTGTAATACCGTGCGCCCGACATGCGCAGGCCCCAGCCGCGGTTGGGGTGGTTCCGGCTCATGGTGGAGGCCACCTGCACCGCCCCTGCCATCACGTCCAAGTCCAGGCCCGCTCCCGTGAACACCACTTCATTGCCGGCCAGCTTCGAGAACCTGTCTCGCACCGGAGCCACGGAGACCTCCGGCGATATGGGTTCCCCTGGCCCATAGCGGTCGGGTGACCCCAAGTACACCAGCACTGAGTACGCCAGCAGCTGAGCTAGCACGGGCGCCCTGCGGTGGAGTTGTGGGAAGGGAGGCGAAGGAGCGAGTGAGGGCATGTGGTTGAGAAGTGGCATGGAGTGCAAGAGGCGTTGTTGCGGAAGACCTGGACACCGCACCCGAACTCTGACCCACGGGCAAGATGCCGCTTGGCCAGACTCGGCAGCATGCGCCCAATCCAGGATGCAATGCAGGCAGTCCATGTAACATTCCTCATCGGAATAAACGCAACACCACACCGGTACTTGCCCTTTGTTGATGCTGCCGGTCAGCGTGGACAGCAGCGACTGCGGCGCAAAGTTAATGAGCCGCGTGCGGCTGCAAGCGGGCGACGCGCATGTGTCCCAGCTGGCGTACGGGCAGGTTGCCGCTGTGCATGCAGCAAGCGTCTCCGCCCCGCCCCCGTTCCACACCACCTCAGAACCCGGCAGCCGGGTGACCTGGATGCTGGACTGAGGCACGGTGGCGTTGGCCACTGGATCCACAAAGAGCTGTGGGGAACACATGGGATGAGCACATGGGAAGTGAGGCATAGGGAGTCGGCGAATATCGCGCGGCTGCGAGCATAACAGCGTGTTGTTGTTTGTGGTGATGATGGTGGAGGCAGCTGCGGTGGCGGCCTGCGTGCGTGGCAACCAACATGGCCGCTCTTTGCGTACATGGTTCGCATAGAATGTCAGCATCACGAGGGGTTGCCTGCGAAGCTTGCCAAACATAGGACAGGTCCGTTCGGCGGCAAGAAAGACGAGGTTACCAGTCGCAACCTCCGTACCCACATGCAACTGTGGCAGCATGCCAGCAATCGTCAGAGCGCAGCGCCCGCGGACAAAGGCCAGGCTGCCATGCGTACACTTCTCGTCGGGTTCGAGGGGCGCGGCGGCCGCCAGGAGCTCTGCCATGATGCGAAAGGCCTCCCGAGACGCTGGCGTGTTTATCAACGGCTCCATCGTCGTCAGGTTGAAATGCACACCTTGTTGCGCTCCGGTTGTCTGTGCAATGGTCGTCCAGATGGACTGAAAGTAGGTCAGGTACCGGCATTCTGTGGGCGCGCAAGGGAGGAGGAGGTTACGAGAGGGTGGAGGGCGCGTCAGAGGTTGGAAGGTAGCGTACAAGAGACGTAATGCGCGAATGCGGATGGGTTTTCTCCGGCCTTGGCGAAGGCTCAGCAACATGCCCCTACATGCCGACATGGACCCATTATGAGCTTTCACTCGCAAACATGTGAGAAATCCTAGTCCAGGTCTGCCCTAGAATGCAGTCATCCCTGCGCCAAAGTGACAATGGGACGCGATGTAGCAGCACCCCCTGACGCATGGTGTGACGGGTGGCGGCATAGTACACTTCCGGCGCGAGAACTTGGCATTACCCAGGTTGCCGCCCCGACCCACATCCCAGGTCTCAAACGGAAACTGACAAATCTTAGGTTGTCGCCCCGACCCACATCCCAAAGCCCATACAGAGCTGATGCCGCCATGGAGGCGAATGAACGAAACACCCCCTACAGCCTACTTGCAGCCCATGGCCCCCGAGCTTACCGACGCCCAGCGGCAGACATATGGGATAGGGTGGAAGCGTTTCCCCGTTGTCGACCCGGTCAGCCAAGGCAAGGTCAGTACGATAATACTGGATAAAGTCCAGAAGCTCAGTCCATGACTGCGGCGCCTGCCGGAAAACGAGAAGGTACGGCACCCATTGGAGGGCCACAGCGTTTTAGGCTTGTTCGTATCCAGAGCCTTTATGTTTAAAACATGTTGGTGCATGATGGACTCTCATGGGGTCCTCGGGTAGGCCCCGACGGAGGCGGCAGCACACGCAAACTGCATGTTGCGTCAAATACTCCCTCCAGCTCCGGAGCTTGTATACTTGCCAAGTACTCAAAGAGTGCACAACGGCAATGTTACGGAAACGCCCCCTCCCACGCACCACCATACACTCACCTCCAGCCCTAGGGAGCTCAGCACGTCTTTTCGGCTCAGCATGAACACCAGGCCCCCGTCCAGGGGGATGCTGACCGTGCTTCCTTTGTAGGTCGCCAGCTGCAGCCGGTAAAGCTGGGACACGTCCTGCCAGTCCAGCTCGGTGTTCGCTATCGTGCTAACCATGCCACTGCAACGGGAAGGATGATGCAGGGCTGCTTAAGAGTTCAAGCCTTGAATGCAAGTGATGGTGGCGGTGGTCGTGGCGGTCATGGGCGTCATTATAAGGCCATGATCGGGTAACCGCATGCTTGACTATTAGCGCAACTAACGGCGGAGGTTGACACGTGTCAAAGTAAGCAACCTGCAATTCCCAATCCTCGAGTGCACGACTCCGAGGACACCGCACGCGAAACCCAACACCATGGTCATCACCACATTTCACTGCCCGAGTGGCCCACCTTAGGTCTGCTAATAGCCCTTCATCCGCCAGCTCCTGGGTATAGCTGGCCAAATGGAGCCAGAGCGCATGCTGTGTAGCCTGGGAATCTTGCTGAGATTCACTTTTGAGTGCCCCTTGAAGTTGCGACGTGGGTAAGATATCCAGGTCGAGGGGGACGCCACGTAGGTCTGAGAACCGCGCTAATGCTGGTAGCAGCCAAGCAGTGAATAAGTCGGGTAGAATTATTTTTAGGCCTGTCGCGTTCTGAAAATGCAGCATAGGGGTCCATACATTATTATGAGAGTAGCGTGAACAGTCCACCCCCATAAGCGCCTCATGTACCTGCTCCCCAGCAGCTGCAGCGTAGCATGGGTACAGAGCTCGCGCAACCTGCCCGTTAAATCCCAGCTGGACGTTGCCACAACTGGTTCAAAGAAGTATCAAGAGAAATTGCGTGAAGTTAAAGACTTTGGGGAGGACGGCCGTGCGACGTTGGCCACAACCTAGCAGGCGATTCGTAGATGGAACCCAAGCAATAAAGGCGCGCGGAGTGAAAGGCATACCTGTCGACAAACAAGTTTGAGAGGGACTCCAAGATGCACGTTCCGGTGTCAAAGTCGATTGTATCCGTATGCAGACCGCCCGACGACGACAGAAGCAGCAAAATGGCAACTCCAACACACCAAATCCGATTCCCTGCAAACAAAACCTCATATGGGCTCATAGCAAAACTATGAGATGTGCAAGCGCTGCTCCAATAATTTACTTGAGGATTTTCTCCGCGCAGCTGCAGCATCAAGGGCGGTCCAGCGTCCAAGTGCCGACATCCAATTTAACAAGAGACTGCTGACTTAATACCGAGGGAAACGTTGTTGTCTAGGCGAGGGATGGGTCTCAGTCAGCGAGTCATAGGCGAAACCGCTGTGTTACCCCAAACCGGAGCGTCAGTAACTCCATAAGCATGTGGTAGTGTGTACGTTCAAACAATGTATGTGCAACTTAAAGTCAAGGGGACTGCTGGGTAGGAATAGTTGGTCAGCGCAGTCATGCTACTCATAGGATGCCGGTCCAGGCGTACATGAAACCGGTCATAATTATAGCCATTTAGCTGGCGTGCCTCCGGCACGCTGTAAGTTCTGTGAGAAACAAGTACATGACTAATAATCCAATCAGCGGAAGGATCCCTCATCCCTTGTTGCGTAAGGTCATGAACTTTCCTATGTTTATAATATACCTTTTACTATGATACTTGCTAGGACATGTCTACAACGGAGCTGTTCAGAAGCAATGGTATTTGTCAGCAAGTACGACATTCGGCATCTGCAAGGCCGTCGGCCCTGCATAACATCAAGCCATAAACACGACATGTATTAAGCGACTAGCTTCATTCTCGCTCCATGTCAAGTGGCTCGTGTCGCGTGCTTAATAAGTTCCACCACATCCGAGGAATCGAACACGCACGAAAGAAGGGTATATTTGTATACGTGACAATGGAGAGCAAAGGGTAACCTTGACAGGACCAGCGTTGGGGCATATTGGAGCAACCCGGTCGTGGATAGCCAAGTGGCCCAGATTAATCCTCAATGGCAGTACGCTTGCAGCAGCAGCATGCACGAAGCCTTGGCAGCTTTACTACCTAAACGTGTGGTGGTAGAAGGGCTGCCAGAGGAAGGGACTAAATACAAGAGGCCACACAGTGCACACAGTGCAGGTGTAGCAAAGGCTAAGATCCAGCGGCTCCCTATGCAACAACCGCAGTACACCTCGGCGCCCCGTGTGCAAGTGGGCTTGACCGGAAGCCTGAAACCCTAGCAAGGAATGCGATCACCTACGACAGCTCGACTCATCGTGGGATTTGGAGGCATCTTATGGTTGGGTTTGCCACCCGTGTTCCTTTTCGGCAAGCACTTTTAACGGTCATCAATCAAAACAGAGGGGTTGGGTCCACTCCTCCTTGGAGCCCACGAGAGCTCGAAAGCGCTATTTATGAAGGGGAAGATGGTTATTCGCAGTCGCACCTAAGCGGCTGCACCTGTACGCGTTGAAGAATGTCCACCTCTGTTTCTGTTCGCAACTCCTGTGGGCATCGTCCCATGCACGAGGGCATTGCCCCATGTAGCGTCAGTGTGCCGTGTTCGGCAGGGTCAGGTTTGGGATCAGCAAAGGTGAGGGCTCCCAAGACAGTGGTGCCTTGTGGGGGCAGGGAGTACAACGAGGTGTTGGAGCGCTGGCCCTAGTGCTAGGCAACCCGTGGTAGGCGCTGGTGTAGGAACGGCGCGGTGGGGCGGGAGTGGCTTTCTTGCCTGGTGGGCATGGGGGGCCGCTGCTGTGTAGCGTGAGCGCGCAGATGACACCACGCGTTACCTAGTATCGGCGGAATGCGACACTGGGCAGCAAAAGGACGGCTAAGGAGGCGAGTGAGTTTCCGGCCCGTAAGGGAACTAGATTAAGGACAGGCCTATGTTCACCTGGTGCGCACGTACACCCTGGGAAGATGTAGTTGCGTACGGATCAAGAGTGCCACAAGATATACGTTAAGGGATAGGCTGTGACAAACTGTGCACTATACGCAGCATCATCACGGTGCCGTTCGGCCGTAATGCAGGCGCAATCACTGAATTGGTAGGCTCGGCCCCTAGTAGGGGTTTGCGTCGCAGGAATGATGTTGAAGGCGGATTACGGTGACTAGGAAATGAGGGAGAAGGAAGACTCTTCACGGCTTTTAACAACAGCCTGACACATGTGAGACTCGACTTCAACCATCGAACAGGCTATAGTGCCTTGGGGCATGCAACATGCGTGAAAACATACACAATATACAAACAACAGGGAGCAAGAACAATTGTGGTCCTAACACACTACACAACACGCTCCAACGTGGACATGAAACCAACCAAACTCTTTTTATACGGTTTTAGGTATAGCGGTTGGTCACGGGGGTAAAGGAGTTCTGAACAGTCAAAATTGCCCTGGCTAATAACTCATCATGATGGGAAACGGCTCACAGAAGGAAAAAATGCAGGATGGACGCGACACAGCATCGATGGTGCCATGCGGCACCGGTAAAACACGCACATTAAAATAAGGTTCTCACAAATCGGCACAAACCCATGATGAACAATATGACATCCTGCAAAACTGGGCGAAAAGGTACAACTGGAAAGCGGTAGCTGCAACTACAACGAGGGGACTGTGCGGCCCCATGACCTCTAAAGTACATATCGAATGAAATGACGTCTCGTAGCGCTCGGCAGCTACGATAGTATCCACAGAATACCAACACCCTTGTCACCCGTTAAGATACATGTTGTACACTGGGGAGCATACGTGTGGGACCCTAAGTCGCCGCTGCAACACCCACCATCGGCTACTTATAGCACCACGTACTCCTCGGCATCGACATCTTCCACGACCTCCCATTCGCTCGCTATCCTCTGATCTATTTTATTTTGCGCGTGCGACTCCAGAGCCCGGTTAACGTACGCGTTTAATAGGCACATGGGCTCTCGAACCTCCACTTCGGAGGCAGCGTCTGGCTTTTCCTCAAGCTGTGTTTCCACATGAGAAGACGGGTGCGGATACGTCCGCTCGTTAATTGGAGTGACGGTCGAGGCGAGAGTTACCGCTTCGCGAAGGCCTTCACTTCCCTGCTGCTGGCGTATCTCAGCCCGAGTAATGTCCCTCCAATAGATCCTAGATATGCATTTTTAATTGCAGGGATAAGGGGAAGAGTCACGTCAAGACAAAGAAGCCCTAGTGGCTGTTCGACGAAGGATCGTCCTCTTGAGATACCGACCTCTACCATGCTTTACATAACCCACCTAGAAGTGAACTGCTGTGAAGGCGACCTGGTCACCCGGGAAGGCTTGGAGCGCCCAGCGCGTCCAGAGCGCACTGTTCCGCTTCGGCCTCGCATGGGCTTGCATTCCAGTAGCGACGACTCATCGAACAGTCGGGGGTCCGGACGCACTTCCATAATCATACGAACCATGTTTTGCTCAAGGTTGTTGCAGGCAAGCGGTCGCTCAATGAAATGTCAACGCCCTGTCCAGGAATGAAAGCAAGCGTTGTAGTGACAGCTTAGGAGTGACTATATTGGTATTGTATTTGTGATAAACGGCAACACCTGGATCGTTTGACAGGAATTTGGCGTATTTATGCGCTGTACGGGAGTGGATCCACAGCTGCGGTTGTCGCATCTGTGAAAGTGAAAGACATGTCGTCGGTTCAGAGGTTTGGTAGCGACCTTGCACTAGAAATGGCTTAGGGCAACTGGTGCTAGAGGTGTCTTCCCGTTAGGGGAATTTGCTCCACAAATCCCCTTTCGCGACCACCATGATAACTTTGCTCGTTGAGCGCCTAGTGTATTCGGCAGATGTAATCTAACTTATACTGGTGCTACCTAAATCAGGGGCTCTCTGTTTACTGGCTCGGAAACCGTAAGCATTGCAAAGCGTTTAGCCCAGTCTTGGCGCATAAAACTCCCAGGTGCCAGACAAAGATGACATCGGCACACAATCAACAATATGCCCGTACGTCAGTTCCCAGGGCAGGTGGCCGTGCAGCGTCGCCGTTACCTTCGAACAGCCGTGCTGTCTCTCCGTTGGCGCAGCAGCCCGCCCCGAGTTCACCTCATGTTCCAGCAGGCCAACGTGCAAGGCCACGGCCCTCACCAACATCAACAGCGCAAGCACCGTCATGGCTGCCCCCTGGTGCTTCCCTCAGTAGAGCCGCTGCCGCACATCGTGCACACCGTGCAGCGTCCATTCCCTATCAGCGCCAGAGCCCACCCAAATCGCTGCGGCCCTTCCCTAGCCCAACGCATCAGCATCGGCACCTCCAAGGCACGCCCACGTCGCCGTCGGCTGTCAGGTTACCCACTCCACCCCCTTATAGGGAGGGCCCACCCCTATACGGTCATGGCGCCTACAGTGGAGCGATGCCAGCCCTGTCATACGGCTGCATTCCAGCTTCATACGGGCAGCAGGACCTAAAGTTCCTTGGCCAAAGCCGGGGCACATACGATACCGCTGCTGCATGCTATCCGGACCTTGCTACCGGCAACGGGCGACCAGCACTATTGGCTATTACAAACATACGTGGTAAGGCGTAAGGTCGCAGTCGCCGTGCGGTCCCTGCGCAGTACATCCTACATATCGCTGTGTTTTCCTGCCACTGGTGCGTCATTCCCAGTCCTACAATGGTGGTAAGTGGATGGTGTTTTCTACCGCATGCAGACAGCCACACGTCGGAAGCGCACTGGCACCAGGCGGCCTACGCCAGCCTTGACGACCTCCAGGGCGGGGACAAGGCCCGTTTCCAGGATTCTTTCCCTTATCCGTCCGAGGTCGGAAGCGAGCAGATGCCAGCATCGCCGATTGCCAGGGGCGGCCCAAGTGCCGTTGGCCAGGCTGCATGGCACGAGGCAGCGCCGCCGGGAACGACGTCCCGTCTGGCGCCATGGCTCCTCTCCGACTCGTATGACCCGTACACATCAACGCAGCCGACGGCACAGCCGACGGCCGTAGCGGCGACGCCAAGCCCCATCGGGGCACTGCTTGCTAAGCTGGAAGCCAGCAACGGTACAAGCTGCCGGAGATCCCAACAGGAAGCGGGAAGGGCTGCTGGCTGCAGGTCTCCGAGTCCTCTGCCCCGCCGTACGCCTACGCAGCCGCATCGACCCGCGGTAGCGCCCTCATGCCAAGTCTCCCAGCAGCAGCAACAGTCTCCTGTGCCGTTCCGGAATGTTAAGCTGCCGGACTCGCAAGTTCTTGGCGGGCATGCGGAACACCGACGCTCGGGCGACGCTGACGTTGGCCCCAATAATGTCCTAAGACTCAATACCGTAGCCTCCGCACCAAGACGTTCTCTGCAGCACCAGACGGTTGAGGTGCAAGGCGTCGGCAACGCCGCTGGCGCAGGCAATCATGGTCGCAGCAGCCCTCTACGTGCGACGTTTCCTGGAGAGGGTCCCCTGGCGCCTGAGCGACCACTGGGTCAGCCCTTTGCGGATCCAGCCGGTGCGCGCGCCCACGGGGCGTTTAGCATGACAGCGCAGCGTCCGCTATCGCCATTCTCCTCCCCTCCACCATCACCGCTTGCCCAAGCGGCTAGGGCCGTCGGAGCAGCAGGGTGTGCTGCGGCACAATGGGACGTACGGGCCATTCCACAGACCGGAGCCTCTGGCGGATGGGAGCAGGCGGCACAGGGCACGCAGTACGGAGTAAACGGGCAGCCGTCCACGCAAGTTCCAGGAAACAACGGCTACTACCGGCGGTATGCACAACAGCAGCAGCACCAACAACAACAGCAGCAGGCCCGCTTGCGTTCACCCGAGCCCCGTGGCATGCCTGCTTCTCGTCCACAATCGCCCTACATCTCAACGCACGTACCCACATCGGGAGTCCGTGTTGCATGGCCTGCCGCTGCGCCAGCTCCCGCCATGGCGCATCCTGGTCGCCCCGCGACCCAGATCGCGGGTGGCGCCCAGGTGCCGGTATCTCCTCCCGTTCCAGCCCACTGGATTGAGGGCGTAGTGGAACCCAGCTTTGAAAACCCGCATCCCCAGCAGCCGCACCAACAGCAACAACAGCAACAGCGCCTCGTCAGAGCGTCAACTGGGCTCGACAGGCACTCACTTTTGGCGCGGCTGACGGAGCAGGCGGAGCGTCGTACTGCCGAATGGGAGCGGGCTCGATCTCAGAGCAGCAACAGCGCCCAGAGCATTCCACAGAACCGCGTCCGCAGCCAGAGCCGAACGCAGGGTGCACAGCGGCGCGTGCAGAACCAGAGCCCGCTTCACGGAAGGGAGCACAGCAACGGCTCGCAGCGGTGGAAGAGCCCGCAATCGCAGCTGCAGGAGCAGCGGCAACAGTGGGCCGCGGCTGCTGCCGCGGGGGCAACGGCCGGTGGTCAGCAACAGCCGCGGCGCATGCAAGCTCAACCGCAGGACGGCTCGCGCGCAAGAGATAGACCGATGAGCCCCGCCAACACACAGCAGCAGCAGCAAGGGCTGCAGCGGCTATGGTCTGCACCTTTTGCTGGGCCAGACGGTAAGGCGACCGCTCCTCCCTCTCCCGCCCCGGTTCCCCGGAGTGCGCAGCCACGAAGCGCCGGCACCGGTGCTTTGGATTACCAGCAGCCAGCAGCAGGGCCCTACGGCGGCCCGTATGCGGCTAAGTCCCATCACTTGCAACGAAGCTACGAGCAGCTGCATGGCGCTGACTACCCTGGCTTGCGCAGCAGCAGTCCTAACTTGCGCTTAGGATGTGCCGCTGTAGGCGAGGAAGAGCTCCAGGCCACAGCCACCTGGCGCCACTCCGGGCTGGAGGCCGGCATGCCGAGATACCGATCGTCAGATGCGGATGCAAGCGTGATTGCAGGCCAGCTCCTACAAGAGGCGCAGCTGGCTGCGGCCTTGTCGCCGGCCATGTCACCGCTGCCAGGCGACTATCGCAGCTTAGGAGGCAGCAGACCCGGGGGCTGTGAGCAGCAACCGCTGCAGCAGCTACGTAGGGCCCCGGCCGGTCACCGTATGCCGCCTGCGCTTGGTCAAACCTCGGCTTTGGAAAACCTGTTGGCCGTAGCGGTAGAGGGGAAGCTGCCGCCATCACCACAACCTAGTCCCGGCAAAGGCTCGGTACGGCAGCGCGGGCCGCGAGGTGCCGCTGCAGCTGAAGCTTCGCCAATGACGGAGGCTTTCAATGCTTTCTTGGGTCGCTGCCAGGCCGGTTGGGATGCTGGCGGTGCGTCCACATGTGGGTAAGTCGCATGGGGAGAACGGCATGCAAGCCGAGCGACCCTTTGTTCTCGAGACCGTGCGACGCCTTGGGGCCTAGCGTGTCGGACAAGGGGTGTCAATGTTGCCACGTAATTCGTACATGTTTCCTTTGTTGCGTGCAGGCCAAACATGCGCGCTGGTGAGTTTGAGCCGCCGTCTCCTCAGAGCCCAGACCTGTCCGGTGGCGTCCGCGCTTCCTGGCCAGACTACAGCAACCACGTTGCGGGTAAGCGCTTGCAGGGCTACGCTGACACTTGTTGCTTTCGCAAAGAATCCTTGCGTAATCCTAGAGCAGGTATACATGAATGTCCAGTGTATGGTAGCATTAAGTCATTTTGGCAGCGGCGTCAGGACTAATGGCTGTAGCAGGAGGCAACGTTGTCCCTCGCAGCGACTCTCATTGCAACGTGTTCGATTGGGGCTGGTGCAAACCAAAACGCAACAACTTTTGTCCTGAAAGCAGCGTATGCTGGCTGTTTCCCAACCTCTCAGCCTCTTCAAACGCCGCAGGGTCCACTGCCCGCCACCCCCGTGTCGCATGGGGTCTACTTCAGCATCAAGACGGGCCTCAAACACGACCTGCCACGCCGCCAGATATGCTACCGCTGCTGCAGCTCGTCTTCAAGGGCTGGAAGGAACAGGTGGGCCATTGTAGCTACTTTGGGGAGAACTGGGGGAGCGGGATGCCGCCATGCTATGCGGCTTGCGGTGTGAAGTCGTGCTTGGCGCCCTTGCCTTGTTCGGTACCTTGAGGCCTGGAGCCGAACACTTGCTTGACGTCTCTTTTAGACGACACAAACCTTTCCCCGGGAAACCCAAGACAGATCTAGACTAAAGATGCCGCATACGGCACGCCCCCTGCTTCCCCATCCTCTGCTCGCTGTCTGCACCTTAGGTGGCCCTGCGGAGGCTCTTTGATCTTCTTGCAAGCGATCGCGAATGGCGGCTGCGCGCTCAAGCGTTCTCCGCATGGGTTGGGTTGACGCGTGAAATGCAGGTGAGTGACGCTCTGTGAGCTCAATACATGGCGTAGAGTTCTCCATTGCCAGTGCAATGCCCCGCTCTCACTACGCTTTCCTGGCCACCGCATTCACCCGTCCGCCATGCTCGTTGTTTCTGCTGCTTCGGCTTGCAATCATTTCCTTGTCTCAGTGTTGCTGTTGCAGCTGATAGCTGTGTCCATCGCTCAAGCTAGCCCTCCTTTCCTGCACCCCTTCCCCTCCAGGCACACCGCGCAACCGCTACTTCCGTACTTTCAAGGCACTGCCAGCGCTCCACTCTGACCGCCGCATGGGCTGTTTGGCGCCACAGCCTGGCCCTCTCGGCCCGCGCTCATCACATGGCTTCCTCTTACTACGCACGGAGCCTCGCTGCCAAGACACTGCGGTGTTGGATAACGTACTGGGCTCGGCGGGCCTCAGTGCGCGTGCTGTTGCGACACCGAGCAGCTGCAACGCTGCGGGCATGCCTGGCTGCGTGGCGGCAGCTCGCAGCGGCTGCTGCTGCTGCTGACGCAGGCAGTGGCGGCGGTGAAGGAAGAGGAGGTGTGGAGGAAGGGTGCTTTGCGCCCTTGGCGGCCGATGGTGAGCAAAGCAGTGGCCAAGTAGCGACGGCGGCGGAGGAGGCGGAGACGGATGCGGGAGATGCTTCACCGGCCGCGGATGCATGGGGCTTTGCAGTTGTTGGAGGCTGGGGTTCAGGGCATGTCGAGGCGTGTGACGGCTGGGGACCAGGGCAGCCCGCGGAGGCCTGGGAGTCGCAGCAGGTTGCAGCTGAGGATGGCTGGGCAACCAAACAGCCCCCAGAAGGCTGGGGTTCTGGAGAGGCAGCGGACGCAGTTGATGCTTGGGCCTTCGTCAAGACCCCGGCATTGGGCGGGCTTGGTGCTAAGCAGCAATCTGCTGGTGATGCGGATACCAAATCGGCCGATCCAAAACCCTCTGGCAACCACAACGACGTCGTGCTGCAGCCGAGCAGCGGCTGTGACGCCCAAGCGCCGCAGCAACAACAGCCGTGGGGATGGCCGCCGGCTGAGCCCGCCTCGGCTGAAGCGTCCGGTGCTGGAGTTGCGGTCGCAGAGGATAGTTCCGCTCATAAGGGCTGCAGTGATGGTGCGGCTTGTAGCCCCGGCGACGTCAATAGCCAGCGCGCCGACGGGCCGGACCTAGCCATTGGGGATAGTGGTGCGGATCAACAGCGGGCCCCATCCACCGACCCAGTTGCGCACCAGACCGAGGCCGTCAGCCCAGATCACGAGGAAGGAGAGGGCAGCGACACCGGCGACGGTGTTGCATGGGAGGGCTTCGGCTGGAGACCGGCCATGGAGCCACACGCGGGAAGCCTGCAAGATTCTGAACCCAAGGAGTTGCCCGGCGGCGCGGTGGAGGCCCAGGCACGGAAAGCCCTTGCAGACGCCGGGGATCAGTGTGGGGAGGCGGTGGGGACAATGGAAGAACAGGAAGTGCAGGAGGCGGCGCAGCAGGGGTCGCAGGAGGGCGAGGAGCAAGAGGCTGAGGACGGGGACAAGGTGCAGGATGCCTGGGAGATGAAGTACGGCGCTGATGTGCATCGGCTGCTGCGCTTGCGCCACTGCTTCCGATCTTGGTTGCTTCTGGCGGATCTGGGGGTACAGGTAGGGGCCGAGGGAGCGACTTGACACACGATTTGCGTTCCCATAGACGTCTACGTAGATAAAGGCCAACTTGTTTGCTTACGCGCTTTGCTCACACTTGTATCCGCTATTCCCAGCTGGTCCCTTAATCGCCTGCTGGCTTGATCCGACTATCCCCACCGCCCGTCCTCCTCATGTTTCTACCTTTTGTTCCGCTTCTTAACCTCTTGCAGACCATGTCTCACCAACACGAGCTGCGGCAGCGCGTGCACGAGGAGTTGCTGCAGGATGCAGCCCTGCTCGAGGCCGCCGACCTGCTTGCGCGCCATCGCTACCTGGCGCCAACGTTGCATGCATGGCGGGCGCTGGCGGCAGCAGCCGCCCAACAGCGGGCGCTATCGCCGCCACAAGTTCTGTCTCAGCAGCAGCAGCAGCAATCCCCAGCAACCAGTGGCGGATTCACAGTTTCACGCCAGATGGCCGTACCCGATGGCGTTCATTCTGAGCAGAAGCAGCAGAACCCAGCGAAGACGAGCTCGCAGTCCAGCGGGTCGGAAACGGCCAGCGCCAGCGATGTCGGCAACGGCGTCCCTTGCGGCGGTAGCAGCCCGGGCAGCAGCAAGCACAGCACGCCTGAGCATGCGCTCCCTGTTGCCAATGACATGGCGCGAGCCGACGTCGCCAGCCGCCAAACGCCAATCGCTCCTGTCCATCCTTTCTTTACCTCCACACCCGTTAGTGGCTCTGTCACCTCTGCAGCAGGTGCCGCTGGCGCGGCGTCCTGTCGTAGCGGCGCAGGCAGCGGCTGCCATAACGCCTGCGGCACCCCACCTAACGTACACTCGGCACAGCTGGCGCAAAGTCGCGGCCCCGGCGGCGGCTCGGAGGCAGCCTCTAGGCTAGAGGGCGCGATAAGCGCTCCCAACGCGAACGCCGATCCCAACATGAACCCCGCGACTCCGCTGCCACTGCAACACGGGCGCGACGCCCTCGCTGCCATGCGGCCTGACGACTTTGTCCAGTTGCTGGAATCCGATATCGAGTGGTACACAGACTACCTGACGCCAGGGGCGCAGACCGGGAAACATAACCGCAGCCGCAGTGCGATCTGCGCGGCTCACTCCACTCCCGTGGCTGGTGGCCGGCATGCAGGGGGAGCCTCGACGGCGCGACCTCCTTCAGCCTCGGATGCTGCGTCTGGCAACATGACAGGCTGCAGTCCAGCTGTGGCACCGCGTGGGGACGGAGGCGATGGTACCGCTGGTGGCGGTGGTGGCAGCAGCAGTGAGGTGGCACCAGGGCAGCAGCCTCGGTCGGAGCGCGGGGCGGCCACTCGGGCGTCTGTCTCTTCCACAACGTCTTCATCGGTGGGGTCATCCTCACCCGCCACAGGTGCTGCTGCAGCAGGGCCTGCTACGGCGGCAGCGGCGGCGGCAGCTCAGCCGGCCGTCCTACCATCCGCTTTGGCAGATGGACAGCTGCAGCCGGGTTCTGCGACGTCAGACCGCAGCTTTAGCCATGGCCAACCTGCTGAGCTCCGGACGCCAGCAGCGGCGGCGGCTGTAGAACGCAGGAGCCATACCGGTAACAACGCAGGCGCAGGCTTACGTATCAGCTCTGATAACTACGGCCTTGGCAGCAAGAGGGAGGACGCCATGGAGCATATGCGCCGCTCAGCTGCGGTTTCAACGCCATTCGACGAGCGGCGGCCGGCACCGACATTACCGCAACAGCAGCAGCAACAGACGCAAGGGCAGGGCTTTGGAATGGCGACGGCTGCGTTGCCGGCGGCAGGCCGGGCCCGTGATGCGTTGGCGTCGCCGCCGCTTGGCTTTGCACAGAGCGAGTTAGCTCCGGAGGCGGAGGAAGACGATTACGACTACGATGCCGATGCGTACCACTACTATGGGGCTGGCACAGCTGACGACATGTACGGCCCGGATGCGTACGGCATTTACCAGGGACCAGGGTTCCCGGTACCTAGGTCACCACAGCTGCAGCTCCCTCCCCGGCAATTGCACCAGCAGCAGCTAGATCAGCATCAGGTGCGACAGCAGCTGCTCATGCATCGCCAGCAGCTGCAGCCCCTGCCGCAGCAGCAACAACAACAGCGTCGTTCAGTTCCTGCCGCCACGGCGGACCGCCGCTCCAGAGCGGGAGGAGATAGCGTGCCGATCTTCCTGAAGGCTAGCGCCGGGGCCAAGGGTGGATTGCAAGTGCGTGACGGCAGGGCCGCCGTCGATTCGGAGCGAGACTGGCCGCCAATGGGGGAGTACGTGGCCTCGCCTATGAGCAGCGAAGACGGTGTGCCGTACAAGCGCTACGTTGCATTGCCAGGGGAAGCGGGCGTGATGCGGGTACGCGGGGGCCAGTTTTAGGCGTCTTGGAGGTAGCGTGGTGGAATGCTGGGGTGTGTCGAGGAAGGATTGTGCGTCCATGTTAAGCTTGCAATGGCCTGTTTTGCGTGATGCTTCTGTCGGCTGTGACGGGCAGAAGGATTACCTGACATCGGTTGATTTGTGGAAGACATGTGGAACTCTATTGACAACTAAACTTTCTCGTATTGACGGTTGACGGTGACTTTGGCGAGCATTGGCTTGTATGTATGGTAAGCATTGCAGCGGAGATGGTGATGTTGAGGACGCATCAGGGTATGTAGGACGACGCCTTTCTAGAGGCGAGCAGGGAGGTATTCAGGCGGGAGTGCAAGCAGCAGTGGGGTGCGTCACCATAGGTGGGGCTCGAGCGTGGCGAGTACCGGTACGGTGCTTTGCATGTGTTGCGAGTAGCTTGCGAGTCTTCTTGGGGACGAACCTTGTGATGAGTCAACGCTGGATACCGCAAACCCCATGTATTGTGCTGACATGTGTCCAAGATCTTGTCTTTGCCACAGCAACACGTGTGGGGACACGTATACCGTTGTTGGTGCATGTTCTGGGGACGCGGGCGAATCAGCGGCGAAGGGCAGTACTGGTCGGTGGGCTGGGTTAGGGGCTGCGTGGGGACCTTGAGGTCGATGAGTAAGCACTAGCAGCCCTTTTATGCAAACCGAAGGCGATCCAAAAGCCTTGAGGCGAAGGGTTCAATGGAAACACGGGGCGAGTAGATGCCACAGCATGTAGGGCTGCTTGCTGCTCGTCTTTTTGTCGCGGCTGATCGGCTTCCAAACAAGACAGCCCGTAGGCGATACTTTAGGATCGTATGTGGTTACATGTGCTAGTGACATGTAGCAGAACAACAGTACATGTATAGAACATTAGAGATTGGAGCATTGGACATCTTCGCTAGCTGTAGTACATTACGTACAGCATAGGACCGAGCTACCCAGCGAAGCACGCTTTGCAGATGGTATGCAGCGCATCGTATGCACCGTGCGTGCAAGACTAGATGCAATTGCACGTACCGTATTACCCTTAAGGATTCCCTGACAACCCGTCAACTTTCCTGTCTACCGCTCTCTTTTCTTTCAATCTACCATCTACTACTTACGGAAAATATTGATAGGATATTACTTCAGTTCCTTAATGTCAGTTACACCCAAACTTTCAAACTTGGCTGTCGCCATTGCACAGACGGCTTTCCGGGACCGAAGAGTTAAGCTTTCTGGGAGATATCGTTTGCTTTAATAACTGTAATTGTACCACCACACCTGCGCCCGGTTCCCCTGGTCTCTCCAAGCGGCAACTCAACATTCGCTGCAAAACGACTAGAGTGAAAGGCCATACGGGCGAGTAGACCGCATCGGATTCGAACGCAACGGAAGAACTTTCCATGAAGGTAAGCAATAAACGCGGAAACGACACATATGTGGCTTGCTGACCATTTGGGCGCTGATATCATACTATAATGCGCGCAGACAACAGGAAACAACGCGGCAAACAGGAGGAAGACGTCTGGTGATAGATTATCGAGAGAAGCCTTGGCTTTATTGAACTCTTCCAACCTCCTTGACCGGCCGTCTGGGTCTGCGGATGTTAAGCCTGAGCCAGACCTACCTATTCGGGTCCCCACCAAAGGCAAAAAGGGTCTCTCAGCTCCACCAGCACCAGAGATCCATCCAGATTCCTCGCAGCCCCTGCAAAATGAGCAGCGCGGGGAAGACTTGTTCGTTCAACCAGGAGCCCGGGAAAAGAAAGGAACGAGCAGCAAGCGTCCAGAGCCGCATGGATCGCAGCCCGACACGGACGCTGCATGGGACGTCAGCAAGGCCAAGAAGCACAAGTCGAGTCGTAACTCAGAAGTCGAGAACCAGAAACCGGGAGGGGGTGACAATGCAGGTGCCGGTCCTTCATCCGGCGACAAGGATGGCGCTCATGCGCCTCGTGTAAGCGGCCCCAATGGAGATGGCGACCCATCAAAGAAGCGCCAGCGGCACAGCAAAAGCAAAGACCGTAGCCGCCATGAGGGGCAGGAAAAAGGTGGGCTCCAGTATTCTGCTGCGAGGGATAAGAGGATTGACTCTCAAGTCTGCCGGGTCTTTAAACAATACTGTGTCCGTTGCTTGCAGAGCCAGCAACACGGTCCCTTAATGGAGCAGACGGAGGCGCCCCCAATAGCGTAGCCGCTGCTGACGCTGATAGGCATGCTGCAGGCGGTAGTGGAGCCGCTAACAAGCGCAACTCAAAGCCGCATGCAGCTCCAGCCCAAGGCTCCGAGGCTACCGCAGCAGCGAAGGAGCCTTTGAAGGAGGCGTCCGCTCCAGCAGCTGCAGTGCCAGCGCGCGCGCAACATGCAACCGGCCGGGCGGGTGACCCTCCTGGAGCCGCGCAAGGTGCCAAGCCCGCCAGCAGGGCCACAGACCAGGGCCAACATGCACCGGTTGTGCCGGAGGCTGCCGCCGGGACCTCGGCTGCCGGCGCTGCTGCGCCACAGCAAGCAGCAGCGCCCATCAACGCTGGTCGCCCCTCAGCACAACCGCTACCGCAGCACCCTGCAGTTTACCGGGGCCGCGATGGAGGTGTATCAGGCGCTGCCGTATCCGCCAACCCTGCAGCTGCCCCGGCTGAGGTGCGGCGACCGGCTGCTCCGTCGGCCCGTGCACCTGCGGAGGCAGCACCTGGCCCAGCGGCAGTTGGCGGGCGACCCGTGGCGAACAACGCTTCGGGCGCTGGGGCATCAGGGTCCTCTGGTGTTGCAGCGCAGTCCGACAGCGAGGCTGCCTCAGCTCGAGTAGCCGCTGCGGTTGCAGCGGCCGCTGCAAAGCCATTGCCTCCTACCGGTACGACGCCGATAAAGGTGTTCGCGCCGGTTGCATTGCCACGCCTGGACGACATTGGCAAGCACGAGCGGAGCGAGGTCTTTGAGCTGCAGGTAAGCTGCAGCTGTCGGGTTCGTCCGCTGGCTGAGGCAGCTGGCGTCGATAAACCCTCTGGCAGCATTGAGGCCAACCTTTGTGAACCCGACTGTCTTTGCATGCAGCGGCAACTGTCAGAGCTGCGGGAGATGTACGACGAGCTGAAGGTCAGTACGGCAGGAGTCTTACCACATGGGTCATTACGGCTTAAAAGGTTGCTTATACATGCGCCTTTGTGGCTCGGATTGTTGCTGTTTCAAAGTTGCAGTCATGCACACGCTACTCCCCACCTACGCTTCAGGTTACCAAGATTCAGGAGCTGGAGAGGGTGCTGGCGGAGCAGGTCGAGTACACCGAGGAGATGGTGAGTTTGCAGGGAAATGCAGCGCTGCATCGAGCTCGCCACGCTGTCTAGCGCCGTGTATCGTGCGCCTGATAGCGTGCACAGGAGCCGATGCAGCCGTGCAATAACCCGCGGTGCGATGTATTGCATGCACCCCTCTCACTGGCCCTGTTCATGGTGTTCGCTCTCCAGGTGCGGCATGCGGACCAGCGGGCACGGCGCTGGCAGCAGGCTGCCGAGCGCGCGCAGCAGGAGGCGAAGGAAGCCCGCTCAGAGGAGACGGCACAGCGCATTGCCGCGCTGGAGGTAGGCGCTGGGTTGGGCATGTGCCTAATTAAAGTGGCCGGGAGATTGCCCAGCTATTGCGCGCGTGGACAAGGTACCTTGACAGGCCGTCTAGCGTAGCCGCACGACACCCTCGGTAACAGCGCGTAGCAACAGCATGCAGGCCTGCAAAATCTCTCTCTAGGACCTGCTGCCCCCGGCTTTCGCATATCTCCTCTGGCTTATGCTCAAGCTACCGCGTGCCCTTGCCCTGAACAGGCCCAGGTTGTTGAGCTCCTGAAGGAGAACAGCGAGCTGCTGCTGCGTGTGGTGCAGCGGGAAGGGGAGCTGGCGCAGAGCCAGCAGGCGTACCACGATCTGCGGGCGGAGATGCTACAGCTCCAAGCCGCTCGTGCCAGTGGCCACAAGGAGGGAGGCGACGGTGGCGAGGGTGACGGCGAGGGCAAAGGCTTGGCGGATGACAAGCAGCCCGAGGACAAGGGCAATGCGGGGGAGGCCGCCGCTGGAGACCGGGCCCCTGAAGGCGACGGCATGGAACAGGTGAGACTTGGTTTAGGATAAGGGAAACAAAGGGCCACGGTGCTTAGCCGACAGCTTTTAGCCGAGACGCTGGTCGAAAAATGACAACCTCATCCGAGCCGTGATGCTTCACAATGTCTCCTCGCCTGTGCCTCGTCCCTGTGTGTTACGCGGTTCTGCATCAGGATCAGGCGAGGCCTTCGCCGGTGATTAGCCTGCGGAGGAGTTTTGCCTCGCCGACCGTGACCCTGGGCACCATGCTGCCCGCCGCGGACTCTCACATTGGCCGCGCCGTGGCGCTGCAGTTCCCGACTCCTTCTCCTGGTGTGGCCGTGCAGTACCCGACACCGGGCATTAACAGCAACCTCATGCGTCTTCAGGTATGTCGAGGCCCACACTCCTATACCCTTTGTGCGTATGTACGGGACCGCGCTTGCGCGTACTGCCGTACCGTATTGGCGCCTGATTAACTTCCCTGTGCCGGCATGTTGTTGGCCTCCTTGAGCCCGAACCGTTTGATCCACCGCAGGACATGCTGGGCAACCTCATTTCGATGCCCGGCTCAGGCAGTCGCAGCCGAGGGCCGGGGGTTAGCATCGAGTGCCAGCGCATTGTCGACATGCTTCCCAACTGGGCCGGCATCAGGTGCGAGTTTGGTCAATAGCGTTGCGAGTTCGTCGTCTGCTTTGGGTATGGCTCATGTCCCCGGTGCCACGAATATCGTACACTGTTGCGTCTGACCTTGCAGGACTCAGTCGCCGAGCATCCGATCATGCCTGGCGTCGGGTCTGACACCGCAAGTGGAGCAGGGAGAGGTCACGCAAGCGGGAGCTAGCGATGCCCAGGGGGTTACGCCATCCGCTGCTGCGGCCCAGCAGCAGGAGCAGGCGGGGACGCTGCTGCCTTCGAGTAACGGCAGGTGAGCGCTTAACCCATAGTACTCAGCTTCTGCTAGCTGTGATGCAGACAATGGCATCATTTGTGACCACAAACACACCTTGCCCACGGGCCCGGCAGCGGGTGAACACCACACCTCAAGTGCCCAACTCCTCCGGTTGCCTGGATGGCAAATGCGAGCTAACATACTGTACGTTTGTTGACTGCAGGCGCTCGTCCGGAAGCCCCATTGACGGCATCTGCGGTGCCGACCAGCGCAAGACCGGGGTTCCTAACTTAACAGCGGACATTTCCTTTGCACATGGAATGGGCGCACCCGAGGCTTTCGCGCTGCAGGTAACGGTGCCTACGTTGCTATATGTGGTGGCGGCAACTAGCCGTTGTGCGCGATCTCTTTCGCAACGCATCAAACGCTGGTGCTTGCTTTGCATGTTGTAGGGGCAGTACACCTTTGTGGATCTCAATCCCGCGTCGGCGCGCAAGACGGAACGCCCTCCGAGCATGGCAGCAGGATTCGCCGCCGCCCTTGGTGGCGCCATTGCAGCCGCCGATGGCGACCGACCCCAACAGGTAAGACTTGGTATCTCCACGATGCAGCATGATTGCGTTGACCGCAGCGCCTACCGTGGAGCTGGTGTGCTAACTAGGCCGGCTTTTCCGGGCGCCATGTTCACCTAAAGTGCGGGCCACCGCTTTTCGCGTACCACGGAAAGCTCTAGGCGTACGGTAATCCCTTCTAAGATGAGTCACGCGCGTTATGTGCGCAGGTTGCACAGCTTACGGCCGGAAGCGGTGTGGCGCATGAGGCTGGTAGCCCTGGGGCCAACGTCACCGGCCCGCTGCGGTTCTCGCCGTTGGGACGTGCAAAGGCACCGGTAAGCCTGTAATCGCGCACTTCATAATTGGCGAAACCTCGTGAGGCGCTACTGAGCCTAACTACCGCTACTTCCGTCACGACAGGTCCCCATGTTTGCTACCGGTGGAGTAACCTGTGGACTGCCGCACAGCACGGGGGCTGGCATGGCCGTCATGAATTCGGGCTCCGTGGCGAGCAACCAGGACAGCTGCACGGTCAACGGGCTGGTTGCTCGCGCCAAACTGCATCTTGAGGGGCTGCAGCGCAGCGCCTCGGCCCTCGCGGGCCTCAGCCCCAACAAGCAGCCGGCCAACGACACGGCGCAGGTAATGATGGCCGCAGGTCCATGTGATTGCGCATGCGCCTCAGGGAGTCGGGATATTAACGCAGGCTCATGTGCTGAATGTGTGTACCGGTATTGGCATAATTGCCACCCAGTATCGCTTACCGTATAGCGAATGCCCCAATCTGGCTGCAGGTGGATGCAGCCGTAGCCGGGGGCAGCCGCTCTCCTGTGGTGGAAAACCGCCGGCAGTCGCGCCTGTACGTGCCTAGCCCACTTGGTAGGGCCACGTCTGGGCGGCAGACGGAGCAGCAGGTTGAGCCTGTGCCGGAGATGGAGGAGCCACCAAAGGAGGCGGAGCCTAGCCGCCCGCCGCCTCAGCGGACGCCCATTACGTGAGTTGGGCATCTTGGGTCTGTCTTGCGTTTCCGCTTCCAAGCAGTTTTCCCATGTCAGCTTATCAGCCATTGTCAGGGACAGCTTGCGCGGATTGCATGTGGATCCGGGGTGCTACGAAGGAGTTCCAGCTTGTCGCCAAAGCCTAACGGTTGCACACACATGCCTGACACTATCTCCCGTTCCCGCGCCTCCAGGGGACCCACGCCGCGCACTGCAAAGCTCGCGGTGTACGAGAAGCTGACCGACTGGCACATCGAAGACGCGACAACCAAGCCAGAGAGGTGCATCATGACACACATCCCATCGGGCGTGTCGTTCGAACTTCGCGAGGTGAGACGGTTGGTGCTGCTCAGCACGGCAGGTGCGCGCTGTTGAGAGCAGTGCCGTGTTGGGTCACATAGTCAGTGCGTGTTCTTGCAGCCATGGCAGCTACCTTGTTACTTTCGTATAATTCTTTCCATACTTGAGCATGGCTCATCGGCCGGTAAGGAATATCCCTGTTGCACTGGTACCGTAGGCTAGCCTGGAGGACATGGAGCTGGAGGCGGAGCTGTCGCTGGAGCGACCCGAGGGTCAGGCGAACGGCGCTGGCGGCAGCACGGCGGCACTGGCCAATCAGCCGAGGCTCATGGTATATACGCCCCTAAGTCTCGGCTCTGTGGAAGAGCACCTGCCGGAGTACTATAAGGTACGCGACATAGCAACAGCATCGTCGGTGTAGCAATGATAGCAGCACTGCGCTAGAGGGTGTGTCATGAGCTCAACTATTGTACCCGTTACGTAGCGCGGCTGGCGTGTTCATGTTCCTTAGCGACGCGTCCGAGGTCCCTCTTTTCCCATACTGCAGGAGACACTACAGTTTCCGGAGAACCAGCGGAAGGCATTTACCGATCGCCTAAGAAAGGCCGTAGCCGATGCCCTCGCGGCCAAGAAGCAATGATTTGCCAAGCCTCCGTGGGGCAGGATGCTGGGCCGCAACCCTCGCTTAAGGTGGTCAAGACCATCTACCGACAACAACATTGCCTTACGCCAGCTTCCTTTTTTTGGCGAACGCAGGCGCGTGCCTTTGCTTGCCGTACACTTCTTTTTCCGGTTTCATGCGCCATTACCTTGCGCTGCAAAGGCTGGTTCAGGGAGGGCTCCCCTGGTGGCCTTGTGTCATAATGGACTCCTTGTAGGACAGCTACTTAGGGTTCAACTTTTCTGCGGTCTCGTATCTTGACCGGGTGGATGATATCGTAGGCTAGTTGTGAGCTGCATGCTGTACACTATGAAAGAGGAGGTATTTGAAGATCTGATGCCAGCAACCCTGTGCGGCTTTCGCAAGTCCTAATGGTTTTGTGAGTGGTTACACCAGGAGCATGTCATGTCGACTGGAACAGGTCGGATGCCACCTGGTCTGGTCTCTTTGGAGTTACACTTTGCCCATACCGGCATACAGATTGTAACAGTAGCAGTGTCTTGCACGTCGGCCTCTTCGACGTGCCCAGCGAACTTATGGGGCGAGTTACTGCATCCTATGGTTCCACCTGTCTAGCTACCGCTAACAAGCTGACGCATTGCGAGAATCTTCCCCTCTAGGCCCCTAGTGGGGAAAAGCCTCATGCGTGGTTCGGGACATCCAGTCGTCTTTCGGGTTAGTATGGCCTGCATCTCCTTTCAGGTGCTCTTTTAGACCGCCTGCACCATCAGAAGGGCTGAACAGTTGTTCAGTGCTGTTGCACCGGCAGGTAGGGGTATGGAGCGTATTCAGCGTAACTATGTCTATGGTTGTAGTAAAAGCACTGGGCCACTTAGCAGAGGACGCGGTATACTGTAGGTCAAAAACCGTCCATGTTCACGTAAAACTGCTGAAGCGGTAAAGCCCGAAGCCAGAAGTTGCTCTTCCGGCAGTTGACAAAGGATTCTGCACTGGACAAACCGCTGACCCAACTCGGTAAACTAGGTGATTAGGTCGTCTGTAGCATGATAAACGAATGTTAACAACATAACTAAAACACTACCTTGCTACGGTAGTGGGTCAATTAGGTCACCTTAACCATGATGACCATCTTGTAAGATAATGAATGCGTTCAAGAACCAGTGCGGGGGAATATGACCACGAATACAGCTGCCAAGTTGCGACTGTACAACTCGTCGTACAATCTGGGCCAGTCCCTATTTCGGCGGCTTGCTCTTCTTTGTCCTGTATAACGTCGAGCACGTATATACCGTGCAGTGCGGTTCTCTCTGCCGTCTGTTACCTTTTCTTCCCGCACCTTCCCTGTTGAATGAGTGAAAAGCCTCCGCTTGTCGCCGGCGCTAACAGCAATGGCTATCGTGGCAAGGGCATTTCCTGGGCTCACCTTCGGCACCACGCCGTCATCTGCTATGGACAGCACGAAGAGGTGACTTGGAGGGAATTGGGGCCGGACAGGACTCGGCTGGGTTTGAAGCGTTGGGACTATCTAGTAATGGAGTTTGGTGTTATGTCTACCTGTCTTATGCCTATTTTGCAAAGATGTGAACGGCCGGCAACCTTCCTGCCACGTAATAATTGGACGGTGGAGGTTGCTGTTTCCACCTCCTTGCGTCATCTTGTTTCCCCAGGCCTCACCATAAGTCCTTTGTTACCAAGGGCGCGCGTGACAAGTGCCTCTCCCGCTTACTGTCCATTCTGGTAGGACCCTGGCTAAGGAGGCTGGCTTGGCGCGATGCTGGCAGTCTTTTGACGTTGCGGCCAGCAATGTTAAAATTACTTCAGAAATTAAGGAGGAAGTTCGCCGTCACGGAATTCCCAAAGGCATACGGGCGGATGCCTACTTCGCGCTCTCGGGAGCCTCCAGCCTCCAACAGGAGCACGCGAACACGTACACGTCATTAGCTGCGAGCACCTCCAACCTCAGCGACGAAGTCATCTTTGGGGTAGAGGATGACGTTCGCAGCGCACGGCTGGTCTTCAAGGACAGCCCCCTGTTTGCAACGGCCAAAGGCGCAGAGGTGTTATCACGCCTTATCTTTGCCTACATTCAGCGGAATCCAGCATGCGGGTACTTCAAGGGTCTCGCGCACATTGCCGCCCTCCTGTTAGCCACGTTTGGCAAGCAACGTGAAGAGCAGGCGTTTTGGACGCTTGTTGCGCTTCTGGAGCGGCGGTTGTTTCCCCACTGCGGCGGCCAGGTAGGTGTTGTAAGTACCGATACGGGATACGGCGTCCAAGGTCCTGTCACCCTCGCATGGGTGTTGCCTCTGCTTATGCGGCAAGGTGCATCCCTTCATTTATCGCGACTACGAGCGCCTCCTCGGTCGCTTGCTTCGCCGACAAGGAAAAGCTTCTACGTGTACGAACGCAACTGAGCGCACTTGATGTTTGCACGGCCCACAGGTGCCCACTGGCTCCCGAGTGGAGGTCCAAGTCCTGAAGGTGCTGCTAGGGCAGCGGCAGCCGGCGCTTGCAGCGCAACTCGCCAAGCTGGATTCCGACGCGGTTGAGAGCCTTTGCAACAGCTGGCTCTCCACCGCCTTCACACGAACGCTGCCGCAGGAGGCAAGTGGGGCTTTGGGGGGCATATGTGCTTCTCATGCTTCGCGACTGCAGGAGCGTGTCACTGCTGCGCTTGGTGCTTGCTTGCTAGGCATCTTGTTGGTTTTGACACACACGCATCGAAGCATGTCGTCTCAGTCGTCGCCTTTCCGTTGTCCTTACATCTCAGGTGGTGCTGCGCATCTGGGACTGTGTGGTGGTGGAGGGCCCCAAGGTGGCGCTCAGGACCGCCATGGCACTCATCAAGGTAGGGGGATCACCTCGCCATGGTGGGAGTGCATCGAAAGGAAAGGGCTGGGGCATGGGGCAAGCCGGACATGGTGACATGGCGTGCATCCATGACGGTTACCTTTATTCCGCCTCATCTCCTACCCTCCCTCTCCTCTCATTCAGATGTGCGGCAGCAGCATCCAAAGCTGCACCACCATGCCTGTCCTCTGCCGCGTCGTGGAGGGCCGCCTCGCCCGCCACAGCGACGCGGACGCGCTCCTGTCTGTCGCCTTCAAGGGCCTGGGCAGCCTCAGCGGCTCCAACGTGGATTCCATCCGTAACCGCGTGCTGGCCAACATGCAGAGCCAGCAGAAGACGCGGTCGGGCCTTCCAGCACCCCTGGGCGCAGGCGCCGCCAGTAGCCTCCTTGCGGCTGCCACGGCCAGCAACCTGGGTGCCAACAGCACCAGCAGCAGCGGAGAGTCGGTCGTCAACAGCGCTCCCCGCCGGAGCAGCAGCGGAGGCAGCAGCGGCAGCCTCAGCCTCAACGGCTACCACAAAACGGCCAGCAGCGGCAGCCTGAGCGGCTACAACAAGGCGAGCTACAGCGGTAGCAGCAGCACGGGTAGCCGGCCGGCGAGCAAGCAGGGCATGTCATGGCCGACCGTGAAGAGCACCGGGGCGCTGGCGGGCATGGCTTGAGGTGGTGAGGTGGTTGCGGGTTATCCTGGGACTACCTGGGGAGGTCAACGGAGGAGGTGTTGGCGCCACGGCTAGAGTCCACGGTGTGTTATGCGATTGCGGTTTTGGAAGATGGAGGTGGTTTCGAGGTGTTGAAGGATGGGAAGATTTGGGCGTTGTCGCCCCTTCATTTATCGACGGCATGTGACGTTGGGTTGTGGCTGTCTGGTTCTCCATCATCGTAACTGTTACGGGAAGGCGCCGTATACTGGTACCTAAACAGGTGGTGGTCAGTTGTAATACTTCACCCGCATGGTATGATACCATTGTATGCTGCTTGCCAGGGTACACAGGTTTTCAACGGTTTATTTGTATGACTTCACTTTTGACGCAGGATGTGCTAGGTCTCCTGGTTACCGTGTGGCCGAGAAGGGACGGTTAGCTGCTTGCCTGTGCTTGAGCTCTGTGTGGCTCGATTAACTGTTTCCTCAGCCCGTTACCCTTCCAAGTTTACTTGCCGAAAAGGCCCCTAAAACGGTAACTGGGTTTGCATGGAGATTCATGATGACCATGTAACGTTGCAACCTTCTTGATGGCAGTCGTGGTGGGGAGGACTTAACGTACGCGGTTTGCTACGAACGCTTTTATGTGATTGGTCTGCGGTGATGGTAGCGCACTGCATGTTGGTCTGCCTGCCACAACGGAGTATGCTGGGAGGTGTGTGACTGGGAAGTGATGGGGACGTTCGTGCCTGGGACGTGATGGATGTATCCTTTGACTCCTTTGACATTCGCAGGACACGACTGCGTCTTGGTTTTCAGGTGCCCGCCTGTAAAGGCAAGATGACGCTGATGTTGTCTCGGAAGTCCAACTCATATACCGTTAGAAGTCGTCTGGCGCAAACCAGGAGCCAGGGCAGTCGGTTGGAGGTCATCTAATGCGAACGCCTGTGTTTCGCATCGGTCGTTAGTGACATCTTAAAACACGAGGAGGTTACATTGTGAACATGCCCCCAACCCTGTACCACCGGACATTCCTCCCCAACCAGCAAGGCCGCCGCATAACAGGCTTAAAACCCGTAGCGGGCATAATTACGCTCACCCTGTCATAAAACTCAGTCCACCATAACATCAAACTCAGCTCAGCTCGCACAATTCCAACCCAGCTCGCACCGTATACGGCGCTCACCTAAGCAGAGCCTACCAGAGCCCCGCAGACCCAAAGACCCCCACTCCCTCATCCCCAACCCAGCTACGCCAACACCCGCCTCCCTCCTGCCTCCCTCACTCCTGCCTCCTGCTCAGCACCAGCCGCAGCCGCCTCAGCTTGGTCGCCACCGCCACCTGTGTGAGGGCCGCAGTGCGGGTGGCCAGGCAGGAAACCAGGCAGCCGCCCTCCTCCCCGCCCTCTCCTGCCGCCCCCTCCGCTGCCCCCTCCGCCCCCTGCAGCAGCTCCCCCATCATGTTCGGGTGCAGTGCGATGTAATAGCGCCGCAGCAGCAGCGCAAACACCGCCCTGACGACCGCGATACCGAAGTTCTGCTCACGGGATAGTATTGAGGTTTGGTGGTGGTTGGGGGGGGGATGCGTGGGGAGGGTGAATGGGTACGGGTGCGGGTACCGCTAGAAGGAAGGGAACCGATGTTAGGGAGTGTGATGGCAGGGTTGGGTGTTAAACAGGGCTCATGGCACTTCGGACAGGAGAGACAGGAGCAAACACACGTCCAAGCGCCCCTCCCGCTGAACCGGCCTCACCACGCAGCCACCATGCCCCCACACAGCTGGTGTGTAGCGCACCCAGGAGGGCCGCAGCAGGAGGGACAGCGCTGCCCCTCCCTGCCTCTCCACCCACCCACCCACCCCTGTTCTCCTCACCTGCCCCACGCAGTTCTTGGGTCCCTCTCCAAACGGCATGAAGCGCCGCGCCGCCCCCCCCTCCTCCGCATGCGCCGCACCGCCGCCCCGCTGGGTGTTCTCGAACCCGCCTGCCGCACCGCCGCCACCGCCACCAGCAGCAGCAGCAGCAGCAGCGGCAGCGCATCCTGAGACATCGGGGGCCGCCGCCGCAGCTGCTGCCGCGGTGCTGCTGCTGGTGCTGGTGTTGTTGTTATTGTCGGGGAGGGTGCGAGCGAAGGCGCAGTGCGGGTCCTCCAACCAGCGTTCCGGCCTGTGGCAGCAGCCGGGGGACGAGGGGGCTGAATGGGTGATGCAGGCAGCCCGAAACAGGGTCGTCTTCAGCCACTAGCAGCAGCTGCAGCAGCGGCAGGAGCAAGCAGCAGGGGTGTGCGGTGAGGTGGGAGGAAGCACACGCTCCTGGGTACCCCCGCACTGGCACTGGCACTGGCGTCCCGGTAGCAACAACACCGGTCCACACATATTCCTGGTGTGTTGGTGGTGGGGACATCATCCTCTGACAAGCCAGCACGTTCCTACTCGCGGCCAGGCTTCTCAACACAGCCGCCCCCAGCCGCCCCCAGGTCCGCCCCCCCCCAACCTGAACTCCTCCGCGTGTTGCCAGTTGAGGTCCGACGCATGCAGTCCGTACATGGGGGTCCACAGCGACACCCCGGGGGGCAGCGTGAGGCCGCTCGGCAGCCGCACCGGCTGGGTGGGGGAGAGCCTGGGTGGGTGGGGGGGGGGGGGCGGGGGTGGCGGTGAGGGGGCCGGAGGGTTGGGAGGAAGGGGGTTAGCCAGGAGGCCGGCGGTTGGGGGGCGGGGGAAAAACAGACCGTATTCGGTTGGGGGCACCGGAACCACCTCCTTGCCTCGCCCCCCCTCCCCCTCCCCCCCTTCCTCACCTCTCCGCGCTGACACCGGCAGTTGGGAACAGCCGCATCACCTCCCACACGAATGCGTTCAGCAGCGGCAGGCGAGCCAGCTCTTCGGGTCCCGGACACCGGCCCGCATCCAACTCCAACTCCACCGCCCTCCCTGCCGCTTCCTCCGTCTCCTCCTCCTCCACAGCCTCGGCCTCCGTATCCCTCTTGGTCTCCGGATCTTCCGCTTTTCCCCCATGAGAGCAACTCTCGCTGTTGTTCTTCTTCTTCTCGTTGTTCTCCTTGTTCTTGTTCTTGTTCTTCTTCCGTACGGCGGTTACAACGCATTCGGGCGGGAATATGCCGTACTGCCGCAGCTCCTGCAGCAGCGCCCGCTGGTGCCCCGGGTGCAGGGCCACAGCGTAGCTGGGTAGGGGGCGGGAGGGGGGGGGAGGTAAAAGGAAGTAATGAAGCATCTGTCCGATGGTTGCAATACCTACTGTCTGGATTGTGGTTACGGCTTATTAACATTGTTAGGTGTGGGAGCTGGCGGGAGTGACCCCTCCGCATCGCTTTGCCCCCCAACCTGTGGTTTGGTACATCCTTGACCTCCCGCCCCCACCCCACCCCCAACCCCAACCCCCGGACTTTGAGAAGCCCTGCCTTTGAGTTCGTCAGTTTTCCTTATTTTTAACCCCCACCCCCAACCCCCAGTCACCACTCACAGGCACCAGCCCAGGGTGGATGCGGTGGTGTCGAAACCCGCAGTGGTGTACATGCCCACTGCGCAGGGGGGGAGGTGGGGTGGGGAAACAATTATATAAGTGAAACAACGAATCCCAATCCCATATCCCGACTCATGCAGTGGTGGGGGGGTGTCATGCATGGGGCTTGTGGTTCAAGGCAGGCAAGGCAAGGCAGGGCAGGGCAGGGCAGGGCAGGGGGCATGGCGGCAGCAGCTAGGAGGGAGCAGGAGGAGGAGCCCCCAGGAGGCGCCCGTCCCCCTCCGTCCTTGCGCTTGCAGCTCCCCCTTTCACCCCTCCCCCCATCTTCTCCTCCCTCTGCCTCGCTGCTCCGTTTATCTATTCCCTCTGCCTCCTCCTCCTCCTCCTTCTCCTCCCTCTCCTCCTCCTCCTCCCCCTCCTCGGTTCTCACCCTCCGGATGCAGCTGCTGGGGTGACAGCCTGCCGCCCTCCCCTCCACTGGCCCCGGCACTGCTGCCGCCCCGCCAGTCCCGCAGGCGGTGCAGACACGCCCACAGCAGTGTATTGGTGGGGGCGGGGTCGGGCCTGGGAGGGGGGGTGGGGGAGGGGAGGTGTACGGGGTGGGGTGTGGGGGGTAGGTACGTAGGAGTGAGGGGCGAAGTTAGCAGGGTGAGGGGTTGGAGAGGCACTGCATGGGCGAGGGTGGCGTGGGTGGCTCGCTTCTGGCTTGTCTCGCTCCTCACGCCTTCCTTCTCCCTAACCAGCTCTCCCCCCACCCCACCTCCACCCCACCCCGGCCCCACCTGGCTAGAATGGCTGCTGCGGTGCGAGTGTGGAAGTCTGTGACCTCCCGCAGCGCCCGCCGGCAGCTGGCTACATGCTGAGGGGGGGGGCAGGAGGGGGAGGGGGAGAGGCGGGGAGAGGGGGTCGGCACACCCACAGGCATTAGAACCACGCAGACGGACATCTTCGTTGGCTGACGCTCCCCTCCCCAATAACTCGCCCTTTTGTGGTTTCATATGGTTTGGTCTAACTGGACCCCCCCCTTTGAGTTTGGCTAGCCCCTCCTAGTTCGTCAGCTTCCTCCTTGTTCCCGCCGCCATCACCACCACCCTCCCCCCAACACACCTTGGAGCACAGCGGTGCCAGGGGGGTGCGGTACCAGAGCGCGCGGAGGGGGTCGGTGATCTGCGCGTTGGCCTCCGCCATGAGCAGCACGATGCTGGGGGCCAGCGTGTCAAACCCTGGCACGCGGGTGGCGTCGGGGACCTGGACGGGCGGGGGTGGGGTGGGGTGGGGTGAGGGTTACCGTACGGCAGGTGGGCGTAGCGGGGCCACTCCCCTCTCCCCCTTTCCCGCTACTTAAACCCTCACCAGCAGCTTTTATTCGACCCCCCACCTGCCCTGAGCGATGCCAACTGTTTCGCCAACCGCCAGCCCCCCCCCCCACCCCCCCACTCGCCCCTCACCTCCAGCAGCCCCTCCAGGGTGGCTCGCAGCATCATGCGCTGCAGCAGTGGCTCCATCTCCACCTTAACCGCCCCACCGACCCGTGGGTCACTCCCCGCCTCCGCCTCCCCCTCTCCCCCTTCCTGCCCCTTCATGTCCGCCTCCAGTCGACTCAGCAGCTCTCCGGCGGCAGTCAACACGCCGCGGAAGTAGCGCCTGGGGAGGGAAGGGGCGGAGGGGGAGCGGATGGGGCGGAAAAGAGAAGGTTGGGTTGAGGGGGCGTGTTCATCAGTCACGGGGACCGCGCATGGCAGGGTCCTGCCTCCTTCCCTCGCCCTTTCTGCCCAATCACCCCAGTCACCCACATCGCCCACTTGCCGCCACCCACCTGACATTCGCCATGGCAAAGGCGGGTGCGGTGGCCTTCCGCACCGCGCGCCAGTGCACCTCGTCCGATGTGCCGAACATGCTGGGGTGGGGTGGATTGGGGATGGGGAAAAATTATATACGAAGTGCAAACAACTAGAGGTCCCATCCCATATCCCGACTTGGGGATGGGGAGGGAGGGAAGCGGGGCACGGGTTAGCTAGTAACGGGCGTTGGTAGCTTAGGGTACCGGTAGTCTATGACGGTAGCAGCAGCAGGCTTTGAAGCAAAGAGGGAGAGGGTGTAGCCGGGGGGCTGTACGGCAGGTACTGGTGGGTCGTACTCCTCTTCCTTGCTTGGCGCCCAGCAGGGCTGCTCCGCTTCAGTGCCCTCTTCCCCTTTATCCTTCCCTGACGGGAGCGGGAAGGGCTGGTGTTTCTTCTACCTCCCCCCTCCCTTCCCTCTCCCGCCCCTCCCCCCGCCCCTCACCTGTGCACTCCCCGGCCGCCCAGCACCTGCGCCAACATGCGGAGGGCACAGGACTGAGGGCACTGCATGCAACCAGGAAACAGGAATGGGCACTAACAGCACCCGCACATCCCCGCGCAAAACATGCCCCTTCACTTCTGTACTGCCTCCTTCTCCATCACCGCATTAAACATTGCAAGCCCGTTCGCCTAAGTTTCATCACGTCCCATTACGTCGCCCCTGCCACATCGGTTAGTTCGTGTCTTCCTCGCTACCGCCCCCCTACCTCGTCCACATGTCCGTAGCTGTGGGGGCGACCCGGCACGACTGACAGCACGTGGGCTGCCGCCGCCGGGTCCATGATGACAGCCACATGGCGGTGAAGCAGTCTGAGGCAGAGGGGGAGAGGGACAAGGAGGAAGGAGGAAAGGGGAAGGAGAATGTAAGGGAGGGGCAAAGGGAGTTGAGGGGCATGAGAAGATGGGGGGACGGAGAAGTGCAAGCATGAGGTAAATGGGGAAGGACAAGAACTAAGACAGGAGCTGGTATGTTTGGAAAGACGAAGAGGTGTTTCGAACGACACATTGACGGCCAGACGGGCGCACGCAAGATGGATGGCTCACCGAAGGCGAAAGATGCTGCCGCATTCCCGAGCACATTCCAGCAAAAGTCGGTGGTAGTCGGGTCGCGTCAGCAATGCTTTCGCGTGTCCAAGGATTAATCCGCTATTCGCTGGCGACGGAAGCTTAAAAAGGTCGTACTTGGGCGCACGTAGGTAAGCTATTGCCCTTATAAGCGCCACTATAATCCATGCGGCAATAATGTTCAGCGAAATGGCCACCGCAGGCGTCCAGATGCCTAGTGGTCCGCTGGTTGAAAAGTAGCTTCCAACTATCGGTATGTCCGGCATTCTTCTTTAACTATCTACCTCTCTCTTAAAGTGCAGCCTAGGCCTACACGTGGCAACATGGTTTCGTTCAGTCTGGCAGACTCGGATTCCTCGCCCACAAGCCGACAAGCAGGTACGGTCAATGACGCAGTTAGGTAATTGGATTAGGCAGATGATCCTATGGGGTTCCAACAGGACAATAGCTTAAAATCGTTGGTATGAAGCTATTGTGTAACATTGCATGCTACAATCCGTTGCGGTGGACCTACATGTCATGTGTGAGGCCAGGACGGCAGCTTGCACCATAACAGGCTTGGAAAAATTGCCGTTTACAGTTTAGAATACTATGCAAAGTGCTGCTGGTGGAGAGCAGCGACTGCCTGACTTGGCCTGGCGTACATTGCAACTACCACATTGGCATCACCCGCCTACCCTTCATGCCTTCCGTCACTGCCAGCATCTCCTACACGTTCCTCCCGAGGGAGCCAATCCTGTTGCATCCGTCTCGACTGTACCTGCAAAACATAAACAGCGTCCCATGGGTCCAACTTGTAACCGTCAATCGCACAGTATAAGACTACTGATGTGGTAGCTCCTATACGGGCTGGGCCCAGCCCTCTTCGTCTGCCGGCGCACCCCAGCTGCCCCGCTATGCCAGGAAAGACCTCCATATGGATTCATATTGCTACCCAGTAAGTGTCCACTCCAGAACATTTCACAGCAGCGGTAACCCTGCATTCATTGCCTTACGACTCCACATGTTCACCTCGTCACCGAAACATAGTATGGCATTCCACGGCTCTATTTATTGAGTATCACCATCTGCAGCACGTCCGCACCAAGCAATGCAAGTGGTCTCTAGCTCCCTACTCCCATACCGTACCCACCCCCATGCAATGGCTCCGCATGGTGAGACCTCGTTTGCGCTGTCCCTCACATACTACCGGTAACGCTTGCCGAAAACCTGCTCTAGACGACATACAAGGACCAATGCCTCACTTGTCAAAGAAAACCCACTACCGTACGCACATGGGGCTTTGGCGCCGTACACATCATGAGAACGTAGGCCTGGTACGGCCCAAACACCTGACTGTGTCATTAGGATCGTCGGAAACGCACGCTACCGAACCTGCTTAACAGTGACTCTACAAACCTGCGAGCAACGGTCTCAAGCTACATACCTGCAGCCGTCAGCCCACATGCCGACATGCGACGTGCCTAGCGGGAGCCGTGCACACACGCCGCTGCCAGGGCATCCGTGTCAGGATGACATTTAATGTCGGGCAACATGGACCCCTCTTCCGCGTACATTATCTGCTCATTTCTGCTTATTCATGTACAGCTTCGATTACTGGTATTGCACCACTAAACGGACCATAGAACGGACGACATAAACACCTATATGACATGCTTACTATACATCCTGCTGCGGCCTTCCCTTCATTCCCGCTCCCCTAAGAAGTATAAACACCAAGACGGAGGACAGCGGTGTCACGCCGCCTCTGCCTCTACCCTACAGGCCGCATGCGATCAGAATTAATGAAGCCCAGGCACCTCAGGTGATGCCGTTCTGCTGCTGCGGCTGCTGGTGCATCCAGCCCGCACCCAGCATGGAGTAGTAGCCCATGTGGCCTCTGCCGTTGGGGTCGGGGAGTGCGAGTGCCGCCACTGCGCTGCTGGGTTCACAGTTGGGGTCGTTGTACCCGCCTTGCATGGCGGCACTGGCGGGGTAGAGCAGGCAGCTAAGCCCAGGTGCCGATGCGGCAGCTAGCAGCTGAGTGTCAGGTAGGTCACGACCGCCCGGATCCGCGTTGAAGGCCCATGGCAGCAGGGCGGCGAGCTGTGGGTCCATGGGAGGCAGCAGGGATGTGTCTGCGTAGGGGTCTTGGACGCCGTACGGATACGCGAAGCCCTGGGCAACTTGCATGGGCGCCGCAGAGGGTGCCATAACGTCTGCAGGCAGCCCGCCTGCGGTCTCGGCTGCATGGGGAACCCAAGTGGGTGCAGCGTCGTTGTCGTGCGCGATGCCCTGTGCGCTCCCATGCGGGAGCACCAGCGCTGCCGCCTCCCCGTCAACGGGTCCCAGCACTTCCTCTTGCTGTGCGTCACAGCCGCCGCCCTTAACGTCGTTAGCCAGAGGGACACTGGCACTTGCATGCACGCCGACCAAGGGCTGGCTACGCGTGCAGGAGCCACCGCCGCAGTTATCGACCGCGAAATCAATCCGACCCAGATGCGGCCGTGCTGTCGCAGATCGCCAGACGTCGCTGCCGTCCTGCCCGGGCTTGAGGATCATCTCATCATCGCGTCCAACGCCGCCACCTGCGGCCACGCCAAATCGAGCATCCGGGTGGCTGCAGCCATCAAGACCTGCAGCCAACGACGCGGAATCCATGCGCAGGAGAGCCAGAGCTCCCTGCTGGCCGCCATCGCCGCCACCGTCAAACGCCAGCGGTGTGCGGGCTCGCTTGGAAGCTGTGGAGGTCCCACGACCACTGGTCAGCAAGCCTGCCAGGCGGAGAACGGATGCGGGGTCCTGCCCAAGCAGCAGCGGCGTGAGGTCACCTCCGCTGGCAGAAGCAACGACAGCAGCAGGAGCGGCAGCCAGCCTGCCTGCCTGGCTGCTGCGCCGAGGCGGCCTTGGGGTGACGTCCGCGCCCTCCACGCCGCCATCCTCCACTCGCATGCCGACGGTTGAAGTGCGCGTTGCGGGCAGCTGGAAGGACAGCAGTGCGGGGTCTGCCGCTGGTGCAGCAGTTGCTGCAACGCTGCCGGTGAGGTCGGGCTCGGCACCCTCCACGGGCGGTTGCATGGTGATGCTGCGCAAGTCAAAGGCGGAACCGCATTCCACTGCTCCTGCCGCGGCGCTGCTTGCGATGCCTTGGCCCCCGTCGTTGGAGGCAGCGCGCTTGCGTCTGCATGGCGTCTTGTGCGGCAGCTCAGGGTTGCGCTTGGAGTAGCGAAAGTCGGACGGGAGGTCACGGCTGGGAAGCGTAACGCCATCCACGCTGCCCGGGTAACCGCCTGCGAGCTTGTGTCCCTGCATGGCTACGGAGAAGCGTGCGGCCGCAGCGGTGGGTCGAGGCGCGTCGTGACGACCCACATCACCGGCGTTGCTCATGTTGGCAACGTTGTTGTTGCTGAGGGCCGCCAGCGGCCGCCGTGGAGGTGGTGGCATGATGGGGTTGGCGCCATTGCCGCCGCTGGTGCTGGCCAGCAGCAGCGGCGCAACGACGGCGGCTGCGACTGCATCCACACCTTTCCATGTGTTGCCGGAGAAGCGCAGCTGGGGAGGACCGCCCAGGGCAGCAACGGTTGCGCCCAGGGCCGCCTCGCAGCTCTCAACCGCCGCCGCCACTGCCGCCGCCGCGTCCCCTTCATCTGCGCTGCAGCTGCTGTGGACGGGAGGCCAGCGGACCGCTGCCATCTCTGCCAACGGGAGCTGGGTCTTATGGAGCAGCTCCAAACTCGGATGTACCACAATGATTGGCGGCAGCAGAGTTAAAAGAGGGCGCTCGGTGCCTTGTACGTGGCCTTCGTACGCCGTTGCTGACGCGTCGCCGTCTCCTGGCGTCTGTTGCGTGGTTACGATCCAGGCCGGTGCCTTGGCGACGGCGACGAAGGGCTGCGCCGCATCGCCGGTTTCTCCCTGGCAAACCTGATCATCTTGCAGATTTTGCAACGTCGGCTTAGCAGGCACCTTCTCCTTGCCGTCCGCAACCAAGAGTGGCGCCAACGCCTGGTCGGCTTTCGCAGGGCAGCGAGCAGACCGCCGATGCTTGGATTGGTGGCTGTTGCCTCGTGACGCGACCTGGACCTTCTCGACCACCGGCGGGTCTCCTTGCTTGGCTCCGCGGCCGGGGAGGGTCAGCGCTGCATCGGCCTCCTCGGCCACCTTGATCACGTCAGTCGCGCCCTCATCCGACGCAGCGTCGTCATCCCGTGCACCCTCGACGCTGCCGTTGCAGGCGTGTGACGAAGCGGCGGCAGCGGCGGCCGTTGATGATCGGAAGCGCAGCGGCTTGCAGCGAGCACGCTGGGGCCGACCACCTGGGGCCTCCACTGGGGCAGTCACCGCGCCGACATAGTCCTCGTCGTCGTCGTCGTCATCGCTGGAGTCCTCTTGCTCTTGTGCGCCCTCCTGCGTGCGGGCAGAGGATACGGGCGGCCGCGGCGTGCTTCATAAAAAGAAAGCCTAAGCCTAAAGCGCCACCATGTACCCGTGGCTTGTCGGTACTTAGAAGGTGCTTGATGCTGGCCGAGTTTATTCAAATCGTATAGGATAGGTCGCAGGATTACGACTTTTTCAGAATCCCATGCAGGCAAAGCGAGGTAGACGTCCTTACCTCTTCACCCTTTCGGCGCCGGTAGTCACGAAAGTAATCCCTGATAGCCGACTTGGCACGAATACCTGGGAGTCAAGAACCATGCACCGTTAGGATTCGCTTGGGAGACTATGTTGAACTGGGTCAGAGTCGGTAAGGAAGCGGGGGAAGAAAACGACTAGCACATGCTGAACTTGCATCCGAAGCTACCTTTTGCGTGCCGCTTAGCCTGCTCAAAGGTCGGCCTTGTTCGGGGGTCAGGCCACACCGTGTTCGCGTTCTCCGTATACCAACTGCACAGGAAGTGTAGCCTGTCTCTTGTAAGGGCGACCTGGCTAGGCCGGGAACATGACGACATCGATACTACTCACTCCCATATCGCTTGGACCCTTGGCTTTCCGCCCTCCGTATCCTTCACATTCCGTGCCCAATTATTAAATTCGACCCAGAAGTTGGTTGGGCGCCGACGTGCCGCCTTCCGACGTCGGTTTCGCTCTCTCATTGGTGCAGCTCCACAAAGTCTCCGCAAGCTAAGGGGTTACGAGTTTAACATCCCTTGGAAAAGGAAAGGGACGTAGTCGTTCTTGTTATACCGCTGCTTGTTTCCTGTAAGCTAACTCGATAATGGCAAAGGCCGGCGCATCAGATATACTCATGCCATCGACTGGAAGACGAATTCCGCTTCATGCCTAAGGACCTATGTGATGTAAGCTTTCGGGAACCACCTGGCCTGTGAAAACAGTCTGGGCGTGGGCACTGTTGCAACCTGTTGGGCATCTACTGTTTCTCTTCACTTAACGGGTATATGCTACCTCAATAATATTAATAGCAAATAGGGATCACACGGTGTAAACATGACTTTGTAGGTTCACGCTACTAATGTCCTAAGGAACTGTCAGTTTGAGTTGGATCCTGTACTGAAGGGTTTGCTGCGCCGACTTGCCGTTACGCAGCACACCTAGGTTCGGTGTTCCCAACTACGTATCAGACTAAATTCACATAACGATCTGACTGATATAAAAAGCAAGTAAGTGCCGGATCGCATAACCAGCCGCGTCGAGCGATAGGGCCAGTTTTCTTTCGAAACAGCAACTTATTATGTAATTAAATGTATGTGTCGACATAATATTTAACAAGAGGATCATTGCAGATCCAGCTATCGCCTAACCGCAAATGCAATAGTAGCCAGAACTTCTACCCTGCATGAAAGCAAGCAGATCTTTGGTTTTTGCAGTAGAAAGGGTTGCAAAGCACTATGGCGCATCCGTGTAAGCTGTCGTAGGCGCTCACTAAGCTGACGCAGTACTTGCGTAGACTGACGTTTCCTCGTACTGCGAATACTTTTATCGCCTACCCTTAAGAATTGACCAAATACACTTCCACCCTACAAAAGCCTAACGTAACTTACACATATAACACAAGAACGTTTGCACAGCCCTAACGTCCGCTGACCAGCACGCTGCAAGCAAGAGGCCGTCGCCCCCTGTAAAGAGCACAACGATGGGTTCTGGTGGTGCAGCTACCCCTGACGGTCGTGAAGGAGGCGTCAAACTAGTCGGCTACGACAACTTTGTGCGCCACAACCCGAAGAGCGACAAGTTTGCTATTCACAAGTTTCACCACATCGAGTTTTGGTGTGCGGATGCAACCAACACTTACAAGAGGTAGGTGAATTGCTGGATAAGGGCGTTCCACAGGTGTGGCTTGCGAGGATGCGGGACGTAAGGACTCATCGTTCGGGTCACAATTCGTGTGTCGCTGCTGCAAATTGTGCTTACGTACAACACCACACACGCGTTTAAAGCTCTATTTCATAAGGACATGTAATAAACATTGTCAGGAAGTTCATCCGCCGACCAGCGCCTACTGCGCCACTAGCGGGCTGCCTGTGAAGCGTGGCTCAGTCCTCAATGAATTTGGTGATAGGCGGTAAGATCTTCGCTGGTTTACAGCGGTCTCCCTGCAAGACACTCCTCATCGTACCGGTTAACGCCTTTGGGACGCCCAGCACCCACATCAACTTCTTTTTCCATACCTCAGGTTCCAGCATGGGCTGGGCATGACCCTAGTCGCCAAGTCCGACCAGTCAACCGCCAACACCCTCTACGCCTCCTACGTGCTTCAGAGCGGCGACCTGGTCTTCGCGTTCACAGCACCGTACGGCAAGCGCACGGCAGTCCCCGGGGAGGGCACCCCGCTGCCGCACTACTCTCTGGATGGGGCGTACGAGTTCGTAAACACACACGGGCTGGCAGTGCGGGCCGTGGGTGGGTAGCGGGCGGGGTTTGGGAGGTGCGGTGGGCGGCTGAGGATGGGGGCGATGTGGGTGGCTAGTGAACAACCGCCTGCATGGGCTGTGGGTGGGCAACGGCGTTCCAGCTTGGGGGGGTTGCAGGGGAAAGGGGAGGTGGGGGGCTACAAGGCTGGACGACTACCGGGTAGTTGGGGCAGGAGCCGACGGAGCCGGTGTACTGCCGACTGCAGGAAGGAGGAACCTGTGCCTGCTGCCCACTTTCACCCCACCTCCCTTTCCACATACCCCACCCCCACCTCCCTTCTCCCCCCAGGCCTGCTGGTGGATGACGCGCGCACCGCCTACGAGGTGTCTGTGGCGCACGGCGGGCGGGGCGTGCTGCCGCCCCTGGAGCTTACCGACCCGGCCAGCGGCGCCAGCCAGACGGTGGCGGAGGTGGCGCTGTACGGGGACGTTGTGCTCAGGTCGGGGAGAGGTGGGGGCGGGAGGGAGGGAGAAGAAGGAGACCCAATGAACAATGATAGTGGTGTGGGAGAGGGAGGGGCGAAACTCAAGGTCAGAAGCAGCGGAGGGGAGGGCCGAATGCTGGAAGATAAGGGATTAATAAGTAAAAGGGGCTGGTGAATCTGCTGCGAGTCCGATTCCGACCCCCCAACCACCCGCGCCTCATTCCCCTCCCCCATCCGCCCCCAGGTACGTGAGCGGCGGCTTCTCCGGCCCCTTCCTGGCCCGCTACGCGCCCACCCCCGACTCGCCGCGGCTGAGCTACGGTCTGGTTCGTGTGGACCACGCGGTGGGCAACACGCCCGACCTGCTGCAGGCGGTGGAGTACATCATGGGCTTCACGGGTATGGGAGGGGGGGGAGGGGGGGAAGTGAGGGGGAAACACAACCCCAGAGTATCGTGGTAGGGGGTGTGGCAGTTCTTGCAGCGGCAGATGTGGTCTCCGCCCCGTCTACCCACCCTTCTCATCCGTGCATGCCGCCCCCGCCATACCTCCTCTCCTCCACGCCCCACTCCTCCCGTCCCCCCCTCCCCCTCCTCCCGTCCCTCCCTCCCCCTCCTCCCGTCCCCCCTCCCAGGCTTCCACGAGTTCGCGGAGTTCGTGGCGGAGGATGTGGGCACCGTGGACAGCGGGCTCAACAGCATGGTGGGGGAGGGGGGGGGGAGGGGTAAAGCCAACAAAGGACAGGATTACATGCAGCAGGGTTGGCATGAGACATGCGACGGTGAGGATGGGAGAGAGGCTAAGCGCCCTGATGTATTCCGGTTTTATGTGGGGAGGTACCATACTGGAAGGTGCGCAATGGGTGCGGGTCAGGGGTGCGGTTGGGCCGCCGACTCCCCTCAACACACACACACAGCCCCGAACCGCCCTCCCGTCGTGTCGCACCCAGCCTAGACACCCGTGTGCCCTCGGTTGTGTCCTGTCCACCTGCTCCCCCTCCCCTGCCCCTCCCCCACCCCCCCCAGGTGCTGGCCAACAACAACGAGTTCGTGCTGATGCCCATCAACGAGCCCACCTTCGGCACCCGCCGCAAGAGCCAGATCCAGACCTACCTGGAGCAGAACGAGGGGGCGGGGCTGCAGCACCTGGCGCTAATCACACACGACATATTCGACACCATGAGGTAGGGGAGGAGGGCGGGCGGGGCGGGGGGGCGCTGAAAGGGGCGGGGCGGAGGCGATAGAAGGTTGTACGGGGAGGGCATACCCCGCGGCGAAGAGTGTAAAGAAGATGTTTACAGGAGTTGGTTGCCGCTGTTGCCGCAACACCCCGCGTGTGCGCGACGCGGTGTAGGGTTTGGCAGGAAGGTTGATTTGCCCAGCCATAATGACCGTTAGTAGTGACGCATGGCACCCCCTCCCCCTGCTCCGCCCCTGGTATGCCCGGCTACCCTTCCCTGGCCCCTCCCTCCCTCGCCACCTACCGATGCTGTCCCCCTTCGCCCCCTCCGCCCGTTGCAGGGAGATGCGTGCCCGCAGCGACGTGGGCGGGTTCGAGTTCATGCCGCGTCCCTCCGACCGCTACTACCGTGAGCTGCCCAAGAAGATGGGGGAGGCGCTCACGCCGCAGCAGTACAAGTGAGGGGGAGGGGGCGAGGGAAGACCCCGTGCGTGGAAGGATAGTGAGGGGGGGGGAAACAACTAACTGGCCGTGGGATAAGGCCTAGGGAGGGGGGAAAAAAGAAATTCCAAAGTGTGGTATTTTTAGGCCGTGGGATAAGGCCTAGGGAGGGGGGGAGGAGGTAGGGTGCAGGAAGGAGCATGAAGGTGCCAACAAAGTGCATGCAGGCTATGAAAGGGTTTTATGGCTATGACATGCATGCTGCTAGCATGCTGCCAAGCGGGGACCCCGTACGGGGAGCGCCTGTAAGGGATGGGGGGAAAGTTGGGTGCCTGAGGGAGGGGAGGAGGAAGAGAGGGCTGGCGGGCGCACCAGAGCTGTGCGATTGGGGCCGTGCATGAAGCATTTGCAACAACAGGGGAGGCGGCCTGTGGCAGGCTTCGCTGCCATGTACCTCCATCCTGCCCCCTCCCCCTCCCGCCCCCGCCCCCAGGGACGTGGAGGAGCTGGGTATCCTGGTGGACCGCGACGAGCAGGGCGTGCTGCTGCAGCTGTTCACCCGGCCGCTGGGGGACCGGCCCACGGTGTTCATCGAGGTCATCCAGCGGCTGGGGTGTGAGAGGGAGGTGAGAGGCAGCGAGGTGAGGTGCAGGGGGAGGCAGGGGCAGGGGAGAGCGGACGGAACAAGGCAGGTGAGCGCCGGCAAGCGCGCGAGGGTTGCCAGCTTGCTCTGGGGGGTGGCAGCTTGATACCCTACGTGGCGTTGCTGTGCCGCCTCGTCTGTTGCTGCCTTGCCGTCTTGCCGTCTGTGCTGTTTGTGTCACCACTGCTGCCTTTTGTATCACCCCTGGTGTTGCCTTCGGCGCGCCAATCCGATCCTCTCGCACCAGCACCCCCGACCCGGCTCTTGCATCGCCGCATGCAGCAACGCTGGCTCGCCATGCATGATTGCATCGTTGCAGGCATGCATGCAGGCATGCAAGCAGGCTTGCATGCATGCCGCAGCCCGGGCGGGCAGGTGGGTGGGTGAGTGGGTGTGGCGGCCAGGCTTCATGTTGCCAGTGCCTAGGCTGCCACACACACCCCCCGCCCCCCCAGCCGCTTGGGTGGGTGCTCCTCTTGACGTGCTGCTATCCTTGTCCGCCTCCTGTTCCCGCCCGTGTCGTGTCCCAGGTCTTATTGTCCTGTTATCCACCTCCTCCTCCTCCTTGGCCCATCGCAAACCCTGCCCATCCTGCCACCTACTCCCCCTCCATCTCCCCCTCCATCACCCCTCCCCCGCCACCCCCCCTCCCGGGCTTCCTCCCCTCTTACCTCCATCAAGCCCGGTACCCTAGCCCTGCCACCGCTCACCCCCTTCCCCTCTCCCCCCTCTCCCCCCATCCCTCCCCCCCAGGTGAAGGACCGGGACAGCGGTGCAGTGGTGCGGATCGAGCAGGCTGCCGGCTGCGGCGGATTCGGCAAGGGCAACTTCAGCGAGCTGTTCAAGAGCATCGAGGACTACGAGCGCACGCTGAATGTGTGAGGAAGCGCACTGCGGAGGAGGCAGGGGTGGTGGACGTGTGGGGATGGGGGACAGGGAGATGGCATGAGCGCCCTTCCGGCTCGTGCTGCTCTGTCTGAGCGGGGACATGCCGGATGATGCAGCACGGCGGGGTGGGAGGGGAGAGAGGGGCTGGCTGGTGAGGGGCGAGTGGCGTGTGGTGAGATGAGGTAAGGTGCGGTAACGAGGGAAGTAACATGTGTGCATTCACGGCGGTGTATTTTCTATCTTTTCGCTGTAAAAGGCTTAAATGTTTTTGACTGCATGTGAGAGGAAAGCCATGGTCGCGGCTTTTCCTTGCCTGCTTGCTGGCCTCCCTGTGTGATGATCTGATGAACCTATGAGGAGATAGCAGTGAAGCGTGGTGAGGGGCGAGGGAGGGGCGGTGGAGGGGCTGTATCCAGGTGACACAATGGCGCAATTTTGATGATGAAGTGAACTGACGGCGTGACTTGTAGGAGTTGGGTCTTCTTTTTTATTACCGGTAGATGGATGGATGATGATCCCGCGCACTGTTAACGCAAAATACTAACCTGCTGGCGTTTCGACACGCAGGGCGGCAGTTTCTTTCAAGTCGCAAGGGTGACGTCGATCGGGTTGTATCTTCTCTTTCAGTTGCAGTTGGCCTTCCCTCCTAAGGAAGTTGGCCTTCACACGTAGGGGTGTGTGCAGAAGTAAATGATATCACACAGACGTTGTAGGTGTGGTGCCGTGGGGGCGCACCGTGGGGGAGATTAAACTTAGAATGCATGCCTTCGCCAAAGGAGAGCTAATTGCAGGATGAACCAGTTACATACATGACTTCAAGCAAAACCCTAACGTGGGTTGTGTAAAGTAACTCTCGTCCGCACCAAGCACACGCCAAGCAGCATGTATACGTGTTCAGTAGGCCTTTACTATCCTCATTGCAGCTATGTTAGCACAAGGCAGGGCATGATTACTGGGGGGGAGGGCGTAGGATTGGTCAGCCGTTCGCAGTGAAGGGGCAGTGGTTCCCCTCCTGTGCAAACCATCTTGGCCCCATGGGCATGTTATCCAGGGTTTTCACCTAGCTTACGCAAAGCGCAAAGTAAGTGCACAAGAAGTAAAACAGTGTTTTATGAAAGGCTCTTGGCGTATGCCTGCTGACATAGAGAACGCTGTTGCAAGGCAGGCACGGCAACGGCTGGTACGGACAATACAAGAAATCTGTGCAGTCCACGAGTCGGCCTCATGCCTACGTATAATTAGGTTTTAACACTTTATGCTTGGTGCCTTTTAAGCTTTGGGTTGACATCTTTTCACTTCAACCCCTTGATCGTCCCTTCGTTTTCACATTGAATACATGCTCGAAGCCATGCACGCCAGTTAGATCACTATTAATAAGGTATAGGGTTTGCCTAGAGGTCGCTTGGAGGCGGACGGGCCACCGTGGCAGGAGGAATGACCGTCGCACGGCGAGCCTTTCGAATTGAGCCCCGATACATCATTGTTCTAGCGACTTTCTTGGCGACCTTCACAGCATACGTAGAGCGTGTTGGATTCTCTATAGCCTTTACAGACCTTGCTAAGGATGCTGGAATTGATGAGTCGGTCAAGGGCACAGTCCTTTCAGCCTTCTACTGGGGCTATGCGCTTTCACAGATTCCAGGAGGATGGGCTGCTCAGCAGTACGGCGGTCGCATCATGCTTCTGCTCTGTTTCGCCTCCTGGTCGGCCGTGTCCATCCTCACCCCGACCGACGCCCGGCACACCCTTGGCATCATCCTAGCCCGCGTTTGCATTGGCGTAGCTCAGGGCTTCCTCATCCCCGCCGTCCACACCGTCTTGTCGCAATGGATTCCTCCCCACGAGCGTGCTCGGGCGGTGTCATTGACAACGTCAGGCATGTACCTGGGCTCCGCCAGCGCTATGCTCGTCCTCCCATGGCTTGCCAGCATCTTTGGTTCAGCATCCCTGTTAAAGATAGTTGGAGGCATTGGACTGGCCTGGCTGTTGTTGTGGCTGGCCGTGGGCCGCGACATCCCACATCGTGAGACCGTCATCCCTCTCTCCACAATGGACCGCGTCTCCACCGCCTCCAAGGGCCGCCCCGGCCCCACACCCTACAAACGTATGCTTACCAGCGCCGCTGTGTGGGCCATCGTCATCAACAATTTCTCCTTCCACTACGCATTCTACGTGATCATGAATTGGCTGCCGACCTACTTCAACCATGTCCTCAAAGTGGAGCTCGCCAGCCTTGGCGGCGCCAAGACAATTCCGTACCTCGTGATGTTCTTCATGTCAAACGTCGGCGGCTGGGCGGGAGACTGGCTCATCCTGCGGCGCCGCAACTCCACCAGCACTGCGCGCAAGACGGTGAACACGCTGGGCTTTGTCGCCTCCGCAGGCGCGCTAATGCTCATGCCGGGCGCCGGTTCCAAGGGCGTGACGTACGGCGTCGCAGTTACGACGCTAACCCTGGGCTGCCTGGGTTTTAGCCGCGGCGGCTTCTCAGTGAACCACATGGACATTGCGCCCAAGTACGCGGGAATGGTGATGGGTATTTCCAACACGGCGGGAACGGTGTCTGGGGTGATTGGCGTGGCGGTGACGGGTTACATCCTGGACCTGTTTGGCGGCGCGGATAACGTGCAGGGCTGGTACACGGCGCATGCGGTGTCAGCGGCGGTGTGCGTGCAGGCCATGTTGGTGTTCAACTTTTTCGCACGCGGCGAGCGAATCTTCGACTAAGGAGGAGAGCAACGTTGGTAGTTGCCCCGTGGTAGCAGCAGAGCATGAACAGGACGACAGGGGCCATGAGTTGGGTGGAGGGTGTTGAGAGACATCGGGTGGGTGCGTGCGTGGCACAGGCCGTTGGTCGTTGAGAGGTGCAGCGTGTTGGTGGTGGTGGATGAGGATGCACCGGCGAAGTAACTCTGGAGGGAGGATGGGCGGGCTGTCGCTGTCCGGCCGTATCGCTACCCTCTGGCTCATGTCCGGTGCTGGGATCGGCGGGTGGTAGGAGGGAGTCTTGAGGTGGCATGGCGGGGTGTTTCGGATGATGTTACAGATATCCGGGCGACGGAAGGGAATTGCAAGGGCGAGAGATGGACGGTGGAGGTTGCCTCAACTCGTGGCTTATGGTAGGCTTGCTCGAACTGAAAGAGGACCGCACTTGTAGCTGCGCGCGCTAACTTTAAACCCGTAACTTGGAAGCTTGCCGACGACTGAAGGGGTTGTGCACCGTATCTGGTATATGTATTGCTTTGTGAATGTTGGTCATACGCGCATGTCGGTGGGTTTTGTATGACGGCGCACGACGAGAATGCAGCTCTTGGTTCTGTTACAGCCGTTCATAGCCGCCTTGGTTGCGCTTGCTTGATATGATCCTCTCTGTTGTTGTGGTTTGGTAAGGGTACGGCGTGGACTGTGGTACATGACGCTCTCGTGATATTTCAGCACTTAGGTGCACCAATTGCATGGATAGGTGGCCCGACGGATGTGCATGGGGCTCGCAGACGCCTGATTCGGAAAGTGTTTGTGGCGTGGTAGATGGCACTGTTGGGACTGTCAAATGTTAGGACAACATTTTCATGAGTTTACGAAGTACACTGGAATGCCTCCCCCCGTCCAAAGCAGCCAGCTTGAGATGCGGAGCTGGAGGCCCCTAATGCACACATGTACGATGTCGGTATCCCACACGAAAGGGCCGTCAAGCGTGTATGCGGCCCACCTCTCTAAGGCCCTCATGTACAAGCATCACCAACCGACAAATACAAGAAGCAAAAGCAAGTTTCGCGCGCGCATGGGCGGACAGAGCGGGGTGCCTTTATTCCCCAGATCTTTCCACACCGCCTTTTGAGATACCAAACACGCCGTCCTCTCTCGTTGCGAACCTCACCTCCAAAAATCCACCCCACCCACCGCCCCCGGACGCCATCCATGTTCCCCGCAGCCACTGGAGCAATGCAAGTTTAATTCCAAGAAAGGGATGACGAAAAGGTCATTGACCCACGAGCCGCCTAGCATGTCGAGTTCAGTCGCTGCCGCTACACCCTCCGATCCATCCCCCTTTATCATGATTCCCCCTATGCACATAAAACTGCCCCGTACTCAACAAGGGCAAGGCCGCCATCTCAAGGACGTTACCGGCACGGTGCTTCGTCCTACACCATATTGCCAGCGGCCCCGCGTTTGCGGCGCAATTTCACACATCAGCCAAATCCCATCACGTGTTCTTGAAGTAGAATTACCATGTGGCGGAATTCCATTCCATCCCCCGTCTTGATAGTGTATGTATAAGCCAGGAATGTACGGCCAACGGCGGCGTTTTCCAAGAGAAGGAGCGCCCCGACAAAGGCCAGCAAGCTAGAAGCGGCAGCAGCAGCACACAGTTAAACTTTCCCAAACCAAGCTGCAAACCCAGACACGACCGCGCATAACCCATGGACAGCAATGTCAAACGCCCCTTTATTGCGGATGCTGACGCAATGTCAAGGCATGGCAAGCGATCGCTCGAACCTCCATCACGCAGGCACGGCAACAGTGACGCCATGCACGAGAGTGTGAAGCCCCCAAACAAGCGTCAAATGGCGGCTAGGCAAGCTGTCACCAGCACGAGCGCACGCTATTGCTTTTCACTGGTTCCCGGGGAGCACGTACGACAGCACATTCTCCCCACTACCACACCACCCAGCAGCAGCACCACCACCGCAATTACAAGCTAAGCAAACTTCCATGCGCAGGCCAAACCCCTCCCGCCCCATGTTTGCTCACCAACACATTGAGAAGCACAGCAAGCTGCAAGCATGTGAACATCCCGGACATCCCCACAGGTCAGCCAATGAGCCATCGTCCAAATTCACCTAGACTTATGGGGTTCTTTCACGCCACTTTCACAACCTCCCGACCTCCCCCCGCAGCCTCTGCTGGGCCGCAGCCCTGTCCAACCTAATTACCCCGGGATTCTCATCCACGTCACCTCCTCCCCAATCTCCACCCGGGCAAGCTTCTTCTTCCTCCTCTTCTTGACTTGACGTGCCAGGTATCACTACTACCCAGCCAAACACAGCCGCCGCCGCCAACACCACCAACAGCAGCAGCAGCAGCATGCCACCCACATCAGCTGCAACCCTACCGGCGCGCCGCCCCTGCCGTACACCCCTCATCAGCACTGCATGGGCTCTCCCGCACCACCACCCCCACCTGCTACCCCACCGCCGCCGCTCCTGTCCCCGCCGCTGCCCGAATCCGCCCCCGCAGCAGCCAGCAAGACAGCAAGCTCCTGCCCTAGGTTGCGGTACAGGCCTGGGTCGGCCGGCGCCGAAGGCACAGCAGCAGCGGCAGCTGCGGCGACAGCTGCGGCCAGGTGCTGTAGCGGCGGTGGCGGTGGCGGGGATGGGGCCGCCTGTGATTTGTTGGCTGCGGGTTGCGGCGGGAGTGCGCCTTGGGCTTGGGCTTCAGCTTGCGGCGGGGTCAAGTGGGGGGCGATGAAAGGTCCTGGAGCGGCATGCAGGCTGGGGGCGGGGGCGGGAGCGGGATTCGGGCTGGGCGGAAGGGGTCCCGAGGAGGCGGACCCCAGCAGCACCCGCTGCTGCTGCTGCTGCGGCGGCGCTGCTGCTGCACCCGCTGCCAGCCCGCCGCTGCTGCTGCGGCTGCCCAGACCCCCGGGCCCTGCAGCAGTGGCCGAGGGGGCGCCACAGCCCGGAACTGCCAGGACACCGCCACCGCTGCTTCCGTCGAGGCTCTTGGCGATAACAGCAGCCGCGTGGGCAGCAGGGACAGCAGCAACAACAGTGGCAGGAAGCCCCGGCGGCAGAGGGGGCAGTGCCAGCGACTCGCCAACACCCGCACGGAGCAACACAACGCCCCCACTGCCCTCGCTTCCACCGGGCTGCAACGGCAGGATTTCCTCGAGCATCCTCAAGCCAACAGGTGCCCTTGCAGCAGCGGCAGCCGCCTTGGTCACTGACGCCTCCCCGCCACTGCTGCTGCCGCCGTTACCTCCGATCTCGCCGCTGCCGTTCCCGGTACTCGCACCGGGTAGCGGTGCCGACGGCGGCGGCAGACTCGAGAATGCGCTTCCGCCTCCTCCGCCACTTCCACCCGATCCTCGTTGCGAGAGCTGTCGCAGCAGCGCCGCCGCCGCCACCTCGGCGGGTAGCTGCGCCTCAGCGGCTGCAGCGATTCCATTGCCGTTACCGTTACCGTACACCATGTGAACGTCGTTAGCTGGGGCGACAGGCGAGGTAACGCCGTTGCTGCCGTCCCGTACCTTCCCATTGCTCCCTAGCTGCTGTGGCTGCTGCTGTTGTTGCGCTTGTTGCATGGCCGCCGCCCTCGTCCCTGCCAAGCCTGCTGCTCCTCCGGGCAAGGCGGGTGACGCTGACATTCCAGCAAGCCCTCCGCTGCTGCTGATGCTGCTGCCACCACCGTTCCCGTTGCCGTTCCCGTTGCTGCTCCCGCTGCCCAACCGCACACCGTTGCCACTCCCGTTTGGCCCACTACCCAAAGATCGAGGCACTCCTGCCGCTAAGCCGTTGTTCGCTGCTGCCGCCGCTGCAGTTTGTTGCTGGAGCATCAGCGCCGGGCTTGGCCCCAGCTCCCCTATCAAGTCGAGCAGCAGCTGTTGCTGGTGTTGCTGTTGTTGTTGTTGCTGCTGCTGGTGGTTGGGACTTTGGTGGTGACTCTGGTTGCTGACCATACGAGACAGCGCGACAACGCGGTCGGCGTACGGGGGCACGTGCCGAGGCGATGAGGACGAGGATGCTGCACCTTTAGTGGCGTTGCCGCTGCCGCTACGGCCGCCGCCACCGCTGCTGCCGTTCCTTTGTAGCAGCAGCGGCTGGGAGGCCCCCACAAGGGTAGCGGAGGGGCCATCGCCGGTGCCTGCCACTGCTACGCTGCCGTTTAGTCCGTTGCCTAGGGAGGCAGCCTCTGCGGAGCCGTTCGCTCCTCGCCCGCATGAGGCCGCCCGCTGCAGCTGCAGCTGCTGCTGCTCCAGCTGGTGCGGAGGCGACAACGGCGCCAGCGGTGCCAGCGGCAGCTGAGGTGGCGTCTGCCGTACACCAGGAGACGTCCCCCGTCGCTCGAACCCACGCTCGCCATTACCGCCACCCTCGCTGCTGCTGCCGCCATTGCGGGCTGCTGCCACAGCGGCTGCTGTTCCTCCTAGCGGCCCGCCAGCAGGCCCCCCAGCAGCATCCTGCTCCTCCTTCTTTCCTCGCGGTCGTCCCTCCCGGGTCTCCGGCTCCGGCAGCAGCAGCAGCGGCAGCAGCAGCGAGGGCCCCGCCAGCCGGGCTAGCTCAATCAGACACAGCCGGGCGGCCTCGGGCAGCGCCTGGAAGAGCTGCATGTCTGATGCGGAGGCGATACCCCCGCCCCCGCCCCCAACACCCCCTGCAGCGGCAGTAGCGGTTCCCAGGGGCGCTGTCGGGACGGCAGCAAAGGGTGAGGCGAAGGCCGAGGTGCTGCCCGGAAAGCCAGCACCACCGCCGCCAACGCCGTTCCCATGCTTTGAGACACCGCCGTTGTGGCCCTGACTGCTGCTGCTGCTGCCAGGACGAGGAAGAGGAGGAGGCGCAGCAGCACCCAGCGAGGCAGCAGCAGCAGCGCCCCCTGCTGCCGCCGCCAGCCCGCCGCTGCCCTGCGGTAAGAGGTCTAGCAACGGCAGTTGGTTACGACCGCCGCCGCCAGCAGCGGCAGGCAACACCGGCGGCGGAGGCGGCAGCACACCCGCCGCCATCGCTGCCGCCAAGGCCGCGCTCGCAGTACGACCCAAGCCGCCGCCGCCACCAGCGCCGCCGTCGCCGACGTCCCCGACGCCGCCCAGACCTCCCAAGCCTCCGCTACCCATGGGTCCCAGGGCCCCCAGCCCGCCCAAGCCCGCTGCCCCCAAGCCAGGCAAAGCGCCCATGAGGCCCGCTGTCGCACCCAGCCCTGCCGGACCCAACCCCAACGGCCCCAGCCCAGCAGCGCCCATTCCCACCCCCAAGCCCAAGGGTCCGAGGCCTGCAGGGCCCAACCCTAGTCCTCCCAGGCCTGCAGCACCCAGACCGCCCGCCATGCCGCCGAGGCCCGGTGGCCCGCCGCCCAGTCCCCCCAACCCAAAGTCCCCGGACAGTCGCTGCAGCGCTGCCGCCGCGTGCAGCGAGCCCGGCCCCGGCCCCGCCACGCCCAGGCCGCCTGCTCCTGCCGCCGCGCCGAAACCACCAAAGCCGCCTCCCAGACCCATGGGTCCCAACCCGATACCAGGCAGCCCCCCTTCATCTGCATCCATAGCCCCTCCTGCTGCTCCCGCCATTCCTCCTCGCCGGCTGCGCCTCCCCCGCCCGATCAGGCCGCTGCCGCCTCCCACTCCTCCTATACCCCCGACGCCATACTCTGCTGCCTCAGCCTCCGCTGCCTCAACCCCCACGTCCTCCTCTCCGTCCGCCTCCTCGTATCCGCCGCCCGCCTCATCATCATCAGAGCCGCTGCCCGAGTAGTAGTCGGCGGCGCGGGAGCGGCGGGCCGCCGTGCGGCGGCTTCGCGAACCGCCTCCACCTCCGCCACCCCCCGCTGCAAGGGTGGCCTGCGCGCGCTTGGTCGCCTTGCCCGCCCAGTTGCCGTTGATGGAGATTTCGTTCTTTCCCTGCGGAGGGGAGGGGAGGCGGGGTGAGGCAGGGAGGTGCTGGGAAGGACGTGCGGTGGGGGTGTGAAGAGGAGTGGGGAAGAGGGAGGAGGTCAAGGGAAGGCAACAGGGGACCATAGGAGGAGACGCTGCGTGCTGTGCCGGTGATAACGACAGCAACATCCCCCCATGAAGTCCTCACCCCTCGTTCCCTCCCCTCCCCCCGCCCTCACCGTCTCCTTCTGCCGTGACGCGTCCAGGTCCGGGTGGTCCAGCAGCCACTGCAGCGAGGCGCGCTCCTTCAGGAAGCGGTTGCGCAACGTGTTGGTGTTCACCTGGCGAGGGGGAAAGCAGGGGGGAAAAGAGTATTAGAAGGGGGAGGAAGAAGAGTGAGGGAGGGAGAGGTGGAAGGAGGGAAAAGGCCTTCAAGGTTCCACACCACCACCACCACCGCATCAGCGCCCCGCATGCGTCGTACCCCACGGCCTGCTTGCTGTCCCCTGCCCTCCCTCCCAGCAGCCGCCTGCAAACCCGCAACCCGCACCTTGCGTTTGAGGGTGGCATTCCAGTGGCTGCGGGCGGAGGGGGAGAGAGGGCATGCGGGCCAGGGGAAAGGACACGCGGGGTGAGTGTGGCTCGGCAGCGGTTGGTGGAATGTGGTGTTGGCATGATGCTGTTCGGCCCTATCCTATAGCCTGCAGCAAGATGCCGTGTGTGGCCCATATCTCCCGCTTCGGCACTTCGCGATTAAGGGAAAGCGCCGTACCAACATGCACCGAGCATACCCACTTTTTCACGCTGTTGTCGGTTCGGCCGCTTAGCAGCTTGGCGATCGCCGCCCATTTGTTGCCATGCACGTCGTGGGCCTGTGAGATGGGGCGCAGGCAGGGCATGGAACATGGTCTATGGAACACGGGAGGAGAAACCCATTTACAGTCAGCATGGGAGCGTGCCGTACGTAGCAGCATTGTGTGTTGCTGCCCTTGGAGAGAAAGGACGTGGTGGAAGGAAGATGGTCAGCAGGTTGGGGGCGCGGCAACACAGTAAGACATGACCTCAGGGGCGAGGCTGTGCTGGGAGGAGGCCGGGTATGCAGCAGCTCAGCACCGCTTGCAGTGGGCTTGGCACGGCTGACAAGCCGCAGCATGCAGATTTTCGTAATTAGTCATAGACGCCACAGAGGACAGCCATCTGTAAGAGCGGCTAAAATTGAGCACCGCCGACTAGTTCCAGTCCCGGGTGTACAGAATTAACCGGCGAGCATACATATGAATCCGTTTGCTATTTTGTAATTAGGGTTGTAATTGGTATGTCTTCAGGAAGATGCAAAAGATAGTACCAGAGCCTGCTGGTGCATGCCGGCGACAAGAAGTTAACATCCATAACTGGTTAATGACATACCTTGCGGCCCAATCAACCCGGCAACAGCCACACATCAGAATCTCCCAGCACAATCAATACTTGAAAACCGCAGACAACTCATGCGAGGACTGCCGCGAAGGCCGCCCAACCGCGATTGACTCACCAAGATAATCACTGCGTCCTCCCATTCGGAGAACGGCTCCTTCTTCACATCTGGGTTCAATTGGTTGTGCCATCTGCATTTGCAGCACAACAGGTGGCAGTAACGGTACTGTGTGTTTTCCGAGCAACCGCCGCGAGGCCATCGCAGCAACCACAGCCCCTCCTTTAAGCGACGGGCATGGCTTATGTATACCCACCGCAGGCGACAACTTTTTCCTGAGCGTCCTTTGATTCCAGCCGCCACAATGCTCCAGTTTTTTGTGCCATAAGTTGCGATGAGCTTGGTTAGAAGGGCGTCCTCCTCAGGCGTCCAGGCGCCCTTCTTAATGTCATCGCTGCCCCAATGCTCGCCATCAACATCCATGTCATCAGATGCCATTGTGAAGCCCTACACCGTGCACGGTCAGTCGACCATGACCTTTGTGAGAGCACGTGCTGACCAGCATTGTCATGATTCTATGAGAAAACCGTTGCGAGCATATACATATAAAGGTGAGCTCGTACACGGTTACCGCACCTGAGGTCCCGCTGACGGCCCCGCTGTGCTTCCGCCTGCCAACAACGGCCGGGGCCCCCTGGCCCCGGGGCTCTTCCTCAAGCAAGTCCTTTTAGCCTATCGCACTTACAGTGCGGCCCTGCTGAGTTGCAAGTTAAGAGCCGCAGTTGGTGTAGACTAGACGTTGGTGTGAAAGTTAAGTTGACGCCATGATTTCATCACTCAAGCTAGCCGGTAAGTAGCTATAACAGCTTTGGGTTTGACTTGGGCTGCGCAGATGTTCAGCTGGCTCGCGACGGGTATATTGCCTACTGTCAGGTCAAGTGTTTACAGGGCTCCTGAATCATCCACGGTGTGTAAATACACCTCTTTAGACACTATCACTGAAGTTTGCACAAGCGTTGAAGCGGCCCGGCATAATTTTCTTCAATCACGACATAGAAGTTGGCCAGGGCCAACTGCTCCATCATAAATCTCCAGGGTAAATCACATAGTAGGGCCATACCGATTCATTTGTTAAAGCTGTATACATGCCAACTGGTCTCACTAATCCGCTATGGAATTGTGAACTGGTAACCATGGTAATTCGCGAAAAGGAAGGAGCAATCACCCGCTTGCAAGGCGTTTGTAAGCAATTGCATTAGTAGGCCTTTCAGCCTCAGTATTCTGGTCGTGAGCCGTGTCAGCCGAATCACGCTAACGCCCGCCGACATGTAAGACCAACCCCCACTTGCCTCTGCATTCGCCATACAATTTAACGCGCGCGCCTGACCTTTACGCGCCTAAAAACAATAACCACGGCCACCGCTTTACCCTTTCCCACTAAGCTCGCGAAAGTAACCTAACATGCAAAGCCCTTCATAACAACTGTGTCCCCCTCGGCAATGCATGGCAGCACCACGTAAGGCGCAAGACCACAAAACGCGTGGAGATAAGCAGCGTGTGTGCATAACGTCTGCACGCAGCATTCGATGGATTAGTCATCTAGCATCCATCCTTTTGACACCCCCCCTTCCGCCAGCCCTCTTCCTTAGACGCCTGCACTGCATAACTGTGCCGCGGGCAGCGTCACCAACTCGCGGCTGCCACTTTCATCTGCATGTCGGCTGCCCTCAGCCAGTACCATAGCACCGTCACGGTAGCCGGTGCTGTAAGCCCCTTGCAAGGAGGCACTCGAAGAAGTTGCGGCAGCAGGCATCATCACAACGCCCAACTACGTGTGCACGTGTCGCAACCCCCCACCCTCGCCCCCGCGCGTAACAGCCTCCTGCAATGCACTGCTGTCCAGCACCTGCAGAAACACATGCTGCCCTACATGTAAGGGAAGCAGGGGACATTCACAATCTCCCAACCATACAACCCAGAGAGGCTGCGGCTCCCAGCGACACACACACACACACTCTTCCGCACCTGCATTCAACTGCCAACCGCCAGCATAGTGCAACAGCAAACAAAAGACGCTTCCTCTTTGCCTCTTCCCTTGCGCACTTGACCCTACGCTGCCCGCTCATCCTACCACACTCTCTTTCATACGGTAGCACCCAGAACGCCACTCTGCTAACCGCTTACACGCGCCCTCACTGCATACGGTATGGCTGGGGGAGCGCAGCCCACCACCTGCCTCCACCGCCGGTGCACCAGTTCCAACATGCCTCAACTACCAATACCGGTGCCTGCCTCCCCTGCCGCCATTCGTTCACACGTTTTGCCCGCAGTGGTGACCCCCCCACCGTTCTTGCGGCCAGCTGCGTCCGTCCCCTGCAGCCCCTTCCGAAGACCAAAGACTAGACAACAATGGAGGACAAGCAACGCCAGGGCTGAGGCGATGCGGTAGAGGAGGTGCCGCCAGTAGACGTGTGGCGCTACAGCGGTATGGCCACATATACCAATACCGCGGCTGCGCCTACCGGTACGGACAGTGGCTAGCCAACTGCATTAGTCAGTCAGCTAACACCACCCCTAACAACACTCCCCTTCCCTCCCTTTTTCACTCCTACTTTTTACCCCCCCCACTCTCCCGTCCCTCGTCCCTTCCCCCAGTCCGCAACCGCTGCAACCCCCTCCTCCTCCTCCGCATGGCACTTCTCTTCTTCTCCTCCTTTTCCTTCTCCTCACGTCTCCATCGGCACCGGCACCCCTGCCCCCTGCTGCCCCCCTTGCTGCGCCCCCCCGGGCGGTGCCAGCCTGCAGTTAAACAGCGCCCGCTTGACCACCTGCGCCGACAGTCCCTTGATCTGCTCCGCCGCCAGCTTGCTGACGTCACGGCAGATGCGACCCAAGGGACTGTCGTCCGCGCCGCCGCCTGACCCAGATCCGGATCCGGATCCGGAACCAGAGGCACCGCCGCCGCCGCCCTTCTTCTTCTCGGCAGCGGGCGGGAGGTACCTGGCAGGAAGGAAAAGGCAGGAGAAGGGAGGAGGGGTGTGGCGGGGGGGGGTGCGTACTGCAAATGTGGGGAAGAGGTGTCCAGAGGTGCCCTGTGGAGCAGGGCTGATGACTCCACATCCGCACCGATCCGACCCTACCGAGGAGGGCTATCCTGACCCCCTGCTCCCCCCTACCCGCCTCGCCGGGTATGCGACTTCCCCGGCCCCCGCCGGCCGTACAAACCCGGGCTGGTTTCTCAGCCTCCCCCCCTCGTTGCCTTTCCCTAACGCACAGTTTCAATCCTCTTCGTTTCACCCTCTCTCCCTGACATCCATCCTTGCCCTCTCTCCCTGACATCCATCCTTGCCCTCCCCATCAGCCCCGCTTGGGCATACATTCGTCAAGGGCTTATCCCACCTACCTCCTTCCTGCCTTTGGCGAAGGACTTACTACGTAAGTCCCCCCTACTCCCTACTCCCTCCACCCCCCTACTCCCTCCACCCCACCCTTACCCCCTGACCCATGCTCCCCTCCGCCTGCTCCAACCCCTCCCCCTCACCTGCCCATCCTCCCCCCCTGCCCCATGCCCCCCTCCGCCTGCTCCAGCTTCTCCGCCACGTCCGCCACCTGCCCCGCCGCGAACTCCCGGTTGGCCAGCAGCGGCGAGGCGCTCAGCGTGCTCACCCAGTACTTGTTCCACAGCAGGTCCAGCAGGTGGCTGGGTGGGGGGGGAGGAGGGGGAGGGAGGGGGGAAGGGGAAAAATTATATAAAAGTGAAACAACCAATCCCAACCCCATATTCCGGAAGGGGAAGGGGGGGGAAATAAACGAATTGAAGCAGTGGAGGGGGGGATGAGGGGGGGATCATGGGGGAATGAGGGATGTGGCGAGCTGCATAACACGGCTTCACCATGGGGTGCAAACATGGTAGCAGTAGTCCATGGTGGGGGAAGGGTAGCAATCATGGAGCTTATGTTTTGCAGGGGAGCGAGAGTAGAGGGCAGGGAGTGAGGTAGCGAGGGACAGCGGGTAATTATACGGTCCCAGCCCCGGCAGCTGGCAGCCCCGGCAGCTAGATAGCCCTAGCAACCTGGAACCCTCCTCCCCCGCCTCCCGCCTCCCCCGCTCCCAGCCCCCCTCCCCCCACCTGTCGGTGCTGCTCTTGAAAAAGGTGACATCCAGCGGGTAGTAGCTGCGCGCATGCACCCCGAAGTCCTCGATCTTGTCCAGCGGGATGGTTTGGTACTCGGAGGGGCCCTCGTCGGCGGGCTTGTAGTCCTTGGGGTAGGTCCTGGGGGAGGGGGAGGGGGGGTGGGGCGGAGATATAGCGGAACCACAGGTTAGGGTAAAGCATTGATAAAGCATTGGGATATAGTGTTGGGGGAAAAATAATATAAAGTGAAACAACGAGTCCCAATCCCGTATCCCGACTCATGCAGTGAGCGCATTCGGAGACACTATCCTAGAAGCACGCATCTCAAATTACTTACCGAATCGTTGCTTACCGTGTTATAGAGTTGGGGGGGAGGGGTTCAACCAGGCCATAGGACCAAACCATAGGAAACCACAGGTTAGGGCAAAGCATTGGGGACAGGAGATGGCAAGGGGCCCCTTAGGGGGCGGCATGGCATGGCATGACGTGACGTGAGGAGGTCTGCCCACGCTGCTGCATCGCATTGCTGTTACTGCTGCCGCTCCTCCTCCCGCCCCACCAGCCGCAACCAGCCTCCCCAGCAGTTCCCTTGGGACCAGACGTCCTGTTTCCCCAAGGCCCGCCCCCCCCCTCCCATACCCCCCCCCCGCCCCCACCTGAAGGCCCCGATCTCCACCTTGCCCGCCGCCATGGTGCGCATGGGGTCCACCACCACCGCCAGCCAGGGCTCCTGGTACTGCTGGTTCATCATCTGGGGGGGGGGGGGGCAGGGGGGGGGGGGCCAGGAGGGAGGGGGGAAGAGGGGAAGGAAAAAACACCATGCGAGGGGTGAGGAGGAGGGGTTGAAGGAGGGTATACCGGTAATGTACATATATATTGGGTTACTCGAAACGGGCTGTAATTGTTGTGGACGGGGTATAAAAGGGGACAGAATGGGAAGGTAGCGCCTCCCGCTGCCCCCAGCGCGTAAAACCTCCACTCCAACTCTGTGACCTCCCTGCACGGCTAGTCCGCCTCGTTCCTCAGCACACGCGCCCCCCAGCAACTGCCAATCCGCCCCGCCGGCACTCGGCACCCCAGCCCCCCCCCCCCCCTTCCGTCTCCTATGTTTTGGACTGGTCCCCTCCCCTCCCCCCCGCCCCTCTCCCCCCCACCTGCGTGTTGACGTCTATCCCCGACAGCCAGCAGCCGTACCCCGGGTGGCTGTGGTACCAGCCCACAGCGTTCTCGGGCCGGTGGACGGCCTGCGGGGGGGGAGGAGGAAATTAAATAAGTGAAACAACGGGAGGAGGGGAGCGGGAGAAAGGGGGAGGGGGAGCGGCGGTTCAGCATGCATGCATGCACGGACACCCCTCCTCCCCAACCGCCTTCACAACCGCCGCACTGGGCCCACCGTGCTCAAGCTTGCTATGGCCACAGCCGCTCTTGCCATTGGTTGGCACAATACCCCAAGCCCCTACTTCACCCTTTCTTCCTTCCCTCTTCCCTGCCTCCCTCCCCCCACCCTTTAATTCACTTCTACTTCTCTGCCGCATGGTCCTTCCTCCTTCCTTTCCCCTTTACCCAGCCCCCTCCCCTTACCTCGTCAGTTCCCTTGTGTCCTCCCATCCCCCTTCCCCCACCTTGACACCACACATTGGAATTTCTTTCCCCCCCCACTTTTGGCTTCCTATGGTTCGGTATGGTCCTTGACCCCCCTACCTTGTTGGTGTCCAGGAAGTCCACCATGTACTCGTACGCCTCCGCCTGCGCATTCACGCGCGTTTCCGTGCCCTCCACCGGCAGCGCGAAGGAGTCGATCACCACGAACGTGTCGCCCACCACCTTGCCCTGCAGGATACCCATCACCTGGAGAAGGGGGGGAAGGGCGGGGGGGGAGGGGGGAGGGAGGGGAAGTGAGGGAGGGAAGGGCGGGGGGGAGGGGGAAGTGAGGGAGGGAAGGGCGGGAGAGGGAGGGAAGGGGGGGATTAGGCATCCTGAGCCGCAAGGAAAGACGAGGGAGGGAGGGAGGCGGAGAGGTGAGATGTGGGGTGATGATGGCCCGTGGGTCGGTAGGGGGATGGGGTGATTGAGCAAGGGTTGTGTGAAACTTGTGATGTGGGTCGGGTCGGGTTGGTTCGGGTGGTGGGGGGAGGGGGGTAGGAAAGGGTGGTGGGGAGGTAGGCGGCAGGGGACAATTAATTTAAATAAGTGAAACAACGATTCCTAATCCCATATCCCGACTCATGCAGTGAGCGCATTCGGAGACACTAGGCGGCAGGGGACAGACAGGTGGAAGGCAGACCCCGCGACTGTCGTTAGCGAGAAACGCGATCTGTGTTTGCAGGCAATACCGATGACACGGACGTACCGGTAACTAACCCACGCACAGCCCTCTCCGTCCAACGCCCCTCTCCCCCAAATCACGCACCCCTTGTCACCCCTATCTCCCACTCCCATCCCTCCCCTACACCCTCTTCCCAGCCCACCAGCCCTCTCTACCACCCCCAACCCCCACTCCAGCTCATCCGTTCCCTCTTCTTACCCCCCCCCCCACCCCGACCCCACCTCCAGGTTCCCCCCCGAGCGCGCGTGCATGGCTATCTTGAGCAGCGCCAGGGCGGACATGCGCACACTGGAGGGGGGGGGGTAGGGGGAGGCAGGGCAGGAGGGGCGGAGGGGGAGGGCAGGGAGGGGAGGGCAGGAGGGGCGGAGGGGGAGGGCAGGGAGGGGAGGGCAGGGAGGGGACAGGGACAGTTGAAGGTTGTAAGCAACCTAGATTGGGCTGGAAGGGCAGCGTGTGGAAGGAGCGGGTGAGGAGGTGGTTTTCCTCCATCCAGGCTGCGCGGGTGTGGGAGCCTTAGGGGTTACCGCCATAGGAAGGTCGTATGGTGGGTTTGAGGAGGAGAAACCTCTTGCAGGAGGACACACCTCTTCGCCCCCACCAGAACCACCACCCACCACCCGCCACCCGCCCACTCCGCTGCTCCAGGGGCACTCCCAGCTGCGGACTGGTGATCCTCCTCCCTGCTCTGCCCACCAACCGCAAGTCCGCAACCGCACACCCTTCCTTCCTTCCTCCTCCCTCCTTCCTCTGCCAATTGCCGTCTCCAGCCGGCGACCCCGCATTCCATGTTTCCATCATCACTATTGCTACCACCCCGCCGCGCCCCGCTACCGGCAGCAGCAGCATCGTCACGACCCGGCGGCACCCAGCTCGACACTCCCGGTAACGTGATACGGGGATGCTTCCCAGCAGGGTGGCAGTTGGGAGGAGGAGGAGGAGGAGAAGGGGGACTAGCTGAACCTAGTTCCAGCATGGCTGGGTGTTGAGGGGGAACCCTACAGGGCGTTGAGCGGGAACCCTACATGCCCTTCTTTGCCCCTGCGCGCCCCCATGATGAGGTACCCCACGCCACGTTGTTGCGTAGCCGCTTTGCGACATATTCACTGTTGCATGGAAGGACTAGGTCCCGATGCGACACGATGTGAGGTTCGGCACTCCGCGCGGACACGCAATGACCCGTCAGCATGCACATTTTGCATGATGTCGGCTAGTAATCACGCATCGGGGATAACTGAGCGGTGCTGGAGTGGTGCGAAGATGTAGGGCCGAGGCCTGTGATCATGTGCGTTCTCGCCGCTATGCACGCAGACTGAACTTACTGCTTATAGTGGTGTGGATCTCTCGCCCAAGGCCTGCAGCTCTGAGCAAGCTGCTGCTCCGCAGCATCATACTTGAATAGGGCATCCACGTCCTCTCCTGTTGCCTGCTGGATGTTGTTTTCAAGCTCCCATCGTGACCTGGCAGCGGACGTGTCGGCCATGGCCGCAGCTACCGTCGACGGTGCGCAACCTAATGCCTAACCTAACTGCCCAAAGAACCGCAGGGATAGGACAGCGGAATCTACGTTGGCTTATATATGCAAGGTGTTAAGCTAAGAAGTATTTGCACGAGCGCCAACCCGGTACTCGGCTAGGGAGTCAGCGCAACACCGTACGGCTATGTAGGAAAGCAGTCCAAGGCTCCAAGCACTTGCCGAACATAGCGTTTCACTTATTACAACGAACACAGGCCACGGAAACAATGGTTGAGCGTATAGAGCTTAATTAATAGCTAACCTAAATGCTTCGAAGGAAAGTTCATGGCTGTAGTAAGGACGCGACCTACTCTGTACGTATAGGATTATGACCTAACCGTCATCTGTGTCTTTTAGCAAGCAACTTATAATGACCGGTAATAGAAAAGCTTGAGAGGCTCCGGGGGACCGTGGCCAGCAGGGTCGCGTCTCCCCGGAGAACTTTTACACGAAATGAACACAGGAAGCATACGCGAACTGGCGGCGGCGACGACGGTCCGGCATACGCAAATGGACCCGTCGGGGCCCCCGCCCTTCACCCATTCTCGGCTCCGCGGTTACGCTAGCAGGGTCGAAGGCCTGCTAGGTGAGTTTGTTGCGAAAGTCAGGCAAATCAGCGTTATGGCCTCCTTAGTTCCGCTCTGCACATGCCGCACATGGGTTACATCGGTGGTTGATGCTCAGCGGGCGCTCGCCATGCTGACGGGGAATGGGTTCAATAGACGCCTAATGCTATGGCAATCTCACCAAAGGAAGGGGGCGCTTGGGTGTTGTTAGGGGTGCCGTGGTTCCACGTGTGCATGTCTGTAGAACATGGGTTACGGAAATCATTTGCTTGTTACTTTGCCAAGGAAGCTCAGGGCAATACGCTGCGCGGGAAGGCCGTTCACCCTAAAGCACCCTTGCTGCGTATACTGAAGTCTCCACCACCACCGCCAACTATGTGCCATGGTTCCCATCTGCCCTCGGGTCCATCGTCACCATCCTCCGCGCCCTTGCTCCCTCGCTTCCTCCGCCGTCCATGCTGCTGGTCCGGCCCCATTCCACGCCGCCCCTTTCCACTCAACCCCTCCGCTGCTCGCCTCCCCCTTCCCTCCTTTAGACCCCAAGGTGGTCCTCAGCACCTCCGTCGCCCTCACCAGCGCCGGCCTAGCCGACCCGCTGCCGCACACCTCCTCCGGATCAGCCAACATCTCGGGAGCAGGCGGCACCGCAACAACAGCTGCAGCAGCAGCGGGTGGTGGTGCTGGCGCCAACAGCAGCAGCCCCCTCATGCAACAGCACCACCACCAGCAACAGCAGCTAGCCGCTGCAGCCCACGCACACTTCGCCTCGCCCTCCTCACCCCAGCTAGGCGTCCTCCCAACCGCCGCGGCTCCTACCACCGCCGCCGCCGCCAGCGGCCCCGGCGGCCACCTGGCATCCTCCATGCTGGCGTCACGCTCTCCGCACATGCAAATGCTGCCGCCGTCTCCCCAGCAAACCGTCACCACGGCCGCCTCAGCCACCCCGCCGCCACCCTCTCCTCCACAGCAGCAACAACAGCAGCAGCTGCCGCTGCCGCCGACGGCGGCCTGGCCGCCCTCACCCCAGCCCGCAAGCACGGAGGACCTGGCGGCGGCCCTGTCGCAAATCCAAAACCTCAAAGCGGAGATTGCGGGGGTCGAAACGGTGCTCGGCTACCTCAAGGGCTCCGAAACCGCCGCCACCACCACCACCATGGGACGTAAGGCCCACAAACTGCCCTCCCAGGAGCAGCTCAGAGCGCGCGCGGATGCGTTGGCTGCCAGTAAGGCCGCTGCTGCCGTACGACTCAACCCCCACCCCCACCACCCCCATCACGGCAGCGATGCGGTGTTGCTCATGCCGCTGAGGGCAAGCACGGGACAAGGCGTTGGCATCGGCATTGGCGGTGCCGGTGGGGGTGGGGGTGGGGGCAATGGGGTATCCCCAGCGCGTGCGCGCTCCGCTGGTGAAGCCGGCGGAGCGGGCGGCGGCGGTGGCGCCAGCGCCCCCGGCGTGTTCGACGTGTTATCCGCGGAGACGAAGCTGGGTCGCACGTGGCGGCTGCCCCGCGGCCCGCAGCCGGTGGGTCGCGGCGAGGCGGTGATCCTGGAGGCGGCGCTGGACGAGGCGCTGCCGCCGGGAGCCATCACGGCAAAGTACGGCAGCGGCGGCGCGGCGGCGGCTGCGGCGGCGGAGGCGGCGTTCTGGGGTGATGGGGACGTACGGCGGGACTTTGACATGCTGGTGATGGTGCAGCGGGAGGTGGCGCGGCAGGTGGGCGGGTGGGGGGTGGGGTAGTGTTGATCGGTTTCAAGAAGCAGAAGCAGAATACGGTGCCGGGTGCCCCCCCTAAGCACCGACTTCCCTCCGACCTCCCATACCCACCCCTGCCACCCGCGTACCCGCCTCTGCCATTTCTCCTCGGCCCCCCTCCCCCCGCTCCTCGGCCCCCATCCCACGCCATCCTTTTCAAAGAATGAGGATCCCATTGGCAGTGTGCGTGTTCCTTGGGTTGTGTTTTACTCCCACCCCACCCCCAACTCACCCCCAACCCAACCCAACCCCCCACCCCACCAGGTCGCTGGCCAGTGTGTGGAGCGGGGCCGGGTGATAGAGAAGCTGGCTGACCGGCAGGCGGAGGTAGGCGGGGGATGGGGATTGGCCGCTGGTCAGTGTGTAGTTGAGTAGAACAAGAGCAAGCAGTTGGGATAGGTTCGCATGTGAACCGCAAGTACAGTCAAAACAGAGGCAAAACAGAGATAAACAAACCTGAAACGTAATTCATTAAAACTGCTTAAAACGCTGGTGCTGGATGTAAGAAGAGTGCCGGGTTGACGACGCATGTCGGTGATGCTGATGGTGTCGGGAAAAATTAATTACTGCTGAGTACCTAGCCCGCTGACCAACTCGACGCCGGGAGCCCCCGCTCTAGTCACGCACCACAATGCTGTGCATGCGTGCGTGCAAACGCGCATTGCGTACCTGCGAGCAAAAGCGCCGTAGTCAGCACCAGTACCAGCAGCTGCAGTAATGCGACTAATGCCATGCGCAGAAACATGAACCAGAGCGAGGAAAGGGGGACAGAGTTAGAGACAAAATGGACCTATATCGAAGTGCAAAATGTACGGCAAAGCAGGCCACTGATCCGCTGGTCAGTGTGTGGAGGGCAGTGGACATCGAGAGGTAAAGCCTTGTCAGTCGTCACACGGTTAGTTGTCTCTTCCTTCACACGGTTAAGACTTTTAAGCCGAACCCCCCCCCATCCTGCCGCCTCCTTTCCCCCTTGCTTTGCCCTAACCTGTAGCTTCCTATGGTTCGGTATGGTCTTTACCCCCCCCCCCCGCCCCGGCCCCCCCTCCCCCCCCCCCACCACCCCACCCCTCCAGATCTTCACCGCCATCACCGCGGGCGCCAAGTCGGCGGGTGAGGCGCAGCGGGGCATGGCGGAGCAGCTGGCGGCGGTGACGGCACGGGCAGCGGAGCAGGTGGGAGTGGGGAGTGGGGTGGCGTGGCGTGGCGTGGAGTGGGGGGTAAGGAGAAAGAAACTGACGGAACTGGCGGGGGGGGGGAGGGGAGGAGGGGGAGGGAGGCAGAAGATAGGAGCGACGGGAAGAGGGAATGGATGGGGCTATACAGCGGGAGAGGCGCGAGGAGGCACTGGCCTTGACCGACACTGTGTGTTTTGACACGCCCGCGTCTCCCTCCCTCCTTCCCCCTTCCCGCTTCCCCCCCCCCCCAGGCCTCCGAGCTGGCCTCCCTGCGCTCCGAGCTGGCGCTGCGCGGCGCTGCGCTGGAGGACGTGCGCGGGCAGCTGGCGGAGGCCACCACCGCACACGAGCACTACGTGTGGGATGCGGAGCAGGAGGTGGAGCAGCTGCAGGCGCAGGCGGATGTGAGGAGGGGGGAAAATTATAAATAAGGAGGGGGGGGGAGGGGGAGGGGAAGGAAGGGGAAGAGGTGGAGGGGAGAGAGGGGAGAGGGAGGGGGATAACATCGTTGGGGTAAGGAAGAAGGTTAAAGGGCCAGCTTGGTAGCATGAGGAGGGAGGGGTGTGGGGCAGCCGCCCACGCCTCCTCCTCCTCCTAACTTGTGCAGCTCTGCCCCCCTCCTTAGCCCGAAAGCCCCTCCTCAAATCCCCCTCCCTCTGCTTTGTGAATCCCTGTTTTTTACTTTTTGTTTTTATATGGTTTTAATTGGTACAAAAATTGTCCCCCCCCCCCAGATCCTTGCCGCCGAGGTGGAGCACCTGCACATGCGGCTGGGCGAGGCGGTGGCGGAGAAGGACGCGGCGCTGAGTCGCGGGCTGGCGCGGCTGGAGGGCGACCTGGCGGCGGTGACGGACGAGCGGGACGACCTGGCGCAGCGGATTCGCTTCCTGGAGAGGCAGCTGCACAAGTGAGGGGATGGGAGGGGGAAGGAGGGGAAGGGTGTGGGAGGAGGGGAGGGTGAAAAGAGGAAACTAACGAGCTGTATGACGAGGCTACACCATGGGTTGCTTAGGGAGGAGGGGAGGTTGCTGAGGTGGGGAGGAGGGGCGGGGCGGGAAAGAGGGGAGTATGGGTGGGTGGGTGGGAGAGGCGTTTGGACTAAGAAGCGAGGCAGAGCTGCACAAGGGAGGAGGAGAAGGCGGGGCGGCTGCCCCACACCCCTCCCTCCCTGTGCTACCAAACTGGTCTTACAACCTTCTTCCTTACCCCAAACATGTTACCCCCAACCCCTTACCGGCCCTCTCCCCAGCCCAACTATCCAGCATAATGCGGAATATTTATCCCTCTCCTCTCCCCTCCCCCCTCCCCCTCCACACACCCCCAAGGCTGCGCACCGAGATGAACGCGTGTGTGGCCACCCGGGCAGTGGAGGTGCAGACGGATCCGGTGGAGGGCTGGGAGCACAGGGAGGAGGAGGATGTGCCGGTGAGATAAGGGCGGGGGGGGGACTGGCGACCTGTATGACGAGGCTTCACCATGGGTTGCTATTTGAACGCATGGACGGGTGGGGGGGAAGGGGGGTAGAATAAACCAAACCACAAAGTTAGGGCAAAACAATGGGTATTGTTGGCAGGGAGCCACAAAACATGGGAGGGTTAGCAGTCCTTACCGATACCGATGCTCCAGAGGAAGCGATTTTGCTGCATCCGGTGTGCTGTAAATAGCCAAAAATGGAGTAGTCTATTCGTCGCTGAGTGGGGGAAGGGGGGGGGGCTGTCTGGGGTGGGGTGGGTGTGGAGGTCGGAGCAGATAAGAGAGGATTTTTCCACATGCGGCACGATCGGTGCGGTGTTGGAAGCACGGTACGGTGGGCCGTGCATGCAGCCCGTCGCGATGCACCCCGCACACAACCCCAGGGGGCTAGGGACCCTACATCACACTACATCACACTATTAGGTCCCTACATGCCACACAACACCAGCTACGCCACACCAATACACCACACCCTCCCCCCCTCTCCCCCCTCCCCCTGCTGCTACTATGTAACCATCCACTTAACAACCACAAATCTACGCTAAATCCAACTATCCAGCCTAATGCGGAGTACCGGTACGTATCCCTATTCCCCCCCCCCACCCCCTCCTCCCCCAGGACGACAACAGCGACACGCCCTCCCTGGCTGAGATTCGCGCTCGCTACGCGGCGCACGGCTACGGCGCGCTCACCCCCGAGGAGCGCGTGCGGCTGGGTTTGCCGGCGCACATGGACACGGAGGGCGGCAGGGAGGCCAAGGGGCGCAAGCGGAGGAGGGCGCTGGGGCACTTCCAGGTGCGGGGAGGGAGAGTGGGGGGGGGAGGGGATTAAAGAGGAAACAACTAACTGACCGTGTCATCATAGTTTGCAACATGTGAGCCAGTCCGAACCCGCCCAGCCCGAACTAGCCAAGCCAGTACGTTTAGGGGGGGAAGGGAGGGAGGGAGGAAGTGGGGGGAATTATGGGGTTTTGGGCACAAGGTGGGTGGTAGGCGTTGTTGTTGCTTGTAGCTGGTTAGAGGTGGGGGGGGGGGAAAGCATGCCAGACCAGCCAACAGCCTAACCCCTGGGGAGGAGGTGGTTGTGCCGGTGAGGGGACGGGGGCGGGGGGCGGACCACCGGTGGTGGTGCGAGGCAGGTTGCGTGCGGGCGGCATTGCAGGCGCAATGCTGTGCATGGGGATGGGTAGGCGGGGTTAGGAGGGGGGTCTGCTGCTGCCTGTGCACCTGCTGCCACCTGCCTTTCCAGTTCCCACCCACCCCCTGTCTCTTGGCCGCTTCCCCCCTCCCCAACCCCTATTCCCCCCTCCCCCTCCCCCCCCCCCAGGGCCTCATCTCCACCGACAGGCCGGGTCGTGTTCGCGGGTTGCAGTGGACCATCAACGCGATATCGGCCATGTACTACGATAAGGTAGCGTACCGGTGGAACAGGAGGGTGTAGGAGAGGAGCGGGGGGCAGCTGATGAGCGGGGGGGGCTGGGCTGGCCTGACCTGGGGGGGGGTGTACCTGTGCAAGGGCGGGCGGGCAGGATGCAGGGGAGACCCCGGGGCGGGCCGACAGGGGAGACCCTGGGGCTTCTATAACCCACATGGTGCATAGCCTCATGTCATGTGGAGGTTAGTTGCTCCTCCTCTTTCCCTCCCCGCCTCCTCACGCCACCTACCTAAAACCGTCGGGACATGGCTTTGGGATCCAGTTGCTTCGCACGTAACAATAGTTAACAATTAACTGTTAAATTACTGTCATGTGTTTTCCTGCCGTACATCACTCCCCCTCCCCCCTCCCCCCTCATCCATGTGCTGCTGCCGCCCGCAGGTGCACGCCGACACGGTGAGCGACCGCGAGGGCAACCCGCGACCCCGCCTAGCCGAGTTCGCGGTGGAGTGGCACATGACGCGATTCGGGCTCCGAAACTTGGCGGAGCTGAATCTGCTGGATCTCATTGCGAGTGTACGACACCACTACAAGACGTCCGTACGAGTGCGCTGGTTTGGGCAGTTCACGGGTGGGTTTGTGGGGTTGTGGGTGTTGACCATGTGTCCTTGTTAGCGTGTACGGCTAATGGCACCCTACCCCTTGCCTGATCCAGTCCGTTGTCAGTAACCCTGTACGGCATACGTAACCCTGTACGGCATACGTAACCCTGTACGGCATACGTAACCCTGTACGGCATACGTAACCCTGTACGGCATACGTAACCCTGTACGGCATACCTCATGCACAGCAGTCGTAGTTGGTTTCTTCCGCTTTACTCCTCCCCGCCCCCTCCTCCCCTCCTATTGCTTCAATTCTCGTTTACTTCCCCCCCTCCCCGCCGCCTCATTCCCCAAATTTGCCTTCTGTGGTTTTTGATCCATTTTGACCCCCTCCCCTCCCCTCCCCCCCCTTCCCCCCCTGCAGGCCTGGTTGAGGTGGGCGACCAGGTGGACACCACCCCGCACCTCTCCTACTACCTCGCCTGCCTCACACACCTGGCAGCACCCTCCTCGCTCACCTCGCTATTCCCCGACACGGGAGGCGAGGAGGGAGGCACGCCGCCGGTGGCGATCAAGGCGGCGGCGCTGCCCGAGGCAATCAAGACGATATTCAAGTGAGCGGGGCGGGGGTGGAAATAAATTATACGTGCAGCGAGGGGGGGGGTGAGGAGAGGAGACTGACGAGCTGTATGACGAGGCTTCACCATGGGAAGAGAGGGTGCGGGTAAAGGGGGGGAGCTAGGGGGCATGGGTGCGGGCAGGGACTTGAGAGGGTGGAGGCCTTGGGTGCGGGTGTAGCGGTGGTGATGAACCTCCCCCTCCTCCCCTCACGAATTTTTTCCTCAGGGTTTATCAGCTAGTTTACCACTATCACAGTAAACATTGGATTTCTTCTTTTCCCTCCCCCTCCCCTGCATTTCTTATATAATTTCCCCCTCCCCCTCCCCTCGTCAGTGTCTCATTACGTTTTACTCCCCCTCCCCCCTCTCCTGTCAGGTACCTGAACGACCCAGATGGCGCCGCCCCCTTCCTCTCCCGCGCCGTGGAGCCGCTCACCGACCCCGCCTCGCAGCTGGTGCCGCTGGACCCGCTGCTGGCGCTGCTCATGGCGGAGTACCAGAAGAGGGTGAGGGGGGGGGGAGGGGGAGGAGGAGGAGGGTGAGAAGGGGGGGAGGGGGAGGAGGAGGGGAGGAGGAGGAGGGATAAAAATAAGGAAAACCGACGAACGTGAAAAATGACGAACGTGAGAAGGGGGGGAGGGTGAGAAGGGGGGAGGAGGAGGAGGAGGGGGGGAGGGTGAGAGGGGGGTAATGGCTTGTGGCGGTGCAGTATGACCTCGCAAGTGTCACCCCTCCCTCCCCCCAACGCTATCCCAACTATCCAGCCTATCGCGGAATATGTCTTCCTCTTAATTCCCTCCCCTCCCTCTCCCCTCTCCCTCCCTCCCCCTCCTCCCCCCCTCCCCAGTGGGAGCGCAGCGGAGCGCACCTGCGCGCCCTCTTCCGCGCCGGTGACGTGGACGACGACGGGCTGGTGGGGTACGACGAATTCGCCGCCATCGTACGGCAGCTGCTGCCGGGATCTGAAAGTACGGCAAGCGCGGATCGTACGATTGGCAAGATGTACGGCGAGGCCATGCGGCGGCTGGCTGAGGGGCAGGTGCTGGTGGACGTGGACACCTTCCTATCGGTGGCTCGATCCTTCGGGTGGGGGGGTGGGGGTGGGGTGGGGGGGTGGGGGTGGGGTGTGGGGGGGTGGGGGGGATTGGATAGACGACATGGGGGAATTAGACCAAACCATAGGAAAACACGAATTAGGGGGTGGGGTGGGGGTGGGGGCTAAAACGCAGGTAAGTGCGGCATTGAAGTCCCGGTTCCAATGGGTGTGAGGGTGGGGGTGCTTCGGTGTGGGTCGGAGCCCAGGTGCGGTGGGAGCCTTTTGCAGCAAACATACCGATACCGCTAGTCCCATGGGGTGACCTCACCCCCTCCCTCCCTCCCCTTCCCTTCCCCTCCCTCCCTCACCCTTCCCCCCTCCCGCCCGCCCTCACCCTCCCCCCTCCCCCCCTCCCTCCCTCCCTCCCTTCCCCCCCCAGCTTGGACCGCTGGCGAGTGGAGGCCGCCCCCCTCCCCCAGTCGCACCTCTCCCTCTCCGCGCACCCCAGTGCGGCCCTCCTCAACATCCCCGGACTCACCAGCGCCTACAACCTCAGCCTACCCGGCCTGCCCGGCAACGCCACCTACCCCCAGCAGCCCTCCCCCTCCCCCTCCACCACCGCCACCGGCACCGGCTCGCGTCCCACCACCAATACGACCGTTCTGGAGTCCTCCGCGACGAGTGGGAGTCCGCGTGCCGGCATGGGGGCGGGAAGGCGGCAGCAGCTGGCGGGCACGTCGCGAGGGGTCCTGGCGGCGACGGCGAGTGGGACGGCGCTAGGGGTTGGGGGAGCAGGAGGAGGAGGAGGAGGCAAGGGTGGGGGTGGAGGTGGGGGGAATACGCCGTCGAATCTTCGGAAGACGGAGAGTGTGGTTGGGTTGAACGAGCAGGACAGGTGGGTGGGGGCGGGTGGGGCGTTGTGGGGGCGGGAGGGAGGTGGGAGAGGGGGGTCAAAGACCATACCGAACCATAGGAAGCTACAGGTTGGGGCAAGACAATGGGGATAGGAGCGGCAGGGTGCCAGGGGAGAGGGAAGGGAGCTTAGTACGGGAATACGGGAGGTGGAAGTGAAGGAAGGGCGGAGCGGATTGACGGGGAATGGGAAAGGGCAAGTGAAGGCAAGAGTGCGGAGATACCTATGCAGTGTCTGGCCCGCTCATCGGCCGCTTCCCCACACACCCTTGCTTCCTCCAAACCCATCCTCGCGACAACCCCAACTGCTGCTGCCGCTGCTACCTGCTCTTGTCGTACAACACGCGCGAGTGAACCTCCTTGCCGTCACCTCCTCCACAACACCACACTCCACCCCTCCTCTCCTTCCTTTCCTCCCCCTCCCCTCCCCCTCCCCCTCCCCCTCCCCCCCCCCCTCCCCCCTCCCCTCCCCCTCCCCCCCGCAGGACGCTGCTGCGTGTGCTGGATGGCGCACTGGATGCACTGGAGCCGGCCCTGGAGGACCAGGTGGGGGGGTGAGGGGGGGAGAGGGGGCAGGGACGTCTCCTCACGTGTGGGCTTGTTTCCTGCTTTCCTCCACCCACCACCGCACCCCACATTACCAGACAACCTCATCAAGGGTTGACACGCGCTCATACGCGGCATACCTGCGGCTCAAAAGGGCGTGTTTCGTCCCTTCCCCCGGTAGACTACGGTCAGGGTCAGTGCTTCCACGGCTCTGATGACCTAATCCCCCTTCCCTTCTCCTCCTGCCCCTCCCCCTCCGCCTCCCTCAGGTGGAGCAGCTGCTGGAGCGGTTGCGCGGTGCGGTGGCGGCGGCGCAGCAGCAGCAGGCGGCGGCCGCTGCGGCGGTGGCGGCACTGCCGGGTCTGGAGCTGGGGCCCAGTGCGCGGGAGCTGTCGGCGGCGGTGACGGAGGAGGGAGCGCTGGTGAGGGGGGACGAGGGGGGAGGGAGAGATGGAGGGGGGGAGGAGCCTGGAGGGGAGGGGTGTGGGGAGAGGCGGCGGGAGAGGGGGTGGTGTGAGCGGAACCGGTTGGGACACCGGCCGGTAGATGGGGTGGGGGGGGATGCTGAGGTGCAGCTGCTGCGTGTTGGTGGGGGTGTGCAGCTGCCGTCCGTAACCCCCCACCCCACCCCCCCGCCCCCGTCTCCATGCACCTCCATGCACCCTCCCTGCCCCTGCCCCTGCCCCGCCCCTCAACCTCAATACACACATTATTCCCCCCCAACCCCCCACCCCCCCCAGATCTCCAAGCTTCAGTCCCAGTACTCGCACTTCCGCTCCGTGTACGGCGAGCGCACCGACCCCGCGGCAGCCTGGCTGGCCTTCCGCATGCTCATGGCCACACTGGCAGCGGCAGCGCAGGGGTGAGGGGGGGGATAAATGAGAAGTGCATGGGGGGAAGAGGGGGGGAGGAAACCACAGGTTGGGGCAAGGGGGGGCAAGGAGGGCACTGACAAGCTGTAGCTGCATGTCGGCTTCACCATGTGGGGTGCAAGCATGGTATAGCCGTCCATCTTGTGCAACCTGGGTCAGCCAAGCCATGACGATAGAAGGGGGGAGGGGGGGAGGGGGATTGGATAGACGACATGAGGAGGGTTTTGATGCAAACCCCAAGCGCCGCCCCGCGACCAGTCTTCATAACACACATCCCTACTTCCCTGCCCCCCTTTCCAACACACAAGAACACACACACGCCCATTCAACACACCAAGATTGTCAACAACCCACCTCCCACCACCCTCCCCATCCCATCCCCTCTCCTCCCCCCCTCCTTCCCTCCCTTCTTCCCCTCCCCCCGCAGCGCCCGACCCCGTCTGGGCACCGCGCAGGGCCACCGCCCCGGCAGCGGCTCCACCCGCAACGGCGTGGTGGTGGGCTGGGCGGGCACCCGGTCCGCCCTGCGGCTGGCGGTGCCCGCGCTGCCCTTCAGAGCCGGCAGCAGCCCCCTCGCAAAGCACCACTCGCAGCAGAGCGGGCTGGGACCGCTGGGGGGAGCGGGAGGAGTAGGAGCGGGAGGCGGAGGAGGAGGGGGAGCAGGGACGAGTGCGGGGAGTGGGGTGGCGGGTGGGGGGCTGGGCAGCAGCAGCAGGGGCAGTCCGGCGGCGACAGTGGCAGCGGCGTCGGCTGGGCTGTACGGAGGAGGAGGGGCAGGAGGGGGTGGTTACGGGCCGTTGGGGGATGGTGGTGGGGCCATGGCGGGTTGGGGCACGAGTGCAGCAGCAACAGCAGCAGCAGCAGGAGGAGGAGGAGGTGGAGGAGGGCGGACTCCCCCAGGGTTGCCGGCGGGTGGGGGTTCACTGCCCAGGAGCCGCAGCAGGTCCCCGGATGTGGCGGCGAGGGCGGGGCCGGGGGGGCAGCAGGGGGGTGGCATGCTGCTGATGGGAGGCGGCAGCGCCGGAAATGTCGGTGCGGGAGGCGCCGCTGCCGCCGCCGCCGCCGCAGCAGCAGCTGCAGCAGCTGCAGCAGCTGGCTTGCGGGAGGGCGTGGTCGTCACCACCACCACCGCCACCCCCACCACCCTCACCACCACCCCCACCCCCGGCAGCAGCAGCAGCAGCCTCCCCCAGGAGCGACCCGCCTCCATCCCCACCGCCTTCACCCCACCCCCGCCCCAACCCTATCAACCCCAACAAGCCCCCCAGCCCCCTCCCACCACCGCCACTGCTGCTTCCACCGCCCTGCCGCCCCCCTCGCAGCTCTCCACCACCACCGCCTCAGCGGCCTTCCAGCCCCTACCCCCACCGCCATCAGCACAACCGCCCTCCGCCGCAACTGCGTCACCCGGCTCCCCCTCCTCCCCCTCCTACCAACCACAACAGCCACGCACCCAGCCCATGCCAATACCCATGTCCTCCTCCTCCTCCTCCTCCTCCAAGCAACTCCCGCCCACCTACACCTCCTCCTCACCCTCCTCAGTCGGCCCCCCAAGCACCCCTCCGGGTGCCACCGCCTCCTCACCCCTCACCGCCTCCTCCTCCTCCGCAGCAGCAGCAGCCGCTGCAGCCACTGCAGCAGCAGCACTCAGTGGTTCCCCGCCCAAGAAGGGAGTCATGTTCTCACTCGTACCGCAACCACCCACGGCAGCTCAAGCGGCGGCGGTGGCAGCGGCTGCTGCTGCTGCTGCTGCGACTGCGGCAGGGCAGGTGCCGCTGACGGAGGCGGGTGAGGGTGCTGCTGGGGCAGAAGCGGCATACGCTGTGGATGCGGCAGCGGAGCCAGCGGAGGAGGCGTAGGGAGGTGGTTTCGGTGTTTTTTGATGGGTAGTAGTGGGGTGAGGTGAGGTGGCAGGTGGAGGGAGCGGTGTGTCGTGGAGGCGGGAGGTGGTAGAGATAGAGCGGAAGTGGACGTGTTGATGGGTGTTGTAATGCCCCCGCGGCACACCGATTTCCGCAGTGGACTTGAGGGCTGAGTGTCTCGCAGGGGACGTCGCGCTCCTGCTGGTCGGGTGCTCCTGCTACGTACCTGCGCACATGTAGGTAGTGTCCCCGTGCGTACGGACGGCACGTCAGGAGGTAGGCTGCAACTGTACGGCATGGGGGCTGTTGCTGTACGGCAGGTAGGCTGCAACTGTATGTACTACTGGCGTCCTGCTGCTGTACAAGTGGGGTTGCGGACTTGCGGTGGGTTGGTGCCGAGTGGTTAGTGCTGAGTGTGATCCAGGCGGTGGTGATTGGCGACATTGGTGGTGTGATGCCCTGTCTGTTGGGTGGTACCCTGCTTGTGTGCTTGCTCCTTCTTCTTCTTGGTGAGAGGAGAGCACATGTGGTTGGGGCATATGCATCCAGCTGTAGTACTGCGCACCGAAATGGACCAGCAGGTCATGAATGAATGAATGACCGTTGGTACCAACAGCACACATGGTACCATGGTACCTGGCCTGCAGGGCCTGATGCAAAACTGCACCCCGCCATCTAGCAACAGGCACCGTCCGAGCTCGTCGCGCTCCGTGTCAATGACCTGGGTAAAGAGGAAACAACGAACTGACCGTGTGATGGCTGGAAAGCGATGGGCCGAGACACCCTACCATGCAGGGTAGGTCATACAGGCAGGCGCTTTCGGATGGGTTGTGAGCTGCAAGTAAGCTGCATATAGCTGCACGCTGCACGCAGTCAGAAGGCACCTCCCGGCAGCTGGGGCAGATAAGCCAGGCAGGAGCAGTGGTAATGGGCAGTTAGGGCAGCTATCACCCGCCCCCACCTACCCCTTCATCCCCGCACCCGCCCCACCTACCCCACATCCGCCCTTCCCTCCCACACCCTCCCCTCCCTCCCACACCCGCCCCCACCTACCCCTCCCTCCCACACCCGCCCCCTACCCCTCCCTCCCACACCCGCCTCCCTATCCCTCCCTCCCACACCCGCCCCCTCACCCCCCTCTCCCACACCCGCCCCCTACCCATCCCTCCCGCACCCGCCCCCTACCTCCCTCTCCCACACCCGCCCCCTGCCCCTCCCTCCCGCACCCGCCCCCACCTACCCCTCACCCCCACACCCGCCCCCACCAAACCCTCACCCCCACACCCGCCCCCTACCCCTCCCTCCCACACCCGCCCCCACCTACCCCTCCCTCCCACACCCGCCCCCACCTACCCCTCCCTCCCACACCCGTCTCCCTATCCCTCCCTCCCACACCCGCCCCCTCACCCCCCTCTCCCATACCCGCCCCCTACCCCTCCCTCCCACACCCGCCCCCTACCCCTCCCGTTCCCACCCCCACCTAACCCTCTCTCCCACACCCGCCCTCCACCCCTCTCTCCCCCGACTACCCCTCCCACATCCGCCCCCACCTACCTTTTCCTGCCAAATGCCCCCACCTACTTCTTCCCGTCCTTTCTGTCCTTTGTATCCCCTTCACATCTCTACCTATGGCTTTCCAGTCCCTTCTTCCCTTCCTTGCTCTAGGTACCCTCTTATACATGCCATAGGCTGCCTCAAAAGAGCTATAGCTGGGGGCATAGACTGTTACGGGGCTCAATTGTATAAAAGGCTGCCGGTAAGACTGTCACCGTACAAGCTGGCTGCCGCTAACAACATCTGCTAGCTGGCTGCTGGTGAGGGGTCCTTGCGTTCTGTAGCTGTTTGTGCCGTGCTGTGCTGTGTAGGCCCTACGAGGAGGAGGGAGACATCTGGCCTGACTGGGGTGGGTCGCTGAGGCGCATGTGGCCGACCCACCCCGTCCGCCCCCAAGCCGTGTTGTACATCAGGTGCTGGGCTGCGAGCGAGCTAGCTGGGAGCTGCTGGGCGCTCCAGAGGGGTCTGCCTGCCTCGGTGGCATTGGGAACCGCCACCTCATAACACACCAAATCCACAGCATATCCATATAGCCCAAGAGCGGTGCTACCGCCAAAAGACCATCCCCTGCGCGGCATGACAAGTCTGCAACGCCTGTATGTCCACACCTCCCATCTTCTCAGCAGTCTCTCCTGCAGCCCTTCAGTCCCCTAAACCTCCTCGTATTGCCAACTACGCCATGCTTCTGATACAAACCTTTCAACAGCTTAGGGTCCTCCAAACTCGAGTTCTGCTACCACAACAGTCAAATCCACGCAACCGTCCACCTACCGGTATCACCCCAGCGTCATCATAATAAACAGCTAACATCTACGCAAATCCGTCGCAAAACCCGTCGCCAAATTGAAGCGGTAACAATGTCCGCACCAGAGACACCTTCAGCCAAATGGAAATGCCGTCAACCCAACATCGAACCAGCAGCATGCAGCAAGACAAGCACAGCAGCGACACTAGTAACCGATGCGCCACCTACCCCAGATCCATCGCCAGCCAGACAGCGCAGCTAGGTACAACACTGGCGCGCCCACTATCCAACGACCACAAACCGCATGGAAGCGCCTACGTCAGGCCCCGAGCTTTCCCATGCATGTGGAGTGACGACTGCACCACAAGCCAACTCACTTGTGACCCGTGAAGGACAACCGCTATGGCGGTGGAGGCGGGATGATGGCAGTGGAGCTATGGCAGTAGGCGACGTCCGTCATCACTGTCACTACCGTATTACTGCAATTTATGCAGCGGACGGGGAGTTGGGCTGCGGTGGCAACGGCACACCGCACCACGTACACCCACGACAGCACACCGCGTGCCCCCCAACTTACGTGGAACAGCGATGAACCGAGACGGAGGTGGCGCAAGGAGAAGTAGTCAGTGCGAAAGCGGGCGAAGTGGCTTGTTGGCTGGGGGTGTATCAACTTGATCCGCAGACAGGGCGCCCGCCTTGCTGGCCATGCATCTGCAGGGGGCAGGATAAGGTCGTATGTCGGTCACACAGCAGCGGCATAAGACCCACATCAGATACTTGCAACCCCATAACTGGCGTCACCCCTCAAGATGATTATTCCGCAAAGCCCGATGGGTAACGGCCTATTGATTGTACACGTACCCTTGCCGTGCGTGCATGTCCTATCTATCGTAGCCCTAGCTTCACAGCGCATGCTCGGGCTTCCACTAGTATGCCATGCTCCCATCCAACCCCGAACCCTAGGTGCCGTAAATTCGCATTACGTCGGGACTTGCGGAATCCCGGCCGTCCTGGGCGCGAACAGCCCATATGGGATACAAGAGCGGTGACCATTGCTACTTACCTCTACAGGGCCCTTGAACGCGGCATGTGGGTTGGGATCCATTTCCAGCTGTTGACTCATCCGCATACTTGGGTCTCCTTGGTTGGACCCTGAAGCTGCGCTCTGAAGCGGTGTGCCTACGAAGAGAAAAAGTTCGAGAGAAAGCTGCACAGCGCATTCGGGGACACGCACCAGAGCCATTAGCATGTCAATTGGCGGGTGCCCGACGCGCCACTGTAAATTACAGGCTGTATAAAATTCTTCTTAATCTATATTTGCAACTCATACGTGTAGTGTAAAAAGGTGTCGCGGTGAAGGCCTAAAACTGCGGACGATGAATGTCGCACAACCCGTCCTAGCTAGTTACTGGAATCACTTACCTTCTACAAAAAGGGCTAAAGATTGCTGGCAGACCTGTGGATTGTGTATAAAGTCGGTAAGTATAGTTCGTAGCTGCCAAAGCGCAGCGTCTCCAACCTTCATAAAACGGCGGCATTTACCGAGCTCGAGACTTAGAGCTCACAGGTAACTTACCTTAAGACCAGGCGCTCGCTATACGTTGGAGAGTTGGAGACTTTCACTTGTGACCTTCACATATATCTGAAATGCCTTAAACCCAAGCTATAACCACAATAACTATAAGTCTGCTGGGTCTGCTGCAGTAGGGCTAATACGATAAAGCGTGGCATTGCGAGTTTTTATGACCGGGCTCTGTTGCCGTACCGGTATCCCCAGTAGCGCCATAGGCCAAAACCGGGAGGCGTAATGAATGTTACGGTAATGGAATGACGACCAAAGCAAAGGTGTGTATAAGTGTGGCTAAATAATAGTTAAGGCAACCTAGTTTACCGTTGGCATCAATTGCCACATAACGAGGATGCTCACATGTCGAAATCAGTAATTGCAAACTTTCTGCTTATACGCATACGGATACAAGTTGTTCGTAAGCTTGGTAGTGTCACTGCCGGGGCTTGGCGATTCCAATCGGCCATTCCAATCTAGGCGACCTTACCACCAGTTAAGAATTGACTTTGGCAAAGTTCCACCCTTAACGCCAACCAACGCAATGCAATGCAGGGCGACAACTAGCGACTTGACACAAAGAGCACCAGTACACCTGCCCCTACTTGTCCCTACTTGCCCCTACCGGTAGCAAGCAAGGCCACCCACAGGTGAAGTTTGCCGATTGGGTGGTGGAGCGCTGGGGGGGGCGGAGGAGTCTGGGGTTTGGATGGGTTAGGCTAAGAGGAGGGGAGCTGGGCTTGGGGCCGCGGGACTTAGGGACGTAGGGAGTGGCGGCAAGGGTATGTCCCCCAGCACCATCAGCCCACGTACTGGGTCCGTACCTCGGTACCTGTCGCACCGTACATGATTGACATGGGCGTTGGCTGCATACAGCAACAGCACATTATAGGTATGCAGAGTATCTTTTTCACGGGATAGCATTATTTGACATAAACCGATACGCTCTTATCCGTTGGAAATGAGCAAAGCCAGGGCTCTCAGCTTGGCTTTGCGCTCCGCAGCCGAGCAGGCAGCGGCCCGGCAGCAGCAGGTGCCCTGCAGCCACAAGACTTCTGTCACAAGACTGCTGCTAGGAAGGTTCGGTGGACTGCAGCAGCAGCAGCAGGGCCAGCAACAAGCAGTGCAACTGCTGCTGGCTGGGGGTGCGAGCAACCGTGTTAAAGGTTGTGCAAGTGAAGGCAGCAGCTGCGGAGTCGCCTCAACTTTCGTTACTACTGGCAGCAGCAGGCAATCTGGCTTCCTTGTAAGTGCCTTGCCTTGCCTCGTGTGGGGCAGGCGAAGGTTGCGAGAAACTGCACATAAACGTTCGCGTTGCGTTGGCAGAAATGTTGCTTCATAATCTCAAAGACGTGTAAAAGTACACCAGGCCATAGCTCTTCCAGATTCCAGTCTAATTGATCGATTGATCCAGCGACCCGCGCGCCGCATTTGCCGCTTTTGGTATCAAGCTCCCTTGCATCTAATAGGGGCATGTCCTCCGTATGCGTTAGCCACGCAAGGATATACGCACTGCTTTCGTCAACATGCGGCCCCGCCTGGCCAACCTAGCTCGCTAACCGGGCCCTTGGACGCCCTCCAATGCCGCTCCTGCCCCCCCCCCCGCACACGATCACATGCACCCGCAGGCCTCAGGGCCACCCAGGCCGCCCGCACCACCTGCTGTCACAGCGCCCAGCCAAGCACGCAACAGCGCCGTGACAACCCCGCCCGCAACAGCAGCAGGAGCAGCAGCAGAAGGCTTTGGGGGATCTTACCGCGGCGTCAGCAGCATTAGCCGCGGCCACCACCTCCAGCACAACAGCTGCTTCCCGCGGCCACCCATGTTGCAGCCCATGTTGCAGCATCAGGACCCTGCCGCCGCCTGCACCCGCACTCGCACCCTAGCGGGGGTATCCTCCTCCTCCTCCTCCTTCCAGGCAGCCTCGGGCGCCGGGGGACAGCAGCCGCCAGCTGCTGACGGCGGTGGCGGCGCAGGGCCCAAGGGTGCGGCGGAGGGCGGCGGGTCGGCGGCGAGTGGCGACCCACGGGTCACGAAGGCGGCCGGTCATCCGGAGGCAACAACAGGAGAGGTGTACGGCACGTTTAAGGAGCAGTGGCTGCAGCGCGCTGACGTGTGCGAGATGTTGCAAGCGCTGCTGGCCGCCAGAATGGTGGATGTACGTTGTGGGGCGGTTCACCTGTGGAGTGGGTTTCGCTCCTAGCAGCAGCAGCCCGGCACAAGAAGAGAGACGGCGGGATGCTACGTAGCCTTCTGTCATTCGTATCCTGTGTATCTGTCGACTTGCCTTTGCCGCCTGCCGCCTTTGTATGCCATCAGGTGTATTGAATGAAGTGCTTTGCAAACCTGGTGACGTTTTTCTTCCCCTCTTCACGCTTCCATCACCCGTTCCTCCTTGGCACCGCCCGGTCCCTAGCTGCTGTTTCCTCCAATGCTAGCGCCCCCACCTCCTTTCCCACCCCCACCCATCCACCCACCCCAGTCTGCAGACCCCGCGTCCCTGGTCTTCCGCCTGCCGGAGGGGCGGCTGGAGCAGCTGACAGCGCGGCTAGGGCAGGTGGGGAGATTGGGGAGAGCGGCTGGGGTAGGGGGGAGATTGGGGAGAGCGGCTGGGGTAGGGGGGAGACTGGGGGAAAGGGGGGAGCATGTCCGCTGGTCCGTGCAGCATGCCCCTCCACCGCAGCCGATACTTCGCCACAATTCATTACTAGCCTGCATGCATGTACTTCCGTACATGCATGGTCGTGTGGCCACGAGTCGCCTGTTCCCCTTCCTGCACCGCTCCTCAACCCCTGCCCATGCAACCTGATTGCAAGCCCCGTGCCCATGCAGGTCGTCGCCCGTGCCATCGCAGCCTCACGAGCAGCCGAGGCGGTGCGGCTGACCGGGGGCAGCGCTGGGGGCAGCAGCGGGGGCAGCAGCAGCGTCCGCAAACTCCTGGGGGACAAGTATACCGGGAACCAATTAGTCATCGTTTCCACTTACCTGCAGGAGCAGGCAGCCTTGGATCAAGTGAAGGCAGCCCTGGATAAATCGAAGGCAGCCTTGGATGAATCGAAGGCAGCCTTGGATGAATCGAAGGCAGCAAGCGAGAGGGTCATGGCTGCACAGGAGAGGTTCCGTGCAGCATGGGACAGAGCCCATGCGGGTCAAAAAAGGGTCATGTTGACCTACAGGCGCGGTCTGGTTGCGATGGGGCCGGCCGGGGTGGCATACCTGCGTTTGCCTCGGCGGCAGCAGGGGTGGGCCAGGTGGCGGGGATTGAGGCGGCAAGGCACCTTGCGCGCGCATGGCCGGTCCCTGCCCTGCCCTGCCTTGATGCGGGTCTCCCCGAACCTCCCGCTCGGGCCCAACCCGCTAGCGGGTCCAGACCTGTTGAGGCGAACGCACCTTCTGGGTGGCTTTGCCCCCCTAGTGGCGAAGACATGGGTACAGAAGGAGTACGTCCGAAGGATGGTGAGGGGGCTGCTGGAGGTGCAGGAGGACATGGAGGAGGCAGTCGTGGCGAATGCGGCGGGCAGGAGCGACTGGAAGACGGCGACTGCGCAGTGCGCGTTGGCGAAGGCGACTAGGCTGCGGGCGGACGGGGCGCTGGCTGAGGCGGTGTTTGCGGGTTTGGGACTGGGGGAGGAGGTGCGGCAGGTGCGGTGCGTTTGGGGGCTGGGCGAGGGGGGGGGGGGGCGGAAGGGGGTTTTTGAAGCAGGGGTTGCAGCATGCAAGCAACCTGCCGGCGAAGTGCTTCGTGTTGCACTGCCTTTCCATGCTGTCATACCTTCATGGGTCCGCCTGTCAGTCTAGCGTGACTCCTTTCTTTGCCACTTCGCCTCTCTGCATGTGCATGCCCTGCCCTGCCCTGCCCGAGGATGCACCTTGCCGCCATACCCTGAGCCACTTCCCCACCCTGTCCTGTCCTGTCCTGTCCTGTCCCTGCTGTTGTACTTGTCCCCTCATCAGCTGCTGGATGAGGTGGCTGCTGAGCTGGAGATGCTGCAGGGGGGGCAGCAGCAGCGGCAGTAGTAGGAGCAGGGGGAATCAAGCGGCATGCAACAGCCTGAGGTAGGGGGTTGGGGCAATGGTTGTCCCCCGCTCTGAGCAGCAGGGCGTCTGCTGGTTGGACGCCCGCGCGCTTGAAACGACCTGTGGTCTGGGCAACAGCATGCAGCGCAATGCTGGTGCCGCACCTGTCGTGTAGGGGTGCGATACGTAGCGCCATGAGAGGGGATAGATGGCGAGAGGGCCGACAGTGTTGCAGTGTTGCCATGAGAGGAAGTATTGTGTCATGCATGCAGTGTTGTTGTTGATGGTGTGGTGGTGGCTGCGTGGTGGGTAAAATTCCAAGATACCGGTACCATTCGATCGTGCGTGTGGTGGCGGCTGCTGGGAAGCCGGTAGCTGGCAGCGGTATGTTGGCGGTGGGTGAGCGGGTTGCCAAGTAGGGCTGCATAACACTTATCGAGTCTGAAGGGTCTTACTACTCCTGGGAGGTATTGACGTATTGTTGCTGGACAACACGCATCAGCTACGCGGCTCTGCTTAGTGTGTGTGTGTGTGTGTTCACGCATGCACTATATGCGGCCGGTACTCAGTAATTGCGGGGTACCTCCAACGCCGATTCCTCGTCGGTACCGTAATTTTTGTAACCGCTTACACATTCCTGTACGTTCCTACTCGCGGCTCGTTTTCTGAACACACTCGGTTGTTACTGACGGCACTTGTCACGTGACTTGTGCTAGGTTTTACACGAACTACTGTTTACCATTACCTACCCACTACCACTAGGTAGATTCTACATACCACCACCACTATGACTAACAAGGATTTATACAAGGGCATTTCTATCAAGGAACTACAAGGAACTACTCCTGCCTTTAGCCGGCCTAGCAGCTATTACGTATCTCTGGAACGCGCGACCCATGGGTCAGTTACGCTCCAAGCTGCAATCATCTACGCACTCACACGAGAGGAAGCGACTACGAGAACTCAACAAAAGTATCCAAGAACCCTAATTTGATAATGTGAGAGAAGAAAAGTAGACAGCTATGCAATTGTGTCTGGTCTTCCGCTAAACATGAAGACACTGCTACAGCTAAAGCTACCACCAATAAACGTCTCCCCGCGCTTCCCATGCTCTAGCCTTTCCCACAAAGGTACAACACAAGCATAAAAAGAGTAAATAATGCCCCCATGTCTCATGAACACCCCAATACGCTTTCGGAATAAGCTGGGTTAACAACAACGCGCGTGTATGCCTGCTAATTGTAACCACGAGACGCCCTAACCTAGTCATCAAAGCTAATCGGCATATAACGCCTCGCCTGACTGCAAAATTACTGACAACCCTGTTTGGATAAAAGCGCAAACCATGCCACCACTTGCCGACTGCCTCCACACTCCAAGATATCCCGGTACAACGCATCAACATCCGGACCGCCAACTCCAGCAGGTAATGCGGCACATGGCACAACATACTAACACACATTCCGTTCCCCTCTCATTGTGATTGCCAACATTTAGCCAAGACGCTCCTATTCCTGCCTCACGCTGACTAGCGCCTAAACTCTCACCAACTAAGGCTCCTGTGTGTCTCTAATTCTGACAGCACTACCCTCTGCATCAAGTATGTAACCGGCCTACTCAAGGCACGGATGGACTCTGTAGTTTTAATTGAAGTTAAGTGTAAATAACCGTAAAAATACGTGTATCCAAATATAACGCAACAAAGGAAGACCAAATAGTCTGGGGAAAAAAGACCGCTATTAGTAAGGTCCTAGAGACCGTACGGCTACTACAACCGCACCGCTAACTGCAACACTGGCGCGCTTTGGCGTGCCAGGCAACTGCTGCCCGCCCTGTATATAGATTGGATGCTCAAGTTTGGCAGGTCTGCAGCTCTCTCTGCTGCAACATCTGCAGGGTCTGCTCTGCTGCTGTTTCTGATTATGATGCGTGCGATTGCCTCTACAGCTGCCGTACTTACCGAGATGCAGCTTTTGGGGACTGCATTGCATCCTGCCAGAATGTCCGTTTTTATCGCACCCGCAGCTATCAGCTGCTGCTAAGGCTCCGCGGTCTAGAACTCGCTGACCGAGCCATGGAAGGTATTAGCCACGCACCCAATCATTGTCGTACCAGCCAACACCTCTATCCGCTGGTGCTTCTGTGCGCCCAGGCGGCTCCTGTTACTGCTGCTGCTGCTCTTGTTCTTTCTGCTACTGCCCTTTCTGAACCCTAGGAGGCTTCCCTAGACTGCTGCTGCGGGTGCCGGCTGCACGGGTAAGGGCACCGGCCGGTGCAGGTACGGCGGCAACAGCATCACAGCTCCCGCACATGCCGCTTGGGAGCCACTGCCAACCCCTCGGAACTCTGCACCGCCCCTGGCCACCAGGCTTCGTTCCCTTGCACCGCCCCCATTGCCGCCGCTAGCTGTTCCTGCATGCATGCCGTCATGCTGCTGCCTCTGCGCGCTGTTGGAAAGCCCGTAAGGAGGGGGATACACAGGCAGACAGGCCGCTGCCACTGCCGAAGCAGCAGCAGCAGCAGGTGCTGTGGCAGTGCTGCCGGTCGCCGGGTGCGGCGGCGGCAGTGGCAGGGCCCTACTGGCCATGCCAGGTGACGCATGGGGCCCGTAGGCGTACCTGGTGCGAACGCAGCGACTGCTGCTGCCTACTGGCTGCTGCTGCTCCCCATCCGCCTCCGCCTCTTCTTCTTCTTCCCGCGGGCGGGGCTGCGGCTGCTGCTGCCCTCCATGCTGCCCGCTACGCTGGCTGCTGCCCCCATGCCCGGCACCAGGAGGCTGCTGCTGCTGCTGCTGTTGGTGAGTAGGCTGGTAGTAGGAGCAAGCGTAGGGGCGCGGGTGGGAATGCGGGTAGGGAGGGTACGGCTGACCAGCATAGCAGCTGACATGGAGGTGCTGTAGCTGCTGGTGGCAGTAGGGATGGCTGGGGACAGCAGCCCCGCTGGATGCCGGCGCGGCACATGCAGATGGCTGCGGCAGGGGCGGCTGGGTGCGCTGATCGCGGCTGTAAGGGTGGGGGTGGCGTGCATGCACCAGCGGGTGGGAGCAGGCGGCGGGATGCTGGAGGCAGCCGGGAAAGGGGAGGCTGGCGGGCTGGCGGCCGCAGCTGTACGGATAGCCGTGGAGGAGGTAGGGGTGGTAGTGTGGGTGGCGGTGGGGTGGTGGTGGTGGCGCTGACACTGGCGGTGGCGGTGGAATGCAGCTGCAGGGCCGGGATAGGGATGCGGGTGGCAGCTGCACCATGGGATGGGTGGCAGTGGCTGTGTTGTTGTTGTTATTGGTGTTGGAGGTGGTAGCACACATGGTGGGTCGGGCGTCTGAAGGCACCACAGAGGAGCCGCTTGTGGTGAAGGAGGCGGTGGCTGCAGGAGGAGCAGCTGCGTCGGAAGCAGTGGGTTGGGCGGCGCTTGTGCTATTAGTGTTGGCGCTTGCTACTGCTGCAGCGGCATCTGCAGCACTACTGCTGGCGTCGGCTGACATCGTTGCATTGGCTGCTGCTGCTGGTGGCGTTGCACTGGCTTGCCTGTTTGCGGTATGTAGGAACGGTGCTCGTCCGTTCTGCTGCTGCGGTTGCTGCGGCAGCTGCTGCTGCAATGCATGGTGAGCAGGTCCGAGGGGCATGCCGGCAGCTACCGGAGGGGCGTGAGGAGTCCCGTAACCCATGGCGGCATGCGGCCGGGCGACGCCCACAATTGCTGCACCTCTGGCTGCGGCGTTGCAGCAGGGCAGGGAGCAGCGGTGCGGCTGCTGCCGCCCCGGCGGCAGCACCGCCGGTGGAGCAGCCGCAGCAGCAGCCGCGGCCGCAGCAGCAGCAGCACGAGGATGAGGCGGTAGGGGAGCGTAGCAGCACGGAAGGGAGCAATGGGGAGCTGCTGGCGGAGTGGGGTAGCGGGGCTGGCGCGAGGCGAGGAGGGGAGCCGCGGAGCCCGCCGCCGCTGGGGTTGCAGCACCGTAGGGTGCCCGTGTGGGCGAGGGGCCAAAGGGGAGGGCCTGGTAGGAGGTGGGCGGGTAGCCGCATGCAACCGCCCTGGTGGAACCGGGCTGCGGGTAGACGCGGGAGGACGGCGCTGCTGGTGTTGCTGCTGGTGTTGCTGCTGGTGTTGCTGCTGGTGGTGGCGGAACAAATGCTGCTGCCGCCGCATGCTGGCAGTGGGGACAAGGACACGCAGCGGAGGCGCCCTGGTATGGTACCAAATGTGGTGGTGGTGCTGCTGCTGGCAGCGGGCATGTCCGTGGCTCTGCATGCAGGTGCATCGCAGCAGGAGCCGCTGTATCCATGCCTTGCTGCTGTTGGCGCCGCTTCTGCTGCTGTGCGCTCGCGGGGGCGCCGCTGGCTCCCGTGTCGACCGTAACTGCACCCAGACTCACATCCCCACTCCCACGAGCCGGTCCGCACCCGCAGCAGCAGCCCCTGACGTCGCCATGCGCCAACTGGGAGCAGCAGGGGAACAGGCAGCGTCGTGGAGTAGGTCGGAGGCCCGACGGACGGCCATGGTCGGCATTGCTCCTGCCTGCTTGGTCGGCATTGTTGTCGCTGTGGCTGTTCATGTGAACAGCAGCACCCGCCGGCGGTGCAGGGATGGTGAAGGGCGACGTTGCGGCATCACACCGGAACCCCAGCTGCTGCTGCTGCTGTGACTGCTGCGGCGGCAGGCGCTGGCTGGGCTGGGGAGCTGGCAGTATGCAAGCGGCGGAGGGCGTGCTGCCACCCAGGGTATGGGTGAAAGGGAACTGCGCGTCCGCTGCATCCACTACAGCTGAGCACGCCTGCTTAGAAGCTGCCTTCGCCACCTTGACAGCAGCAGGAGCTGCTGCTATTGGCGTCACTCCGTCCAAGCTGCCCTCGCTGCCGCTGACCAGCATGCAACTGCTGCTGGTGCTGGCGCTGCTGCTGCCTGTTCTGGACTCATCACCACCCGCACCAGCAGCAGCACGCACCGTGCGAACTGGCGGCGGCAGCGGCAACAACGCAGTGCCGCCGCCATGGGGGTAGCTGTAACAGCCCATGGCCGACATCTCGCCCCTGCATGCCACAGCAGCAGCAGCCCCGGCCGTGCGCCCCGGCCAGGAGCTCTGCGCGGCCGCGCTGGTCGCCAACTCCTCCTCGTGCCTGCCGGTGCTGTCCTCACTGCTGCTGCCACCCCCCAACAGCGCATCCAGGAAGCGCATGTCCGCGGCTGTGGCGTCCTCCTCTTCCTCCGGCGACATCAACCCCTCACGCTGCCTCTCTCCCAGCACCACTGCAGGCTCCGCTTCCACCGGGCTGCATGACAGGGCTGCCTCCCTCATGCGGCCCATGCCGCTGCCGCCACTCAGCTGATCATCGCTGCCACCGGCCTCAGCACAGGCAGCAGCCCCGCCACTGCCGCTGCCACCGCACTCAACAACAACAACAATGCCGCCGCCTGTACTGCTTCCCCGTGCGGCAGTCCACGCAGCAGCAGCAGCCACCGCTGGTGCAACGGCACCACAGCAGCAGCCCTCTTCACAACCGCCAGGCAAACCCCGACACATTTGCGGCGTCGCAACCACCCCCCCTGCACCCCCCGGCAGGTCAGCCCCAGCCCCCATGTCTTGGTCGTCTCCCGCCCCTCCCGGCGGCTCCAGCACCAGCCGCAGCTCCGCTGAGCTCATGGACAGCAGCTCGTCCATAAGCGTGTCATCAGCCGTGACGGCGTCGGCATCCGGGAACTCACCCGCCTCCTCCGTCTGCATGGAAGCCGACGACTCCCCTGACTGCTGCTGCTTCCTGTCATGCAGCTGCTGCTGCTGCTCCTCCTGACATGGTGACGGCGGCAGCAACGGTGCCATGGGCAATGACAGCATGGGCTGGGTGACAGGCGGAACGCCAGGTCCTCCGCCAGTCGCCTCCTGCATCCGTCCTGTCGGCCCAGGGGCGCTGGCTGGCACTACTGGTACCGGTAGCTGCTGCGGTGGCGGCGGCGGCGGTGGCTGCAACAAGCGTGAAGACCGCGGCCGGGTGGAGGGCCGGTAGGGGTGGTCGGGCGGGAGGAGCCCCATGGCTACCAGGTCCGGAGGCGGCAGGCGCAACCAGGCGGCAGCAGCCACTGCGGCGGCAGCACGGGTCAGCTGCCTGGGTGGGAGCTGAGAGGGTTGGGGCAGTGCGGCCGCTTGCGGCAGTGACTGCTGCTGTTGTGGGGGCGGCGGCGGTGGTGGTGGTAATGGATCGGGACATGCACTGGGCGGCCTAGCTGCTGGGTTGCTGCTGCCTAGGGACAGAGCTGCAGGTGCGGTTAAGGTGACGTGGCCCCGGGGTGCCAGGTGAGCAGCAGGAGCTGGAGCGGCTACTGGCCCGGAAGCCTCAGGGGTAATTGTTGATGCAGCGGAACCGACAGCTGCAGCTGGCTGCAGAAGCGAGAGAGGTTGAGAGGTCGTGGATAGGGAAGCCCCGACAGGCACAGCAGGTGAGGAGTTGGTGGCTGAGGCCATCCGGTCATGATTGGCAGCGGCCTTTGGAACCACAGCTGGTGTAGAAGTACTGGCTGGAATTGGTGCAATTGGAAGTGAGGGTGGTGGCTGACGCTGTGCTGCCGATGTTGCGGGTTGCCATGGAAGTTCGGAGGCGGATCCCAAGGGGGAATTTGAATGCATTCGCTGGCTGGGACCATGAGAGCTGTGTTGGGGAGGTGAGGTGAGATTGCTTCCGTCGCAGATGGCCGACCAGTCAACGTCGCTCAATTCGTCAAGGCCGAACGTGTTATCGTCAGCACTTTCCGGAGCTTTCCGGAATTGTCCCTGACCTTGCTGCTGCTTATCTTCTGCTGTTCCTAAGCCGGAAGCAACGAAATTTAGGAGTCTGTCCGCCTCGCCGTCGCAGCTGTCCCATGGCGCGTCGCTGTCACTGCCGATGAGGTCCTCAAGCAAGTCGAACGCGTCAATGTCCATCCCAGCAACGCCCGATGCCGGCGAAAGCATGAACGTTCAGATGCTCATATTGTTCATGACAGAAGCGCTGATCCAAAGCAAGCCATACAATTGGCGCGGTGAGCCATTGCAGGGCCTGCACAGTCAACGGGCGCAACGGGGCAATGATGATTAAGAGTTATATGTATTGCTGTAAGCTTCGTGTGGAAGTGTCGCTTCCAGACTTCGGTGGACTGAGGCTCTCAAGACAGGAGGCAATACGTTTACGCCCCGGTACCGACGAACACCAGGGATATTGATTCAGGTAACAACGTACGAGTATTTTTAGTTGGTACATGCTGGAGGGCATAGCCTAAATCGGGCGAGCTATTGCACTCTGTATCGATTTACCCGCGAAGTCGCAGCGACCCTTGCCAGGAATGCGGCCCCAGAGGACTGATTAATCACACGAAGTAAAAGACTCGAAGCCTAGTAGCATCAGAACCAGGGGTTGTCTGGCGTATTGAATGGGGTCCGAGCGTCCGACATGGTACACAAACACCCGCGCAATAAACAGCTGAGTAGTTTATTAAATTCTGCGCAGACGCGCCTGCACCAGGTGGTAGGCTATTCAGTTACAAGCATATGTCGAACCCTAGCATCACTATCAGCAAACAGGATCCAGACAAGGGAGTAGTACATTAGTCAGTCTCCATCTCTGGCCAGTCACATACCTGTGGAACTCCATTTCTTATGCCTGCATTGCCTAGTGTGTATCACTTGCTTGCCGGTTATCTCAAGTTGAGCACTATTACCCAAACTATTTACCATGGAACCCGGATTGGCGCATAGCTTGGCGTCCGTAGAAAGATAAACGCATTGTTATTAAGGGATAGCTTGTTCCTATAACTAGCGCCTAGCGCATTTACTTTTGGGCTTCGCGACCTGAAACCCTTAGCCATGGCAAACAATAGCGATGCGGGGAAACAAAAGCCGAATAGACCGTCAACTGAAAGCAAGAACCACCATGTGTTTCTAAGCGGAGCGCTGTCTGGGGTGAGCTTCCCACGCAGCAATTGTACCCCAAGCCTCGTATGCTTCCTCCAACGCGCTGTCGGCTCTCGCGTCAAACATGGATATAGTTACCCTTGACAGCCGTGCCTCGTGTTGGACTGGGTGCGACTTGCAGATTATCGAGGGCCTCACCATACAGCCGCTGGAGTTAATGAAGACCCGGTAAGCAGCCCTTGCCCATAAGTGCCGTATGGAGGCCAAGCACGGCTAAAAGTGCTTCTCTCAAGTCTTCACCCTCCCGTGGGTGTAAACATGGAACCGCTACCTCCACCCCACCTCCTATCTCCCATACTGCTGCTGGTTACTAGCCATGCAGCCCCATTCATCCCCCCTCCTCCCTCCTCGGCCTCTCCCCCCCCCTCTACCCCACTCCCTGCAGCTTCCAAATCAACCCCGGCCAGCCGCTGCGGCTGCTGCCCACCGCCCGCGACATCCTGCGGGAGGGCGGTGTACGGCAGTTCTACCGGGGCAGCCTGCCGGAGATAGTGGGTGAGCTGGCCGGCTGTATGGCCCATACAGTATGGGGTTGAAGTAAAGGGCATGGGGTACAAGTAAGGAACTGTAGGACGAGGCTTCACCATGGGTTGCTGATATAACCCGGTCCATCCCACACCCAACCCGGATTGTACGGGGTGGGTGAGTCACCCGGAGGTAGTGGGCGGTGCGCTGCTGTGGTGGGCTGGCCGGCTGTGGGGGGTGGGCTGTATCTGCGGCTGGCGTCATGCGGTACGGTATCACGCATGCATGGGGAGCGCCCGGGAGCTCCCTGATCACGCATTCCCTCACCCACCACCACCACTCCACTACTCTCACCCACTACGCTCGCCCCCCCCACCCCCCACCCCACCCCACTACCCCCCCAGGCCTCATCCCCCGCGCCACCGCCGCGCTGTCCACCCTGGAGTTCAGTCGGCGGGAGCTGCGGGCTGCTGGGGGCGGGGGGCAGCTGGGCGCGGGGGCGGCCTACCTGAGCGGTGCGCTGAGCGGGGTGACGGAGGGGCTGGCGTTCGCGCCATTCCAGGTCATCAAGGTGGGACCTGGGGCAGGGAGGGAGGGAGGGAGGGAGGGAGGAGGGAGGAGGGGGTTAGTACGTCAAGGGAGCTGCGCGGGGTGGGGACAGGGGGGGGGCAAGTGAGGGAGGACCTCCGGGAGGGGCATGTTCGCCCCTCTGCCTCACTCGCTGCCTCTCCTCCATTGCCCCTCCCCTCACCCCCCCACATACCCCCCCTCTCCCTCCCCCTCCCCCTCCCCTCCCCCTCCCCCTCCCCCTCCCCCTCCCCCTCCCCCCCCAGGTCCGCCTGATGGCCAAGGAGCACCTGGGCCGCTACCGCAACAGCTGGGACTGCCTCACACAGGTGTGTGGGGGGGGAGGGGGGAGAGCAGGGGAGGGGAGAGCAAGGGAGGGGACAAACAGCAGGGAGACAGGCGGGTTAAGGGTTGGGTACTCGAGGCCCATGCGGGCAGGAGGGCACTCCCGGGGGCTTGCATGGGGGGCTGCGGCTGGCGGCAGCAGTGTGAGAACGAACCGGTGTGAGTCCTGAGCAAAACACGGTGTTGCCGTTGAATCCCGGTCCCTCCCGCCGGGGGCACATGCCTTCCCTCCCTCCTCCCCGATCACCCGCCCCCGCCCCCGCCCCCGCCCCCGCTGGGTGGGATGGACCGGCTACCATGTTTGCACCCCATGCTGAAGCCTACATGTCATACAGCTCGTTAGTTGCCTCGTCAGTTTCCTTAGTTTTGCCCCCGCAGCCCCGCTTACCCGCCCCCGCCCCCCTCCCCTCTGCCTCCCCTTCCCCAGGTTGTACGGCAGGAGGGCCTTACCGCCCTGGCCACGGGTCTGGGCCCCACGCTGTGGCGCAACTGCATTTGGAACTCGCTGTACTACGGCTCCATGTACCTGCTGACTGGGGAGGGGGGAGGCGGAGGGGGGGAGGAGGGAGGGGAGGGAGGGCGGGTGGGGCTGCTGGCGCCCATTGAGAACCCGCTGCTGGCGGCCGCGAGGTGGGCGGTTGGGGGGGGGGGAGGGGGGAAGGAGGAGGAGGGGAGAGGAGGAAGAGAGACCTCCTGAGGTTGCAGCTTTGGAAAGCGGCGTGTGGAAGCTGACCTCCTGAAGTTGCTCTGGCGTGAGCGGAGCTGGGGCGATGTGTGTTAAGAAAACGGGCCGCGAGTAGGAACGTGTGTTAAGAAAAGTGGCCAAAACGCGTGTGTGTGTGTGTGTTAAAATAACTGGCCGCGAGTAGGAACATACTGTGATTGTCGGAAGATGAAGTCCCCACAGAACCGCCGCAGGAGCCGAGGAACATTGTAGCGTATGTAGATATAGAAGTCCAGTACTGGTGCTGAGAATAAGGACGTAAGAAGCACTCTCGTAAAACGACCGGACCTAAGGCCCGTAGTAGTAAGTTGATATGTATGTAGTAGCTGACAGTAGCTGTGTGTGTGTGTGTGCTTTCCCAACCCGATCGCGGACAACCTCGTCTGCACCTCCAACCCCTCCCACCCGCTTTCCCTTTCCCGCTTCCTAAGGCTTGCATTTGCCCCGTGGCACCAGAGGCGCGCGGTGTGTGTTTAACAAGCCTCGCACCCCTCCCTCCCGCCTTCCTCCCCCCCTCCCCCCCTCCGCCCCTCCGCCCCTCAGGACGGTGGTGGTGGGCACGGGTGTGGGGGTTGCGGCCACGTGCTTCAACGCGCCCTTTGGTGGGTCGGGTGCAAGGGGTGGGAGGGGTTTCTCTCCCGGAGGGCGGGGGAAACATCTTGTGAGTGAAGCAACGAGTCCCAATCCCATATCCCGACTCATGCAGTGAGCGCATTCGGGGGGGGGGCCGCGCCTGGAGGCGGTGGGGTGGATGCTCAACAGGAGCCCGGCAGTGACAACGCGGGCTGTGTAGGCAGGGGGGTGTGCTGTGGGGGCCGGTTTCCGGACTGCCCCGTGTGCCGGGGTATGCATGGAGTACAGCAAGGAGTAGGAGGATGCCGGAGGTGACGGCGGAGGGGGATGCACACATGCTTTCACATAGTCGTTCACCCTAGCCCCCTCTGACAGCCCCCTGCACCTAATGCCCACCTGTCTCCCCAACCACATTCACATCCCGCGTTTTCTGGCTCCGTGCCGCCCCCTATCCCCGCCGCCTTGCCGTGTCCTGCTGTCTCCTGTAGCTCGGCCTTCAACTCCCTTAATCCTTACGATCTCCTGACCCCACCCATCCCACCCACCCACCCCTGGCCCCCGTCCCCTCCCCTTTGCGTTGCCCTAACCTGTGACCCTTCCTAAGCCTCGCTATGGTCTCTGCCCCCGCCCCGGCCCCCCCTGCAGACGTGGTCAAGAGCCGCTTCCAGGCGCTGCTGCCCGCCCAGCGCGCCGCCCTGGGCTACCGCTTCACGCTGCCCTCACTGGCCGCTATCGCCGCGCGGGAGGGGCCCGCGGCGCTGTACAAGGGCTTCGTGCCCAAGGCGCTGAGGCTGGGCATTGGGCAGACGATTGGGCTGATGGTGTTTCAAAACAGCCTGGTGCTTTTTGGGGCGGAGTGAGGGGTGTGTGTGGGGTGACTGGGGGTGAGGGGTGGGGGGTGGGGGACTGACCCGTGGGTCGCGATGTGGTGGGAGGGGCTAGTGAGGGCGAGGATGTAGGGGCGGGTGATGGAAGCAGGTGACAGCAGAATCAGCAGCAGGCCCGGCCAGGATTGGGAATTCGGGGATGCAGCCTGGGGTGATTGGAAGGGAAGGAGAGTGCTTTGAGGAAAGCGCTCTTAGGGAGGGCCTAGTACGGCAACGCTGGAGCTGTCGGTTGTGTTGTGATGTTGTACGACTTGCCGGGATTGAGTACGGCAGAGAGAGGCTGGAAGCGATAAACCAAGGTACTAGGTGGGGAAACATGCACTTGCCGCATCATGTCCCGGATGAGCGTGATGCTGTGGATGTATACTGAACGCAAGTCGTCGCCCTTATTGTACAATGACAACGACAGACTGGAACACACGAGGACATGCTCCTCTCATATGCTCCTCACTTGAAGTGTTTCCTTTGATCACATCGGTTACCTATCCGTGATGTATCCCCGGGTATGGGAGTTGTGCTGCTATTGTTTCGTACCTTTATATCGCCCAGCGGGGTTGTGTACGGCAGATGACATGCCGTATCCTGCAGTATCCTGAGCAGTGTCCTGATTAGGCTTCGTTCGCCGCTAACTGAGATGACAAGGGTTACGTTGTAGGTGTGTAGACAGAAGGGAGGTCAGCGTACATTTATGTGAGGATGCGAGTGGCAGGTACATTGCGGATTGCTTGCCGGGCGGTGCCTCAGGCTTCAATGCCAAGCATACTCCCTGCATACCCCAACTTGTGTGCTTGTCCTGTCCGCTTTCTTGGCTTGCGGTGTACACATGTTGCTAGCTGCTGCTGCCGATCGCTTCCTCCTGACCGAAATCCTAACGTTTATTGGGGCCGTGGAGGTGCCGTACATCAGTGTTCGTACGGCAGTGATGTTTTTCTCCATGTGCAGGTGATCTGGTGTTGGCCTATGTACGGATTTCCTTGAGTCACGCAAACCAGCTCCCGACAGGTTACCCTCCGCTCAGACCCCTACAGTCCAGCCTGGCCCAGTCTGCAAGCTATCTGTGCGAGTTTGCAAAAGCCTGTTGGGTTTCAGCAGCTCTGGGTAAGTACGCAGCCGGCGGTCAAGCCTGATAGCGTTGCCACAATCTTCTGTACTGCCTCCTTGTCTTCTATACGGTAACCCCTTTCATGGAAGAGCTGAGGCCCCTCAAGTCCAGGCACCAACGTTCGGGCGCAAACTCCATCATAACGGCAGTTTATATGCGGCAGGTTGTGTGTGACGTGTCGTGTCTCACTTCCACGGATGTTGGCCATGTAATAGCGGGCTCCAAGTGTGACTGCCGTACGTGGCGCTTGGGTGAAGTGGCAACGTCAGCGGAATCTCACGTGCAAGTCGACTTGGTTGCGATGATCACAGAAGCGCACGGAATCGGGATAAAGGACCGGCTGGTGCCTGGCTGGTTCGGACTGTCGGGACTGACGTTGTTCAATCTGCCCAGTTGTACAGCGTGTGAGTCCCGAACTAGCAAGGCCCAGCCAGGCCCCAACCGATCCTATATCCCAACATCAACGAGCCCAACCTGTACATAGTATAAAGTCAACAAAAGCCAGAGCCCAAACTAGCTTATATCCCACAAATGGGAGACGCATGTTTAAAGTGCCGCGTTGCGTGCTCCACGGTTAGAAGCATACACCAGGATGATTTAAGCGCCCTGATGCTCCAGTAGCCTCCAGGTTGACATTACGCTAGGCTAAAGCGATTACGGGGGGCGCGAACAGCCGAGTCTGACATACTATACGCGTCCGTATTCGGTAATTGCGATAGGATGAAATCCACAGAAAACTACCTCTTTTGTGCTGCTGCATGCAATGCGAAGCATAGGCTCCGCGTGCGAACGTGTATTGCTTCGCCCGTATGCTGTACTGTTGCCAAAAGAGTCATCAAATTTTTCATAGGTCAATGGCTGCATCCGGGCCAAAGGCCATGTGCGTTTTTAGGGAGCTAAAGGAACGCAACTGTTAGAACGCCAAGAGACCGGTACGTCAACCAGATACCAACACCCAGGGCTTCGGATCATGTGATTACACCAAATGTAGAACGTTACACATAAGCCTTGCCTTGTCAAGCATTACTCGCCGAGCCCACACGCGGCCTAACCCAGGATTACGGGCCGCAGAGCCGTACATGCATACTATGACAACACAAGCTCCATTCGTCCTCAGCCAAGCAGTATATTACACATGAAGGACTAAGGTCTCAACTCGACGTCTTGACACACTACGCCATTATCGGCCATTCTCGTTCTTTAATTTGCCAAGGGCGGTATGCCCAGAGCAACTAGTTTCTGAGCTATCAATTAAAGATAGCAGGATGCCAGTGCTGCAGCTGGACACCCGCCGGGAGGCTATGGTGAACGAGGTGCGACGAAGAACCTCTGTGAGGATTTCACATAACAGCGGGCTCAGGCTACTTGTCCTAAATGTACTGGCATCTGTTATGCTGATTCTGGGGTCGATAGCTTTGTCTGGGGCCAGTCAGCGCGCACATCGCTATAGCCTGATGTCGTCGCCCGGCGGACTTTCGGCATTACCGTTGACGCGTCAAGGGCTTTCCATATACAAGCTTTTAGGAACAGAGCAGGCCTTAGTATAAGAGGGCCAAAAATTCTCCGTAGTCCTCGTACTCCTGCCTTGCTGTAGGAAATTGCCAAGGCCTGGAGAACATAACAGTGGAACGAAGTTCCATTATGCGCGTGTGACCCTGCCTATGCCGGCCTTACCTCGTAGTCTAGACTTTTCCAACTTCATGCCGCCGCTTTTCCAACAGGACGCGCCCATTTCCCTCGACTTGTCCAAGCTTATTCAGTCTGGCATTAAGACTTACTTCAACAACCCTTCTCTGTCGGACCTGACGCTTGTGTGCCCGGATGGCCGAGCACTGCACTGCCACAGCGTCATCCTGGCCGCTGCTTCGCGGCGCCTTGCCGCGGCCCTCAAACAAGGTGCGCCCCATGTGTACCGCGGTCAACGCGGCAAGCATGCTGGTCACCCTCATGCTGCCACTGACCCGTCCATGCTCTTGATCCTACCCTACCCTCCCTCCAACCCCTTCACCATGCTCGCCCCGCCACATACCCACCTTACCCCACCTCCCATTTCCTGCACCCCCGGTTCCCCCGCCCCCTTTCGTTCTCTCCTGACCCCCTCCCCCCGCCTCCCGCAGGCAACTGGAGCCCCGGCCAGCAGATGCCGGTCAAGGGGGTGGACAGCGAGGCGCTGGAGACGCTCATCGCCGCCTTCTACACCGCCGAGTGCCCTCTGGAGCTGGAGAGGCTACCCGCGCTGTACGACGCGGCGGTGAAGCTGGAGGTGGGGGGAGGGAGGGGGTTGAGGGGGTGAGGGGGGGAACAAAAGTAATAAGTGCAGCAACTGGGAGGGGGGCAATGTAACTGAGCTGCGTTGGGTAGCACTGTGCCCATGTGCCCACAGAAGTATCCTGAAGAGGGATCACATGGTTCGTCAGTAGGTGGCCCCTCGGATAGCTTGCAGCCCTCCCGCCCCCTTCCCCTCCCCCTCCCCCGCTACCGACCGCGCCAACCTGCATTGCTTCACTTCTTACGGTGTTCCTCCCTCCCCCCTCCCCCCTCCCCCCCAGGTTCCCTCCCTGGTCCCCGCCCTGGAGCACATCCTGGTGTCGGCGCTGCAGCCGTCCAACTGCTGCCAGCTGCTGGAGGGGTGCCTGGGGGCGGGCGCGGGGCAGCTGACGGACCTGGCGCTGGAGTGGATACGGGGCAGGTGGGCGGGACGGAGGGGGGCTGGGGGAAGGCTGGGGGAAAATGTTTGAGCTGAACGCATGGTGCTGTTGACTCTAATCTCCCACATGCATGTCAATTAGTTCACCTCCGCCCCTCCGCCGCGCTTTCCCCCACTCCCCCCCCCAGGGTTGCTGATGTGGTTCCCAGCCCCGAGTTCCGGTCGTGTCGGTTCGAGGTGGCGGTGGTGGTGTGTAAGGACCTGGCGCAGCGGAGCCAGCTGGTGGGGCTGCAGGTGAGGGGGTTGGGGCGGGGGAGGGGGTCGGGGAGGGGGCGGGATGTGGGATGTGGGAGGGACATACAGACCAACAGGCGCTTTGTTGTTGTTGTTGCAACCTCCCGCCCACTACGTAACCCACTCCCCCCACCACCCTCGTCCTCCACCTCCCCTCTCTCTCCCCCCCCCCCAGGCTGCCGTGTCCTGGCTGTCAGCCAGCGCCGCCCGCAGCAGCCTGGCGGGGGTGTTTGCGGAGGCGACGGGGCTGGCGGTGGAGGCAATACACGCAGTGGCGGCGAGCGGGGCGGTGCTGGGGGCCGCCGGGCTGGGACTGGGGGGGCTGGGGGGAGGGCCCGCCGGAGCAGCGGGAGGTGGCGGCGGTACGGCAGGAGGTGGAGGTGGGGGTGGAGGTGGTGGGGTTGCGTTGCAGCTGGCGGCGCCGTCGTCGTCTTCTTCGGTGGCGTTGTCGCAGCATGCGTTGGCACTGGCGCAGCAGGGACAGCACGGAGGTGGGGTGGGGGTGGCGGGGCCGGCGCTGAACCTGCTGCAGCAGCACAACCACCACCACCACTCGGCACCGCCGCCGCCGCCCTTGTCGTCGTCGCATGCAGCTGCTGCGAGGGAGCGGGAACGAGAGAGGGAGCGGGATGGGCTGCCTGGGGGACGCTTCTTGGGGGGACACTGGGGGGAGCGGGAACGGGAGCTGGAGCTGGAGCTGGTTGGGTTGCACCACGGAGGCGGCGGGGGAGGTAGCGCCGGGTTGCATGGGCTGCATGGGGAGGCGGGGCAGCTGGGGCTGGCGGCAGCAGCGGCCGGAGGGGTGCAGGTGGTGCAGCTGCTGCCGGCAGGAGCGGCAGCGGCTGCAGCAGCAGCAGCGGGGGCCGTGCAGCCGCTGCTGGTCGTGCCTTCCGGCGGCGGGGGCGGGGATCGGGAGGGGCCACTGCCCTCCTCCCGGTTGCTGCCCGCACCAGGAGGCATTGGCGGTGGTGGTGGCGGCGGGGGCCGACTCGGCAAGGCAATGGGTGGTGGTGGCAGCGGAGTGGCTGGAGCAGCCGCGGGCAACGGACCCATGGGTCTGGGCGGGGGCGGGGGCGGGGGTTACGGCTTGGAGGCGCTGGCGGATGCGGCGGAGGGCGAGCAGCGCGTGCTGAAGCGCATGAGGACGGGGGGCTTTGGCGGCGGAGGCGGCACAGTAGCGGCGGCAGGCGGTGCAGTGGGTGGTGCGGCTGGGAATGGCGACATGGGCGGCTACATGGGGCGGCCGGCGGCGGCGGCGGAGGCGGATGAGAGCGGGTCTGGCAACTCCCTGCACAGTGGTGGGTAGGATGGGGTGCGTGTTGCAAGGGGGTGGGGCCTGAGCTGGCGTGCACCGGTGCCTTGGAAAGGGCATTGAAGCCATCCGACCGCAGAAAGTATGGCACGCGTGCTGTAAGGGGGAGCTGGGTCTTGAACGCACTGTCGTACCTTGTCCCCATCTCCCTACGGTTAGGGTCGGTACTTCTCATCTCCCCTTCCCCACCCTCACCCCTCGCAGATGCCTCAGGCGATGTGCGCCCCCGCGGCCGCGAACCGGCCCTCTCTGAGGAGCCCCTCCCGCATGGCCCCCACGGCCCTCTCCTGCACCGCCCCCGCCACCACAACGCCCACTCCAAGACCTCCTCGCTCCTCCAGCAGCAACAGCAGCAGCTGCTGCTGCTTCAACAGTCCTCGCACCTGGGGGGTGGGGCAGGCGACCCCGCACTGGGGCTCCTGCCGCCGCTGGAGCCCTCTGCAGCAGCAGCAGCGCAGCTTCAAGAGCTGCTCGGCTTGCATCACCCGTCGTACAGCACTCCCCAACAACAACAACAACAACAACAGCTGTTGCTAGCTCACGTCCCGGACGATGATCAGATGATGCTGCCATACCACCACCACCAGCACCTGGAGCAGCAGCAGCAGCAGCCATTGTTGCCACAGCAGCAGCAGCAGCAACAGCAGCAGCAGCAGCAACGGGGGGCTGCAAAGGGATCCGGTGGGGTAGCAGGGGGAGGGGCAGCGGGTGGAGGAGGAGGAGGAGGAGGAGGTGGCCGGGGCGGCGGCGGCGGGGGTCGCCGCAGGAGGGGCGCCAGTGCGAGTGACGATGATGAGGACTACGCGCCGAGTCACCGGGTCGTCGTGTCGGCTCGCTCTCGAGCGCAGGTAGGGTGGGAGCGGGTGGGTGGGTCTGGGGTTGTAGGGTGCTGCGTTGCTGCTCCACCTATGTGGCTGTGTGACATGTGGGGAAACATGTGGTGCACGGTGGTGCGCACACCCCCCCTTGCGACCAAAGCACCACAACGTGCCCGCCACCTGTGCTTCCTTTCAATCCTTGATACCATCCTTGTTTCCATCCTTCCCTCCCCTCGACCCCACACCCCCAGGAGATGGTCTACGATGCCTCCGCCCTGTTGGACGCCTCCGCAGCAGCAGCAGCTGGCAGCAACCCCACCACCACCGCACCACCACCCGAGGACACCACTACCTCAGCGGGCGCTGCTGCCGCCGCTGCGGATGCTGCCGATGGAGCCGAGGGCGACGAAACCGCTGCCGCAGCTAGCGCCGCAGCAGGCGGCAGCAGCAGCGGCGGCGCCGCTGCCGGCGGCGCCCCGCCTGTGTTGATGACGGGCCGGCGCGCCCCCTCTCAGAAGGGCATGTGCCACGTGCAGGGCTGCAATCGCTCCCTAGCCGGCCTGCGCGACTACTACCAGCGCTACAAGATCTGCGAGCACCACCTCAAGGTGAACAGCGTGCTCAAGGACGGCGTGCCGCACCGCTTCTGCCAGCAGTGCGGCCGCTTCCACCCGCTCACCGAGTTCGACGGCGACCGGCGCTCCTGCCGCACCATGCTGCAGCGGCACTGCCACCGCCGGGCCAAGCAGAAGCAGGAGCTGGCGGAGGTGCTGGCGGCACGGTTCGAGGAGAAGCAGGTGGGGGGCGGGCGGGGGGAAGGGGCGAGGTGGGGGTGGGGTGGGGTCGGTTCGCGACACGGTGGGGCCTTGCTGGTCCCCCCCGCGCCATATCACGAGTCGCCGCCACCTCAATCCCATCGCCGCTTCATCCCTTCATCCATCCCCGCAACACAACGCTCCCGCTCACCTCCCTTCTTCCCTCGGCCGGCCGGCCACCATGTTTGCACCCCATGGTGAAGCCTACACGTCACACAGCTCGTCAGTTGCCTCGTCAGTTTCCTTTTTTCCTTACCCCCTCCTCCTCCCCCCTCCCTCCTCCCTCCCCGGCCCCCAGGTGTCAGCCAGCATGTCCGCAGTGGTGGCTGCAATGGCCCGCGGGGCTCAGGCGGGTGGCGGGGTGGGCGCACTGCCGCCCATGCTGCAGCTGCAGTACCTGGCAGCGGCGGGGCTGCCGGCGGCGGCAGCGGCGGCGGCGGCAGCCGCTGCAGCGGCGGCGGCAGGCGGAGGAGGAGCCGCGGCGGGTGGGGATGGCGCTGGTGGGGGTGCGGAGGAGGAGCAGCAGCAGCAGCTGCTGCTGCCGCTGCTTGGGTTTGAGGACGCGGCGGCGGTCGCTGCTGCTGCTGCTGCCGCCGTGACTGCGGCAGCTGAGGAGGACGGAGCTGCTGTGGACGGCGGCGTCACCTCAAGTGCGCAGCAGCCGGCAGCAGCAGCAGCAACCTTTGGCCGCAGCGGCAGCGCCAACAGCAGTGCGATGACCGCATCAGCCCTTGGCGCCACCGCCCTGGCGCCGATTGACACCGGTCGTAGCAGCCTGCTTGAGGGTGGTGGACCTGGTAACAACGCGGCTGGTGCGGGCAGTGCTGGCAATGCTGGTGCGGGCAATGGAAGCAACGGCGCCGCCGCAGCTGCTGCTTCGGCCACTGCTTCTGGCGCCGCCGCCACAGCTGCTGGTGGTGGTGGCGGTGCGACGGGAGGAGGTGGGCGAGGGACCCGTGGGTCGCTGCCGCCCGGGCTGCACTCGCCTCCCTCCAAGGCGCTGCTGTCAGAGGCGCTGCAGCGACACCGCATGGAGCAGCTGGAGAAGCAGTCGCAGCAGTTGCAGCTGCTGATGGGGCTGGCGGCGGCGGCAGGAGGCGACAATACCCCCAAGCCAGCAGCCCTGGCGGCCGCAACGGCGGCGGGGGATATGCCGCAGCTGGCTGCGGCAATCGCCGCTGCTGCTGCCGCGGCGGCAGCGGGCGTGACTCCGGTCACGGCTAGTGTTGCAGGAGGGGGAGGAGGTGCGCCTGAGGCCACCTCGGGACCAGGCGGCTTGGTGACGGAGGGTGCTGCCGTCAATGGCGGCGGCAGCGAGGTCGCGGCAGATGGCGTGAAGCAGCAGCAGGTGCAGCAGCGGCCCCCGGGGAGCAGCAGCTTGGGGAGCTTGAGCGGCGGCGGCGGCGGCGCAGCAGTTGCAGCAGCAGCAGCCCCGGAAATCAAGATGGAAACCGCCCCTGTAGGGGAGGCTGCGGCAGTAGCGACGCCGGTGCCGCCTGCTGCTGGTGCAGCGGCGGCGGCGGCGGGCGCTGACGGCGGCCAGGGCCCACCGTCTCCCGGTATCGGCTACTTGGAAGCCGGACGTGGCGATGACCTGCCTGTGATGGCTGCGGATGCGGATGCAGCTGCACCTGCTCCCACTGCTGGGGATGCGCAGGAAGCGGGGGGCGGCCAGCGGGTGTGATGGCCCACATACGCAGTAACACGGGTGAACGCATGCAGACGGGTGTTTGGGGAGCTTGCGGGGAGGGGGGAACGAACGGGTTGTTGGCTGAAAGAATGCGCCGGTGCTCCTGCCAATCCTGCCAAGGAGGACCATGGGTGGGAGGTGAGACGCAAGATAGCTTACGGTGAACGAACAAGAAACGTGTGAGGAGGAAGGAGTGACGGTATCTACGACAGTATCAACGACGGCAGGGGCAATGACAGCGCTCTGCTGCTGTCCATACAATAGATCTCATGACGCTGGTAGCCTTGATTGTGCGTGAAGTCTGTTGTAATTGTCGTTTTCTTTTTCCCAAGCGGTCTTCATCTTAACCTTTCGACGTATGCCCGATTGCCTGCTTGTTCGCTTGCTTGCCTAACATGGAGGGAGAAGATGTGCGCTGCAGCCGAAACGTTCGTGCAGCGCGTAGACGCCCCTACGCGCCACGTGTCAACAACCGCTTGCACCGCGCGTCCGTGCGTGTTGTATGCGTATGTGTACACCAATATGGTCCTTTTGAGTCCTTTGTTGCGCTTCAATGTGTGTTGTTATTGCGTTGAGACAACATGTTCTTCATTCTATCCAGCTGGGAAAGCAGCAGCAGCAGCAGCTGCTAGCAGCGCTGCCGCTGCTGCGGACGGCCACTGAAAGGAACTTTGCGCCCAGCGCCGCTGTTAAACACTTTTGGCGTGTGCGCGTGTGTATTAAGAGAACTTGCCCCCAGGTGTGCGTGTGTGTGTGTTAAGAAAACCGGTGTGTTAAAAATAACTGGGGTGTGTGTTAAGAAAACTGGTGTGTGTGTGTTTACATGTATGTGTACGTATTCTTGTGCGCAAAGACTACACCAAAAACGTGTGCGCGCATGCGTGCACATCGTGTGTGATCGTGCGTCGTGTCCCTTTTCTTTGGAAGATTTTGGCCAATGTCCGATGCGCCTAAAGTACGGTTATATGAGCTAGAAGGTCACACCAAAAGTTCCAATTTGAAGACTCGATTGCAGCGGAGGAGGAAGGGATGCGGATGGAGGGTGGTGTTACTATTGGCATCTGTTGGGTTGGCGGTATGAGAGAGCGCGGACGATGAACAGCTGCCTGGGAGGAGGAGGAGGAGTTTTATCTTGTTGTGTTTTCTCGATGCAAGTGAAGGTGTTGGAGGTGTTCATGGAAACGCAAAGTGAAGGGGTGCTGTGACGTCGTTGCCGGTCACACAGCAGTTTTCATGACGTCATGAGCCGGTGGTGGTGGCGGTTACGATGATACTCTTTTCTTCCAGTTTCTTGCTTAACCGAACGACTTCGAAGGACGCGAATACGAGCTCTCCAAGGCCTGCACAGTATATCAGATTCAGGGCTTGGAGAGCAGATGGTATTGCTGGTAATTAGTTTGCCACTGGTAGGGTGGTGGTGGTGGTGACATCACAGGTCGGAAACGGTTGGTTGGTTGTTGTGTAGGAGGTTTGGGGCAAGGGCTGCTCCAGGTTTGGATTGGGTGTCCCTTGACTTCTGACGAGCAGTCCTTGTGATGGCCCACACGGGTACACACGGTGTGGGCGCAGGCTGAGCAACTGTTTACATCGCCTGCTAACATCGCAAGGAAGGAGCCGGAGGGGAAGAAGGCAAGCTTATAAGACGTGTTGTGATTTTGATTCCCACCGGCGCCACTGTGTGTAAGAGGGAGAATGCGGTTTTGCAACGGTGTAAGGACGTTGAGGGTGATTGTCTGCTCGGACACCGTCTGAGGTCGGGAAAACGGAGCGTTGGAAAAGGGAACGTTCCCGGAGGAGGTTGGCACTGAATGCGTTGAGAGAGTTGGCGACAGCACCACACTCGCAGCGCTCTAGCTCGCCCCTGGCAGCAGGTGCCCAAGTGACATGGAAGTGGAGGTGTATGTGGTGGACGGCGGGGTGGGCGGGTGGGTGGGTGTTGGCGCGGACGAGGTGGGGCGCCGGTGGGTGGTCCCGTGGGTGGTGAGAAGGGGGAACCACGGCTGCTGCTGCTGCGGGGGATGGCGGCTCATGTTGCGGGGGTTTGTTTTGAGCTGGAGAAAAGGTGTGCTCATGTGCTTCCAACACCGTGGTACTTTTGTCCGTACATGGTGTTCGCGAAAGTTCCTCTTAACGCGTCTGTGGCTATGAATCCCGAGTCTGGGTGTTTTGTGCGTGTGGGTATTGGGGGTTGTAGACCATCGCTCAGCAAGTAAATTATCACGCAGCCTTGACCTGATGACCCACATGCTGCTCCCCTTCCCCTTGCACCCGACGCTGTTGTGTTGTTATTCATGTTATCGTTCTACAACCACCCCCTCCCATGACCGGGGAGGAGGTGGATGTTGGAAATCCCGTTGAGGGCCACCAGATTTCCTATGCCCCCAAAGCAGTGCTTCGGCGACAGCGGCTTATTTAGGTGTGTTTGTCTGTATCAAACTGTGCGTGCGTGTTTGCTGATGGTCGCAGCGAAAACGAGCAGCGGAAGAGATGTTAACAGGGAGAAGCGAACAACTACAAGTCAGGGCATGCCATTACCACCACCGTTGGTGACATTCCTGCCGCCATTGTTTGCTGCTGCTGCTGCTGCTGCGCAGTCATTCCGGGCCATGAAGACGTGTTTGGCAGGTGTTGGTTTTCCAAGAGAGCGCTTTCTCCTTGTGTCTGCCGCCGCGGCATGTGGTAGTCTCTGGCAATGGTGGAGGTGGAGGAGAAGAGCTCTGTCCCCTGCCAGTCCCTGCCGATGTTCTTTCCCACACGCGGTATGCTGTCATCCTTGCATGTAGCGCTTTCTATCAATGCCGAAGCATTTGGCTTTCGGGCGCGTGTGTGTCTGCTGATGTGCCGTGTATTCCCTTCTCTGTGTTGTGCGTGGGTGCAACCCAAGACTTTAATCGTCTGGGCGCTACTTGGGCGGGACGCTACATTTAGAGACGGTGCGTCTTGTGCCTTTTTTGCGATGTTCTGTAACGTTATTTCCCACGAAAAGTGATTTTCCACGATTACCCTATGCTAATGATCGATGTGATGTGCCTTGTTCGTTCGCGCGTTTGTTCGTCTGTGTGTGTGTGCAATGCTTTATGCGGTATGTAACGGCATGATGGAGTCGAGCAACAGGCCGGCCAACGTCCAAATCCAACAACATGTGTGGACTGCGTTCGTCGCTCTGTTTCCCTCGGGTTTCACGTCACCGCATGCACATCTCCCGGCTATAGGCGCCACACACCTACACGAGCGAGTGTGTTTTGCATGCACGCTGGGGCCTCATACCCCGTCATCCATTGGGATGTGGACTGGTAATTTATAATGCGGCGCAGGGCAGACTAAGGTTCCATAGTGGCTGGTCCTTAACCCGCCATGCTTAACTGCATACCGGACTCCCTGTATCACGGTTTGCCCTTGGGCTGTCGCAATTTACAGTCATATATGTTCCTTTATAATCTATGCAATGAGTACAAAGAATATATATCAGTAACCGCTACTCGGACGTTTCCCAACTTACAATCCCCAGTGGCAACTTCCGCCCATAAGCCTAGCGCAAGGGCCATAATTTGCGATAAAATGAACATGTCGTATGGTTTATAAAAACTATGTATGTATGTATGTGTTACAAGCTTCGTACCGAGCTCGTAAGATCCGTCCGAGCCAGAAGGCTCATGGATCGCGAGCACAAAACGCGAAAACAACCAAAAGAAGAAAAGTAAACAAAAGAGACAACAAACAGAACGCTAATCATATGATAAACCCTGTCTGCGCAATCCTGCGACTTCGCATGCTAGTGATTACGCTAGCAAGCAATGCCTGATTCTCCATGCCCATGACAGCAATCATATCAGCATCCCGTGGGACACCACTTTCCCATATCTTATCACGCAAATCATCGTAAGCGGGACATTCAATGAGGATGTGTTTCTCATCTTCCACTCTCCCCGGCGACCCCTGCACGGCACACATAGGACAGACACGCGCTACTCGTTGCCTACCCCTAGGGCGATTGGCTTCAATGCCCCACACACACAGCCGAAAACGCATCAGGTTCACATGCTGCCGCTGAGTAATGTACCCCCTGTCAACCGGGTCACCCATCCAATTTTTGTACCTGCACATCTTAACTCCAACCCCTGGTACGGGGTCTACTGGGTTGAAAAGCCGCGGGTCATCTTCCAAACTCCTATCCTCCCAATCCGCATCCATTCTATCAGCAAACTTTTTAGTGAGAGCAGACACATTTAGCTCCGTGCCAGCAATACGTTCCACACGCGCATTCAAGTCCAATTCACCCCCCAAGGCCGTCAAATCCGTCCCTAACATTTTCAGAATCTTCAACACCTTAGAACCCCAGCCATCATAATGCTCAGTACTGAGAGCCGAACGAATTTCACCTCGCAACGTCTGGTGGTAGACCGTGTCCTTCTGCTTGACCAGGTCATTCCAAAACCTCAGAAACAGTTCCAGCCAGAAGACATGCAAGGGGCGCTGGTTAAACTCCTTAAACAGCAACTTATCAGGCGAGACTTTCACACCCGCAATCTCCCGAAGAAATTCCCTTTGTAACTGCACCATTGGGTCCCGCAAGGATCTGTCAAAGTACCTCGCGGAATTCTCGCAGTCCGTCATTAGCTTCAGCACCACATCAGGCCCCCACACCTGGACACCGTACGACAAGATGGAGCGGACTTGCACGTCGAAGCACTTAACTGCAACAGCAGGGACCAAAAGACCTAGGCGTTTTAATTTACGCTGAAGAGAAAACATAGCACGTCGGCCAGAGGTCAACAGTTCCTCTGTGCAGGAAACAAACGGTGTGCCAGGACCAAAGTGCAAACCAAGGTAACGGGCTCGTTGTACCCAAGGAATAACCATAGGTACTCGCGCATTTCCCTCAATAGAAGTCCACACCACGGGGCAAAGGGCAGCAAAAGCCTCGCGGATATTGGCACGAGGGTGGAAAACCATCAATTCACATTTACGAACATTCACCCGCATCCCAAAGGCCTCACACCACTCTCTCAAATCAGCAAGCAACACAATCAGCCGTCTGTGCGTCGTAGCGAAAAGGCTGAGGTCGTCGGCATACAGTTCCAACGGGATACGCCGGCCATCCGCATGGGGAGTCTGCTGCTTAGCGCGCATAGCATCAGGGAGCCACTTATCCTTAGCGTCAACATAGTCAGCAAACCCCTCGCCAAAAATCCCGTAAAGCGTAGGGCTGAGAGGGCATCCTTGCTTGACTCCCTGCGAAGATTCAAAAGGATCCCCCGTCACTCCGTCTACCCTGACACGCATCATGACCTTGTTGTAACAAGTCTTGAGAGCCTCCAGCATAGCGCCATGCACACCCCGTTCCTCCAACCTTAACCACAAGAGATCACGTGGCACCTTGTCAAACGCTTTCTCAAAGTCAATCTGACAAACGAACAGGGGTTCAACTGCATCTCGCCCCCCCTTATGTTTGTCCGTCAGATGTCGCAACAAAAACAGGTTGTGGCAGGTACCCCGCTTGCGTCGGAAACCTCCCTGATACGGCGACCTAGCTCCCACCAGCTCGCCCCAACGAGACAGCCTGTGCTCCAACATAAACGCATAAAGCTTAGACAAAACACCACCCACTGCTAAACCCCTATAGTTACCCTTCTCCATCACATCGCCTTTATAAAAACTATACGTTTTAGTTGCTGTTGGCTACTTCGTACTTGCGCCTTTCCAAATTCCCGCCAGCGGCCATACGCTATATCTGTTGCTGACGTTGAGCACTTGTTAATGAATTGCCATGGACATAATTAGAAGTACGGCTGTCGTCTCTTCACCTTTACTTATGCTTCCTAATCGCTTGCTGCGCAGAGACAATGGCAAACGACGTCAGCTGGTTACACGCTTTTGTGCTTGTAGCCCTGCTGAGGTTTTGTCTTTGTCAAGATGGTATGCGTCTAAACATCAGTTTACCGGATTATGTTGACTTGTACAAGCCCATGGACTATGCAGTCATCGGTCAGCAGAAAGTAAGTCATGGCAAGTTCATCCTATCCCAGCTGCAGCTTTTGAAGCAAGCTGTAACGAAAGGGTGATGAATATAAACCAGGCACATCATGGGTATGTTGCATAGCCTGGGCGCTTGTATAGGCAAACTCATGCCTATGCGTGCACACCAATACTGGAGGTCTGGCCTAGAGCTGGACGCTTGTTGCAAAACTTAATCCGTGTCCCATGCCATCCCGCACAGTGCGGTACGAGCACTCTGTGGAATGTCATGACAAGGAGCCCGTTCATCAAATGGGTTAGCAAGAAAAAGGTAAGTCAGTTGTCGCGGAATCTGCAACAGTGTTTGCAGTCACCTGGTCTCAACCCCTGTTCGTTCCGTCGCCTGTCCTGCCCCCAGGAAACCTTCTACTTCCAGGGCCCCGCGGGGAAGACCCTGTGCGATCATGACGTGGCGGGATACCAGGCCCTAGTTGCCGTACAACGGGACACGTTCGGCAACCAACGTGTGCGGTACAGGACCGCCAACGGTGATTTTGTGTTGTACGAAGTGCCGTACGATCAGCTGCGTGTGGGGGACTGGTCCACCTCGCATCTGTCCTGCCTCTGCTGCCCGCTGTCGCTAAAGTCACTGAATCCAAAGATGAAGGTAGGGCATGGATGAGGAGGAGAGAGCGCGGTGGCGCCCTTGGGTATTGTGCGGCAGGAGAGGGCGTGTCGATAGAGAGAGGGGTTAGGATAGCCCCTGCATACTACGCATTAGGCTGGATTATAGGATTTAAATGTACGTAGTGCTTGAATCCAATCGCAGCAGCACTGTATCCCCCTACCCCACCTTCTCAAATGCCCCCTCCCTCGCCTTTACTGCTTCTTCTTTTCTACACCACTTCTTCCCTACCCCACTCTCTCCCTCCCTCTCCCTCGCCCTTCCCTCACCCCCCCCCCAGCTCATCGTGGTGCTTCGCGACCCCATTCAGCGGTTCATCAGTCGCTTCCACGAGCAGCAGAGCAGCCGCAGCCTGCCGTACAATAGAATGGTAGGGGGGGCCTGCCGTACAATTGACTGGTAGGGGGCGGGGCCTGCCGTACAATTGACTGGCAGGGGGGGCCTGCCGTACACTAGGCGGGTAGGGGCGGGGGTCATAGACTAACCATTGCTGGCAAGGAGGGGAGGGGGCGAGGATATGTCCTGGGAGGGGCGGGGGGAAGGGCGGGGTAGTGTTTATGAGGGTTTTCCTTCATGGGCTGTACGGGGAAGATGGAGGTAGACCGCAAGGGCTCCCAACTCCTACTCCGGTTGCTACCCACAACCGGCTCTCCATTTCTCCCGGTGGCCCTTGCTTCTTCTTCCCGCCCGCTTCCCTACCCCTTCCCCCTCTCCTCTCCTCTTCCCTCCCCTCCCTTTCCCTCCTCCTCAACCCCCCTCCCCCCTCACCCCCTCCTCCCATTCAAGGTGAGGGACCGCACCCTGCCCGAGTTCTCCGAGGCCTCCCTCCGCGAGCTGAGTGACTGCCTGCAGCGGGCGGCACCGCTGGGGGGGGCGGGCGGCGGGGGGCAGCAGCAAGTGCTTGAGGAGGGGCGGGAGGGCGGCTCGTTCCGAGGCTGGGGAGCGGGTTGGGATCTGGGGAGGTGGATGGAGGCGCAGTGCTTCGCCCGGAGCAGTGAGTTGCGGGGCGGGTGGGGGGGGGGAAGGGATTCCAATGTGTGGTGTGAGTGTGGTAACACAAGCTGACAAGCCCTGATGGAAAAGCCGTGAGTCGAGCCGAACTGGTGACTGAAGCATTGCGAGCTAAACTTACCGAACTTACCAACTACCAGTTACCAATTGGGTGGGTGGGGGAGGAGGTGAGGAGTGGGAGAGAGGGATGGGGAGCTGGGGATGGGGGGAAGCGGATAAGAGATGTATGGATGGGGGAAGCCCCCTCCGCCCCGTTCCCCTTGCATTTCAATACCCTGCCCCGCCCCGCCCCGCCCCGCCCCCTCTCTCTCCCTGTCAGACTTCCTGGGCTGGTCAGTGTACGACATATTCCTGGAGAACTACCTGGCGCACTTCCCCAAGGAGCAGGTGCGGGGGGGAGTTGGGGAGTTGGGGGGAGTTGGGTGGGGGCAGGGAAGGACCGGGAGGGTATGGTAGGGCGTGGAAGGTAGTGTAGGGCAGGTCGGCGGGAGACGTGAGGTGGCCTCAACGTTTCCCCTGAACGGCTCTCTCCTCTTCTGCCACATGTCGTACGACGCACAGCGGTGGAGGAGTGAGTGACGCTGTGTTGTCACGCACCGCCTGTGACAGCCACCGCACACCTAACCCCACTACCGGCCCCTCCCACCACTGCACCCTCCTCTTCTGCCCCTCCTGTCCCTTTACCTCTCCATTCCGCACAAGGTTCGTCCTGGTCCCTTTTCCTCCGCCCTCACCCCTTCCCCCTCTCCCCCTCCCTCCCTCCCCCAGCTGCTAGTCCTGTACACGGAGCAGCTGGCCTCCGCCCCCACCGCCGCCTTCCGAGCCTTCGAAGCGCACCTGGGGGTGCGCGAGTGGCAGTACGACGACGACGTGACGTCACTGCAGTACAACACCCGGGGCTGCTATGTGAGGGGGGGGGGGGGTGAGGGGGTCATGGAGGTAATGGCGTGAAAGCCCATGCTGTTGAAAACCACATGTGGGGGCAAGTCAGTAGGAAGAGGAGGCAAATAGAATTAAAAACCTAGTTGTGCTACTACGGTTTCTACTTGTTACTACTGCTGCTGCTGCTGCTGCTGCCGTGAATCCCCTAGCGCTTCTACCACCAACTGCTCGACCTTGCACACGCCTGCATGCAACCTGTCCTCCCTCTCTTTCAAGCACGCTGCACCCCTTTCCCTCCTCCACCTCTTCCTCCTCCTCCACCTCCTCCTCCTCCGCCCCCCCTCCAGGGTTGGACATGCAACACAGCCGAGGAGTCCCGGAAGAGGCCCGACTCGCAACCTGCGGCCACCACCACCACCACCACCACCACCACCACCATCACCAGCAGCCACCAAGGTAACAACCCTGACAGCAACAACAATGGGCAGGCGGAGGAGGAGGAGGAGGAGGAGGAGCAGGAGGAGGATGAGGAGATGCGGCGGGTGAGGGCACTGCTGGTGGACTTTTTCCGGCCGCACGTGCAACGGTTGGTTCGTTGGGCGGAGGAGGGGATCATAGCGCCGCCGCCGGAGGCGTGGCGGGAAACATACGGCGTGTGAAGCAGGGCGGGGTGCGAAGAAGGGTAGGGTGGGAAGCAGAGAGGAGGGTGGGAGTGGAGTGGGGAGGGTGTGAGCGAGGCTCCGGACGGGCTACCCGTAGCAGGGAGGATGATGCAGGGGGGTTGATGGAGGAGGGATGATGCAGGAGGAGGGAGGAGGAGGGAGGCAAAATTAAATACGTGGAACAACGAGAGGAGGAGGAGGAGAGGAGAAGCACCTGCCGGTGGGTGGACAGTACCCAGGATGATGTTGCTAAGGCGGTTGGTGGTGAGTAGTTACAGGTAGCTCCTTTTGCAAATGTGAGGTGCGGCGGTTGCCCTGGTTGGTTGGTTGCCCCGTGCATGAAACGGTCTACAGCGGTTAGCGGTTAGCAACCACCGGAAGGAGCTGGTTATGGGCAATGTCTCTCGCGCGCAATGTCATGTGCAACGTTTTTTTATTTCCAATTACCGTAAATGAGATGTCACATTGACTTTCATCGCTTAGCATGGTAGGTGGGCACCTGCGTCACAGAAAAAGACAGGCGTGGGGAGGTGTGCGTGCTCTGCTTGTGGCAGGTGACTCTTTCAACATGCATGACCTTGACACTGGCTCCATAAAAGAAAACACGGGTGATAAACCAACCGCCACAGCTGCCTGGGTCGATAAAGGCGTGTATATATGTGAGATATATCAGTGGTCTATGTACGGCGGCACATGTTTGCAGTGAAAACACTGCCGGTAGTAAGCTTCAGCACACCACTGGGGATGGCAGTGCCAGGCAGATGTCGGCAAGTGGCGCCTCATTGTGTCGTACGGCTTGTTGGCTTTGTTGTGAGAGAGAGAGAGAGACGTGGGGTAGCGTAGGACGGGGCTGCAAGGATGCCCGAGAGGAGGACACGGTTGGGGAATCTAGTACGGCAGGGATGAACGGCAGGGCGGGTGTGCAGCGGTTGCTGTGCTGCGCTACGTGAGATGTCCTGCTTGAGCTCTCCTCTGCAGTACGCAGTGTGTGGGGCGGCGTACGTGTATGGGATTTAGGGGGTCCTGAACAGGCACCGCCCAAAGCCCAGAACATGCTTACTGTGTCATGTATACATATATTGCACGCATTCGAACTAAATCCACACCTACTGTCCTCCAGTGTAATCCTCGCTTCCTACTGTCCTCCAGTGTAACTTCCGCTTCCTACTAGACGACTGTTGGAGCCCTTCTAGTCCTGAAGTCCTCACCTGCCTAGGGCACTACATAACGCCTCGGCCCGGACAATTTTGAGTGAACGCTAAGACTATTGGCAGACACCGACACTCAATGTACGGTACTCAAAAACAGGTGGCACGGGCCTCGTTCGAGGAGCATAGCCATTTGACAACATTCATCTCTCAAGAGTACGCAATAAAGCTTGCTGATCAGTTTGGAATACGCGTATAATCAGCGGCTCACGTGCACGCCCTGGCGCCGGGCAGCCAGGGGTGCACGCATTACCGGTAGATAGCCGCCTAGCTTGCAAGGATTGACGGATCTGAGATCAGATACGGTCTGAGATAAGTCCCTGACCTAACACATCCTGTGAGCAACCTTATCATAAGAACGAACACACATACCCGGTCGGTTTTCTTGGCATACCTCCAAATGCAGTTTCTGCACGGCTATTTCACAAAAAGGCACTTACACCACGTGTAAATTCGTCCCTCGTTCCCAGCACACAAATAAACCGAAGGACTCCCACTCTCACCCCTTACTTGGGAAAATCATGAACACAAACGCTCAACATTGACCTTGATCTGAATCGGATCTGGATCGTCCCAGCCACTCCTACACAGCAAATGAAAATGCGAGGTATTTCTGCAGTATCCTTGCTTACTATTCTGAACAGGTCAATTAGTCTTCGTTTATCCCTCACCAGCCCTGTTGCTGTAGATAGCACACCTTCCAGCAACTTGACACTTGCCAACTACAAAAACACAGGCATGAACGCGGTCAGGCATGCGACAACAGCGTGTAGCACTTTGCGATAATTAACACGGTCATTGTAATTTAAAGTATGTCGTGCCGCTGTGTTCCAAGCAGGTGTGTATACCGGTACGAAATGTGACGGATGCGGAAACACCCTCCCTAAGCCTGAGTCGCGCAGGATCTAAACTCGACCGCACGGTTACTCGCAAACCCATTATAACCAGCAACTAGAGGTCATTGCGTTGGCAGCGCACACAGTCCACAAGTCCAGCAGTAAAACGTAGGGGTAAGCGCAGGGGTAAGCGTGGTACCAAGCACCCAAACACTCTTTTTTAATCCTACAATAAATGACATGCCCGACGGTTGCATGAGACGCCTGAGCGGTGGATGGTTTGGAATCAGGCGCTGTAAATTTGGCTTCACAACCGATAATGCGTGCATGGAACACAATAAATGCATCACACCGCAGCATGTGAACCGTCCAATTCAACAAGAACAATCTGCACCCCACTGTTGCCCCTGCTGCTTAACCGGAAGAGGTAGGGGCAGCCATAAGCTCCGGCTAACGCCATCCCTTGTTACGCCCCACCGCAGCAATACGCACTATCAAGTAGTTCAGGCCGGCAGCCAGCAGCTGTTGCTCGGCTTGCATGGAGCCCTGCTGCGCACGTAGGGACTCGTATTCTTTCAGCAAGGCTTCGATGGCTGCTAGCACGGTGGAGGTCATGCCAAGAGCAACGGCAGCATCAGCCACACGTCGGCAGAAATCAGTGTCACCAACACCGGGTAGCTGCAGCAGCCATTGACCTTGTTGCTGGTGACCAGTTGAGGCCAGCAGTGGCTGTAATTGCTGCTGGTGCTGGTGCTCAACAGGTTGGCCTTCCCTTGCTGGCGAGGAGGGTAGCTTAACACGCTCCAAGGGCACTGCTGCGACACTGTTAGCGCGTATTTCTGGAGGCGCCGGTGAGCCGCCACTGGCGCTGCCGCCCTCCTCCTCCTGACATCCTGCACGGGTGTCTTCAGGAACAGCGACCGCAGGACTTGTGCATGCCGTGCTGGGTTGGGCAAGGGGAGCAACGCTGCTAGTAGTGTTCATGCTGGCATTGGCAGCAGCGGTTGCTGCTGCCGCCACCACAAGCGCTCTCCATGTGCGCCCTGGAGGGGCAAACACTGCAACAGCCTCCTCCTGGGTGGGTTGCAGTGGTAGCTGCTGGGCCCCCTGTTGCTCCTGCTGAAGCCCCTGTGGACCAAGGAGGTCGGCTCGACCCTCCTGGCGGATGATGGAATCTATGCCACTGACGCCCCAAGCAGCTCCATGAGTATCGGGTCGTGTCAGCTTGCCTTGGGGCATGTCTTCAAGCGGTACGACTGAGGTGAAGGTGGTAGGCGTTCCACCATGTTCGGCCGCAGCGGAGGCTGCAGGACCTTCCCAACTAGCGCCAGCAACTGCTGTGGGCCCCTTATGCGGAACAACCACTGCAGAGAAACGACTGCTGCTGACCTTCTTCTGGAGAGGCTGAGATTGGGTTGCAGTGTCCGGCGTCCCAGCGGGTCTCAACCCGGCATAAGCACCGGCACATGACCATGCAGAAACACGGTGGCCGGATGCAGGCCGCACGGATGCTGTCTGGGAGGGGGGCACGCGACCTGCAACGCCTGTGAGGGAATGCAACATCAGCCGCCGCCCAGCAGCTGGTCTTTGCCCCGCGAGCTCAGTCCTCAGCCTGTCCAAGTTGAATGTCAACCTGCCCTGCTGAGAAGCTCGCCACTGCTGGGAAAGCGGCTTCTGCTCTGGCTCTGCACCACCAGATGATATCTGCGGCCAATGACGGTCGGAACCTTTCGGGTCCTCCCTCCAAGTTCCAGCAGCAGTACTACTATCCACCCCGTGCATATGCTCACCAGATACGGCCACTACTGTAACATTAGCGGTAACGTCTGGCAGTGTTGTGTCAGCTGGCAGCTCAAGCACTGCAGGCGAGGGCGCTATGCTGCCAGGAAGGATAACGTTCAGCTCTCCAAAGCGGCTGCGCTGCATGGCGACTGCTGCTGCTGGTGAAGCGGCTGACTCAGGCTCTGTAGTGTTGCACGTAACAGCAACAGGAGATGCTGACATGGACGGCTCGCTAAAACACACCACTGGCTCCTCAGCAACGGGGGACTCCACACCATCCGGCTGTGCCTCCAAGCCTTCTGCTACCGGTCCTGCTTGCTCAGAACTGGATAACTGTGCCGCATGACCCGTGATGCCTGTTTTGACCTCAGGGTCGGCTTGCGCATTAGCTGCTGGCCCTGTCTGCTGCTGCAGTATGCTGCTGTCCCCACCTCTTTGGCTGCTACTTAATGGCTTACCCAGCCTCTTCAGCAGCTGAGCAGCTACTAGGGCCACAAGAAGGGAGCGTTGAGGAGAGGAGGTGGGTAAGGTGGAGGAGGCAGGGGAGGGTGAATGAGGGGACAACGTGACTGCCTGATGGCTGCTTTCCTGTTGACCATGGTGCTGCTGCTGATGGCTTAACGTGCCGAGCAACACCTCCAGTTCTTGTGCACTAACACGCTTACCACCCACTTCAACTTTGGGTGTCCTGTGCAGCAGGGAGCAGAGGTTGCGGTGCGTGCATGGGTGAAGGGGTCGCCAAGCAAACAGCACCGGTGAGCGTACTAATTATGGATAGCTGGAGGGAGGGATGGCTGCTGCAGGTATAAATGAGGCAAGCGCTATTCACCGCATTGCATGCATGAACCAGTTAAGTGGAAAAATGTGCCTTTTGCTTCGCATGCAGAGGCATGCTAAGATGCCATGATCCAGTCTTACCTGCTGCTGTCCTGCTGTGCAAGCCCACCAGCGCATTGGTTCGGTCCCAAGCCTTCGAGGATTACTTGCCCCTGTGATGTGACCGGCGTGTTAATGTCTGAATCTGCCGAAGAATGATGTAGGATACGACGACTGATCCTCAGGTGTGGCAGAGTCACCTTGGGCGGTTTGGAGGCCTTGTGTTTTAAGGTGTGAACCACCAGCTTCATCATCTCCTTGTTGCTTGGCGCAACCCCTGATAGACGCTGTAAACCGTGTACAAGAAAGGGGAGAGTGGCTAGCGGATCAGGTTGTTTTTATGCATGATGTGAGAGCGAGGACTGTGCACGTCAAATGCAAGCCCTGATCACACCCAGTGTCGGCGAACAAAGTAGCTATACATGGGCAGGGGTGTGCACGTAGCAGGCTAGCTAGTAGTTAGCGGATGGGTGGACATCGAAGAGGGTCTGCTGTTTGTTGCTTCCCGCTACTGTAACCCAAACCCTAGCTAGATGGTGAACACACCTGCCAGTACCACAGAAACAGCAGGCGAATTTGTTCCCAAATCCATGGCTCGTGCTTGTTAGCAGCCTGCGTTGTGGGGCCCATGTAACACGGCGGAATAAATGTTGTGTGTAGCAGACCCATGGGTCAACTGGATGCCCAAGCTGCCATGAATCCTTCGGCACCATCCAAACTAACAGCACCTGGCATTCCCTGTAGCCAGTCAAGCAGCCATACATACACTAGCTATATCAAGGAAAACAGTGTGGTTCCTATTTATTAACACCAGGATTACTGTCCACTTGGCTGGGCGCACAGTTTTGCACAACAGAGTGGTGCGTCCCACTTCGTCCTAAATCCAGCAGGCTGCATACAGGCCAACCCACCTACCTTGAGGAGCCCAAATGGGAGAAACAGAAGTGCAAGGACAAAGTTGATTAAGGTGAAGTAGAAAAGTAGTGGGCCCAGTAAGCACACCACCCAACCCAGGAAGGTGTATGCAGCATTAGCTTGGTTGGCGGGCTGCATAGCGGGAGGGAGAGAGGAAGGCACGTTACATCCGTAATGAGCGATGATGTACAGGACTTAACCGTAACATCCATGCAAATTCAAATTCTGACACACGGCGGCCATATTTACGTGTTGAACGTTGCTTACAGACGAGGGTAGGGAGAACTGAAATTGTGTAAATAGTACCTAGCCTAACCATAAATGGCAAATATGCGCATGGCCGCGTACCATCCACAACTTACATCCATAACCGTTGCATCAAGGGTATCCAGCCCAGCACCATTGATGCTGTAGGAAAACGCCCATATAACTGCGTCTGAAAGAGTCGCCAGTTCGGCTGTAACATTGCCCCACAAAAGCTGTAGAAGGCTAGCAAACATGACGAGGATGACTAACATCACAAGGACGAATGTAGCCAGGTCAGGAAGCATACGGGCAAGGGTGCCGGAGATGATGGAGAGGTGCGGCTGGAAGGAGAGGTGATGCACCCATCGCACAATAAGGAGCACCATCACCACACCCTGCATGTATTGACACGCAGCCGTAGATAGGTAGGGCGTTCGGCGGAATTTGTCGATATACATCAAATGTGCTACTGTGCAGCAGAGCGATGATGGTTTTGCTAAACCAAAGCCGCACCTGTAGCATGTTGTACGTAACCCACAGGTCACGCATGTTGTTGATCTGCAAGGGGCAGGAAGTCTGAAACCTTACCTGCCTGCTAAAGCGTAATCCGTGCTCAGGCCGATATCCCCTGGCCTAGCTGATTGTATGTCTAGGTGGGCAAAGCAAGTTTATGATACCTTGCAATCCTATCGGAATGGGTTGAGCATTGAAGCACAGCTGGACAGGTCGGACCAAACAGCCCTAAACAGGTCGGTCAACCACGCATCTTACTCACTCCTGCATGCATCCCGGCCAGCTGCTGCAGCCCATTGGGATCCTCCGGAACCGCCCAGCGACCCGCCTCTCCGGGACCAGGGGTTGAAGATGACTTGTCTGCTGTAGCAGTAGTGCCCGCAGTGGCCACGCTACTGCCGTTGCGCCGCAACATGAAGAAGCGTGCACTAGCAAGCCTTGGGGCGTCATACACGTCATACCTGACAACAGGGAACGCCAAGAACTTCGGTTGCATTCATGGGTTGATGCAGGTAGGGGGGGCTAAGACAAAAATAGACCCTAAGCCTCAAATGAAGGCGCTGTGGCGAGGGCCGCCCTACGACCAGTACACCATCCCGACGCAAATGTTTGCGTGTGTGTAACCCCCCTGATGTTACTGGCCGTTGGCTGTTGTGCCCAGGGTGCTACCGCTGACAGACCCCACGCAGTGCCCGTATGGAGACGATTGCACTACACTGCTACCATCCTAGCCTAGCGTGGTGCGGCGGAGGCTCCTGACTGGTTACGGCACACTAGCGGCTGTGTACGATGCCCTTGCGCTGGCCAACCCCTTGCAACGTGTACGGCGGACGCTAACCACTGCAACCGGGCTCGTTTCTAGGGTTAGGAATAGGTACAGAGCCTAGTCCTGCGGCGTTTGAGTGCAGGTCTCGGCCTACGGCCCTCGCCTTGGGTCTGGCTACTGTGATAACAGTACTGGCCTAGCGAAATTGAGCCTTAACCAGTTCTGGGCTGGGCGCTTGCTGTCCGGGTGACTGTAAGCCTGGAAGGCGCCGGCGAAGCCCCAGGAGATGCGATGGCATAGCACTTGAAGACGCTCAGACCCTACAAGCGCTAGGGTGCGGGAGTATAGGCCCGTTCCTGGAAGCCTGATAGTCCTGGACACAAGGACGAATAGCCCTGCACAGGTCTGACCACGTATAGACCACGTAACAGGTCTTCTCAACACCGGAAAAGGCCCCGGTATTTATACTCAAGGCAGGGACCCTCCCTAGAGTGACAACATTGCACGGCCATAGCATTTATGTCATCATGACGTCAGCGTCATCGTGCTAGGCCAAAACACTGACTTCAGCAACTGGCACAAACCCTCGGAGGGTTATCCTCTAACCGCAGCAAGAACAGCCTCAGATCTTCTATCCAACAAGGCAAACAGCTATCCCCGTAGCTCGATTCGAAGAAAACGTATACGAAGTATGCGGTTTCGGAGGAGCGAAGCGAAGGGATGCATACCCCGTTCCCGTCACGCTCAACGGGATCCTTTCAGCGCTCTTGTTCACGGCTCGGCCTTCATCTTGCGCCGCTCAGTGTAGCGTTCTTTTGATGTCACGCTGGGATGCGAATCGGATAGCGGAATATTCGCGCTCGTCCCACTTATGTGCCCAAGGGTCGGTCTACTATCACGCGCCGCTAAACGGCTACTGTACCGCTAAACGGCTACTGTATTAGTGTGAGAGTTTATTTTGTCGCTACTGGAAACAGCACAACATGGCGCTACGGATCGTGCAGTCCAGGGAACTTTGGTTCTTATCGGCTTGCGGCTCGCTCGTCGCGTCGGCGTTGTCTTGGTTGGCATCGATCGGCGTTATACCACACAAACAACGCACACATGTCGTATGAATTAGCGCACCCGGTGGCCCGCCCAACCGGCCACCGGGTGCTTTTGCTTGCTTGCTCGCTTGCTGGGTTTCAGGGATTGCTTGCTGGCTTGCTGGGGTTCAGGGATAGCAGTCCGTCGTTAAGTCGCTGAGCGAACCTTCACTTTTCAGTGATGACGTAAGTCCTTCTGTTCTGAGGACGCGATGTAAATTCCCCCTGTCGTTGCACTGTGCAATGCCTGCCTGCGCATCAGCAGTCTCCAGCTAATGCCTTAGCCCAGCTGCATTTCCCCGCACGGCGCCCGCCTCCCCGTGTGTTTTCCCGTTCAGCGCATTTACCGTCCTCTTGCGGCTCATCGTGGGGCCTCCATGCCCTTCTATGTGTAGTGCCTGATTCTACCTGCCCTCCCCATGCGGTTGTCCTTAACCGCGCGGCGCTTGGCCCCCCTGGTCTCATCGGTCGCGGGTGGTTGTGTAGGATGGAGGGGTATGCTGCGCGCATCGGTGTCGGTTAATCGGTACTTGGACGGGGCAGGGATGCTTGCGTACATCAGTGCGTGCAGTAGTTGGGCGTGCCGGTTTCCATCACGCTCAACGGGATCCTATCAGCACTCTTGTTCGCAGCTCGGCCTTCATTTCGCACCGCTCAGTGTAGCGTGCTTCTGCTGTGACGCTGTTGATACAAGATCGGATAGCAAGAGATTCACGCTCGTCCCGCCCATAGTCCCACGGGTCGGTCCATGTTCCAACGAGGTGCCGCGCATCCTCTTGGACGGACGGAAATGCTTCAATCCCCCTAGCCAATTCGGATAGACTCGGTTCGGGTGGGGGGGGGGGGCGGGGGGGCGGGCTGTGGGGGGCGCGGGTGGGGTTTCGGGGCTTTGATTGGATTGGAGATTAAAGATTTTGAGGGGGCGGGGGGGTGGGGGGGGTCGTGTCGGGTGTGGGGTTGGTTGTTTTCTGGCGGGCTTTTTTGTTTTGTGTTTTTCTGTTTGCGTTTTTTTTTTCCGGGGGCGGTCGGGGCGGACGGGGGCCGGGGGGAGGGGGGCCGTCGTGGGTGGGGGGGCGGCGGTGGGGGGGGTCTTGGGCAGCAGCGTGTGCGGTAAGAACGGGCGGACTATTGGGTGGTGCAACAGCAACACTGATACCACCTGTGGCAGCAGCGGGCGGGTGGTTACCCGGTGCTCTTAGCGCAACTCCTGTGGCACCCTCGCCGCATGGTGTGTCGGCTGCTGCCGTTCCGCACAGCGTTGCGGACTGTGTGGTGACAGCAGCGCATGCAGCAACAGTGGTGGGAGGCCTAGCGGCTCCAGCCGCCGCGGTGCAGCCTGGTTGGGGCTTCGGCCTACCGGCTCTGGCGGGGACGGTGGGACCCCCGGCGGGCTTCGGCCTAGGGGCTCCGGCTGGCGCGATGGGACTCCCCGCCGCGGCGCAGCCTGGTTGGGGCTTTGGCCTACCGGCTCTGGCGGGGACGGTGGGGCTCCCGCCGGGCTTGGGCCTAGCGGCTCCAGCCGGCGCGGTGGGACTTCCCGCAGTGGCGCCAGCAGCATCAGCAGCAGCGCCAGCGGCAGCAGCGGGAGGGCCGGGATTGGGGCATGGGCGTTCCACTGCGCTGCATGTGCAGCAGAACGACCTTTTGGGTGCACCAGTGGCGGCATCGGCTGCAGCCAGGCAGGCGCGCAGACGTGACAATGCAGCGTGCAGGCTTCAGCGGAGGCAACTGATGGCAGCAGCTAGGCAAGCTCGCCAGCGTAAGCGTCCTCGACCTATGGGTGGGTTGTCTCACGATGACTACCTCGAGTCCCTTTCAGGCTGCCTCTGCTTGCCGCTTTTCCGTCACGACAATCCAGCTGTACCTGAGCTGCCGACGTTCTTAGAGACACAAACGTCTGCTTGGCCAGCTCGTGTGCAGGACTTGCCAGCAGGTGAACAGCCTCCCCAGATACCGTTTTCGGAGCAGATAACTTTGGCCTGTGGCCTCGCCGAGTTCGTTCGCGACAACATGCCATCACGGGTGTGTGCAGTCTGCAGTGAGTGCAAGTCAGCTTCAGAGGTCCGGGCGCTGCAGTTCAGCGAGATAGCTGGCGTTGAGCTGCTACGTGCTGACATGCGGCGGACTGCGGCTGTGCCTCGTTGCGCGCACGTTCTGTATTGGCGACGTGTCAATCGGAGTGACTGCAAAAACCCGACGGATCCCGTACTGCCACGCGGCTACAAGGCCGGTGGTGGTCAGTCGGGCAACGTCGGCGTAGTTGACACATCCGCTGGCGAGGACAGCGGCGAGACCAGCAGCGGCTTTGACGACTCTACCGATGATCGGCCGTCACGCCGACAACGCTGCGACGTAGACCGTCCTCCGACGTATGCGCCGCGGGTAGGGGTACGGCCGTGTGACGATGATCCAGCGGCGGTGGAGGTGCCGTACTGCATGCGCGCGGAGGCGGTACTGCCTAACCGAACGATGAACGTTTCAGCGGACGACGTGGAGCGCTTTACGGTCTGCTCGGAATGCGTACAGGCCTTACAGGGTACGCACCACCCACCGGGTAATATGGGGGCCGTCTGTTTGGGAAGGTTGTTGTGACCACTGTTAGCACCGGCATGGTGCTATTTGTTTTCATTACAGATGATGGGCCGCCTCGATCGGGCCCTGGCACTGTACCTCCGTCTATTTCCATGCCTCTACTGACATTGAACACCCCTGTCACTGCCCTTCACCAGGTGGGCGCATTCCGGATGGGGCGCTGGCTCGGTTAGATCCCAGCGACGTACCCCCTGTAAATCAGCATGGTCATTCGCTCGTACCGCAGACGCATCTGGAGAGCTTGGTGGTGGGCCTCGCGCGCCCTCACATGCGGCTGTTCATTGTACGGCATGCGCCCACCGCCGCCGTACAACGAACGGCGGCGGCCCGTTTTGCTAGGGCCTACACGCCTGGTCGCATGGCACTAACTAGACTGTTTGGCACCATCCCAAACTGCTCAGTTGTTGTTGAAAGGTGCCGATGTTTTGCTTTACGGCGTAACGGTAACGTCCACTAGGTAACGACCTGCTAGGACTTACACGCCTGGTCGCATGGCACTAACTAGACTGTTTGGCACCATGCCAAACTGTTCAGTTGTTGTTGACTTGTTGCCAGCTGCCAAAAGACTGGCGACGATTGAACCCGATTGTACGCTTGGCAGAAAATACCTGCCGGCCTATTGGCTAACGTTAAACGTCAACTAAAACACTCCTTGTAACATACATTTGTCGTCTAACTTGCAGCTTACATAACTCACTTCCCTTACCGAGCTACGGGTCGCTCCCGCCGAAGGCGGGCCTTACTTGTATTAGGGGCCCCTGTGCCAGGAAACACCAAAACCCCTGCTGAGCCATCAGGCTTCGCTTCGCTCGGCCGTTATGTTATTAGTAATTATACCGTTGCCGGTAAATAGAGAAGGTAACATCGAACCAAGAAGCGCTACGAGTGCCGGTACCGGCGAGGCTCTTGTTAAGTAAGTCGCTCTCGCTCTCGCCCTCGCGGCCCGACCCATGGTTCATCCTGCCGCCTTCTCTTCTCACTTTTCGGTCCAACAAGTACAGTTTAATACAACATACATTTATGATGCCTCTCGCGGCTAACTCAGCGCTGGCGACCGACCGCTTGCCGATCCCTCTCGCCGGTCGGCGCGCGACGCGGCCTCTACCGCAACAATCGCCATCCCAACAGCTTGGCGCAAAGTCCCACTTTGCCGCCACAGCGCTTTGAGTGGGGATCCCGAAACTGCTTTTAGGGTTTTGTTTGGGGCTGTACGGAAACAGGTCATGGGCTTGCGGAAGGGGGGGGGTGGGCGGATTCATAGGCGCCTGATAGATTTCATCAGTCAGGGTCCAAGCTGGTGCCAAGAACATGGTTCCCGTAGCGCTATGTTGTGACATTAACGTGTGTGCGTCTTCCCAAGGGAATCGGGTGTTTTCAACTGCTCGTAATAGAGCTTGCTTAGAAAAAACTTACGGGTCTTTTCCCGGGCGTTTTGTGCATGGCTTTCAGGTTGTACGACACGCTTGCCGGTAGGTGGGTGGGTCGCTCCAAGGCCTTCCTCTTTGGAAATTTTGGCTTGGGGTTTACACATAAATTTCTTAACCCCTCCCCCTGGTTGATGCGCAATGGGTTGCCTTTTGCAAACCCAGTTCCCTTAAACCCACCTCTGCTCAGTGGGCGCCTGGCTGGCCGTCCTGATTAAACGAACAGCGTCACCAGGCATGCCAACATGAGGCCGCACACCACCACCTCGTAGCTCACCCAGAAGGGTGTAATGCGAGCCTCGTACTTGCGGACCACCAACTCCTCACCCTGAATCGTGACGAATGCAGCAGATATAGCGGAATGTAGCTTAGTAGCAGATGTACACATCAAGCCCGGCTAACTATACTAGCTCGTTTACCTGACCACCAACTTGCCCTATCTAGTACTGCCCTCTCCTAAACTAACCCACCCATGAAACCTAGGAAGCACCAAGAGTGAAGGTTGCCTTGTGGATACACAATGCATGCGGTTCCCGGTCCGTCCATACATACCTTATTGTCGTGCAAATGCACCTCCTCCTCCCCATCCATCGTCAGCACCACCAGCGGCTTCTTGGGCACCAAAGCAGCAGCAGCCTGCTGCGATCCCTGACCGAGCACCTCCCGTCCGCTTCGGTTGGTCTCAAGGACGCCTGAATGGAACTTTGTTGATATTGCACCAGATGATATAGCCGAGGGACTGCTGATGAGCAATGCGCCAGGGCTACTAGTAATCTTGCTGCCGCCACTGCTAAGACGGCGGGCAGCGCCAGCAGTAGCGCTACTTGTAGCTCTTTTGGGCTCCAACTGCGACATCCTAAAACGGGGACTAGTGCCGCCTTGTTGAACAGCGCTATCAGCACTACCAGCTTGGATGGTTGACTCACAAACCGGACCGCCATGCGTTGGGCCTGCCTGAAGAGCCGTATTCACTCCCGTTTCATAGCCATATTTTTCTGGTTTTCGGGTGCTTCCGCCGCTGCGAGATTCTGTCTTGTGACGACAGCAACTGCGAGTAGGGCTGTCGGTAGTCACCGACCCAAGGGTCACTGCGGATGCGTCGCCACTGGCTCCAGACATATTCACCGGTGACCCTTTCAGATTGCTACTGCTGCGAACAAGGAAGGACATTGCCTTGCCTCCAGCTATGCTGGTCCGCTGGTGGGGTCCTCGGTCGTCACTGTCATTGCTGAGGCCATCCGCACCGCCGTGACAGGAATTCCTCAAGATGGCGTCTACCGCTAGACGCGTTGCACGGGATCGCTCACGTTGCTCCCGTGTGCTAGCAATGAGGTTTTGTACTGTTAACGTGCAGTAGGTGGCAACCAGAAGCACTAGCAGCAGATCTGAAACCACTTGGAAGGCATTGCCGGACTGCAGGCAGCAGTCGGGAAACCGCGGGGGGCTGATGAGTCTAATGGGCATTAACAGGTTGCACAAGACCGAGAAGGGGCAGGTTTGAGACTGGTCCGAGATCCCCCTTGCTTTGGATGGAATTTGGAAATGAGTAACGAAAGGGCATGAAACCAAGTACGTGGAGGTCTACGTACTACTGGATAGCAGCTCAGGAGTCAACACACACTCCTATCAACACCGGTATGAACTTACTGACAAAGAAAGCTTCCAGTCGATCGCTGGCAGGCCCTGCACACTCAATGAGCACCGAATGACTCCCTCAGCACCCCAGCGGAAGTCAGCACGCCAGTAGCCGAAGACGTGGCGTTCCGGACTGTACGTCACCAGCTGAGCAATGAGGCTGCATGCATGGGCGAATGGCAAACCTAAGTGGTTTAATTATATTGCAGTATAAAATTTCGGGTCTTGATAGTATAAGCAAGCCCTCGTGATAGGTGGCCACGTCACCACGTGGCTGGTGACGTGGTGAGAATGCAAGACAGAGTTCATATACGCAGCCGTGGCCAGTCTTCTGAGCACACGGTTCTGCACCACGGCGTGTACGATACCGTACGGAACCATACACGTGTTTCTATATTACTTCCACGCTCATAGTAACCCTGTATATACCGGTAATTACCGGTTTCCCATCGACGCAATTCTGACCATTTCAAGGTCTACTTTTCCCTGCATAGCCGTTAGGTCAGCTGTTTCTCCCTACCTGTCGACTACCACTTACCTCTCCGTCAGCTCTGAATCCAAGTAGGCGCCATCCTTCAGGGCCAGAAGCGTGTCTCGTAGTCGTTGCTCACCCAGAGACGTGTCCAGGAGCAACGGGTATGCGCCAGAAGGCACGCCAGGAAGCGGTACGGATGGCTGGAAGAACCCGTACGGCACGCCATGCGGGTTCATGTCGCCTGACCCATGGGTCACATTGTAATAGTCGCCTGGAGCAAGGTGTGTCGAACGAGCAGCAGTGGCAGTTTTTAGGAGGACCAAGCCATACATGCTACCGACCCTTGCTGTATAAACATGTAGGCCGCCGAATGTGGGCCACACCCCCGCCATAGCCAACCAGCCCGAGTTCAAAGGTGCACGAAACATTGGAGCACCTGCTGACTCACCAGGTCGAGACACAGCATCTGCGTTGTAGAGCTCGGACCTGGTCGTGAAAGCAGCGTCAACGCCAATGCCAGCGGACCAGTCTTGCTGCTGCGGCGACGAAGATACTACTGACGACGTGCCAACCATCCGTGTCTTGTTGTAACTAGCATTGCAAGACACTGAAAGTGTACTGGCGAAGGCGCCGCCACTACTAGTACAGCCACCGTATAGGTCTAACAGGCTTGCAGCTGCAATGCGGCGTTGGTATAAGAAGAGGCCGGCTACAATAGTTGAGCCGGATTGCCCCACGAACCTTGGTGGGGCCAGTGCCGATTCATCTACCATGAAGACGTACGTGGAGTTGGTCAAAGCGACCTTTTGCAGTGGATAACCCGCAACATAATCTGTCTTTCGGCTGCTGTAACCAGCACCCCCGCCGCTGACAGCCATGAGCTGCCTCTGCCGACGATTAAGAGATGGAGGCTGTGATGAAGGTTCTGCACCTATCGTGAACGAAATTTTCATGCCTCGGCCATCTTCTCTGGTCATCAAGCAGTTTCGCAAATCATGCATGTCCTCAGAGCCATCGTCAGGTGCCTGGCTGCCTAGGCTGGCTATGACGGCTTCTACAGTCATTAGTGTGTAACTCGTGATGTTCTCCATCTCCGCAGTTGCCGTCTGAAGCAGAACGGAGGTTGTGGTTGCTGAAGCCGTTGAGCCCTTGCCTGCTGTGGTCTCGTCGACCAGGAGGTGCACCGAGGTATCAACCTTGGCGGAGCTGTTCGCAACCGCACCGCTAGTCATGTCCTGCACAGCAGCAGTCGAAGGCAAGAAAGCCGCCGAGCAACACACGAGTCCTTGTTAATGGAACATTTAGAAGGTAAAAACGGTTCGTTGGGACAGCTGGCCAAGAGGGAAGGTTGGTTGATAGGGATTGATCGGAGGACGAGCGGAGTCACGGGCACAGTACTTCTGCAAATGAGCGAGCAAGCAGCACGTGCGCTCTGTCTTGCGAGCCCGCCGACACTGCCGATACTGTTCAGAATTGTAGGCAATTCCAGGACACATTCCTAGCCCTCAACACACACCTGTAGCTCTTCAACTGCCTCCAGCGCGGACGATTGCTGGGCGTCATCATAGCTGTCAATCTGGGAGGCAGTACTGCTGGCTTTCTCCGCGACCTGACGAACACTTACTGCCATTTCATATACTTCCGACATGAGGCCGGTAGCTGCTGCCAGTGATGCCAAGTTATAGTTCACGGTGGGCGTGTCACATGTGATGATCGGTGGACCAGCGCTTGAGATGGCAGGGAAGAGAGAAGATGAGGAATATGCCTTGGGCGCATTGCTAAAAAGTGCAACAAGGGTTGCTACTGCAGCACCGCATGAATCCGAGTCCTCAAGCAGTGACCGGGTTCCCCCTGGCCGGGTTCCGTCCATACCAGTACTGTCACTGTAGTTACCTGCCAATTGTCGAACCCGCTCTAACTGCTGACGTACTACAAACTCCCCTCGCTCAGTAGTCGATAGCTCGCCCCTTGAAGAAGCCTTCACCGGCAGCTTAGGTGCTGCTACAAGAGGAAGGCGGCGGCCGGATTTCTGCTGATCGTCTGCTGTAGCCAGTGGAACCAGGGATGCAGGTCCCGGAGTGCTGCCCGCTTGGCCACTTTCGGGCAGCATTGTCTGGCTCCTGACGCCAGAAGGAATTGCGCTGCTGCCTATAGACATCGGTGCACGTTGGCCCGCCAGTTCCAAGGTCGGGGGCGCATTGCCTGCTGCCGAGGAAGGAGCAGGAAGCTGTGCAGCATGAGAAACGCCAGTACATGAAAGCCGGCGGCGGCTGCCACCGTCAACAGTGAAAGATGGTAGTGAACCAGGCGTTAAGGGGATTCCTATGTTGACTGTAAGCGTAGCAGTGATATTCAGGGACATGACTGCTGCTGATACAGACGACGAGTTGATGTTGGCCATGACGACCTGTCCGGTATGCATGCGGCATGAACCCAAGTAAGGAAACAGGTGCAACCAACCGGATAAGAGTCGCACGAGGACACGACAAACGGCTGTGAAGAATGGCATTACACCAATGGCAACAACGGTGAATGCATGATATTCCTAGCGTTCAGTTCTTACTACACATACCTCCCAGGCTTAGCTTATAAGATACAGCGCGCAAATAGGAACACCAGAAGGTAGACCCTGGAAAGACCACTATGCGCCCGAACAAAACCATGTACGTCATTCCTTACCGTAGCGTGCGTTACAATAGCATATCGTACAAGGGACATGTTAAACTGAAACGTTGACAGGAAAGCGCTTGCCAGTTGCAACTGCAGGTCAGGCTCACGCAGCAAGCGATCTGCGAATGCAACAGAGGTCATGTTGACTGTGTTCCCGAGGGCTGCTGCTGGCGCATCCTTGGTGCTACTGCCGCTGTTGCTACTGTTGCCGCTGTATGTTATATTCACAGGTAGGGGCGGAGGGGGAGGTGGCGCAGACGATAGGGGGAATGAAGCCCGAATGCTGAGGGTAAAGACACCGGTTATCCTCTCCTCCACCGTCACCACCCGCAAGAGTGAGGCCGTGTTAGAGTCAGAGTCTGTGACGGCATACCTGGTGAGGCAGGGTAGCCGCAAGAAGGACAAAAGCCACACACAGCGGCAAGTCACCACTGTGAGTAGTGGAGAAAGCTACGCATACGTGACTGGGATGGTAGTGAAGGGCTAAGCGGGTATTTTGAGCTGCAGAAGCCACACATTCATCAAACTTACGGCTATCGTGCGTGGTCTTTGGTTTTGGGAAGCCATATCAGCAACCTAAGCATGCTACCCGAACGTCACAATAGACGTACGGCACACGTCACAAGGCCAATATAAGCTATGGCTGATTGAGCGAAGTAAGGCGCACATACCTGATAGCGTAGACTCCTGGGGCGCAAGTACCAGCGGTTAACGCCTCAGCACTGCACTTAGCGCAAGAATCAGCGGCAGTAGCTGAGGAGCTGTCAACACTTGTGTCAGCAGGACTAGCCGCTGAGGCCACAGCGGGGCACATGGAAGAAACCTGTGGATTACATGGGTACATGCAGGAATTTGTGACGGGGTAACATACAGAGGACTCAGGCCATATCCTCGACAGGGATAGTCTATACCGAGTTTACAATGCCCCAACTTCCTACCCAACCAACCAGTGCCCGAGTACAGAATCTACAAATTGTTCCGAGCCTCCCTTCTATGCTAACATGCAACTTACGGTGATGGTCGCCGAAATATCGCCATCAATCGCATCAACAGCCAGTGCGCCGCAGCCGGTAAGGTTGTGCAGGTCGCTGCATGGCAGTAATGAATACGGTGCCGGTCTGCCGTACGGCAACGTGAGCTGCTGTTGTTTGTCGTACAAAAGTCCAGAGCCGTTAAGTAAAGACGAAGCTATGATGGAGGCCGTCAGAGTAGCCACGGTTAGTGACGCTGCCGGCGCTTTCACTGATGAATTACCACCATCGACAAGTAGCAGGAGCGGTGATTGCCGTACACCAGAAGTAGTGCTGTTTGTGAAGGTGCGCAATAGTGCGCGTGCATCACATGGATCCGAGCCACATGAGTTGTCAGCGGAGCAGTAGATATCTACATGATTGCTGCAGGGGCTTGTGATTGCGATATAGCGGGTTGCGGTGGCACGAGGCTGCTCTGCGAACTTGTCGTATACTACGAAGTTGATCTTGATGAACGACCCGACTGTGATGGGACAAGGAACAGCGTTGGTAGCGGCGCCGAACATAGCGTTGGCGGACGGAAACACCCGCATATAACGCGGCCTTCAGGACACTCGTTTCAGGGCGTTGCACACATTATAAGACGTGCGTTGATACCACGCATTCGAGACAAAAACATTGCTCCCAGTTGTAAGTATACCGGTATTCATCATACCTGTCAAGTTCGAGTCGACGCAGCCCCTGAGGCCCTTCTTCTGTAGCTCGTGCCCGGCACAGGATGTGCCCTTTAGGAAGCACGCGTCGGGTGGACAGACGTATACTTGGTCGGTAATGTTGACGCCCAATCGGTTGGTGGCAGTGACACCTGGGTCACACGGTGCCGCCGCAGTTGCCACTTCGTTGGATGCGCACAGGTGGTATTCACGACCACGCGGTAAGCTAACGGTGCCTTGCACCACATTATTGACCAGAAGTGTTAGTGTTGGACTTTTGGCGGAAGTTACGGACACAGGCGCATCCGATGGCAGGTCGGCCGTTTGAAGTCGGGTACCCACGCACTGGCCGTCTGCATGCGCGAGTAGAGGATGTAAACATACAGTAAGCGGCACGACACAGTAACATGCACGCAGTGTCAGCTACGTGCGGGCAGGGACATTACCCATATGGTTTTCTGTTGGCATACTACACATGCAACGGGCTACAAGCACGCATGCTGCTGATCGAATAAAGGACTGGCAATATTTATTAGCAATAGGGACTGCAATATTTATGAGCAATAGGACTGCATTATGTTTTAGCAATAGGACTGCAATATTTATTAGCAGCACTTCACATTATCCATATCGCAATGCGCCCGTTTCACTGATCGACAGTCCGGGCAGGCAAACCCACCCACCTTGCGAGCAGGAGTTGTCGGAGCAGACGTATTCACTCTGCGGGCAGACCCTCAGGGTGCGCACTGCCCACACCGCTGCTCCACCCGAATCCGAGACCGTGTAGTTCACTACGTAATCCCCAGGCACCGCTGTGTTGATACTGCATGCCGCCAGGCTGCTGCGAGTGCGGCTGACTCCACCAATACTGGCAGTAACTGTGTAAACTTCCCCGCACGCGCGCACCAATGGGCCCAGGTTGCCATCTTCAGCATCCACGGCAGTGACCCCTGGGTCACAGAGGTCCGTTATGCCTGCCGGCTGCATGCAGGGCCCGTACCCACCGCCGCCATCGGCCACCATTGCGGCAAGGGTCTTACCGAGCAGCGTTAATACCGGTGGCGTGTTAACAGCGGCGGCTGCTGGGCTAATGCTGGTGTTGCTACTGGTTTGGGTTATCGTTGTTCCACAAATGCCCCCGCCAACGCTGCATGTGGGAACACCGTCGCTGGTGTCCGCTGCACTGCACACCCGCTCTCCTTCAGGACAAACCACATAGACTCGGCGGAAAGCGACAGCAACATTGCCTGCGGAGTCCCACGCTGTGTAGGCAATGACAAAGGGATTGGATTCATCACGAGGCACATGCGTGTCCAGAGGGTATCCGGATGGGTAGGACCGTGCAAGGGAGGCGGTTATGTCACCATCCACGTCGTCCACAACCCTGCACCAAAACCGTTGCAGAGGCACCAGAAGGGGGATAGAGCGCGTGTCAGATACTGTCTTTCGTCTTACGAAGGGGTTGGCAAGGTTCGTTTCGTGAGGCTTCGCATGCGTGACTCGTACGGGGTCTCACCTGGCTCCAGGGTCGACAAAATTGGAGCCTGCAAGGACGTATGTGATCCGGCCCGTCCCAGCCACAGTCGAATAGTCCTGTCCAGCTTTATAGGCTGGACTGGTATCCAGAAGAGTGATGGTGGGAGGGGTCCGATCCACAACAGCAGCCGAACGGACAACCTGCGGCCATGGTGAGGTGAAGACGTAAGGAAAGCCCTTCACTCAAGGCAAAGGCATCCGTGGCCATCCAACGTTGATCCATGTGTGTATCATCCAAGCCGCGTCAGCCTGCTAGATGCGCCTACCCACCTTTGCAGACATGACGGCAACGATGGATGACACAGATGTCGCTGAAAAAGCGGATGCCGGGCTTTCAGCTATAGTGCTGTTTGACACGGAGCTGTAGCTCAGCATGCTGCTGATGGAAACCTGGCAGCTGCCTGCACCGCAGCCAGGAGGTCGAATCAGTAATGGCGGGGCAAACGATAAGGGCGGTCCTAAGCTGTTACAGGCGAGAAGAAGCGAAAGAGGAAACGTCGACGAGCACGACTTTCAATCCTACTGTACGCCTCGGCACTCATGGTTCCTAACCCCCCCTATCCCATCCTGCCCCAAGCTACATACCCTGCCCTACCCCACCTCCTACACTGCATGAGCCAGTGTTAACGCACGTAGCCTCCAATGATTCCTGACAGGGGTCGTACACTGTCACTCGCCGCACGACAGGAGCCGCCGTGTTGCCCGCAGCATCAGCGCAGCCGTACAGTACGACAGCTGGCGATCCGGGTGGAGTCGCCTGCGAGGAGTTGACTGGCAGGCCCACCGTCACCACCGCAGAGTCTGTTAGGGAGCCTTCCGCTGCATCCACGCATATGACTCCGTCATCCTGCGAGCGGCTTGCAAAGGGTGTGTCGGTAGGGTGTGCGTGACGTTGGGAATTGGATGTACCAGTAACAAGGAAGCTATGTCAGGAGATATCATAGGACATGCCGGGAAGGCCGAAAAAGCGGACAAGTGGCAGGTATCGTTTTTACTTGTTGTCACGTTTACTTACTACGTTGGAGGTTGAATTGGGTTTAGTATTGCGTGCAGCTTTGTTACCGTGCATGACGCCCCCAGCATATAGCCGGTACATCGCACCTGGTACTCTCCCAGAATGCCCACCACAACGTCCTGCTCGCCAAGCAGTCGGAGCTGCGGTACGGCTGAGTCACAATCGTCACCCGAGGGCTGGTAGCCGGGGGGCAAGTCACGATCTGATGGGGTAGCGGAAGCCAAGACAGCACCCGCACCCGCCGGCAGGGTGTCCGTCACAGCGGCTGAGCTAAGAGCAGTGCTGAGGGTGTCGGGGGAGATCCAAGGTGCGGCTCCTATGGCAGACACCTGTGCATGCATTCGGTGTTTGGGGTGCAGCAGAATAGGTAGATTTGTTTGTATATACCCTGCTGTAAGCCCATGTACGTGGATAGATGGCACTCGTCATTGTATGAGCAGTAGCACCCTGTATCGCGCGCGCCCAGCATTGCTAAGCAAGAAGCGCGTGCATGAATCAGCACATGCGCCAATCATCGTACCCTCTTCCTACTCCAAGCCATCCGATTCCCAGCAATGCGACCCACCTGCATGTACAGCACCACGGCCGCTGTGTTGCTGGTGATGCATGTGGCAGAGGTTGTGTTCCCAGCAGCATCAGCCACTGCCACTACTAGGGGTGCTGATGTGGCGCCGCAGGAAGTGGAGGTGTCCCGTGTCGCCAGCAGTGCCGCCACCTGGGTTGTTCCGGCATTGGGAGCCGCCCCAGCGGCCGTACGGAGCTCGCCGGTCAGCGCGGCGGCCACAGCGGCCTGGAGGTGCGGCAGACAAGTGGTGGAAGAATTGCGAGCTGCGTTTGTAGCTGGCTGGTGTTGTTGCCCAGAAGCATAATGCGGCAGTGCAGGCATACATAGCTGAATTGCGCAGGCGGCGACGGGGCATCAGGGTCATGCAACCGATTGAGGTGAACGCACCGGGACATGCATGCACCGAGGCTGCGGCAAAAGACGGGGAATGGTGTTAGGACGACGTTGAGCTTCATCTAGTCACCTACCTGGGCACTGTCAGAGAAGGCCCGGCCCGGCTCTGAACCCAGTGCGGAAAGGGGCACGCTGGAGATGCGTACTGCAACGAAAAGAACTGTAGCTTTTAGGCTCGACCTCAAAATGAGTTCCTCTTTCACGGCTTGCAGCACTGCTACTGGTGGCGGTGAGGGGGCAAGCGGTGGCGGTGAAATCATGGAGGGCGGTGGGCTTGGGGGAGATGGAGAGGGCCTGGGCGGAGGAGGACGGGGTAAGGGTGGCCGAGGCGATGGGGGGGAAGGTGGCAGAGGACTGGGGGATGGTGGGTTGGGGGGTTCCGGGCTTGGCGGTGGTGGGCTGGGTGGTGCTGGGCTAGGTGGTGGGGCCATTGGGGGCACCGGGCTAGGCGGTGGTGGGCTTGGGTGAGGAGGCGGAGGACTGGGAGGAAGAGGGCTAGGCGGTTGTGGGCTTCGGGGTGAAGGGCTTGGGGGCTTGGGGCTAGGCGGTGGTGGGCTGGGAGGTAAAGGACTTGGTGGGGAAGGGCTGGGAGGCTGTGGGCTTGGGGGACGGGGGCTTGGAGGATCAGGGCTAGGAGATGGTGGGCTGGGAGGTAGTGGGCTGGGGGGATCAGGACTAGGCGGTGGTGGGCTGGGCGGTGGCGGGCTTGGGGGCTTGGGGCTAGGCGGTGGCGGGCTTGGAGGTAACGGGCTTGGAGGAGAAGGGCCAGGCGATGGTGGGCTTGGGGGGTCAGGGCTAGGAGGATCAGGACTAGGCGGTGGTGGGCTTGGGGGATCAGGACTGGGGGGATCAGGACTTGGCGGCGGTGGGCTGGGCGGCAATGGGCTTGGAGGGGAAGGGCTTGGGGGCAACGGGCTTGGGGGTAAGGGGCTTGGAGGATCTGGACTGGGAGGATCTGGGCTGGGGGGTGGTGGGCTTGGAGGATGAGGACTAGGCGGCAGCGGGCTTGGGGGATCAGGGCTAGGCGGTGGTGGGCTAGGGGGCAAAGGGCTTGGAGGGGAAGGGCTTGGGGGCAACGGGCTTGGGGGTAGGGGGCTTGGAGGATCTGGACTGGGAGGATCTGGGCTGGGGGGTGGTGGGCTTGGAGGATGAGGACTAGGCGGCAGCGGGCTTGGGGGCAAAGGGCTTGGGGGATCAGGGCTAGGCGGTGGTGGGCTGGGGGGTAAAGGGCTTGGAGGAGAAGGGCTAGGCGGTGGTGGGCTAGGGGGCAAAGGGCTTGGAGGGGAAGGGCTGGGAGGCAACGGGCTTGGGGGTAGGGGGCTTGGAGGATCAGGACTAGGAGGATCTGGGCTGGGGGGTGGTGGGCTTGGGGGATCAGGGCTAGGCGGTGGTGGGCTGGGGGGCAAAGGGCTTGGAGGGGAGGGGCTGGGAGGCAACGGGCTTGGGGGTAGGGGGCTGGGAGGATTTGGACTGGGAGGTGGTGGGCTGGGAGGAAAAGGACTCGGGGGAAGCGGGCTTGGAGGCTCAGGGCTTGGAGGCTCGGGGCTTGGAGGCGGGCTGGGTGGAGGAGGGCTTGGAGGCTCAGGGCTTGGGAGATCAGGGCTAGGCGGTGGGTCAGGAGGTGATGGGCTGGGAGGAGTGGGGCTGGGAGGTTGGGGGCTGGGTGGTGGGGAAGGAGGGCTCGGGGGTAATGGGCTAGGAGGGCTTGGGCTGGGAGGAGTTGGTGGTGGCCTTGGAGGCAGGGGATAAGGAGATGGCGGGCTGGGAGGAGGGGGGCTCGGAGGCCTTGGGCTTGGAGGTGGCGGTGGTGGAGGTGATGGTGGTGGGCTACACGTGGTCTTGCTGTATAAACCTTGGGTGGGTAAAGAAGTTTTAGGCAAGGGACAGCAGCAGTCGTCAGGCAGCCATACATCCGTAGCAGTCCCAATGACAACGAAAAAGGCTTGAATGGGGAAGAAGCAGTGGGAGAAGGCGCAAGATCGTTCCCGTCAGGCCAGCTCACCTTGACCGACCGTTGAGAATGCACTGTTGGCCGTCATGTATGATGCGCCTAACCACTTCAGCACCCCGTTTGTGTTGAAGGCTTGACACGAGGAACCGTAGTTGTTGCATGTCTGAGCAAGGCGAGTGTAAAATGCACTCAGGGCCTCGCCGCTACTGATTGGATAGGTTGCAAGATTCACACCATTGATCCTGAACAGCACAAAAAGCAGCATAGCTTGAGCTTCCATGCACGCTTGCCAACTAGGCTTATCAAAAGGTGTGGACTTACACATTGGGATCCACGTCCATGCCTTGGTAAAATGAGAAGCAGTAGTAGGAGAGATCATAACCTGCGGCCAGGGCGGGGCTAGCAGGGATCTAGGTTAAAGACTCAATGCCGTACTCCGTGTGTCTGGGACAGCCATGCAGCACTCAATGGGGATGCTGGTGCGTGGGTAGTATGAGAAGCACAAGTAGGAGAGGTCACTTGCAGTCACGGGGAGGGCAAATACCATATCTGGGTTAGAAGGCTGATGTCGAAAGCGACTGGGGCAGCATTGCACAAGACGTACGTCACTGTTTGACCATGGCCCTTCAACATGCAAAATGCCCGCTGTAATTAAGTTCCCATCCGGATGTTGAAGCAACTGTGTTAAATAACGGTACGCAGGTCAAACAGTTCAAGTAAAACAATCAACACTTTTGTAGGCTACGTTGGATGGTTGGGATGAAGCCACCTACGTAGGGTTAATTACGGCTGCCTATATAACCCCAAGGCCAAGACTAACGAATCGCAGACCCACATTCGGCCTGCAATCGTTTGTTCCCAGTACGGGCGAAAACATGTGACTACACCCTTACCTTGTGCATGGAATGCTTGAAAGCGAAGAAGTAACCTAAGAGCAAGGCGAAAGGGAAAACCCTTACTCGTTTGTAGAGCTTTTGTTCTCAAGTGCAATCTTACAGCAAAAGAAGAAGCACCAATGATGAGGTTGCACTCCTTATACCATCCATTGGCGTTAACTGTTACAGCTGGCCGTGGCGACAGCTTCGCCAGTATGAAATTTTTTGATACAGTCGAGAGGAGTTGTGTACTCGGTATTGCTCCGTCTGCATCCCATGGACTGCGTCCCTGCCTGAGAATGCGAAGTTAACAGTTTACCAATAGCTGAAGACACGAATACTGCAAGCCTTAAGGCAGGGCTGAACAAAGATTAACCCAGCCGAAGTGCTTGCGGCCCTGAAGTACGACCATCACACATACTGCACCCTGTCGAGGCAGTTCCTGATTATAGTAATTTCTTATATAAAAACGTATCAGCGTCACATGCTACCGCTGCTTCTGTTTAATGGGTGTGATGGGGTCGCTTCCCGGTGTTGACACTGTCACTTTTATACGGCCTACACAATGCACATTGTGTGAAAGATTTGGCTTAAGCTCCGCAGTTTAAGGCACAGGAGGTCGCGCTACTGCCAGTATCTTCCTTAAACCTAGCTATACAATGTCAATGCCACGTACATTTTGGTGAGGTGTAAGCGTTACTCAATGTCTTACAAATACCTCTCACCTGCCCGTCATGTAGGGCGCCGGTGGCAAGAAAGAAAGGCCTTACGAAACAAAAGAGTGGATTCGACTTCTAGCCCACCTTAGAGCACAGGCGTGCCTGACTGGGCGCCTTCATTAGTGCTCCCTCTCGAGCTAAGCAGCGTTCCTGTCAATGTATTGCTAACTTCTCCGTAAAATGTTGCACAGACTGTAATGTCCATACCGATTTATAAAGAAATGTCATCGTGCCACCAGGTTATGCAATATCAATTGCCCACATTCACCTGCGAGATAGGTAAACGATCATCAACGCCTGATATAGATGCCCCTTACCTGTTCGCCGGTGGAAAGCGGCCTTCAGCCGTTCCCAACAATACCCCAAGCAAGTTGCCAAAGATCTGCTGACCTCAATCCCGGGGTTCTTGTGCAAGCTTAGGTGCTGATGAGGTAAGTATGCAAGCTTACAACATATTGGCAATCTCCGCTGCGGTGCATGGCTTTATACCGCAACGGGGAATTGCCAACCACCTCCACCGACCAGTTAACCAGGATAACGAGCCTTGGTTTGGCGGGACAAAAGTCAGGTCCACCCAGGTAACCCGGCCGATGAGTAATGAGTATGCCATGTCGATCGTTCCACTGACCAGACAAAGAGTCTTCCCATCCTGCATGCATGCAGCCGGTCCCACCTCCCACGGCACGTGCGTTGTACCCACCACAGCCTCTCGCACTGCAGAGCTGCGGTTGCTCGCCAAGCCTACACCGTACGTACACCCCCTGCGTCGTCGTCTCCTACATACCGCCAACAGACGGAGAGCCTCATTTCTATCCGCAATTCAAAAATACGCGCAATTCTCAGCGCGCCTTCTGCCCCTCAGCAACAGAACATCATCGTCGGCTGACCGCTGCAAACGTGTTCACAGGGCAACACGTCCTATCCTGGGAGAAAGCCGCGTAATAGCAGCTCCCCGCTCCTCCACGCGCGCAAAAACTACCAAGCGTGGGACACGTAGACGTGGCAAGCAACTCCAGGCAAACCTTGCGTCCCGCAGCTGGGACTGACCCACGGGTCACATTGAGCGAGGGAATCTTGAACGTCCCCTGCGGCGCCCATTGTTGGTCCACCTTGACCCCGTCCAGGTATACTGCCTTGACGCTGCCGCGGCATGCGTCCTTGGACCACCACTCCACTTTGGCGAGAGGTTGGGAGCAGCAGCTGCTCGCGGGGTTGGCGCAGGTGCGGGTTCGTAGCGTGAGGCAGTACAATCGGTTGGCGCCCTTGATGGAGACGGACGGAGTGGGGTCAAAGGCAAAGGGGACGAGGTTGTTGGTTCGATTGCATTCGCAGAAGGGGAAGGGCACGCTGGGTGGGGGTGAGGCGCGGATCATAGGTTCGTAGGGAAAGCCAGGGGGAGGGGGAGGAGGAGGGCTGGGCGGAGGCGGGGAGGGCGGAGGAGGGCTGGGCGGAGGAGGGGGCGAAGGCGGAGGCGGGCTGGGCGGAGGCGGAGAGGGTGGAGGAGGGCTGGGAGGAGGAGGCGAGGGTGGGGGAGGGCTGGGCGGAGGTGGAGAGGGTGGAGGAGGGTTGGGAGGAGAAGGCGACGGTGGGGAAGGGCTAGGAGGAGGGGGTGAGGGCGGGGGAGGGCGGGGAGGAGGCGGCGAGGGTGGAGGAGGGCTGGGTGGAGGAGGGCTGGGAGGAGGAGGCGAGGGTGGGGGAGGGCTGGGCGGGGGTGGGGGAGGGCTGGGCGGAGGAGGCGAGGGCGGAGGAGGGCTGGGAGGAGGAGGCGAGGGCGGGGGAGGGCTGGGCGGAGGCGGTGAGGGCGGAGGAGGGCTGGGAGGAGGAGGCGAGGGCGGAGGAGGGCTGGGCGGAGGAGGCGAGGGCGGAGGGGGCGAGGGCGGAGGAGGGCTGGGAGGAGGGGGCGAGGGCGGAGGGGGCGAGGGCGGAGGAGGCGAGGGCGGAGGAGGTGACGGCGGTGGTGGGCTGGGTGGCTGCGGTGATGGCGGCGGCGGGTAGAAACCCAGTGTCCCCACGGGGCAGCAACTGCACTGGCCGCTCTGCACGATGGCATAGCTGCAGAAGCCGCCTCCCTCGGCGCAAAGGGCCTCCAGGGAGGGGCAACTGCCGCCCAGCGTCATGCACACACGGGCGCCGTCAGCAGTGGCTAGGGTCAGGTTGAGACCCTGGGCATTACGTGGGGACCAGGTAGGAGGAAGAGGTGTGAATGATAATGTTCACCAAGGGGGGATGGACAGATCCGAACGTTACTTTGGTCTAGCAACCCAACAGCCCACTACCGACCAACCTCTCACCCTATGGCTGACCTCTCCGGGTAGGAGGTCGCATATGTTTTGCCCACGCACGGTTGTTACACTAACGGGTACCCAACCCTTCCCTGCCTCACCGTGAGTTTCATGACGGCCTTCGAGTCGTCAGTTCCGTACGTATCAAAGGTTGGCGCAAGCGCCGGCCGGCCGTTGACCGTTACCCCTGACACCGCGAATTTGCACTGTTTGTTGACGTCGAGCTCAATCTTGTACATGTCAATCTTGCGGTCGCAGCAGGGGGAGCCGGGTTTGACGCATGGGACCACCCGAGCAGTCATACACACACGGCTGCCAGACACGACGTAAGCCGGGTCAAGACGGAATCGGGACTGTTGAGCGTCGCGCGTGCAGCCTGAGAGGAGAGAGAGCGCGAGGAGGAGGGGAGGAAGGGCAACAAGAAAGGGGGTAATTGGGTTGTATGTGGGCTGTGCTGTGCTGTGCATGTAAGGCTTGTGAGGTTATGCTAGACTGCTAGTTTGGAGCATCCTGGCAACAGCGTTGTAAAAGATGGGTGTTGGGGGAGCGGGAAGCGAAGCAGTACGGTACTTACCGTAGGGCGGAAAAGTCTGAAGCCAGGTCTGCTTCAGCTCGCGTTTGGCCTGGGCGTTGCAGACTATGGTTGCGAAGAGGAGGAGGAGGAGCGGCAGCAGCCGCGCTGATGATGATGTCCTCATCGTGCACGTCAGCTGCAGGTAGGGAGTTGGATTATAAGAGGGAAGCCTGAAGAGAGGGATTGTGTTGTTACAAGATAAAGGGGTATCATCTAGTTAGGACATGTTGTTTCCCTTGTGGGTGAGGCTCTGATGCACGACACCGGGCTAGGAATGTCGCAGCATTGGCAATAACCTTTGCACGTGAGGCCAGAAACTTACTCACCTACTATTAAGGCTCCACACCGCCGTTGCCAATAGCTAGGCGGGGGTAGCCAACAGTCGCCCTTGTAAGCCGTTCCAGTTGTAGAGTGAAACCGGCAAAGGTGATGATTGCCAGGCCGATGGTCGAACTGAGATAGCTATTGCATGCGAGCTGACTAGCGCTTCCTGATGATGAGCGCCAGGCTCCACGTTGCTGTGAGCTTGAGCAAACTGGTGTTGCTTTATATTTACGTGGAAGGTTTCCCGTAGCACAGTACGGTACCACTCGTAAGGCCCCCCCTGCCTAAACCACCACTCCTATGCTTTGCCATAAACGTGAAGATAGTATTATATAAAGATAATAAATTACCGAATAATAAATATAAAGTACCGAAAATGCCGCAATCCTGGCCGGAGATTTGGGAAGGGTACACAATGTATCACTTATTATTTAAGACGAGCTTGCTGCGCCTAAACTCCTCGCATCCCTGTCATATAGGTTTCAACGGTTAGTGTCTTAGCATCTACGGATCATGTTTTCGCGCTTACTTCACCTTCGGCGTGAAAGAGTAACCAATAGCCCTCAAAACCAAGTAGTCGAAATCCCACAGCATCTGCTTATAACCTGTGCGGCAATAGTAGGAGAAGAATTCCCTTCTCTTAAGGGTATTCCTATGCGGTCGGTCGCTTGATTGAACGCTGTTGCCTCCCGCATCAGCAGCAACAACAGCAGCCGCAGTTGCCCTATCTACAAAATAATATTAATAAATAAGCCAACCACCAACAAGGTGTTTTCAATTGCTTCCGCGATGGTGCAGCTTGACAGATACAGCTGTCATGATAGATACAAAACATGAGCCAGCAGCAGCAGGCGGGGATCCAGTACCGGTATCAAATGCCGTTTGTGTCGGCATCGGTGGCAACTCGCTACCGACGACGGCTGAGAGCGCCGATGTCACTCTTGCTGCCGGCATTTCGGGGAAAGCCAGCGAGGAGAACCCCATCGTAAGATCAGGAACACATTGAAGTCTTCCGTGTGTCCTGCCTCCTGTCGTGGTCTCGCCTTGCATTTCCGTGCCTATGCAGACGAACCGTCCCAAATTTCCCGTACAGCCTTCCAACGGCTAGAGCGAGACAGCCTTTCAACACGATGCAGGTCACAAAGATGACTGGTGTCCCCTTTGTCGTCCTTACAGCAAAGAACATGGCCCTAACGCGTTTAATGCTTTGCGTCGTGGTTGCAATCCTGGTTCTTGCACCTCGGCTTGACTTAGCCGCTCGCGTTGGGCCTTTAGACGACGGAACACACATTGCAAAGCCTAACAATGGTGGTCGCCAAGGAAAGGCCAACCTAGCTAGCGACCCTTCAGAGGATGAACGGTCGAGTCTTTCATTCCTCTACAAATACATGCCTGCCTCTGACAGAAAGATGCTATCCTACAGCTTCCTACTAAACCAAACACGCCTTGCGCTCAAGGCCCGTGCGGACAACGACTGGGCTCGGGAAGTGCCCTGGGATGTCTTCCAGAACTATGTCCTTGTAAGTCAAGCGCCACGTTACGAATTTATCATAGTATACAGGGTACAATCCATTTGCTTTCCTCGCTTCTTCCAGTTTGCGTCGTGCAAGTGCCGCACGCACATACTCAGTTACCCGTACTATGCGGGTTCCCTGCCATCCCACTGCCTTGCCCGGTGCCCTGCTATCAAACCAAACCACAACCTCGTCCTCTCCTTCAACCGGCGAAGTCCGCGCTTCCTCTCTATCCTTTCTAAATGGCGAGCACACGTCACTGTTTGGGCCTCGCACACTCCCATGTATGCACCCCGCTCACCCCATCCCCCTCTCCCCTCAACCACCCACACCACTCCCTCCCAAGCCCTACGCCAATCTAGACGAGCCACGCGAGGACTGGCGATCTGAATTCTACGCGCGTTTCGCACCCATGGTTTCCGGCACCACCAGCATCCTGGATGCGGCGGTTGCCCTTAACTACCAGATCTGGACGAGCGGCGGTTGGAACATCACCTTCAAGGCCCAGCAAACCCCCGACATCATGTCCCCCAGCCAGGTCATCGAAGCGGGCTACGCCTCCTGCACAGGTCTAGCCATTTTCTTAGTGAACGCATGTCGGTCTGTGGGCATACCCTCGCGGGTGGCAGGTGAGGGGCGGGGCGGGGCGGGGGTGTGGCGAGGATGGTGGCGGTGCGGATGCTTGAGGCTAGGGTGATGTGCGGTGAGTCGCTACAAGCGGTACAAGGCATGCCCTTCCACCACGACAACCACCGACACCTCCACCACCGCCACCACTACGCTGCAGGTATCGCGGAGTGGGTTGGCAACGGTGGCAACCACAACTGGGTGGAGGTGTGGCAAGGGGGCGTCTGGTCCTTCACCGACCCCCTCGGCTTCCCGCACCGCCCTTGGAACACCACTTGGTTCTTCCCGGACCCCGTACGACAGGCGCTACCAGGCAGCTACCCGCATGGGGTGTACGGCGCCTCGTTCAAACGCACCGGCAGGGAGTTTCCGCTTGCATGGCGTGATGAGTACGAGAGCGTTGTGCCGGGGTACGATGTTACGACGTATTATATCGAGGCGGCAGCCGCGGTGGCGCCAAGGGACGGGGCGGGGGCAGCACTGTTCGCGGGGGAGGAGGATGTGGCGGTGGAGGAGGACACGGGAGCAGAACAGCAGGGGCGGCAGGCAGTAGCGACGGAGGTGAAGGTTGCAGCGGCGCCAAGTAGGCGTGCGACAAGGGAGGCGGGGGCAGCGGCAGGAATACTACAGGGGCGGTTGGGGCGAGAGTGAGCTTTGCAGCAGCTGGGCTGGTGGGCGGTTGCAGCTGGCATTGCACGGCTGGGGCGCACTGGGGTTACAAGCCTACAACGTCATTTGCTACTGCTACTGCTGCTGTTACTGCTGCTGGTGCTGCTGCTGGTGCGGAGTTGCATACAGGTACTACTTTACCTTAGCGCTGTAAACACCAGTTGCGCGGGTGCTATGGGGGCGGGAGCGTGCGTGCTATGGGGGCGGGAGAGCCGCTGCTGTGCCGTACACTTGCAGCCGCACGTGAACGGGAGGAGGAGCGGACCGAGGTGGACGCGACAGCAGTACAGCACTCTTCCCCGTGGAGTTGCAGTGGTACGATACGAATGCGAGTCAGCCCTTGTAAATGACTTATTCAACCTCAATGAGCGCATCCTCCTCCCCGCACTTGCCACACTGCCGGCTCCGCTGCCCAACACACACTCACCTGACTCACCACAACTGCGCACATTCCCTCTTGATCCAGAGAAATCAGCTGCTGTGCGCCCAATGCTGCTCCGATGTCAAAACCGACCCTTGTGACAATGTCCAATCGCATGCCTCTTGGGCATGTTGCGACCAGAGGACCGCATCACGCCCGCATGCGCCACCCAACAGCGACTCCCTTCCTCAGAAGACGCCACGACTGCCCAGCAACTACCCAGACGTACCCGACCGCCAAGCGCCCTCTGCAAGCGCATGATTGCTGCTGCTGCGGCGGCGGTGGCCGTGGCAGTAACCCCTAAAGGCGCTGAAGATTGTACCGCCGCGCACCAACAATCTGATATACGCATGCATTCTTGTACTCGGTACGTTACAATGTTTAACCTTATGACGGCGCCAGCGACGATACACCGGCAATCTCCTCTCAACCGCTAACCTCATCACCACTACTAGCTCGCCGCCCCGCTAATCGGCTTGGCGTAAACAACATTCCCAAACCCTGGCCGCCCCGCTACTCGGCTTGGCCCTACAAAACCTGCACCCTGCCCCAGAGAAACGGCAACGTAACCGTGTCAGTCAGGTTTTTTAATTTGCACCAATGGCCGGTTGCAACACTCAAGGCCACGAACTACCGGAAGTCCGTGCAACAAAAAGAAGACATTAGACGGAAAAACCGTGGCGGCCCGGCGGAGAACCGGCGGGGCCGCGGACGGGGAAGGCGGGCGGGTACTTAATAAACAACAAGATAGTACCTATGAGTATCACAACACGGCGGAATAGCCGTGACACAATACTGAGAATGCATATAGCCAAAGAATTGTCGTACCTCGTCCAAGAAACCGCCTTTTCGTACCGAAAAACCTACGCAAATATGCAACCGTTATGTACAGCCTTTTGCAGCTATGAAAAGTGTCGTATGCGGTGTTTGCCATTCTCAGATCACCGTAATCCGATTGATTATATACGAACATGTATACCTATAATTATCTATGTATACCTGGCGCCCCTGACAAGCATGTGTTCCTGGAACCCCCTTGGGAGCAACCTCCATATGCTTCTCGCCATAAAAAAGGAATCGTGCACACGTACACAACCGTCTGAAGACTTCTTGTTATCTCTTCCGTACATTTCCCCATGTACGGCAATTTGACAGCTTTGCAACGTGCCTCACACCTCACCACCTGCCCGCCCGCACCACACGTGTGGCCGCAGAGGGGCTGTCAGCGGCCCCACCCGCTGCTGCTGCGGTCCCGCCCGCTGCTGCGGCTGCTGGTGGGGGAGCTGATGCCTTGTAGGGGGGTGGCGGGGAGGGCGACAAGGAGGGGCAGGCCGCCGTCGGGACGTCAGCAGTGGGCGCAGCGGGGGGGCTGCCGCCGCTGCCGGCACGGAGGGTGGGAGCACTCCTGCAAGGGCCAGGAGGGCGTGGCGGTGGGGAAGGGTGTGGACCGAAGTAGAGGCGAGGCGTTCTTACGGGCAGGTGTGGGACAATTGCAGTGGGAAGTGTGAAGAGCTCCAGCGCCTGCACAGCAAGCAGCTGAGATGCGGCACATGAGACCAAGGTGGAGCCCACAGGCCCGTCATGCATGCAAGGCAGAGGGAAGGGGCTGCATGTGCGTGCGAACAGTGTTCGGTGTTCGGAGAGAGGGAGGTGGTCTCTCCCACCCCATCCGGGCTCACCTCAAACGAAGGGACACGTGCGGCCGTCCCGGCCCCGCCCCCGCCGCCTTGCCCTGCCGCCACGCCCCACCCCCGCCGCCCTCCACCTCCACCACCTCCTCCCCCGCGTCACACGCCTGGTGGTGGTAGTGGTGGTGAAACAGCAGCTGCTGGGGACAACACTCCTGCTGTTGCTGCTGCAGCTGGGGACAGCACTCCTGTCGCTGCTGCCGGTGCGGGCTGGGGCGGCGGCAGTGCTCTTGGCGGTGGTGGTCGGGGTGGTGCACGTGCTGCTGCTGCTGGGGGTGCTGATAGCGGTGCGTCAGGTCTTCCCGGTCCCGGTGGGGGTGCTGCAGGTTCTGCCCCTCATCCAGGTCCTCGTAATGCGGCTGCTGTTGCTGCGACGGCGGCGGCGGCCGCTGCCCCTTCTCCCTCCGCCGCGACTGCCCCCGCGGTGGCCCACACTCCTCCTGCACCTCTTCCTCTGCCCCACGGTGCACTCGAAACACCACCGCTTGTGCTACCCCTGCTGCTGCCATCTCTGCCCTTGCTGGGTCTCTTGCTGCCGGGCGGGCAGAAGAAGAATGATGCCCGGCAGCATCTCGAGGTTCGAGACCCATGGGTCGCTCGTGTCTGAGCTGCCCCTGTAACGCCCGCACTCGCGCCGCTATGACCGTCTCGCTATGCTCCCTCTGCTTGCGGAGCTCTTTAACCGCCTGAAGCTTCAACTTCGCCACCTCATGCAGAAAGCTCTGCTGCAGGGCTTCCAGTTGCCGTTGGAAACGGTTGGTGGTTTCAGAGACGTGGGTCGTTAGTCGTACTTCCTCGGCGGTTCGTACTCGGTGGAGCTCAGTTAGGGCACCATGCAGCGCCCGTTCGTAGGCCTCAATTTCTGGTAGAGGACAGGCACGGAGAGGAGAGGAGTGGTAAGGAAGAGTGGACACGCGGGTGAAACCAAGGGAGGAGTGGGTGAGAGGGTCATCATCTGGCGGTTGCAGCCGAGAACAAGGGGGGTACAGGTCTCTTGTTGGCAACGACGAGGGGTTACAAGGGCAGGGGTCATTCCACATGTGCGATCCAGGGGTGAGGAGGCGGGGACTCGAAGGCTGATGGCGACGGGCAAGGGACCTAAGGGTTGCAGGTGGAGGTGAGAGGTGGAGGTGTTCTGCAGTGTGGGAACCCGGGAAAGTCAACCGTCATACAGCGTCATATAGAAAGTGCACGGCTGAAAGGAGGGGAGGAGTGGTTGGACAGCGCACGGTGGGTAACGCTGGCGGATATGGTGGGTGACTGTGTGGGGGTGTGCCCATGACCATCAAGCGGCAAAGATCCCATGCGAGCTCTGGGAAAAGGGAGGGCATGGGAAAGGGAACAACGGATGAGAGATAGGCAGCGCTGTCGCCTCGGCAGTTTGCTCTTCTTGTGGGTGTTGATGGAAACACGACAGGCTGTGCTCGGGGTGTTGACGGGGTTTGCCAGATGATGACACTGGGGAAGGTACTTTTTGTGTTGTGGGGTATGGCCGTGGCATACGTGGCTTTGCGCCATGCGCTGGGACAGCAATGGCACCCGCATTGATGCTCACCATGTTGCCTCCGGTCAACAGCCCATGAAGCTTGCTGACGCAGCGCTTCTTCTAGATGCCATGTGTTGAAGGGGGACGTAACACCCGCGCCAAGCAGCTCTACTTCAAGGCCGCCCGGTCGTGCCGCGGGCATGGAGTCCTGTCACAGGGAGGTAAACTGAAATGCCGCATACAGGACACTCAAGGCGTAAGTTTGGATTTGCGGTATGGCCTACCTTACTCCCCTGGGTGCGGCGCAAAGTGGCGCCTTGAGGCCGACGAGACATCCTCATGAGCAAGGAATGGGCGTAAGAGCCAGGCTCCACGCCATCATCGCTGTCACTTAGTAACATTTATCTCCTATGAAATTCCTATACTTTACAGCAAACAAGTGGCGTAGGGCATACGAACGGTGATATGCAAGGCTTGAGACTTGTCCACATAGGAACAGCATTTTTACATCTGTAACGTAACCACATGTCATATCATCTTATGCACGAGGAATGTCGCATGTCAGCGAGCAAGTCATTTCACAAGCAGCTGTAAAGTATAACCGCCGGAGTTGACGAGGTAACAAAGTCGTAATACACACGCGCTACAACGCCAAATGCTCAACGCTGTACAAAGGTGGTCTACTGGTCTAAGCAATATTAAAGTTCAGTCACAACGCTGCGTTTGCGAAGCCAACCGGTTGCGGTCACGAGAACGGTTCTACGACATACCGGAATCCAATAAAACTGAAAGCGCGTCTTTCAGCTTGGTGCACTACTTGTCCAGAAGATTCTACGTCTCTGCATCATATGCGTAGTTGCATGCCCTCGAGCACGGCAACAGCACGAAAACCCACCGTCAACGCCTCTGCGCACCTAAAAGGCTCATTCCAGCAACCTGCGCCTCCAACTTACCATGACTTCGCTCAAAGCACGCCACACCTCCATCCTGCCGCCAAACCTGAATGCACACCTAACCACATGACTCTAAAGCCCATCACTCCTCCGAACACCCCCACAAAATCAGTCACGTCGGAAGATCCCACTTGCACATGCGGCAACTACCGACCTACCGTACCAACCCGCGCGCAGTCCCTCTAACCTACAGACAGTCAACATTCACGCCGACATTCACATAGCACTGAGCACACATGCATGCAGCCCTTCCTGGTCCGCACAAACAAGCATACTCCCCACACTTCAGCCTCACGCCCGCCCCTCATGCTGACCCGCTTTCCATGCGAACCCCTACCGCCCCTTCATGGCCCTTTCAAACCATACCGGTATTCCTCTGACCTACCCTTCATAACCCCCTCGGCACCAAAAGCACATGCTACCAGTACCCACGACAACGAATTGCAACCGCCGCGCCAGCAACAGCATCACGCCAGAGGCCCCCCTCGACTGCTGCTCAGTTGTCCCAGGTGACTGCTCATGGCCGCGCCGTTGGACCTCCGCCGAGCGCCGCCGGGCAGCCAAGGAGGGCGGCCATTCGGGTCGGGAGTGATACCGGGCAGCCCCTCCTCAGCCTCGCCCTCCGATTCGGGCTCGAAACCCAACGTCGCGCTCTTCAGCGGGAGGTGCCGCCGCGCCACCGGGGAGGATACCTTGCCGTACATCATCGGCGGAATGCTGCCGCCGCCGCCGCTGCTGCTCGCGGCGCCGCCACCGCCGCCACCAACGCTGCTGCTGGCGCCGCCAACTGACTCTGCGACGCCGCTACGCCGCCACCTTCCGGAGGCGCTCAGCGGCCGCGGCGACGACATCATCTCACCTCCGCCGCCGCCGCCGCCGCCAGCGCTTGCCGCGCTGGGTTCCGCCGACGGCGCCTTCGACGGCGTACGACTGCCATGCGACCCATGCGGCCGCTGCTGTATGGAGCGTTCCGACGGCGGCCGGTACTCTTGCCGGCCGGACAGCCGCGGGTCGTCCGCCAGCCCACCTAACCCCGCCAGCAAGCTGCTGCGCGCCGAGGGCTCCCGACTCAAGGCGCCGCCGCTGCCGCCTCCACCGCCCCTGCCGCTGCCGCCGCTGGGCTCACGGCCCTTGAGCGCACCGGAGCTGCCACCGTCAATGTCGGCTAGGGACTCCCGCGCTGACATGGGCCCTGACGTCAGACGGCGCAGGTGCGGGTCGTCGAGTGCGCCCCACGCCGTCATTGGCTGCGTAGGCCGCTGCCGCGACGCGGACGACGGCCGCGACAGCGACCGGGAGCTGCTGCCGCCGCTGCCGCCTTTAGGGCCGCTGCCAATGGCGCTGGTAGGCCGAGTGGCGGCGACGTAGGCGCTGTGCGACGCTGTCGGCTCCAACAGCCTAGAGGACGAGGTTACAGCCGTGGACGGCCGTTGGCGGTTGGCGCTGACGGGACGACCCGCCGAGGTGCCGCCCGCCGCAACCGCCACCAACGACATCAACGAACTATCCGGCGGTGCCGTACGAGCCACATCCGCCGCCGCTGCGGACATGAGCACGGGGCTCCCTGCCGCGTCGTTCCGAGGGGAGGCCCGCGAGCGGGCGCTGTTGCTAGGGCGGCCGGAGCGGGAGGAAATGGCTGGGGAGGTGCCTGCTGCTGCTGCGGCGGCTGAGGGCGGATCGGCCGTCAGGGACATGCGGCTGCTGAGGCGGACGGCGCGGGAGGCGTGCTCCAGGGTTAGCTGGTTGCCGTACGCCTGTGAAGGAGAAGATGGAGATGAGGAAGAAGGAACATGAGAAGGAGAATGAATTGAGGCATGTACGAGCTGCCAGTCCCTCCGCCTCCTCCCCACATACCCCCCGCCCCCATGGCCCAGAGACCATCCTCCACAACCTCCGCCCCAACCACCCCCACCACTGCCACCCCCACCCCGCCCCACCTTTTCAAACGCCAGCAGCTGCTGCAGGTTGCTCGCCAGCGCCGACCTCACCCGCTCCAGCGGCGTCAGGTCGATGGGGTCCGCGAAGGCTCGCGCGCGCCCCAGGTCCAGGCGGCGGTGGCAGCCCCGCGTGGCGCCCGCCACCCGCAGCAGCGTGGTGGTCAGCGGGAAGCCGGCGGCGCGCACGCGAGCCAGGCGGCGGTTCTCCTCCACCGCCTTCATGGCCATGATCTGAGGCAGGGAGGGAGAGCGGTTAGGGGAGGGAGAGGGCGGGGCGAGGAGGGTAAGGCTGGATGCATAATGCGGCTTCAGGGTACCTACGCGTGATGTACGGCGATAGCCGCTGTGCCCGTCCCTTCCCTCTCTCCCTCACATCCCCACAGCTCCCCACCTCGCCCCCTCCCACGCCCCCCTCCCTCCTCTGCTCACCGCGAAGTCATCCAGCTCCCCCGCGTCCTTCATGCGCTGCAGCTGCTCCGGCTGCGCCAGCACCCCGCTGCCCGGCAGCCCCGGCACGCCGCCCGAGCTGAAGGCGCGGTTGAACTCGTCCGGACTGATGCGCCCGTCCTGGTTCTTGTCAACGTCCTGGGGGGGCGAGGAGGTGGGGAGGAGGAAGTTGAGGGGGCGGGAGGTTGCGAACTTACGTTACACCTGTGAGAGAGAGGTTCAAGCTACATGCAAGATGCAACCGCAAACAAGCAGCTAGCAGCCTCGGACTTGCGGTGTTCTTATGTTTGAAGCAAAGCGGCCTCTTAGTCCCGCCAATCCTGTCGAGCTGTATGCGTCCCAGCGCTTGCTGTCTCGCCGAGCAAGCCTGAGAACGACGCCCTACCCCGACTACCTTCTACAGTACCGGTATATCCACCTGTCACGGGTACCCCCCCCCCTTCCTGCTGCCCCCGGTCTTTGACCCCCCCCCCTTCCTGCTGCCCCCGGCCCCACCTTGAATGCATCGAACAGCAGCTGCTGCTCCGAGGGACGCAGGCTGGGGAACAGGTCCTGGACGACACGGAGGACGAGTGGAGGAGTGGAGGAGTGCGGCACCAGGAGGAGGGTGGGGAGAGGGGCAGAGATTGTCAGCACCATTACGGGTGGAGTACAGCAGGCTGGGCGCCGTTACGGCACTGGGATGCGGTTAAACCCATGCGCACCACACCTCCTCCCTCTAGCGCCTATTTATATCAACTCATGCCTTCCCGCCCCCCCCCCCCCCCCTTTCCCCCTACCTTGAGCATGTTCCACACCTCCCGCTCGCTCCAGTAGCCGTCCTGGTCCTGGTCGTACTTCTCAAACAGCTCCGTCAGCGTCACCTGCAGGGGGGGGCGCGCAGGGCAGGACAGGGTAGGGCGTGGCAGGGCAGGCGGGGTAGTTAAGGCGGGGTAGATAGAGAGGAAGGAGAGGCTGGGGCAGTGGGAGGAGCACAACGAGGACACCGTTGGCTGCGGATGTGTAGTCCTTACGTACACAGGTGCTGGCAGGCCGGGAGCAGTGCCTTAATGCTCCTTTCTCTCTGGCTCGACAGACACCTCTTAATACCCCCCACCCTCCCTCTTCCCGGACTCCCCCCCCCCGCCCTCGTCAGTTGCTTCATCAGTGTCTCATCATATATATATTTTTTTACCCCCGCCCCCACCTTCTCCATGAGCATGAGTATTGCCATCTTCTGCAGCACCAGCTGCACCTCCAGCTGGTCCCGCAGCGCCACGTTGATGCCGCCGCGACCGCACACGCGCACGGCGGCAGACAGGTCCTGACAGGGAAGGGGGAGGGGAAGGGGAGGAGGAGGCAGCCATGCGAGGGGTGAGGAAGGCGTCAGTTTGAGGAGGAAAGGAGAGGAGGAGGTGCCTGACCAGTAACCACCCAACACCACCATTACTCACAAAAGAGATGTACGGCATCTTTCCTACCCAAACCGCATTATGCAAGCAAGCCTCAAATCTGCAAAACCTGCCCACCCAACCCCACCCACCCAACTTAATCATTATCATACCACACTTTGATATTTCTTTTTTCCCACCCACCCACCCACACTCCCAATCTCCCTCCGCACGCCTCACTCTCTTCCCCTTCCCCCGCCTCTTGACACCTGACCGCCACCCGGTCCACCCACCCGCCCATCCTCCCATCCGCCTCGTGACACCTCCTTCCCCCCCCTTCCCCCGCCTCACCTTGTACCTCACTCTGTCGTCCCCCGTGCAGTCCAGCAGCAGCTGCACGTAGCGGATGTGCGCGGGGGTGGCCTCCGGCACCAGCCGCAGCACCAGCCGGTACAGCTGCTGCCAGTCCAGTGCGCGGTCGCCGTCCTTGTCCACCTCGCGGAACACCTCCAGCAGCCGCATGCGGCCGGCGGCCAGGGACTCCTGGGGGGTGGGGTAGGGGGTGGGGTAGGGGGTGGGGTAGGAGGGGAGGTGAAGAAGGAAAACCAGGTGTTGGGGGTAGGAGGGGAGGAGGAGAAGGAGAGAGGGGGGTTCCATGGAGAGAGGACGTACAGACACTCATTGCGCTGACGGAACCCCGAGCCACGGATTCGCGAATACCACCCCCCCCCAACCCCCACTTACCACCAGCAGCGCAAAGATGTTGTTCCCCAGCGCCGCGGCCTCCTCCACCGACACCACACTCGCAGCGTCCGCACCGTCGTTGCCGCCCCTGTTGCCGCCGCCGCCGCCAAGGCCTGCGCCGTCGCGCGTCTGCTGGGGCGTCGTCTGGCCGTTCTCGTGGCCGCTGCCGCTGCCGCCCTTGCCGCCGCCACCGCCACCACCTCCGGTGTTGTCATCTGCGTTCAGGAGGGCCTCCGTGCGCGCCTGGGGCATGGGGTAGAGCTCCACCGCTACCACGGGTTGCATGGGCGACTGCGGAGGGAAGGGGTGAGGGGAAGGGGAGGGGCGGCGGCGAGCAATGTAAGAGTAGACTGAGGAGGGCTGGGTGGAACTACACTTACACGAGCTCTTTACCTCTCCTCCTCCGTCTACGTTTTGCACGGCATTGTACAGTGCCGCACATCATCGCCCCCCCCCACCCCACCCCCCACCTGTGAGTTCAGGCATGCCAGCTGCATCTCGTACAGCACTCTCGCCAGCTCCGCGGGGCTGTTGAGCGGCGCCTCCAGCAGCCCGCCGCACAGCAGGAAGATGGGCACCTCGCTGCGGGACAAGCTGCCGGCGGTGCGGAGAGACTGGGGGGGGAGGGGGTGCGGGAGCGGGAGGGGGAAGGGGGGGGGGTGCGGGAGGTAAACATATATGAACATGAACATAAGGAGAGCAACGGAGTCCCAAAATCCCATAACCCCAGGGGGGCGGATGCGGCAGGGACAAGGTTGTGAGGCAAGGGGAGGAACTTGGAGGGGAGGAAAGATGGGAGGAGGCACAGGAGGAGCAAGGACGAGGGATTCAGCGCGCCCTCCTAGGCTCCCAGGCTCACATCCCCACCCAGCACGGACCGGGCCGCTCTCACCTTCTCCATGTTGAAGCCCGGGGCGGCAGGCATCTTGTGCCGTACATCCTCGTACCTGCCGGGGGTGGGGAGGGGAGGCAGGGGAAAAGCGTGTTGGAAGAAGAAGGGTTGGGGCAAGGCGACCGGACCAGGAAGATGTGTGTTGCTGCGCATGCGGCGCCTCCTTTGGCCCCAACACCTCCTTCCCTCTCCACCCCCTCCCGTGATGCAGTACACACGCCTAATCACACTCATCCGTTCCCTCTCCATCCCCTTCCCCGCACGGTCAGGTCATGGACATTGTCACATCGCCGCTCACTTTCCCCACCCCGCGCTGCCTCCCTCCCCCCCACCACCGTCTTTCAGTTCGTCAGTTTTCCTTATTTTCACCCACCATGGAAGCAGCCGCCCCGACAGCCCCTCCGTCACGTATCCCAGGCTGGACCGCCAGCACTCCATGGCCTCGCCGCTGCACAGCATCAGGTTGAACTTGGGCGGGTGCGCGCCCTTGGGCGTGGCGGAGGCCCAGTAGTCGAACGTCTTGCACAGCTGCTCCAGCATGAAGCGCACCCCCGAGAAGGGCTGCGCGGAGGACACGTCCACCACGAACACCCCCCCGCAGAAGGAGTCCACCACCTGGTGCCCCAGCAGGAAGCGACCCTCGCGGCCGCGACCGTCGTTCAGGCTGCGAACCTGCGGGTGAGGAGGAGGGGTGAGGAGGGAGGAGGGAGGGTCAGGAGGGGCGAGGAGGGGCGAGGAGGAGGGGTGAGGGGCGAGGAGGAGGGGTGAGGAAGGGTGAGGCAGGCGGGAGGAAGGGAGGAAGCAGAGATGTGGCAGATGGAGGTTGAGGAGGAAGGAGGGTGTGCTGGGCTAATGGCGGGGCGGGTGGGGGGGAGGGGGCAGGAAGAGGATGGGAACATGGGATACCCCGGGATGCCAACCCCCCAGCACCCACTCCAGTAGTCCAGCTATACCTTATCCAGGTGCTGGTCCATGTACTCCAGGCTCAACGCCACCGCGTCAATCAGCGGAATCAGATCGCGGTACAGCCCGTCACACAGCGTCACGTGCACCCCCCCGCCGTTGGGCAGCCACCAGGTGAAGAAGGGTGAGCGGCAGTACACCGCCTCCGAGCTGCCCATGATGGCATGCGTGCGAGCGTAGCGGTCCGGCATGTGGCGCCGCATGTGGGGCGGCAGCTCGGGCCGCGGCGGCGGCCGGCAGTCCAGCACCCACTGCGCGGAGAGCTCGTGGTGGCGCATGAGCTTGGAGCGGTAGGTGGAGCCGCCGTTGCGACTGCTGGCGCCGCCGGCCAGACCGCCAGCGTCGAAGGAGCCGAGGGATGTGGTGGCGGGGAGCACGTCGGCAGTGGCGGCGGCGGCGGCCGCCGCCGCGGCTTCGATGGCGATGGCGGAGGCAGAGCCTTGGGAGGTGGGCGGCGGCGCATCGCCCACGAATCGTGGCGTGGAGGGCGCGGAGCCGCGGAGGAGCGGGTTGGTGTCGGGTGGCCGTTCGTGGTTGCTGCATGCCTTGCACGCGCCGCCGGCGATGTGGGGGAAGGAGCCCCAGCGTGTGAGGAATTGAAGCAGGCGGGTGCGCTCCAAGGGCAGGTAGGAGGCGTCCGACAGGCGGAGTTGCTGCCAGGCGAGGTCGTTGACGTCATCGCTGATGTCATCGGGGTCGTACTGGATGGCCGAGACCGTACGGTGCAGTACACGGTTGCCGTCGGGAAGGATGCTCTCGCGCTCGCCGCCCGGCGCACCTGCCATGGTGGCGGCCTTGCCCATCACGGACCCCGCCATGGAAAGCCGGCTAACGGCGTTGGCAACGGAGAATTTGCCGCCGCCGGACAGCGGTGACTTGCCGAGTCCCGCCCCGCCGGTGACGGAGGGGCGGCCGGTTATGCCGGTTCGCACCACTCCGGGTACGTTGACACCGTTGTTCACGAAGCGAAGCCGTGTGGGCACCCAGTTAGCAGCTGCGGAGTCGTCGCCCTCGCCGTTGTTCTTGCGGTGCAGCAGATGGTGTGCGCGAGCGGCTGCAGCGATGTTGGATGCGGTGTTGGCGCCGGCAGCGCGCAGGAGCTTCATCTCGTCGTGCGCGGGGGCGAGCAGACGGTGCGGCGGCGCGGTGGGTTGCAGGCGAGCGAGCGGGTGGTACGGCAGGCGGGGATGTCCCTGCGTGGCGGCAGCGTGCCAGGATGTGCGGGTGGGGCGGGTGAGGAGGGTATTCGGATGGCGTTTCACGATGCTGACGTGTGACACCGACAGCATGGCCCTTAATTGGAACACAGCGAGCAAACTTTAACATCATGGGCATTACCCCCAATACCTCCCCAAGGCCTGGCGTGAGGGCGTAGCCTCCAAACACCATTACCCTCATTCCCACCACCACCACACCACCTACACACCCCCACCGCCACGCACCTCCTCGTCCCAGAACTCCGGCAGTGCATTGTCCCTGTCCAGCCAGAAACGGAAGGCGTTGACGTCGCGCGGCAGGAAAAAGCGGAACTCGGGCGGCCCCACGGCGCCCGAGGAGCGCCCCTTGAGCATCTGGCTGCGCGCGTCGTAGGGCCACACGGGGAAGATCTGCACCGCCACCTCCGCGTCTGGACAGGGGATGGGCAGGGGGTGGAAAGGGAAGTGGGATGGGGGGTGGAGCATGCAACTTGATGGACAAGGTGGACAGGCGCACGGGTTAGCATGTTGGCGTTGAGGATGTATAGACATTGGCGGGTTGGAAGGCAGGAGTTGGACGAGCTGCAGGGTCCATACCATCCACAACCCTCTGGTCCCGCGCATCCAGCTAGGCCCTTTACGCACCTCCATCCAGGATGAGGTCATCATTCTCCTCCAGGCCGCTGACGCTCTCCCAAACCACCTTGCCCCACGGCTCCACCTCCTCTGCCGACGGCTCAAACAGCGACATCAGCGCCTCCTCGTGCGCACGCCGCCGCCGCATCGCCTCCTCCTCATCCTCGTCCTCCCCTATGCCGTCGCCCCAACCGAACGCACCACCTCCGCCGGCGCTCCTGCCCAGCACCAGCATGCTCAGGTCGGGAGGGCCGCTGCTCTTCATGCTGGTGCCGCCAGGGCCGCCCTTGCTGAGGGTACGGCCGCCGGGGCCCGCGGCGCCGCGGTCGCCGCGATCCGCGTCGCCGCCGGCACCACCTCGGCGGCTCTTGCCAAAGATGAAGTCGTCTAGCTCATCGTCCACATCAGCGGAGGCGAGTGCACGCAAGCGACCCGTTACCGACTGCGAAGGCCCAGCGGCTGTGATAGACAGTCCGCCGATGGCTCCAGACTCCTGACGCCCGGCGATAGGCCCGTCGTCGGTGCCACCGTCGCTAAACGCCACCTCACGGCCTCCCGCCGCGCCCACTGCCGCCGCCGCCGCCGCACCGTAACCCGCGCCCGGCACGCCGGGGGCTCGACCGGCGCCGCCGCGACGGAGGATGCCATGCGGCGCCTGAGCGCCGCCGCCCTCGGCTCCCTCCTCGCCGCCGCTAGCCGCCCCCGCCGCCGCCTGCTCGTCCAGCTGCGTCAGCAGGTTCGCATTCAGGTTCCAACCGGTGCGCTCCGGGGGCCGATCCATGCCGTCCCAATACACCACCTTTTGCTGGCCGCCCTCAGGCTTGGCACCGCTCAGGCTGACGCCGCCACCCTCGGCCTCCATCGTCATGTGCTCTAGCTGCTGCGGTCGGTCCGCCTGGAGCAGCAAGTCCAGCTGCTGCTGCTTATTCCGCAGTGCCGTCTTGAACTGCTGCACCAGCAGCTCCAGCTGCCGCTTCTCTGCAAGAAGCGTCTCGCCCTGCTCCACCTGGTGCTTCTGCTGCAGCTCAGCCCAGCCGGCTTCCAACTCGTCGATGCGAGCAAGTGCCGCGAGCTGGTTCGCCTGCAGGAAGGAGATGGCGGCGGAGGTGGCGGCAGCGTCGCGCTCGCCTTCGTCACCGATAGAGGTGGAGGTGGCGGTGGAGAAGGGAATACCGGTAACGGAGCCGGCGAGAGATGCGGCCGCGGTGGCTGAGTGGGTGGGTGCATCGGGGTCCAGCGGCCCGAGCAGCGGTGCGGCTGACTCGCCCAGAGGACCCATGGGGAACCCCGCAGGTGCGCCAAGCTCGGAAGCTGTTCCGGACATGGCTGTTCTGTGCGACATCGGTGCCGCCTCCACGTCCGGCGACTGTGACGTCAGGCGCAACCCCTCCGCGGCAGCTGCTGCTGGCTGCAACTCCAGATCCGGATGCGGGGCTGCGTCTTGCGCAGAGCCCGCAGCAGCAGTGCCCTTTGAGGCAGCCGTGGGTGCTGACAGCTCTGATGGCGCCTTCGAGGCCGCCTTGGATGACGCCGCTTTTGGTGCGGGCACAGCCTCCGCCGCCCCTTGCTGCTCCACCCCCGCCTCCGCTGCCGGCATGTCATCCATCCCAGTTGCCGCATCAGCAGTGGCAGGACCCTCTGCCACCTCCGTCCCTGTTGCTCCAGCATCCACCCCAGTGCCCTCCGCCGCCTCAACCCCCACCCCAGTCGGCCGCTGCGACGCCGGCCGGCTCGCCAGGCGGCTGCTAGCAGCCGACCGCCGACCGCCCGGCGGCGGCATCGCCCCCGGCGGCGGCGACCCAGTCGGCCGTACCATGATCCTGAACCGCACGCCAAACACCTCCTCAAAGGTACACGTGTCATGGCAGGACACCTTGACACGCGGCCGCGGCGGCGCCTTAAACACCACGCTGTGTCTGTCGTACGTCACCACAAAGCTCACGTTGCCGCCGTGGTGCCGCCCGCGCGGCCGCGCCGGCACCGCGGCGGTCATGGGCGCCGCCTGTCCGGGCAGGTGGTGGGTGCGCGGCGAGCGGTTGACTTCCAGCTTGAGGATGCGGCCGGCGCGGCGCAGGAAGGGGCCGTTGGTGGCTCCTTCTGGCCCCGTGGCGGCCTCCGCGAAGGGCTCCATGCGGGAGGTGTCTATGGAGTCCAGCAGGTCGGGGTCCAGCAGGTAGCGGTGCTGAGGGGGGAGGAGGAGGGGAGGAGGGGAGGAGGGGAGGAGGGGAGGAGGGGAGGAGGGGAGGAGGGGAGGAGGGGAGGAGGGGAGGAGGGGAGGAGGGGAGGAGGGGAGGAGGGGAGGAGGGGAGGAGGGGAGGAGGGGAGGAGGGGAGGAGGGGAGGAGGGGAGGAGGGGAGGAGGGGAGGAGGGGAGGAGGGGAGGAGGGGAGGAGGAGGGGGCGAGGAGGGAATAAGGAAGATTACGAGGAGGAGGGGAAAGGACGCGAGGCGCGAGTGTTGAGCATGGGTATGTATCGAATTGGTGCAGCCAATGCCGACACGCTGCTGCTCCAACCCCTTCCCACCCCGCCGCGCCACGAAGGGCACGCCTCTGCACTGCCCAGCAAGCCCCTACCTTGCGGGTGCCATCGGGCAGGTCCGGCACCAAGTCCGTGATGTCGTACGCCTGAAGCAGGGAACCATGCACGACAGGGCCGTCAACACATGGCAGCATATGAGTCCCTCTTCTGCAGCACGAATACACGCAGAGCACCAAAGCAAAGAGGTACTAGGGGCAGCATGCGCAGGAAATGTGCGCGACCCCCACCAACCCACCCCACCATCAAGCCATTTCCGGTAACCTACGGTCAGGGTCAGTGTCTCCGCGGCTCAGTTTATCTAATACCCCACCCATGCCCTTCCACTTATTACCGGTAATCCAGCCCACACTCGCGTGCCTGCTCCTCCAACATCCCGCTCAAGCTGTTCTCTCTACTAACTCCGTACTGGCTCCGTATCCATGTTTAACTTCACACCCAAAATGCAACCCATGCAACCGATCTTTCGTTTCACATGGCTAATCCTGCCGTTCCTCCTCCTCAGCCCAGCCGCTACCCCAGCCCCCGCACCCCACCCCCACCCCCCCGCACCCACCCTGATTGTGAACCCCGGCACGCCCTCCCCCGACTGCGAGTCCAGCACCACTGCCGCCGTGCGCGTGATGCGCTCCAGCTGGAAGCCCACGAACTGCTCCGCCTCGCAGCCCAGCTGCTGCTCGCGGACAACACCCACCTCCTCGTAGTCATCGGAGTGGGTGATGCGCTGGGCGGGGTGGGGGTGGGGGTGGGGGTGAGGGGGGTAGAGGGGGAGGGAGAGGGAGGGTGCAGGGGTTTGAGGGGGGAATGGGAATGCCGCATAGAGGGGAAAGGGGGAGGGTAGCACATGGCTGGCGAACAGGCATGCAGGGTTTTGCCGTCCTCCATGCATGTAGACACAACCCAGCTTGCTCCCTCGTTCTCCCGCTGCTGACTGTCCTCCAGTCATCGCCCCTCCTCCTCCTCCTCCCGCACTCCTCCCCCCTCTCCCAACCCCGCTGTGTCCCACTGCCGCCCCTCCCTCCGTACCCTGCCCCTCCCCCCCACTCACGATGTGCACGCGGGTCTCCGGCGGCAGCTCGAAGCTGATCAGCCCGTCCGCGTCCGTGTAGCCGCGCAGCTCCCCGGCTACCGGCCCCTCGTCCACCGTGCGGCCCTCGCGGTTGCTCTGCGAGAGGGAATGGAGGGGAATGGAGGGGAAGGGGGGGTGCATGTGTGTGGGGGATTAGATAAACTGTGTGGGGGAGTTGTGCCGGTGTTCATCGCCCAAACCCACCCTGCCTACAGCTCCCACAACAGCTTTACCCACATCGCCCCCATGCGCAACATGCGCACTGTAACACACCACGAAAAGCCTCCAAGAGCCATGTGCCCATGCGGCCCCACCTCATTCCAAAACCCCAGCTCCAAGCCACCGTCTCCACCCCACCCCCTACCATGTGACATGCCCAGTTCCTCCTCCCCATCCCCAAACCCCCCACCCCTACCCCCACCTGCGCCACATAGTCAATGAGCTGGTCCAGCACTCGGTGCGCGTACGCGGTGGCGCTCTCGCACCACTCAGGCTTCACCACGGGCGGGCGGGGCGTGTGCGGCCGCTCCATCACCTGCACCACCACCTCCGTGTTGGGCACGGGGACCTGCGGGGAAGGCAGGGAGAGGCGGGAAGGCGCAGAGGGAGGTGAACCCAGGTGGGCAGATGGGCGATGACCCATGGGTCACTAGCCCGGCATGGCATGTCCTAAATGTCATCGTAGGCAGGCGACAGTCGGCCGGCCACAGCCCAACAGCACACTACACCACTCTACGTCTCCTCCTGCTGCCGCTGCTGCTGCCGCCTCCGCCCCTGCTGCTGCTGCCGCCTCCGCCCCTGCTGCTGCTGCCGCATCGCGCACCTGGTTGTAGCGCTCCCGCACGCCCACCAGCAGCACCACCTTCTTCATGGCGTAGAACACAAAGGGCTCCAGCTCCCAGTTAGCCACGCGGACCTGGGGGGGAGCACGCGCGCATTCATGCATGCATACAGAGGAGGGGGAGGAGCAGGTGGGCGAGGGAGTGAGTGATGACGAGGGAGATACATGGTGAGGGGGGAGAGGCGGGGTGCGGGAGGGCTCGGAGACGCACAGCTCGCTCTCTCCTTTCGGGCTTCGAAGCATGGCAGGGCCAATCTGATGGGAACAACCCAGCAAGGCCACGGCAACGGCACGGCCGCGGTGTGAAAACCGCTCTCTGCGGGCAGCTTCTCACGCTGTACCCCCCTGCGCCCTGCCCCCACCTGCACCGCGTTGTAGTCCAGGAAGGGCGACCGCATGAGCACCGTCACGCGGTACTTCTCTGGGGGGGGAGGGAGGGCAGGCGGAGGGAAGGCAGGAGGGAGGGGAGGGAGGGATTAGATAAACTGAGCCGCGGACACTGATCTTGAGGGTGAGAGGGAGGGAGGGAAGGGAGCAGCCGGTGTCATGAGGTGCTAGCGGTAGCTCACACCAGGATGGCGATCCCATGAGACATATCCTGCAGCTGCCCAGCTGTTGTCCAACCTCAACTGCTGAACCGCATGTGCCAGTTGTTTCCCCAACCCCACAGGCCGCCCGCAGCCAGCCCCCTTCCCTCCTTCGCCCCCCACGCACCTCCCGGCGTCATCCACATCTTCTCCTTGCTCTGCCCCAGCATGCCCGAGTAGATGGTTTCGCACGCGTCGTCCATGCCCTCCACCTGCGGCGGGGCGCAGGGCCACGCAACAGGTAACACAGCCAGGGTCGGCGTCAGTTCTGCGCCTTAGTTGCTTTTAAAACATTCGGCTCGTACAGTTACGCGGGGCAGTTGCTGTAACACACATGTGACCATGACCCGTACAGTTGCCCGGGTCACATGCCGCAAATGCCGGAGTGGCTTGCGACCCGAACTGAACCCCAGCTGGGTGCCCACCCCTGCGCTCCCTCCTGCCTGATTACCCTCTGGACTGCACCGGCATCTCAAGTCCCGACAACCGACCTCGCCCTCGTCCCACCCACCCCCAAACCCTCCGCCCCAACCCCACACACCCCAGCATCCGCCCACCTTGTACGGGTAGATGCGGCTATCCTCCTCCGAGGGCGGCATGATGAGTCGCAGCTTGAGCGCCTCCGCCTCCGCCACCTCCGCCTTGGCCCACAGGTGCGCCAGCCGGCCCCGCTCCTTGGACCTGCGGGGGGGCGGGGCGCGGAGGGATACGAAGGGATGCGGAGTGAGCGCCGAGGAGGAGGAGGCAGGTAAGGATCTGGGTGCTGCGGCAGCGGATCGCCGGTCCTCTCGCTAACTACCTTGCAGTGACTTGCGAGGTTTGGTTGGTTCTGTTCTCCCTCCGACCTGCTTCGACCCCCTAATACACCACCTACCTTGCCAGGTAGGCCGCCACCTCCGCCTCCTGCCCCGTGGCGGCTCCCGGCGTCTGGTTGTTGCGGCGCTTGCGCTGCTGGTCGGCCTCGCCCTCGCCCTGCCCCGCCACCCAGCCGTCGTGCTTGACGGGCGTGAGGCGCTCGATGGAGAAGAACAGCGAGTAGCGGGCGCCCACCTCCTGTGGTGGGGTGGGGGGTTGGGTAGGGAGGAGGGGAGCGGAGTGGAGGGGAGGGAGTGGGGGGCATGGGATACATGCATTTGTGCCCACCTTCTTGGCTCTTTTTGCCTTTTCCCTTCAACCCGCCAACCCCCCTGGCCTCTTGCATCCCTCCCCGCCCTTACCTCCCGCAGCAACCCCATACAGCCCCAGCAGCAGCTACAACCTCCCCACCCACCAGCACCAACACCCGCACATCCTGTTCCCTCCCCACCCACCACCACAACCACCACCAGCCCACCCAGACACCCTCTTCTCCTCCCCACCCACCTCCAGCGACTCCACATCGTACACCGCGATGTTGAACCAGGGCCGCGCGCGGCAGTAGAGCTGCACGGGGAAGCGCGTGGGGCGCAGCACGGAGCCGTCGCGCGGGTTTATGAAGGACTCGTCGGAGCCGTGCATGGTGAAGGGCACCACCGCGTCCTGCGCGCGGTTGATCTCCGCAGCCTCGCCGTCGCCACTGTAGGTGTAGAAGATGAGCAGCCTGTGGGAGGCATGGGGGGGGGAGAAGGAAAGCGGAAGCGGGGGCAGGGGGCAGGGTGGGGTTTGGAGGATGGCGGAGGGAGAACAGGTGCAACTAGGGGTAAAGATAAACCTGGAACTGAGGAGGGACCGCACTGGTTCGCCACCCCCCCAGTCATCTCCCAGCCAGCGGCACCCAACCCAACTCCGCACGGCCCTCCCCTTGCCGCCCTACTTTGAGGGGTCCTTCATCTGCAGGCGATACTGCCCCGGGTCCAGGTAGTTGTGGATGCTGTCATTGGGGTAGGCGCGCAGCTCGGCATCCAGGTCAGGGTGCGATGCGCCCTCGCCGCCCTCGCCATCCTCGTCACCATCCGCGCCGCCGCTGCGGCCACCGCCGCCTCCGACCCCGGAGCGGTGAGCCAGGGAGCGAGTGGCGGCGCTGCCGGGTCGCCGCCGGGAGGGGGATGCGGAGGCGGCGGCAGAGGCAGAGGCTGCTGCGGAGGCGCCGACGGGGTCGGGATCGTTTGGGTCGGGGATGCTGCCGCCTGTGGAGGCGGCTGCGGCCACCTCGGCTGCGCTCTTGAGGAAGCTGGAGAGTAGCTGCTCGCGGGAGCGACCCGGCGGGCCGGGGCTGGTGGACCTGCGGGTGCGGGTGGGGCGGAGGAGTGGGAGGAGGGGGAGGAGGGGAAGGAGGGGTTGGCAGGGAGGAAGAGCTTGAGAGGGTGTGCGGGGCGGGTGCGGCGGGGGCGAGAGAAAGGTGCGTCCAAGCCAAGCCCAGTCAAGGCAAGCGCACGACGGCCTCTGTGTCAAGGTGGTGGTGCGGTCCATTCGTGGCGTGTCCGCAAAACCCATTTCAGACGAGCTTGTGTGGCAGTGTGGTGCTGCTATAGGGTGTTCCGTTACGAAGGCAAGGGTGTCTGGCTTGCCCGCCCCATCCCCTCATCCGCAGCTGCTCTCCCACCTCCTGGGCGGCGACACCGAGCGCAGTCGCCGCGGCGGGAACCTGGCGACGTGCGCCGGGTAGTCCACCTGCGCGATATATCACACACATACGCGGCCAGTTTTCGTAACATACGCGGCCGGGCAAAGCAAGCAAACAACACAGCAATACCGGTATCAGTACACGCAATAGTTCCCCGCCCCTAGAAGCTCAGCTCATGGCGCTCCAGTGCTGTGTGGAGTCCTCACCACAAGAGGGCTAGCAACAGGCATGCATGCGCGCATGCAGAACACTGCGCGCATGCGGCATGCGCTAGTGCTAGCCCGCTCCCCGCACCCCACCACCCCACCGCCCCTTCCCTCCTCTCCTGGCCCCCAAGGCCCCGCTATGACCTCCACCCCCTGTAATTTCCTATGCTTCGGTATGGTCTTTGAACCCCCTCCTCCCTCCCACCACCAACAGCCGCGCCACCCACCATCCGGAAGATGTCGTCGAACAGCGGCACTGCAGGCGCCAGCTGGTTGCCGCGCAGGTGGTACTTGCGCGCGTACTCCCAGCGACCCACGTCAATGGTGGCCCAGTCCCGAGCGCGACGCCCGTTACCGCGCCGACCCGACAGCTGTGGAGGTGCGGCGTTGGGGGGCGTTGGGCAGGGATGACGGAACAGGAGAGAGGGGTGCGGTGCAGGTGACAGGAAACAGCAGGAGCGGAGCGCCTGGAGGGTAAGCAGGGACATGGGTGCGATCCGGCCACCCCCCCTGGCCTCAAGTGCCAGCGCTCCTCACCTCACCCCACCTCCCACGACTTCCACCCCCCTACCTTGGGCCCGTAGAAGAAGCAGTGCCCCTCATGATCCGTGCCGTACACCCCCAGCGTGCAGCTGGCCGCCTCCGCCGTGTTGCCCAGCGAGGCGGGCCAGCCGACCAGCACGTCGCGGCACCTGGGGGGCAGAGGGGGGTGAGAAGGGCGGGCAGGGGAGGAGGTGAGGCGCCGGTAAGGGTGGACAGGGTGGAAAGAAGCGCATGAGGATGCCGCAGCCCATGAGCTACCGTACTCCCTGGTCCTGCCAGCCTTGCTGCGTTTGGACCTTTGGAACGACCTCCTCCGCTCGCCCGCACTCCACGCACCCCCCTCCTGCCTCAGCCTCGCCTCCTCCCGCCAGCCCCGGACCCCTGCCCTCCCCTCCCAGCCGGCGGCCGGCCGCCCTGCTGCTCACTCTACGGTTGTGGCCACGAAGTCCATCTTGATGCCCTCACTCGAGTAGAACGACACCTTCTGCGGGGCCGCGCCGTACCGCCGGTCACCCCGCGGCAGCGCGGTCAGCGGGTTTACCTGACCCGTGGCATCGTACTGCACAGCGCAAGAAAGGTGGGTAGCATGCGTGGGTGGTTAGCAATGAAGCGGGGACAGGCATCCCGGTGCAGGCTGTAGGCGTCTGAGGCTCGGCGCGAGAAGCCCCATCTAAGCCGTTACGGTGCAAGGACCGCGGTGCAGGGGGCCAGCGTGACGGACGGGACAGATATCTGCTGGATATACCCCCGCCCACCAGTCCGCTCACCCCTCTACCCTTTTTCGGCGCCTTTCCATTTCCGCGCTCAGTTTGTGAGGAACATGCCGTCATGCCCCCACGCATGCGCACAAGTATAACTGTTCCACCGCCCTTCCCCGTTTGCCCCATGTAGCAAGGCGGCCCCCGCCACACTCGCCGCCGATGGGCTACGCTGCAGCCCCCGCTGCGCCGGTGCGCTAGGTCGCACACGCGCACCTGTATGGAGTCCTGCTGGTGCACCGGCCGCAGCTCCCGCAGCGTCACCACCACCGCGATGCGCACCGGCACCAGCCCCAGCTCGCCCTGAACTACCTGGGGAGGGCGCGGGTCGCGGGTTGCGAAGTGGGTTGGGCTGTAAAGGGAGGAAATGAACGGAGCGGGAGAAACCCACATCGGGCATGGGCGGCTAGAAGAGGAGCCATTAGGACAGAGTGGGCTCCGCCGTGGTTGGCCCACCCCAGGGTATGGCCCATCGCCCATGCAACAGCATCCTGCCGTCGCCGCGCGCTGCCTACCTCGGTGTCCCTGGGGTTTAGCAGCAGCTGCTCGCCCATGTGGCCAAAGTCATGGTAGCCGGAGGCTACAGCGGACACCAGGTAGGGGTAGCCGGCCAGCACCTGGCGGACACGGAACGCGGACAGGGGGCCGTGTGGGTTGCCAATAACGTTGGGGTGGTTATAAGACACACATCTGCACCGGCTGTGGCCATCAGTGGATACATCTTGAAGGTTTGTTTACAGAGAACCCCTCCCCTCATATCCTGCACCCGCCCCATGGGCCGTTAACATTGTCCTGTCCGCCTATCCCGCATGGCCCACCTTGCACACAACCGTGCCATCCTTGCGCGAGTAGGCCTTATTGCCAAAAGCGTTGGACACGGATTTGTGGGGTGCGGCGGCCGCGGCTGCGGCTTGCGCAGACGCGGCGCCCCGTGGGTCCGCTTCCCCGCCCCCCGGCAGGGATATCGGCAGCGCCTTGACCTGGACTTGTACGTTGGATAACGGCTTGCCTGCATAGGGGTGAGGGAGTAGGTTCATGAGGCGATGGCATGAAGTACTTGGTTGAGGGCCAAGCCAGCAATGAGTAGGCTACGCCGTTAGCCACGGAAGATGCCGCCAAGGGAGAGGGTAATGGCCAAAGCATCGATAGGACATGGCCCCGAAGAGCTCAAGGCGGGAGAAAGCCAGGGTGGAAGTGACTAAGCCAGCAATGAACGACACGGGGGTGGAAAGAGGGAGGTATAAGGGCATAAGGGAAGATTTGTTTAAGGATTGCATGGACTATTGCCAACAACATGCACTGGCATGCCTAGTGCACAAATCAGTTTGGAGTGCATGCGATTCCTTAGGTAAGGGACGCCCTAAAATTCTTGCCTGTTGTCTTATCATAGCAGAAGAGCTTAAGCCTAGCGGTCGGGAGGTGCTGGTCGCATGGCTTGAAGGACATTTTCCGGCGCCGGTCCGGAGACTTGGGCTTTCCATGGACAACAATTCTTTGGAAATCCTGTTTAAAAAGCAGACAGAGTAGGAAGAGTAGGAAAATGTCTTCGTAGCACACGAGCACAAAGAGCATCAGAATGGACAACCCAAGGAACATCAGCTTGCCTGCGGAATTGTATCTTGTAGCCCATTGAGCATCGATAGATCAGCCTCCTTAACCCGGTCGGCTGAAGGCGCTGAACCAGGCTTTTCCTGAAGTGGCCTGTCCCCCTCCATCCTGCTCGTTTTCACAAGTCCCAAAGCACCCAAACCACTTTAGGAGTTTGACATCTGCTAGATATGCATTATGGGTATCTACGCTTCACCGTAACCGAAGCGCACGCTTGGAAGGAGCATCGATGGCTACGATGATGGTTACAGACTACATAACTTATGCTAATCACCTACAAAATGCTAAAAGTACAGCTCTTGCCCGGAGCTTGCGCTTGCGCTCGCGCTTCGAAGGGCCGTACTCTCGGTAGTTCGTACAGCCATTCCGCGCTGGCTAGGTGTATGATTGCAGAGCCTGATTTTCGTACTGGCCTAATGCAATCAGTAAATATATATTGGACCTTGCATTGAGGGCTTGCTATAATTTCTGTATCGCAATGTCCCTTGTAGGAAGTCTAAGTGGACGGGAATACCGTGACAACACATCAATGCGACTTGCAACAAGACCGCGTCTTCTGTATACCAACTTGTAGTGGAAGACCATAATTGGAAAGTAGGGAATTGCTGGCAAGGGTCCGCAATGCGAAGCCCACCATGGCGTACTCGTTCACCCCGTGTGCGCAGAGGCGGCAGTATAACCCCGTATGAAAGAGAAAGGGAGAGACTGCAAGGCAGACGCCCACGGCTAACTGCATGAGCACTGGAGCGGTTAGGGCGGCACCATCAAGCCTGAGAGGTCCCTCCGCACTGCTAACATGAGAGGCGCCAACCCCCATGTCTGCGCGAACAACAAACATCCACCTGCGTGCAGTACCGCAAGGCTGCATAGCCCCAATCCGCTAGCCAAAGTTGCCCCAACCTGCCGAGCTATAGCATTTTACCTTAGAAGCAGCCCGCCTGCCGTACTTCTGCACTCCCCTGGCAACAACAGAAATTAAGAGCTTCGCCTTCCGAAGGCGTGCCCACGCATGTCATTGGATACCCGAAAGATGGCCATCACACATACCTACCAAGGTTTCTAGCAGACTAGCAAATGTTAGAAAGTTAGGTGCCAACAAACAGGCAAGCCTGACTTGCAGGGAAAATCCGACTCCTTCCAGCCCGTTCGACATTATTGCAAAGATTTTACAAAGCAAATTGTGTTCCCTGCGAGATAAATCAAACAACAAAAACTACATGGGATAGAGAACAGGGAGTGCCACTGTCACCGACCCACCATCGACCCTGTGAACACTAGGACGCCACGCCTACAGGTAGTGCACCCTGGCCCTCCACATGATCGATAAGCGCTGAGCCGCCCACGACTCTCATATCTCTTTCGCCTTTTACTAAAGAGATCAGCGAGTGCGGCTCACGAAGGCGCATATCTCCAATATTTGTAAGGCTTTTGCCTTCTCCATAAAAAGAAAAATACTTCTGGTCCAGCCTGGTCCCAATATGATAATAACAGACAGCTCGTCTGCGTGCATTATTCATAGCAGGTTGACGCACTTCGCTGCTTAAAACACTTTCCTTTCGTCCAATCTCAGCTGTTGAATTCTTTCGCCAGCTGTAACATGTTCTCCAAATCACCCCAACCCTTTTCCCTCCCTTCTTTCCTGGCCGCTGGCAATCCTCTGATGACCCACAACGTTACGCACTACCGCATACCCCACTCTCCATCCGTCAACCTCCTCCATCTTCCTCCTCCCCCTCTCACTGCTGCCCCACCTCCAGCCCTCCGCAATCAAAGGCCGTGTGGTCCAGAAAGTGCCCCACGGGGAAGGCGCGCCGCACCAGGCTGTCCCGCAGCCAGCACACGGGCGCAGCGGGGGCCTGCAGCGCGGCACCCATCAGGCCAGCGCGGGCCGTGAGGGGCAGGCAGCGGGCGGCGCGCTGGGTCTCGTAGCGCCGCAGGCAGGCGGCGAGCTGGGCGGGGCTGGGAGGGGGCGAGGAGGAGGAGGCTGCGGAGGGGATAGGAGGTCGATGGGACCGGGGAGGGAGTGGAGTGATGGAGTTATACTGGTAGGAGGTGTGGATGTGGTATCAGGGGTGGAAGAAGGGGGCTGAAAGGGAGTTTACAAGTAAGCGCACAGAGAGGAGGACTTTCCTCTCGCCAATCGCCTACCCAACCACCTACCCACCCACCCACCTGCCGCCGCCCGCAGCTCCCCCAGCAGGCGCCCCAGCACCACCGCGTCCTCCAGCGCCGCGCAGCCGCCCTGGCCCAGATTGGGTGTCATGGGGTGCGCCGCGTCACCCGCCAGCGTCACCACACCGCGGCCGAAGGGGCCCGGAGTCCAGCTGGAGGGGCGGGCGGGCGGGTGGTGGGAGGGTGGGTGGGAGCCGTGGGTCTAAATCCACCAAACCATAGGAAACCAGGAAACAGGGCAAAACAATGGTGGCTGGCGAGTGGCGGGAGGGGATGAAGGAGGGCCTGGGTGCGGGGCAGGAGGGTGGTGCTCGACTGCGTGTGTTGAAGGGCCAACCAGTTACGTGGGCTAGGCCCCTCTCCTCCTCCTCCCCCTCTCCTGCAGCCCCTCACCGGTCAGCGATGCGGCTCCAGGTGATGTCATCCGGCGGGGTGCAGCGGATCGCTGCCGCCAGGCCCCACTGCCCGGCCCAGTGCGCCACCCGGGACAGAGCGGCGGACTGGCGCTGGGAGGGGGTGGCGGGGGGGCGCGAGGCGGCTGGGGGGCGGGAGCCGGGGGGGGGGAGGAGGGAGGGGAGGGAAGGAAGGAGGGGAGGGAGGGCGGGGAGCGCAGAGGGTAGGGTTTGCGGAAAAGTAGGGCTCAGGAGGCAGAAGAGGAGCGGCGTCCTTACGCAAGTCGCCGAGCGCCCCGGCACCTTGAGAACCTGCTGCGGTGCTGACACCCCTCTCTGCCTCTCCTCCACACTCGCCTTCAAGAGTGTGCTGTTGTCCCCCCTGCGAACCCCCCGATCCCCAAAACCCAATCCTCGTTCCCCCTATGAACCGCTACTTGCTACCTGCTTCCCGCCCACATCTGCCGTACCTTGCTCGTCCTCATTGTAGCAGACGAACCAGTAGCAGGAGGAGGGGGTGAGCGGGTACATACCCGCACGCACGCCGCGCCCCCAGATCTGCCGTACCGTGTCGGTGGGTATGGGCAGCGAGTTGGGAGGTGTGGGGACGCCGGGGGAGGGGGAGGGGCAGGGGAAGTCCGCCACGCCTCGGAAAGCCACATAGCCCGCGTACCTGGGGCGTGTTGCCACACAGAGGGAAACGAAAGTCCTAGGAAAGAGGCAACGCAGTATCCCAACTTCTTCCCCCCTACACACACAAACTCTCTCCCCAAACCCAGAATTTCCGACCTGTATCGATCCCCCACCCACACAGCTGTGTATTTCTTCTTACATCCAGCAACAGCCATTTAAGCAATTGAATTATGGAACAGGTTCGGTCACCTCTGTTTTGTCTGTTTTGCCTGTACTCGCGGTTCACATGCGACCCTATCCCAACTGCTTGCTCTTGTCCTACTCAACTACACAGCTGTGTATTACCAGCACCACCCAGCCCCAACCCACCCGGGTCGACTCAGCCCCAGGTGCCCCCCCGCCACCAGGCTGCCCACACCGTCAGCACCAACCAGCGCACTGCCGTACACCGTACGACCATCAGCCAACTGTACGGCAACATTACCCTTACTGCTACTGCTGCTGTTATTGCTGCTGCTAGCATTGCTGCTGCTGTTAGGGTTGCTGCTGTTAGCGTTAGTGTTGCCGTCATGCTGATGTGCACCGGTAGTTGTAGTTGTTGTTGTTGTTGGTTGGGCGGTTGGCGCCGGTGTGGTGATGACCTGCTCAATCCTGGATCCAAACTCCACCACGTGATGCGGATCTGGAATGCTGTCGTACAGCGCCTGCATGTGTATACACATGCGGGCAGGACAGACGTGTCTCTGCAAGCGCCTGGTGCGTGCTGCGTATTGCGTGTGGAGGCCATGTGCGCCCCCACGACTCGCCTCCTACACCCCCGCAACATGGGGGTACCCGCTCTCTTCGCACCCACTACCCACCCCTCCACTCCCGCCATCCACCCCTCCACCCCTCCACTCCCACCCCACCTGCAGCAGCTCGCTTCGCCGCACTCCCCGGAACTCCGTCGCTGCTGCCGCCGCCGCCTGCCCACCCGCTGCCGCCGCCGCCTGCCCCATCCCGGTGTCCTCCGCCAGGCGGAAGGAGCGCAGCAGCTGACCGCCCGCGGTGCATAGCTCCACCCTGGAGGGGGGGGGGGGGGGGAAAGGTGTACCAGAACCACAGGTTAGGGCAAAGGAACTGGGATATAGTGAAGCACCCTGGGGGTGGAGGTTGGGGAGAGGAGGTGCAGGGAGCAGGCGATCCCAGTGCCTGAACCCCAAAAGCGAGGGGGCAGAGCACGGAGAGGAGCGGGGCATGGGAGGGGCAGGGCGCCCTCCCATTGTGAAGTCGCCACGAAGTAATGGACACCGTTGTGTGTTTCCTCTTCAGTCTGCGCCGCCCCCAGACCTGCTCCTGCCCCACTTGTTGCAAACCATGATGACGCCTTTCCGGTATCACACGGTCCGCTAGTTGTTTCCTCTTCACCACCCCCACCTGTTCAACGGCAGGCTGCCCCCCCTCAGCCGCTCCGCCGCCCCCAGCGCCTCCAGCGCCCGCCAGGCGTTGGCCCACAGCGCGATGGCCGCCCCCTCCTGCCGCAGACCCGGACCCGACTCGAACAGACGCACGGGGATGCCGACCTGAGGGGGAGGGGGAGGGGGAGGCGGGGCAAAGTAGAATACCCAACGTGTTGAATGAGGATGGTAAAGAAGAGGACAAGCTCCTGGTGAACGGGCTCGAGTTAGAGGTCGAGCCGGGGGTTGAGGGAGATGGGAGAAGGGTTAGGGGTGGGTGCGTGGAGGAGCCGGAGAGGGCTGGGGATGCAGCGGCTCAGGCACACGAATGAGATAGGGTGATGGGCTGATGGCGGGTGCTGACGTGTGACCGCCGTGGAGCCGGGGAGCCGGGAGTGGGGTGGTCTAGGTTAGAGGGGAGGGAGAACAGGTTGGAAGCTAACTCTTCGCATACATTGGAGGATTCGGTGCAGGCTGACGTACGGAATGGTGTCAACTTGCAGGGAAACCAGCCACCGGTGTTTTTGCCGGATGGTGGAGAACATGTCAGCCAACTGGGCTCGCTCGAAATACCGCGTATATGACAATGCGCTTACGAAGGCATTCTTTCCCAGCCAAGACGCGCCTTGCCTTACTTAGCGCCACGGCTGTTGCAAGACCGGCAATGCCAGCGCCAGAGATGATGACTGGCTCGCCCCACGCCTGGCTAGTTGCACGCGTAGCAGATGAAAGAACGACATGGCTTGTAGAGCGCAATTTAGAGGTAGCACGATGGGGCAAAGGTGCTGGACAGTGGAGGTGTGGTTGGGAAGATGTTTGTGCGACACGCGAACCCATTCGGTTAGCGCGCATTTTGAGTTTGTGTGTTCCCTGGTAGAAATGCATTTGGGTTCGCAAATTGAAGTGTGCGCGCGGTTATTTGCGAAATGCTGCCTTGGGAGTTCGGTTGCGGTAACGGCCACAAAGGATAAGTGCGCTATCCGCTGGCCCAGTGAGACAGCCCATGCAACTGCGACTTAACAAGTACAGAAGACAGAACGCGCAGGAGGAAGGCTACGGTTGCGTGCTGAAAGCTACCGTACTTGCGAACCAGCAAACTGACGGCAAAACCCTTTCTCCTTATGAATGTCCGCAGGATAGGCGTCCATCCATTTTGCACTTCGCTTCTTGGTTTTGCTTAGTGACAGACCTTGACATTTCGTGTAGCTAGCCAGAATGAGCCCGGCCGAACATAAGCCGGAGGATTTAGCCCCTGCTATGGCAGAACTGGAACTTGAAGAGGATAAGCAGGATGGTGCTGATGCTGCAGCTCCAGCTGCGCTCAGCAAGGGCCAGTTGAAGAAGCTGAAGGCCAAAGCCAAAAAGGCCGAGCAGAAGGCTGAGGGGCAGTCGCAGGAGGAGAGCAGCAGTGGTGCACAAGCACCCTCAGCAGATGCGACGGCAGCGGCACCCTCAGCGGCAAACGAGGACGAGGACGGCGGCTCGGCCGATGAGGAGGGAGGTGGCGATGACGCAGCAGGTGGCGAGGGAAAGAAGAAAAAGAAGAAGAAGAAGTCCAAGAAGAAGGCTTCATCTGCCGCGGCTGCTGGAGACGATGCTGCTCCTAGCAGCAACGGTGCGAGCGCAGCGCCGCCCAGCGCATCGCTCCGGCCCGGCGAGAAGTTGGTGCAGACTAGCCCGCCCTCAGTTCCTGTACGCCTGCTGTTTCCCGACGGGAAATACCCTGAGGGAGAGTGGCAGAGCTACAAGGATGATAACCTTTGGCGGGAAACCAGCGCGGAGAAGCGTGAGCTGGAGCGACTCAACTGGGACATGCTTAACGAGGTCCGCCGCGCAGCCGAGGTGCACCGGCAAGTCCGCAAGCACATGCGGACTATCATCAAGCCCGGCATCCGCTTGTTCGACATGTGCGAGCAGCTGGAGGACATGGTGCGCAACCTGATCGAGGTCAACGGTCTCGATGCGGGCATCGCCTTCCCCACCGGCTGCTCGCTCAACTACGTCGCCGCGCACTGGACGCCAAACGCAGGAGACAAGACCGTCCTGCAGTACGATGACGTGATGAAGTTGGACTTTGGGACGCACGTTGGTGGCCGCATCATCGATTCCGCCTTCACGGTACACTTCAACCCGAAGTTTGACCCGCTGGTTGCCGCGGTCAAGGACGCCACCAACACGGGCGTCAAGGCGGCGGGCGTGGACGTGCGGCTATGCGATGTGGGCGAGGCTGTGCAGGAGGTACGCAACATCCTACCATCCCGCCAAGCTTGAGGAAAAGAATTGAGTCCGCTGCATTTCCGTATCTCAATGTGGCGATTCGGGATCAGCCTGTTGCGATTTCCCTTTTGCTACTGCTGTTCCTGGCCCTATTTCTGGTGGCTCTGCTTTACCTCTCCCCTCCTCCCGCCCCCCACCAGGTGATGGAGTCGTACGAGGTGGAGCTGGACGGGCGCACGCACCAGGTCAAGTGCGTGCGCAACCTCAACGGCCACTCCATCGGGCCCTACCAGATCCACGCGGGGAAGAGCGTGCCCATCGTGCGGGTGAGGCAGGGAGGGAGGAAGGGGGTGGGAGTGGGGGAAAAAAGAAATTCCAAAGTGTGGTATGATAGTGTGGGAGTGGGGGAGGGAGGAGGGGGGGGACTGGGGGAGGGAGGAGGGGGGGAGTGGGTGGGGTGCAGCAGCCTCAGTGGAGCAATGTTGGAGACGAGAGGGAGGGGGAGGGGCGGGTGAGGGAGGGAGGGGCCAAAAGATGGGAGGTAAGCAGTTTGGCAAAGCCGCGAGGCGGGGCGGAGAAGGAGGGGCGGGTGAGGGAGGGGCGGAGAAGGAGGGGCGGGTGAGGGAGGGGCGGAGAAGGAGGGGCGGAGAAGGAGGGGCGGGTGAGGGAGGGGAGGGCTGTGGGGCCGGGGAGGCAGCAGCAGGGCTGCGGCTCGGCACTCATGTGGTCCCCCTGAAGGGGCAGCAGCAGCAGCTGAGTGGTGGCAGCAGCCGCAGCGGTGGGTGTGGCGGCGGGGGCGGTGGCTTCGCTCAAGTGGCGTGGACAGGGGCACAGTGATTCCGCTATCGGCTGGGGCGGGGAGGAGAGCAGCCGGTGGGGCAGCAGCTGAGTAGCCTGGCAGTCATCTGGGCGGCGGCATGCGGCAGCGGCAGCAGCAGCCGGGCGCTGTTGGTGTGTGGCAGCCTGGCAACAAGTGGAGCAGTGGAGAGGTGGCGGGTGCCGGGAGCAGTTGCATGCGCGGGAGTGCTGGTAGCACAGCTGGCGGGTGGTGGTGGCCGCATGCGAACCGCGCTGCAGCACAGCAACCTGGGCGCCAGGGGGGAGAGGGGAAAAAAGAAATTCCAAAGTGTGGTGTAATAATGATACAAGTTGCTGACCGGGGGGGGGTGCGCGGTCCGCCATCCCTCCTCGACTAGAGGAGGAGGAGGAGGTACCCGTGCGCCAGCTTCCTCTGGCTTAACCCGTCTCCCTACTATCTATCCGCCTTTCCCCCCCCCGACACCCTCTTCCCCCCCCCTCCCACACACATTGGGTATTCCAACCCCCCACCCCCCCAGCAGGGATTGTCAGCAACTTATATCATTATCACACCACACTTTGGAATTTCTTTTTTTTACCCCCCCCCCCTCAGGGCGGCGAGGCTACCCGAATGGAGGAGGGCGAGTTCTTCGCCATCGAGACGTTCGGCACCACCGGCAAGGGATACGTGCGGGAGGTGGGAGGGAGGGGGAGGGGGTGGGTGAGGTTGGAGGGTGTGCGGGCTGCGGTGGTGGCGGTAGGGGTTGGTGAGGTGGAGGTTTGGCGGAGTCGAGCTAAGAAGGGGAAGGGGCTCCGGGGCAAAGAGCAGCACTCGGAGTGCTTTCGATGCACACCGCCTATGCCTTTGTTCCCTCCGCCCTTATCGTCTCCCCCTCCCCCCCCCGCCTGCCCCTCCCCCCCCCAGGACCTGGAGTGCAGCCACTACATGAAGAACTTCGATGTGGGTCACGTGCCGCTGCGGCTGCCGCGCGCCAAGCAGCTGCTGGGCACCATTGAGAAGAACTTCGGGACGCTGGCCTTCTGCAGGTGGGGGGGGGAGGTTGGGCTGGTAGAGGGGGTTGGGCGGGCTTTGGAGGAGGAAGGAGGCACAGAGGGGCCAGGAGGGAAGAGGATGTTGGCTTGTGGGTTGTGGGGAGAGGAGGAGAGAGTAGTGTTGGCGGGCGTGCTCCCTACACACTCCCTCACCCTTACTCAGTGCGCTGACCCTGTCCCGCCTCCTGCCCCCCGCCCCCCTCCCCCCTTCCCCCCCTTCTTTCTCCCCCCTCCCCCCGCCCCCCCCCAGGCGCCACCTGGACCGGCTGGGTGAGGACAAGTACCTGATGGCGCTCAAGAACCTGTGCGATGCGGGTGAGAGGGGGGGGAGGGGGGGGGGAGGGGAGGGGAGGGGGGGGAAAGAAATTCCAAAGTGTGGTGTGATAATGTTACAAGTTGCTGACAATCCCTGGCGAGGGGGGGGGGAGGAGGGAGGTGTGGGGGAGGGAGGGGGGAGGGGAAATTTCGCGCGCCTTGCCTACCGGTATATAATTCAAAACACACACTGTCACACACATGCATCTGTACAACACTTCGGACCAGGGGCTTGCTATCCTCCCTTGCTGTGACCCCCCCTTGCTCGCTCTCGTGCGTTTCGAATCTCGTGGTGCTCTCGGCGACCCCTCCCCTCCCCCCCCTTACTTTAAATACTGATTTTGCGTTCTCCCTCTCTTTCTCTATCTCTTCCTGACTTGTCGTACTCCCCATCGCGAAAGCCTATTTTGTTTAGCCCTTCGTTTACCAACACCCTCTCTTTTCCAATTTTGTAGTCGACTATTCTTCACCTTCATACAGCCTTTCGTCAATATCCAGCTCAGCCATCGCAGCTATCAGCCTCACTGGGCGCATACCTGCTTTTCCTCGTTTCCCTTGTCAACACGCTTTCTTTCAAACTAACGTTTCGGTACGCTTTCGCCTCCAATTCTCCCTTGCTATGCAGGTTAGTCAGGGTTCGCACTAGTGGGTGGGCTGGGCTTTGTTAGACCCATGGGTCATTGCGAGGGTCGGGCAGGGTGGGATGCTTTGGTGCACACAGCCGCATGACAGCCCCAGCTAAGCAGCGGAGCTTACATACGTGATGCTGCTGACAGCATTGCAGCACAGACAGCAGGTGCAGCGCAGCGGCGCCGGTTATCACAGTAGCAGCCGCCTTTTATTCGCCAATACAGAGTGATCTCAAATCACCTTGCCAGCCGCCATGGAGCTTACAATACGGTTTGTTATTGATTATTGCTACTTGCTACAATAAATTGCTATCCCTAAAATCCAGCCTAAGGCGGATTACGTCTCCAAATGAATCCCCACCAATACCCTCCCCTCCCCTCTCTCTCCCCCCTCTCTCCCCCTTCCCCTCCCCCCCTCCCCCCTCTTCCCCCCTTCCCCCTCTTCCCCCCTCCCCCCTCTTCCCCCCTCTCCCCCCCCCCCCCAGGCGTGGTGGACCCCTACCCCCCGCTGTGCGACGCCAAGGGCTCCTACGTGGCGCAGTTCGAGCACACCCTCTACCTGCACCCCACCCGCAAAGAGGTGCTGTCGCGCGGGGAGGACTACTGAGGGGCGGAGGGGGATAAAAGTAATGAGGAGGAGAGTGAACTGATGAGGGGGAAAAGAGGAGGAAAGCTGGAGGAAGGGCGCGTGCGGGCGGCTGCAGCGAGAGGTGGAGGAGAATAAGAGGAGGGATGGAAGACGGCGGGAGCAGCGGCGGTGGCATCGGCAGGGCCGTTGATTGGTTGCGGGAGGGGGGTATTACGTATTAGGATGATGATGATGAGGGGGGGGGTTGGAGGAGGAGGCTGGCAGGGATGTCTTGCATGCTAAGACGGGATGGGGAGGAGTGGGTAGGTGAGGGGGGGCCTGAGAGGGTCCACTGCTGGCAAGTGTGAGGCCCGGGGGGGGGGAAGAGGGGCACTTGGAGGGCAG